CCTCACATATCTGCTGCCCCAGAAAACAAAAGAAATAAATAAACACCTACAGCGCCCAAAGGAGAAAAAGTATCCGTGTTCTCTGTTAAAACTTGTCTCTTGTCCCCTTTTCCTCCTAATCCTTTTTCTTTTGTGGAAAGTTTTAAATGGGTTGTGTCCTCCTCCTTTCTCTTTTTCTCTCTTTCTCGTTCTCTCACTTTCATTCATTTTCTTCCACCATAGTTATCTCTCTCACTCATACTCCATTTCTATTTCTTCACCCTCTTCTCTCTTTCTCTTTCTCTCTCTCTCTATCTCTGTCTGTCTTTCTTTCTGTCTTTTACTAACAGTGGTCTGAGTTAATCACGGTCTAGACTAGTTATTAAACTAAATAGAAAATAACTTTTAGTGAAACAGATTTATCAGATCAAACATAGCTCCACTTTCCTTACTGTAGAGTATCAAAAATGTAGACAAGTTACAATCTCCTGCAGACTGTCTAACTTGTAAATATACATCTATTGGTAATGTTATCATTCGCCTGATAAAGGTTTGGTACATTACCAAAAATGGTGTTTTTTGCAAATTTGGCAGCATGAAGGAGTTTGTGTACAAATTTCAATGCCAGTAAAATAGACGTTGTTTTCTAAAATAATGTAACAGCACAGGCATGTAATCTAAGTATGTGGTCTTAATATTCCTAAATAGCTTTACTTAATTAGCCTCTATAGTATAGGAGATACTTGTTCACTAGCTGCAGTAGAATCTCGTCTCTAGCCGGAGACTGACCCCTCAGGGCTGAGCTGTTTCCTGCCCACCCAGGTCCTCACACGTTGTCAGGTGTCAGGGTTCAGCACCTGACTCCTGTGTCGTCCCTCTGTACTCCCTGTCTCCATCAGCTTGTCTCCCTCCCTCCTCACCCCTCAGACGGCCAGGGGGCCGGCCCAGCACTCCCTCAATAAACCTGACCTTGGATGTGCATGGCATTGTGGGCGGAAAACTACCTGGGCACTCTATTTTAGCTGTAAAATCCGAACTCTTTACTCCTCTTCCTGATGCAGTGAGCGGGTCATGACATAATGAGAAAATAACCTGTTGGATTCCTCGCAGACTCCTCCGTTGAGTTTTTGTTACGCTGGTTGATATTTGTGCTGAATTGTCTCCTGTAGATGAAATGAAGTTGCCCTTTTCGACATGCCCTTCACAATGCAATGCATTTCCGCTCATTATGTGTCTCTATGAGCCGCCTCCCCTGCCAGTCTGAGGGGTGACCACTTTCATCAGGACCTCCACCCACCTCCCCCCTGCAAAAGTTGACCATGTTGATGCCTGCCTGATCTTAACAGCACTCATCATTCTGAATCTGTCTGAGAACTTGCTTCCTGACACGTCACCGCAAGCCAGTTCTCCGACATCCGAAACATGTTACGAAAAAAACCAGATCAATCAGGAAACCATGACGAGACGCAAAACCGAAAAACTAAGAGAAGGTGTGAGTGCTTGTGAAACTAAAGCAGTCATCCATTAAGGATCAGGTTCTCTTGAGGCACCATATTGGCTAACGCTAGTGTTTCCATGATACCTCAGTGTTGCTATGGTAAACTCCCTCCTGCGTCCCCACACCTCTGAAGAACAGCTGCTGTTTTACCCACAATCCCCCACTGCTCTTCCCACTGCTCTTCCTGGATAATCTTCCCCTTTCTGTTGCAGATTTTGAATCACTGCTGCCAAACAGTTTTGAGTCTGAAGGACATGTATTCATTGCTCCCAGGTAGCCCTGTGTGTGAACGCTTGCTGTCGTTGGTGGTCATCAGTTTGTTGTCTTGTCTTCATCTCTTTCAGTGCTTTAAATACTTATTTTTTAACTTCACTTTCTCTCTGATTAGTTCTGCTTTATTTTCTTCGTATTAAGTTGCTCAGTGTGAAAGTAGACGTGTTTATTGATTCATTTTCTTTATTCTGAGTGGTGTGAGAGCATATTCTGACAAATCTGAGGAAACATAAAATTCATCATAACTTTACAAAATGATTTAAAAAAGGCATTTACCCATCCTTTCCCAAAGTTTACCCTCTTTTCAACAAAGTGTTTGCAACTTAACAAATCTCCTCTGCATGCTATGTCTGTGGTGCTGCATTTTGCTGAAAAATTCAGATGTTATTGAAAGTAGAACATGAGTTATAAACTGCGAAATAAAAAAGCAACTTTGGTAACACTTTATTTGACGCCTATCTCTATAACACATTATTAATATATGTGTAATGTGGGTAACGCTTTCTTTTACGGTACACTTATTACCAAGTAATTAACAGGTAATTACCTAGTAACAGCATGAAATTATCTGGTAATTACATGATAACTACTAAGTCAATACCAGGTAGGTAACCTTCCATCATCATACAAATTTGAAGCCGAATTGCTCTGGTATTTCCAGGATTTTCTCCACTTCCTGGAACCACCACTTGCGCAGTAGCATTGTACGCATTCGGCGGGTGAGTCGCTATGACAATGCTCGGCTCAAACAGCGTATCGCTACGCAATCTTCGCACGCCCATAGGCTGTATCAAGTGCCAATCATAGAAAATAAGCTTAGTCTAAACTAGACGTAGTAGCTTAATAATGTGTTATGATTATTGTTATGAAGCCTTATGATCATTTATGAGTGTTTATAATGATTGTTATGCAAGTTATAATACATCCTAAACATATGTATAATGCATTATCTGTGTGGGCATTGTCAGTGAGTTGTTAACAGTTATAACATTATAATACCTGACCTTGTAAGTCATGATAAAATGCTTTATAATGTGTTATGATCTGTGCTACAACGTGATATAACGCATTATACATATATTTATAATGCATTATAGAGATAGACGTCAAGTAAAGTGTTACCGCAACTTTATATGGAAAACAGACTGAAACGTGTTTGCATGTGCTGTTTGGTCACGCACTTTCACAGCATCCAGCCTGAATTCTTTAACACTGTTAAAATCTCTTTTAGTTTTGATGCTCTGCTCTACAGCTCACAGTCTGTTAAAATGGGATTTAAGCCCCGAGACATGCATGCCGCACAAGTGTTCAAGTGTGTTTCCATGCATCTCCGCTTTGTGTTTTGTGTCGTCCTTTTAAAGGTCAAACAAGGCAGAGTATTTCTGTTTTATAAAAAGAGAAAAAGTTTGTTTTTGAGTTTTTTTGTTTGAGTAGATATGTTTTATCTGTTTTTTCAGGGAGTACTGCAATGATCTGGAACTTTCTAACAACAACACTGAGTTCCTGCTCAACTTTATCGCTCTCATGGAGAAGGTGACACCGGACTCCAAACAATGTGAGTCCAAAATTTTGTGCACACACAGGAGCTTGAATTTTATACATTCAAAGAAAAAAATCAAGATTGAATGTGAAAGCTAAAACTGAAGATTACAGACTATAAAATGTTCTTTTTTTGGTAATTTAGATGTAAATATTCACCGCTCTACACAAACTTATTTTCATTTCACCTTAAACTGAACTTAGATTGATGCACTTCTCAGGATAAATGTGTGTACGTGATAATATCTACATGTCACCGATATTATTTCATCTTCAGAAGATGACAGTTTTATTACCCTTTCACTATTCGCTCTTGTTGCTGACTCTATACCACACCAGTCTTGAAGGACCAAAATGAACAAAATAATAATTTAATTGAGCCATTTTTAAAAGGGAGACATTTTCGAGCTGGATAAATGGGCGCAAGGCAGAGCGAAACAGTCGCATACTTTTAAGAGACAGACTGAATAATTAACGTATCTGTCCTTTATTTGGATTTGATGATAGTTAGAAAATTATAGGACATGTTGACGTTCAGAAAAGTCTCCAACATTTATCTCTAGTTTGAGTTAGACTGATGAGATTGGCTGCTTCTTATTTTCTTTTGAATACCAGAAGAGGAGAAAGACCTCATCGGGTGTGTTTCTAATCGTCTGTTTGTGTCCATCTGAACCCCTTTAGGTGATAATTTGCTCCTCCACAACCTGATTCTGGACACTGGGATCATCAGGCAGCTGGTGGAAAAAGTGTGGAAGAATAAAGACTTGAACACGTGAGAGCCCAGAGCTTTTGTGGGAGCGCTTCATCTGTTTGTCTCTGTAAAAAATTAACATTAAACTTCTGTCTTTTTTTTCCCCCCCACCTGACGTTTAGATACGGCTTTCTGGCTGTGTTTGCAGCAACGGATGGAGGAATAACAAGAGTGTTCCCCAACAAGTATGTGTCCTCCTGATGGAGGCTGTGTCTGCAAGGACTTGTGTTTATGTTTCTCTCTTTTATTGTCTTACAAAGTAGTAAAGTGTAAAGACTTCAAACGTTCTATAAATACTTTAGGTAAGTGGGAGTCTTGTGCCTCAAAGATTTACAGCCCCGCCGTCTCTGCTCTTAAATCTCAGGGCCGCTGAAACCTGGGAGGAAGATCCTGAGCCGTTTAACGCCAGCTATTACCGCCGCAGTCTCGACAACAAGGGCTACATCTTCCGAGCGCCTTATCGAACAGGTGAATGATGCTCACTGTTGTGGGTTTGTTTATCTCACGCCGAGCCTTGTAATGTGTTTGTAGCTCTTTGTTGCTAACCCTCCCCCCTTTTCTCTCCTGGCTTGTTTCTCTTATTTGTTCCCCTCTTAAAGCCAGGGACGAGCTGCTGAACCCGGAGAATGATACCATAGGGATCCTTGTTAGCACAGCTGTGGAGATCACAGTGGGAGGGAAGACCATCAAACCTGCAGGTTGACTCATAAATAATCCTTATAATTACTGATATTAAAGAAAATGTTTCAGAGCAGGGTGCAGATAATTACACGTCTGTGTTTGTATTGATAGTCACTTTGCAGGTCTGTCTCTGCTCTGCATCTATTTGTCAAAGCTTTTACTCATATTCAACAATTTCAATCGTTCTCACTGAGACGTTTCTTGACTTGTTTTTTTTATCAGTTGTTGGAGTCAAACTTGATCTTGAAGCCTGGACAGATAAGTTTAAGATTCTCGCTAGCAACCACACGGACAACCGCCAGGGTTCAAATACGGTAACTCTATCTCTCTTAAAGTCAGAGCACATATATTTACTCTGAGTCTACAAGTCTGCTAACCTTCTTTTTTTTCTCTTTGACAGTGTGGACCAAACCGTGTGTGTGAAATGGACTGTGAGGCCAACAGTGATGTAAGTTTGTTGCTGATCTTTAAAGGGGTATTCCGACGTAAAATTAAGTTATGGTCAAACACACCGTAACACCGAGTTAGACAACCCCCGAGAGATGAATGTTGCCGACTTTTTGCTTCTCTAGTTTTACCAACTTTAGTAACGACCGCAGGATAGCGATACACAGCGGTCTATGGAGCCACGCGCACACATCAACCAAAACGCCACTCTATAGCCACAAATAATGCTCAGAACAGCACCTAACTTCATCAACAGTACATATAGGGTCCCAGCCATAGTACTAGCCACCTAACATCTTTTTAGCTTTGCCTAATTTCTTTAGCAAAGAGACCAAACCCAACTCACCTACTCTCTTCCAGCAGCTGCTTGTTTGTGAGGGAGACCTGACGAGTCAATCACTGAGTGCAGCAGGGTTTCGCAGCTCAAGGAAGAACATTTATGATCATTTCTTCATGGAAAATCAATCAGACCGAGACGCTAAGGCAGAAGAACTACTGCGTCTGCAGTGCAAAATGATTATGATTTTTATTATGGCTTTTTGGTTGAGGTTTGTGCGTGGAGATGTAGACCGCTGTGTATTGCTATTGTGCAGTTGTTGCTGAAGTTGGTATAACTAGAGAAGCAAGCGGTCAGTAACATTCATCTCTCGAGGGGGTGTCTAACTCAGTGTTATGGTGTGTTTGACCCTAAATTAATTTTACGCCGGAATATCCCTTTAATGTGCTTCCTGGTTTTACTTTGACCCGCTGTGTCACAGCACTCAACATTTCATGCCTCTGTTTGCAGGATCTGCTGTGCTATTTAATAGACGATGGCGGATTCCTCGTCATGTCCAATCAGAAGGATGACTGGAACAAGGTGAAGCTGATACCTCCACGTCAGCACCGACTGAGTTTTCACTGCTAATCTTGACACCCAGTTTGACTCTTGTTTCTATTGTTTCCACAGGTTGGGATGTTCTTTAGTGATGTCGATCCCTACTTGATGTACGCTCTTTACAACAACTCTTTCTACAACCGGAAGCAGTCGTTTGACTACCAGTCTGTGTGTGAGCGGGTTCCTAACAGTGAGGCTGGAGCTGCACCCAGAGGAGTGTTTGTGGTAAAAACAGGAACTCGATAAAACTATTTCATTAAAATTGTTTTTTTAATATAATGTACATATTTTGATTTTCATCATCTCTTTTATCTGCAGCCTACAATCGCAGATTTTGTCAACATAGCTTGGTGGACGTCTGCAGCTGCATGGTGAGAGTCCTCCATCGCACACCTGAGAAATATGATTATATTTGACATTCAAAAGCACATCCCTAAAACTCAGTGTTCAAATTTGTTATCATGCTCCTTTATTTCTACAGGTCCTTGTTTCAACAGTTCATATATGGACTAGCCTATCACAGTTGGTTTGTCACAGGTGGGTGCAACATACAGCCATCAAATTTTGGCTTGAAAGTTTGTGATACTTTGTTGCAATGAAGTTTGAAGATTGGGCCTTAGGGCTGGGCGATATGGCCTCAAATCAATATCACGATATATTGAGCAGTTCACCTCGATAACGATAAATAGACGATAACTACTCCACAAGCTGCTCACCCCCTCCCATATTAACTTTGTCTACTTCAGTCGCCGCTACAACCGCTACAACTGTTGAACCGTCATCCATCTCCTCACCTGTCTTTCCCTCTTTGTTACGGACTGGATGGGATGGAGTCACATCTCTGGTGTAGGACAGCGTCTTAAAGGGACATGAGACCATAGCCTACCTACACACATCCAAATCCAACTTTTATTTATTTATTTATTTATTTGACACCGAATATATTGACATGGGCAAAATTACGTTAGTTGTTGTCGTAACTTTCGGGATCGGTAAATTTTCGGTTTATCGTCCAGCCCTTTTGGGTGTCATCCGCCTATATCCTCTGATGAGTTTTATTAAATTTTGTCTGAAAGTTATTTAGACAAAATGCTAATCTAAAAACCTGCCATTAACTAGCAGAATCATTCACTGTGTATTTTTAAATTAATAGATGCTTGTCCCTGTTGCCTGTTGTTTTTAATGAGCATATAAAAAGACCTCCCAATGCCAAAACAAGGGCATGAGACTGCAGTGCTGTGTGCATACTCAGAACACAGTCAAGTAAAAGAGAGACATCAGGAATACACAAATTAAATCATAAACTAATGACACACTGGACTCCAAATTAAAATTAAAGTTTTTTTTTTTTTTTAATGGAGGTGGTGCTGCTGGAAGTTTAACACAAAGGACCAGATTTATTTGTTTAGAGGCCTCAGTAAATATTTTTTAAGAGTTACACATTTTTCCAAAGTCAGTTTCTCATGAGGATAAAATCGTGAGAAAATCAAGCCATACTTTTACGTCTCAAATCTAAGAAGAAAAACTCCCGGAACAGAAATGAGATCATAACCATATCTCTATGTTCTTTCACAATTATCATAATTGGACAGTACATTTTTTAATGAAAGCTGCACATGAGTCAAATTTTTCATTAAATTGACATGATAAATGAAGGTAGGTTATTATTAAAGTGAATTTGAGTTCTTTTTTAAGTTGTATTTTTGGGGCTTTTTTAAAAAGATATGAACCACGTGTGCTGTGATTTATTTTCTTTTTTCAACCTGAATTAAATTCTCAATAATGTCAAACATAATGGTGTCAGTCGTTCAGAGCTTACTAAGATTTAACATCTTATCACTGATGTGACTGGTACAGTTATAGACACTCTCCCTTTTACAACAGGACTTAAACTTCTTTAATTAGAGAAACACTTAACATGACATTGAACAACTTCTTCTCATAAGAGACAGATGAGGCACCATCTAGTGGACTCATAAGGCAGTTACTGTCACAATATTGTGTCCACAGTGATGCATACTATAACAGATTAATCAGTTTGTCTGTGTGTCAGTAGCGTATTGCAAAGTAGAGCATTGTGATGTTAGGATGTTTTTTTTTAAAGTGCACTTTCTGAGGGTTTGGTTATTTACGAGTAAAAAGAAGAACACACTTTTTTAGCCCACAAGTTCAAACTAAAAAAAGAAACTTTTTTGTTTTGTTTTTTTTTTTACAGTTTTTACAACTTTTTGCGTCGACATACATCCTTCTTATCTCCAGATTTCGCTCTCATAAATCAGTCGCAGTGACAAGTGTAACTCTGATGTGTCTGTGCTCTGCTGATGCTGCAGATGAGGTGGATGCTGAAGGATACGACACCAAAGAGCGGAGTTGTGTAATGATCCAGACTCAGTACTACTTGAGCAATCTCAGCAACTCCTACAACATCCTACAAGACTGTGGCAACTGCTCCAGGTCTGTACACACACACACACACATACACACTGAGTAATAAAAACACACACACACAGTCCATAAAGAGCTGTGCTGTGACAGTACAGTTAGCGAGACAGATTCATCTTTCTGTGTGAGCTAATAAACTCCACCGATGATTAAAGCGTCTCATCCTTAATGAAACGGTCATATCATGGGCTAAATGAGCCTCATAAGAGCATCTCATGAATCTCACTGATCCATTAGTAAATGAGCCTGTGATGTAAGCGAGCAGGGGGGCTGTTGACAGAGTTTCTCTCTCTCTCTCTCTTTCTCTCTCTCTCTCTTTTTCTGCAGGCTGATTCACGCCAAGAGGATAAACAACACCAACTTGCTGTTCGTGGTGGCGGAGAAGCTGCCATGCAACACCTGCGAGATAGAGAAGCTGTCCCAGGAGGAGGAGGAGTGTATCCTTGTTCACTTTGTTCACCAGCTGGCAGAGGAGAAGAGGCACTCTCTAATCACCTGATTTTATCTATATATCACCCCTACTGTGAAAACACAGATGTTTCACGTTCATTTCAAGGTTATTTTAGTCACAGTGGGCTGAATAATGATCACTCTTTCACTTTGGTGTGAATGCATGAGAAGCGAGTGAAAAAAAGCAGGAAAAGGGATTTTTAATTTTCCTTAACTCAGATAATTTTCAGACAAGGAGGAGAATCCGTGTGAAGAAATGACTGTGGCTCGCTATCGAAAAGGACCCTCCACCTGTTTCGACAATAACATCGCTGTAAGATTTTAATACATACTTTCTTTGAGTTTGAAACGATACACTTGAGCGTTGATTCTTGATTTCCAAAAAGTGTGAGGAGTTAGATTTGTCAAGCAGGTGAGTGTCAGAGAAGACTAAATACTTATAGGACATACAGGTAGAGTTGAATATCTGACTCGAGCTCAAAAATTCTGACTTCCGAGTACGACTGGAACGCAGCATTAAATCAGCGTAATGGGAACTAACTGTAGTGTCAGAAACCCAGTAATGATAGTATCTGTTAATAATGTGGAGGTGAAGTTTATGAGCTGTACTGGAGCCAGCCAGTAGGGGGAGCTCTAAATCTTCTGACTTCACAGACAGACACAGACAGAATAGCCTTTCTTTGTCATAATGCAGGTTTATACTCAATGAAATTGGAGAGGCTTCTCCGCAGGTGTGTTTTGATTAGGGTGACCATATTCTGACTTCCCAAAAAGGAGACACAAGGCGCGGAGTCACAAAGTTAATTTTAAGAGTTTTTCAGGTTGGATCAAGTGTCTTTTGCGCGCTTCTAACTTCATAAGCCCATGTGACACAAACTTGAAACTTGTGTGCAAAACCGCAGACATTTAAAGATTTTATAAACTTCCCCAGACAGCCCCCAAAAAAGAGGACATGTTCGGGTAAAAGAGGACATATTGTCACCCTAGTTACGATCTAAACATAAATATGTTTGTCTAGCAAACAATCTTATAATCAACAAACAAGCAATCAGCACGACAACAATGACATAAAATATTATGAAGTGAACACTTTGATTTACAGTCTTTGGGTTAAAGATGTAGACAGACAAATAAAAGAGAAATATTCTTTCGTCTGCAGACGTGTACACAGATGTACTAACAGCTCCTTCTGTCCTCTGCAGGAGAACACGTCAGACTGTGGACGAGGACACTCCTTCCGTCCGTCTCTCTACACTTTGCTGCTCCTCCAGCTGCTCCTCCTCTACCCTGCTGTCACCCCCCACATCCACTCACTACAACATTAATTCCATTTTGCCCTGCTTCTCCTTATAGCCCCACCTCCCCCCGACCTGAAGCCCTTCGACCTCACCTCCTCCCCCCCTCAGCCCCTCCCTTGTTATAGTCATAGGTTAAAATGGGACTTCCCATCACAGCAAAATGGAAGCCCTGAGCGCCGCGCTACCCAGCCTGCTTCAGTTTGTGTCGCTTAGTGACGACTGCCGGGCGTCTGTGTCCTCAGCCAGTTAACCTTCATCCGCAGGAGGAGGCGCCTCTGGGGTGCCGCTCCACCTGGATCATCAGAGGCTACGTCAGAAAAGAGAAAATAAACCCCTCCACAGTCATCCTGCGCCACCATCCTAGAGAGAGAAAGGAACAGAGGACGGGTGGACGTCCTCTAAACAGACCTCCCACCTCACACAGACTGGAGAGTCGAGGTCGTCTGTCTGTCAGACAGGCGAGTGAGGTTCTTCTCCTCCTTCTTCTCTCCTCCATCTCAGAGTCTCTCTGCTCTGTCATTCGCCTCTGGTCAGAGGCTGTGGACCATTCAGCCACTTATAGCCGCCATAAAAGAAAATAAATGAAAAAAAGAACTGTCACGTATACAAAAATGTCGAGTATAAACCGCTGAAGTGATGAGTATTCCAAAAAAAAAAAACGGTGTATTTAGTTTTTAATTTGAAATGGAAGTCGTTAGGTGTTATCTCACAAAGACATGAATTAATTTATGCACTATATCTATTTGCCAAAATGAGATAGACTTTCATGTGATCTTATTTTTATAGCCAAAACGGGAGAGGAGGAAAACGGCTTCACATTAAGATTTAGGACAGAGGAAGAGGACACGCTCAGAACCTGAACGCTGATTCGTTTTGTGTGGCGCCTGATAAATAGATCCCAGCTTTTTAAAAGACGTCTACTGAGGATTATTGTGATTGCATGATGTTAATCACGTTTCATGAAGTACTCTTAACAGCATCTATTTAAGGCGAGCGCTATCTGGCTTAGCGAGAGCTGCATAACATGACTCAGCGTTTGGTTCCTGCAGATTCGTGGATGTCTCGTTCCTCTTTGTGTTTGATTGACCGTCCTGACCTCTGGTTCGGATTGATGTTAAAAAAAAAAAAAAAAGAGAAATCTCTGCGCTCTTTGAAGCTCAGCTCACCTCTGCCAGTCTTCATGAGGCTTCTCATGTTAACCTCGACTAACGCTCCTGATCTGGATTTGTAAATGTGCTTTACTTCTGTTCACAAACAGACACAGCGAAATCTCTGCCTCATGACCGTCTCATAGTCGTCGTTCCTAGATGGCGTTTTTACTTCTTTTCATTTCTTGGGAGGGCCTTTATTTCTTAAGACTGATTGCTGTTGAAAACTTCAGTAACCGTTCGCTGCTGGGGTATAGGGGCTTATCAACACTCTCCAACAAAAGTGCAGAAAGAGGCAACTAAATATGGTGATCACGTGCAGTAGTAGTCTGGTTATAATCGGTCACAGTTTCTCATTTGATCATTACGGTGTGTGAAAAGTCATTTAGACTCCCATGTTTAGGAGCCGCTCTGTTTCATAGTGCCTTGATGCACTTTGTTTTGGACCACACTGGCTGTTTAAGAGTAGAGTTACCGTATAGTACCTTCATAAAGCAGCTGTATTCATGGCTTTGGCTTGTAAGTCTATGAGAATAGCTTTACACACAGTTTAATGTATCTGCCCCCCTCCTCCAGAGCCACCTGACTGCCATCATATGGAGTTACTATATGGTGTCTCGACAGAGCCATGTATAGAGCTACGATACACCATCAGTATGCAGCGACTTAACTGGCCGTAGAGCGTTTTTAGGGCCACCTGACTGCTATAGTTCTGCCTGAACTGTATGTGTTTGTGTGTGTGTATGTTTGGTGTGTGTGTGTGTGTGTTATAAAGCCCTCAAAGGGAATGTCTTTTGAGTGAGTTTGCGTGCGGGGTGACAGTTGTGGTAGCAGAGCTGTTTTTTCTCCTGTTCCTATGTTGCAAACGTACAAAAAATCCAGTGTTGTGTCGGTGGTGGAGTAAAAAACAGGTGAAAACAAAAAGAAACCATCTTTAAAACATTAGTCTGCGTAAATATTAATCTTTACAGAGCAGAGGTGTCTGAGAGAATGTGTAGTTCATCAGTGTTTTCTGCTTCAGATGCAACATAGTAAACAAAGCCTCTCGAAAATGCCTTAGTGTTACTCAGCACGGAGCTCTGATATCGTTTCCCCACTCCTCATTTACACTCTTCTCTCATGCACACACAAAAAGAAAATCCTTCAAACACACGCTCCCCCTGAGTTTTCTTGGTGTTTCTGCAGTAAGTGTAGTGAACTCTGATTTCAGTATTTTTACGTCTTGGAATGATTCGTTTTTGATCGATGCCTGTTTGATTTTAAAAGCTTGAAAGCAGGTGGGGGTGTTAAATTTTGCAAAAAAATAAAAAAGTGAAAAAAGGCCTTCAACCTTTGATGTTCACACCCACAAATTCTGCTGTATTGCTCAGGTGGGAGGACTCACTTGACGATTTGAACCGTAACTACACACACTGTACAGTTATTGGTACTATTTGATGTGACAAACATGCCGGCAGAGTAACTGCAGCGCAGCAAATCTGAAGAGAAATCCTGATTTGGCACCTTTGGATGTTTGTTTTTCTAAATTCAGCGGGCAGGTTGGCTGCAGTTTGACTTTCTCAGCGTTTGTTTGTCTCTGTCCTGTGCCATAAACTCTGTCTGTATATCCCAGTATTCACTGTCTATAAATGAACGCTACACATGCCTGTGGAAATGTACCCCCTGCAACTTCCTCTCTTTTCCTGACCTCTGTGCGCACACTAACGATGTAGGCCTACTGTTTTGTTTTTTTTTGCACCTTTACACACACACACAGACAGACACTCAGCTGTAAGCAAACATTTAATGACACTTATTCATGCCCAGCTGGGAGATGTCACGCACCAGGCAGAAGTAAGCCAAGGACTTGCCGGTGTGCTTTAATTCTTGCGAGAGGGCAGAATGTCAGAGGAAAGCTCAGGGAGTGGGTCTCCACAGAGCAGCACGGGCCTGAAGGTTTCAGAGGATCCATGTGCGCATCGCGTTAAGAAAAAAACACACAACTTCTGTGGTTTAACAAATTTACTTTTGCCAAATAAAAAAAAAAGAAAGAAAATAGAGAAAAATTGGGCTAGCGTGGGGAGGAGAGGAAGCAGTCAGCTTTTGGGACAGGAACCCTGAAATAAGTGCGGGGGATGGTTTTCATAAAGCCTCTCGCCTCCTCCTGACCCTCGCTGCATCTGTGTTGGTGCGTCTCTGTGGGAAAGACACGTGTGTATGTGATTCTGTAGTCTGTAGTCTGGTGCTATGTGACCATGTTTGACCAAGTGTGTGAAAAAATATCAGCAACACTTAGAGAATATAAAAAAAAAGAAGAAAAATCAGTCGGATTTTAGGTGAAGTAAAAAAATAAATAAATATAGGAATACAGCACTGTTGATAAGTTTGAGATCTGAAGTCAAGAAGTTTTATTTTATTTTTGTTTGTTTTTTTTATTTCTCGTGTGTGTGTGAGAGTGAATGTTGGTGTGCGTGAAAGATTTAGCTCCTTCTTTTCTGGGCACTGGTCCATGTCGCTCCATTCTTTTGTACAGATGAAGCTAAAAAAGAAAAAAAGAGGGCAAAATTTGTAAAATATTGTGTCTGTGACTCCTTGTAAAATATTTTCAAATTGTTTATTACAGAGAATCAGTTATTAAATAATGTTCATATTTTTCACTTCATTTCCGTGTGTGGTGTTTTATTCTCAGAGTCGGCTTCAAAATCCTCTGTAGATGAAAGTTTCCTCGTGGACCTCACTCCTCCAGAAATCTGCCTCTCTCTACATGCGTGGACTAAACTCTATTCCTGTGTCTGCTAAATTTTAAAACAAGCTCTCATCCTACCTGACTGAAGTTTGTAAGGATCCCTAAACATAACGTGGCGTAACGTCATCCTACACCAATGCGAAAAGAGAAGAGTCGACTCTTGATAATCTTGTCCTTGAGAGAGAGATGCTGATTGACAGAAGTCCTCCTCCTGTTTCTTTTTACAGTTCAATTTATTGATTGCTTTGAATGTTTGTAGAAAATGGTAACAATGACTGTTTCCTCAGCGTACCTACCCTAAAAATTACGACATAGAAAATGTGGTTCGAGTCTCATTTGCTTTTTTACACCATAGTTATGCATCAGAACTTATTTCAGCCTGTTTTACAACATGAAAACTCCTCACAGTAGCTTCAATTATTAGCGTTGATAAACCAAATCTTGATTCCTGAACTCTTCCAAAGTCACAAAACTTTTGTGAATTCCAGCATTTAAAAATAATTCCACATCAACAACAACCTGCTGCTCTCAAATCTATCATCTTTCATCCAAATCTCTTGGTTGTCCCTCCAGCAAAACTGTTAATGTTAACAGATGACCTGTTCTGTCTGCTCCGTCTACCTTATGATCAAATCAAATCAAATCCACACCTAGTCGGTAATTCTGAAGAATATTTCGAGAGGAATTTCTCCTAATTTGGCAAAAATAAAAAAATAAAGATATTTTACAAAAAAATAAAGAAACATTACAAAATCTTATTTTCCATAAACAAAATTTGGAAGTTTGTTTTCACAAATTCCTTTCACATCAAGTCATAAAACCTTTAACAACAAGTAACAACTGCTTTGCTATAGTAACTGTTTACCCACTGAGTATTTTTTGGTCTAAAAGAGGTTTAATAGGCGTCTAAATGTAGTAGTAGTAAAATCAGGCTACCACAGGTCTAAAAATAAAAGTTTTTTTAGAAGTCTAAATTTAGACCAAGTTGAGACTAGCCGGCTAACAGAGGTCTAACTGTATATTGTTCAATGACTATCAAAATTATTTTGGTTCAGTACTTGGAGATCAGTTATGCAACTCACAGATGCTTTTTGAAATAAATAGTTATCAAACGATGGGTTAAAGTGCAACGTCTAAATTCCATCTAAAAATATACAGAATCTAAACAGTTGTTAGGTCTAAAAAAAAATTTAAAAAAAAAGTGGATGTCTAATAGCCGGCTGTTGCTCAGTGGGTATCTTCGCTGTAGTCTTCTTACTCAAGAGTCAGTCAGAGTTTGTTTCACTTTCTTTATAAATGTGAGTTTGGAGGCCTTATAGCATTAGCTGTGTTTGCCTTCAATGGGGTGTGCTGTGTTCATAAAAAAGCATTTTGTTTACGTCTCCTAGTAAAGTTTACACTCCATTCATAATGTGATTTAAGTTCAGTTCAGCAGTGGGCCTGAGGCTCCATCACTGTGTTATTATGATCTCAATTGGTGCTACATAATGACCTCAACATTTTCAAGATGGAAAAAAATCTTTGAATCGTTCGACTGAAGCTTTCTGATTAAAATAATCAACTTATTTTCTCATCTAGGTTTATAATGTCAGGTGATTAGACATAATTGATACAGTTTCACACTGTCCCTTCAAACTGGACTCTCATCTCCTCTCTAAGATTAATCTAAATGTTAAATCTGCCCGTGCAGCATGTTCACAGTGTGTTCAGGAAGTCAGTCAGAGCTTTGTGCCAGGTGTCTGGGTCGTCCAGGTAACAGGGGTGACCGGCCCCTTTCATCGCCACCACACTGTGATTGGCCAGATTGCTCAGGTTGCTGAGTGACAGTTCTCCCAGCTGAGAGTCCTGGTCCCCGTAAACAACCAGCGCTGGGACCTGGAGGAGACACGGGGGGACAACAACAGACAAGAGAGCGTCATTAAATGAGCTCCTCTGGGAAGGTTCTCCTCACTTTATGTTCTTGTATTTTGTTTGTTTTGAAATTCAACCCGCTGTCAAAAGGATTTTGCAGATGTCCTCTATTTTACCCCACATTAAGAAAAAAATGAGCGTCAAAGACTTTTAGTTTATAAGATGTGATTTACGTCTAGGTGCAGACGTGAAAAGAATAACAGATAAAATGATAAAAAGAATCATTATTTTTCCCCCCATCTAGAGAAAAAATCAAGCCATCATGATGCCCTGACTCTTTTTTCTCTCCTTCTTGCTTTTCTTTCACTATAATCCACTAAGGTTTGCAATTTAAGGGATATTTTCAATGGTTGGGCGCCAAGAGCATCTCTTTAAGTATAAATTAACATGATATCTGCTCCTCTTGTGTCTGAATTTAGATCCACATAAAAGAGATGAGCGTGTAGAAAATGGGTCTGACAATCACGGTCACCCGAGTTATCTCTTAAAAGAGCGAAAGAGGAGCAAACATGTGGTCGTTTATCAAGAATATTAAGTAGTGGCTCATTAGACGGTACCTTTACACTCTGGTACTGCTCTGCTGTGAATTTGTCGGTGCAGATCGGAGCCACAGGGACGTACGCTCGGATCAGATCCTGGTGCAGCATGAGGAAGGGGAGGGAGTACATCCCGCTGAGGGAGGGGCTGATCACCACCGCTGGACTCAGACTCAACCACTCACAAACCTCCTTCAAGAAACCCGCAGGGGCCAGCTCTCCCACAGCAGCCGGAGCCTCCGCTGACTTAGACCGCCCTAACCCTGTGAATAAAGGCGTGACACATGAAGACGAGACGCATGCTAAAGCTTTTACAACTTCCACTTTCCCTCCATGTGTTCACACCAGCACACGGATATACATACACTGCCTTAAATTTGTCCCCTATACAAAAGTGTCCTATAAGTTCAGGGGTTAATCCAGGACCATCACATAAAGCCTCTTAGGCTGTCTCCTCGCCTATGTGTTTAAACTAAGGCTTTCACGGTAGTTACAGTCACAATACAGCGCATGTGCACTTCAGTTACCATGGTTATGCTTCACCAGTATCATCCTTTAACGTTACTTGACAGCGCTGTCAGTGTAAGCTAGCTTCCCCTGAACTGGACAACAAAGCGGGAACAAAAGAAAAATACAAACTGGAAAGAAGATGAGGATCGTTGTCCTCGAAGAGCATGGAAGCACAAGTATATCATCTAGAGTACATAAAGAAAGGCCTTTTTACCCTCAAGATGAGCTTTTTTTTCTGAATTCAAGAATTTTAAGACAAACTGACAGCTGAATATATGCTTTCAAAGATGTTTGCATTGCGTAAGTATTTTTTAACATCTTAAAAGACATGTCTCTGCAGGTCCTTCACATTTTAACCAGTTATTAAGTTATTTCCCTCTTTAGAGTCTTTTGTGCTTCAGTTCAGAAACCACTTATAACTCCAGAACCTGTCTGAGATTTGTCAGACTTTGAGTTATTATCAGCGTCAGGGTCATTTCTTGCCGGAATCTTCCCTAAAGGATCAATAAAGTTCAATCTAATTAGTGATAAATATCTGTTCGTCGTTACAATGACGGCAGACCCTCTGCTCTGTTCCCCTCAGACTCACCTGGCAGGTCGATGGCGACTGCTCTGCAGCCGGCTTTGGCCAGAGCATCCAGAGTGCCGATCTTGAGCCAGTTTTCTGAAGAGAAACGGATACCATGAAGGAGTAAAACTGACATCCTCGCGTCCCCCGAGGAAGGTTCACTTTGTCTGAAGAAGAGTGGAGCCGTGCAGCTCTGCACCTGAACGCTCCCCTCTGACATCCTCACAGACGACATCCTGGACAAAAACACACACAACAAAACTGTTTCAGTCTTAATTTTCACTTCTCAAATACTTGTACTTTTTTAAGAACTTAATGCAACACCACACTCTTCTCCAATACTATTCATGGACAGATTATTCCCGTCTTCACTCCAAAACAAAAAATAGGTTATCAACAACTAAATTATATAGTTTAATGCACCTAATACACTGAAAATCAAACTGATGCTTTTCTATGATTTACGAACACTCAAGACTATCAGAGAAAAGACTGAAATTTTCTTTTTTTTCCTGCTTTAACGTTTGTTGTTAAAAGGCAGTAGGATGAGAGTTTTCTAGGGTTAAAAATATGTTATATACATGTACAAAATCAGCCAACACATTAGATGTTTGTCCACAAGGGGGCACTAATATCTACTTAGAGACCAAAGTTCCCAACAAAAACTATACATACAGACTTTATCAGTCCTTTTATTTCAAACTGGTGCAATAAACAGACTTACTTGAAGCTCCAATGAGGAATCTATGGTTATGCTCCTCACAGGAGTTTTAAAGTTTGAAGTTTTAGCTGTTTCTCTTTCATTATGCAGAAACTTTTTTGTACTTTTCCAGCTTATATTCTAACTATACTTAATATCATGACAAATTATGTTTATTTAGGATTAACTACCTTTACTTTATCGAAAGAGTCTTCTACAGCTGGTTACAAACACGTGTTAAATACTCATGGACTGTTTATAAATGCTAGTATGTGATGGCTAACAGTAAAGCTTTATAGGGGAGAGTGGGGTAAGATGAGCCATTTTTCATATTTCAGATCACGATCATAGTTTTGTCTCTAACTAGTGTATCTGCATATATTTCAAGATGTTGTGCATCCCTGCAAAAACCAACAGAGTGAGTGTAAACATAACTGTCTTGATAATATAGCATGCCAAAATAAAGTGGTCTCCTATAATCAACTCACCGCGTGTTTGGGGGTAAGTTGACCATAGGAGCGGGGTAAGTTGAGCCGTATCCCTACTACCCCCTGGTCTCCACCCTAGCCCTCCCTCACCTTCTCTCTCCCTAAATAACAGTCACTTCTTCACATCCATGTGTATTTTTATCTGTTATACGCTATTCAACTGGTACAATCATTCTTTTTGTTACAATTATTACATATAACTGATAAAAAGCTGTTTTGTAAAAAGCAGTTTTAACATGAGAATGTCGTTAAGTGATTCAGAACATTCACAGCTGTATTTCAGAAAAGAAAAAGTAAAACATTTCAACAATCTGAACTGAAACTCTGATCCTCTCATCAGACTACTTTACTTTACCCCTGAACTACCATTATGACTTTATAAGTCCTCTAAGCTAAAATGTTGGACTTTTATAGGTTTTTGGCCTCATGTTGTAGCTCATAAATACCACAATTGATGTATAAAACAAATTTAAAATGATCTTTTTTGGTCTGAACACAATTCTAATAAAACTTATGACAGACTAAATTCACTTTCAAGAGGGGAAAATGTTGTTTTTTGGGGGGAAATAAGTGTCAAACCCCTTCACCCATGTTTGGTCACATGATCAATTTCTTTTACCATTTCCAAGCAACAGGGGGTGGTTCAACTATCCCCTTTGGCTCAACTTAGCCCACTCTCCCCTATTTAATTTCGTGAAAAATTGTGTTTATTTAGGAGTCACTACCTTTACTCTAATAAAAGAGTCCTCTATAACCGGTTAAACACTCACGGACTGTCTATAAATGCTAATATGTGATGGCTAACGGTTAAGTTTTATACCGGTTAGCTAGCTAAATGAATGAGAGTAGGGGGCTTATTTAACATTGACTACAAATAAAAAATATACATAAATAAAGTTTCACAATTGCCTTAAAAGATTCAAAAAGCTACTCGAGGAATAAACAAGAAAAACTACAAAGCTAAACTGGATGGAAATTCGTTGTATTCGGTTAAAAGTCGAATAATCGAATAAACCAGCCGTCCGTGAAGTGGTCTCGGCCTGTTTGGATCAGCACCTGTCTGGCAAAGTTTCAGCAGCTTTTAAAAGGTAAATATCTCTTATCTTTTCAGGGATATCTATCACGTGAAACTTAATTATTCCGCATATTAATGTCTGTCATTTATCCGTATTTCCTCCTGCATAAGCCCAATGTAGTTAAAAAGCACTTAAACTGTGAACTGTTGTTTCTCTGTACCGGTTAAAAGTCAGCTGTCAGGTCCAGTAAGTGGAGAAAAAGTCGAATTGAGTAAATGCAAACTGGCGGGTTAAAGCGTCCGACTAAAGTCCACATTAGATCATTTTATTTGTGATACCAAGCTCTCAGACAAACACCATGAGAAAATAACCCAAAAAAAGCACTCATACCTCTCAGTGTGCAGACCTGAAAACTCCAGGATCAACTTTTGGACCAGCTGAACTTTCGCTTGATTTCCTGGAAAATAAAAACGCTGTAAATTTATTCTACTGACGTCTAGCGTTTGTTCAAGGAACTGCTTTTAAAAGAAGTGTAAAACTGTTTTTTAAAACTAGGAAAACAAATGTAAATTCTGTCTATTTGTGTGTCTGTTTGAGATTCATGAAAAGTGACTGACCGGGGCCTGATGTGCCAGTCTTCATTAATGATTGATAAATGTATTGATCAGCTGTCTTTTGGGGATTAGGCCTCTGTTTGAGTTAAGGCTCAGTGTCCGTCTGTGGGCGGTTGTGTTCAAGTCACTATTTCATGTTTTCTAGGTTTTTCTGCCTCTACCTGGATTTCTACTTCCACTGAAATATTTTAGGAGACAGTTTGATGTCTGAAGATTCATTAAACTCTCGGGAATCTGCCTCGACCGTCTACAAACACTGAAAATGTTGCTGCTCTGTGTTCTCCTGACAATAGGACTGACCTCTGGTAAGGAACCTTTAAGATCCTGATCGTCTTTCATTCAAACTACATTTTATCTCTTGTTTTTATGAATCGGACTGTTTGCTTTACATCATCCTGAGGTTAAAGGTCTTTTTAAAAAGTTTACAAAGGAATAACTTACAAAACACATCATGTGAATCACTATTTATTTCCAGTGAATATATATCCTTTATAGTCTTTTTACAATGTTGTGTACTCTTGTAGTAGTATGGTGTTGCTGTTTTGGTCCATTTCTCCTTTCACACACTGACAGTGTCTTGGTCCAAAGGTTATATGTGAGCAGGCTCCTGCCCAAATGTTGCAGCTGGTTTTACCAAGCACCTGAGCTCCTCTGTAAACCTGGACTAAACTCACCAGGTCCTATATCTTGTCATTTGTATTGTTGTATTGTGTCTCATCAGGCTACCGTAGTCCCTTGAATGACTTCCAACGCTCTGAGGGCCGGGAGCTGGTCCCTACCTCCTGGAACTCAGCTCGGGTCCTGCTCTTACCTGATCTAGACCTGGAGGACTGCGCCACACGCTGCTCACAGTCTCTGGACTGCAGGTATCAAACCTGAAACGGCTTCAATTCAGCATCACGTGCTACTTTTGTGCAAAATCTGAGATATTGAATACTCTTTGCGTCATTTTTTTTTTAGTAAGTCCTGAAGATACAGAGCATATTCAGCGCTTAATTGCTCTCTGCAAAGTCACATATAGGACTTTTCCGCTTTGAATATTTCCTCAAACTGGCAGAGATATTTCTTTTCAACAAAAGCAGTCCTACCATCCGATTCCAACCAGGACAAAACTGAGGTTTCAATAATTGGTTCAAAGGCTCAGAGAGAGAAACTGACCCCCAAAACTCTGTCCATCTTACTGTTTTTATGTCTTTGTCTTATTATCTTGAATTTTACGTACCATGTAAAGCGTCTTTGAGTGTTTTTAAAAGCGCTGTACAAATAAAATGAATTATTATTATTATTATTATTAAAATAGGACTTAACCCCGGCCAAGAAGGACGAACTCTCGGGGTGGTCTTTGATGCTGATTTTAACTTTAAAACTCATGCTAGGGGGGTCACTAAAACAGCCTTTTACCATCTTAAAAACATTGCAAAATTACGACCGTTACTCTCTCTAAACCAGACAAAGAGACTGATGCACCCTGTTATAACCAGCAGGCTTGACTACTGTAATTCTGAGATGATTTTAATGTATGAACCAGGGTGGCCTCTCAGATCCTCTCAATCTTCTCTTTTAGTCGCTCACAGAGCAGAACAAAAAGATTTGGTGACGCTTCTTTTAGCTGCTATGCTCCAAAACTGTGGAACAAACTTCCAGAGGGTCTGAGACAAGCTGCAAACATAGAAATCTTTAAACATAACCCTAAAAACTCATCTATTTAGCCTGGCTTTTATGTAAAGATTCATTATTTTAATTACTATTATGATTTATTTATCTTTCAGTATCACTTTTTAAACAAAGGAAGCCCTCCGTACATCTATAAAACAAGACGGGTGTGTTGGAGAAAAGAGACCAAAATGTAGCAAAGGGATTCCCGCACACTGTCCAACTTACAATCAATCATTTATTTGCAACGTTTCGGTACTAGACCTTCATCAGGCAAACAGTCAAACAGCAAAAAAAAAGGAAAAATCTTAGTGATGACAAAAACATTTGCAGATTCCACATTTCTTAGAAATTCGGCACAGCCATAATGTTGTCGGTATCTGGATGACTCTTTCTGTTGTTGTCATTCACTGTCATTGTAAGCGTGTGTAGTTCAAAATGCACAAAATGAACTTTGGATCATTGTTATTAGATGTATATTTTGATGATAGATGTGCCCTTTTGTACTAGATATGGAGATTTGTTAATTCAATATGTCTGTTTTTAACTTAATATGTAAACTTATCTCCTAAAAATTATTTTAAAATACTGATTAATTTATAATTGATTCACTATGTTATGGATTTCTCTTCTGGACATGTGGGTGTTACTTCAGACTGATGTCACACAAAGTGTTTTGTTGTTTATTTGCTGTCTCTGATGATGATTTTGTCCCTCTGTGTTTATGCGTTAGAACGGGATTGGTCATGGAGAAACGACCACTCCTTATTTAAGATGACTTCTCTTGAGCAAAAAACTGTTTGCCTGATGAAGGTCTAGAACTGAAACGTTGCAAATAAATGATTGAAAAGTTGGACAGTGTGCGGGAATCCCTTTGCTACATTTTGGTATCACTTTTTACCTGATTTTATTAATAAATTCAAAGTTTATATTTTATTGTCTGTTTTAGTCTATTTTAATAACTTTCATTTTTCTTGTCCTGATGTAAAGCACTTTGAGCTGCTATTTCATTTATGAACAGTGCTATATAAGTAAACTTTGATTGGTGATTGATTGATCTTTTTTGTATCAATCGACAGGATTTTCATTCATTTTCATTTTCTAAAACCTGAACTTTTGTGATCTGAATCTTTGTCCAGAAAGAAGGAACTCCAATTCAACATAGAGGGGGTAATACTAATAAGACCAAATAATAGACTACATAAATAAAATCACAGCCTGGCTTTAAGTCAATCTGACTATCATAAAAGTTCACAAAGGTAAAGAAAAAATTATAAAAAGAGAAGAAAAGTCATCATCTCTGCATCTGACAGCTTTTATTTGTGTGTGTGATAAATGATAAAACACAATTGAGGAGAATCAGAACAAAGCAAACCTTGAAACACCTTTGATATAAGTCACAAAAATAATTAATTCCTCATTTTCCATTAAACATGGCTCCTTGTAAACATCACTAATGAAATTGGGCACAAATATTATATCATTTTATTGTTTTACAGCACGGATCTGCACATTTGTTTTCTAATTATGGTTCTTTAAAGTTCAAGCGTTCAGTCTGTGTGATGGGTTTTCACAGCAGACTGAGTGGGTAATAATTTGATCGTTAACCTTTTCTTCTCTAAATAAGCTTTTTTTATGTATGCATGTATGTAACAGGCTAACGTCGTGATTCTCTCAGCGCTCGTGACTTTTGTCAGCACATGTCAAAATTCATCATCAGAAAAATGGTTGAAAAGTCAGAGTTTGGATTTTCATACTTTTTATTCCTGTTTCTAAAACTTTTTCACAAACTTACCTCTCAACTCCAGAGCGTTCAACTATGAGACCCGTCCGACGGTCACCTGTAAACACCTGCCGTGGGTGAGAGATGGCAGCAACGCAGAGGTGAAGAGAAACGTGAACTGTGACCTCTATGAGAAGAAAGGTGAGACTCCCAGTGTGTGTGTGTGTGATGTTACCAAGATCAGTGTGAAGATGAGTTGTCTGACTTTTGTTTTCTCAATCAAGTCTATGTCAGGAAGTGCATTGTGGGTAAAGGAGAAGACTACAGAGGGAAGGTTTTCACCACAAGAAGTGGGCTCACCTGCCAGCAGTGGTGGTCCAAGTTTCCTCACGATCACAGGTGAGACTCTTCCTTTGTTTATCAGACAGCAGACAGAATTTTTTCATAAAGCTCCATCGATCAAATTATTGATTTTTGAAAACACCAGTCACATATATAGTTGAGTGTTTTCCGTGCTGAAATTATTAAACAAACATGTTCCTGTGTTGACACAGTTTGAAGATCTAGAGCAAAGGCTCCAAAATATCACAGTCAAAGGTGTTTGTTTTCAGGTGGACTCCCACAGCTGCCAACGGTCTGGAGCTGAACTACTGCAGGAATCCAGACGGGGATCGAATCGGTCCGTGGTGCTACACCACAGATCCAGAGAGAAGATACGAGAGCTGCAACATCCCCCAGTGCAAAGATGGTACGTCACAGCTGTAAACAAAGTTTTGGGGGAAATCCCCAGAAAGTGAACATAGTTATTAATCACTTACTTATTCAAGTTTGAAAAGGAAGAAAGTGGAAAATAACAGTTTATCATCTCACTCTGACTAATTTCCCCAAAATCAGAACTTTAATTTTATTTTCCAATAAGTGCGACAAATTACTTTAAGGCAAAAATAAAATGTTTATATGCTCTGATGAAACTTCTCTTTATGTTTTCCTCAATAATTACCACAGAAATACAAATTTATCATTATTCACATTGAGCTTCCTGCTATGTGTGGACTTAAAGATGTTGACTTTGGTTAACGGAGGCTATAATTATCAAATGTACAAGCTGAACACAGACTATGTTTCCCTGTAATTAGACCAAATTATACAGCGCTGCGTGAAGGAGAAATCACAGCTATATCAGCTCCCTTTAAGGAAACGATTTAGCTATTATAGGCCCTGTTTTATTCAATGTTTTCTCCTCTCACCTGTGTGTGTGTGTCGGCAGAGGTTTGTATTACATGTAATGGGGAGGACTACAGAGGGCAGGTGGACCACACGGTGAGCGGCAGAGAGTGTCAGAGATGGGACCAGCAGTATCCACACCAGCACATCTACCAGCCTGAGAAGTATCTATTCACATGTTTGCTGTGATCGATATAGAAGTTAAATTCACAGTGTAAATCTCTTTGTTTTTTCATTTAATCTAAACATTCAAACCATTTTTTTTCCTGTCTTGTTCTTGTGTGTGTTTGTCTCAGATATCCCGATAAGAGTCTGGATGATAACTACTGCCGTAACCCTGACGCCTCTCCAGTGCCGTGGTGTTACACCACAGACAGGGAGGTGGAGAGAGAAAACTGTGACATCAGCAAGTGCAGTAAGAGGTTTTTAATAATAAAAATAATAATAATAATAATAATGATGATGATGATAATAATTATAATGATGGTATTTATGATAATAATAATAATAATATTGATGATAATGATGATGATGATAATGATAATGATAATGATAATAATAATAATAATAATAATAATAATAATAATGATGATGATGAATCATAATAATAATAATAATAATAATAATAATGATGATGATGATAATAATAATAATAATAATAATGATGATGATGATGATGATGATGATGATGATAATAATACATTTTATTTATAAGCACCTTTCTGGACACTCAAGGACACTTTACAGAGTAAAAACAACAGGATAAAAGCAATAGAGAAAACAAAACAGGGAAAAAAGTATATATATATGTATGTATAAATAAAACAAACGAAAACACGACAAGGTAAATTATAAGGAGTGTGCTAATCTGAACAGGTGAGTTTTGAGTCTGGATTTGAAGATAGGGAGAGAGTTGATATTCCGGATGTCAGGTATATATTTATAAATATACATATATACATATGAAATTCTGACTGACATCAAATGAAAGCAAACTTAGGAATGGAAAATTTCACAACTGAGGTGTTTTTTTTCTTCTAGATGTTGAGATATGCAGCTTTTATCACAATATTAATACATCGAGATTGATAAATCCAGCAGATACTAAAGATAAAAATGATAACACTGCATTAATTTGTCCTGCGACATCTCTTTCTTTAATCACGACTTTTTTTCTTGTTACCTTTGCTTTGTTTTTGTCATTAGTTTCCTCTTGCAACACAGGAGGGACTTGAACTAAATGGAGTCGTTATGTACCATCAGGAGACATAATCAGAGAGTCTCATTAAGTCGCTGTAATTAAATTTAGAAAAATCACCTTTTTGGTGTTTGTGCAGATTACTTCCTAAATAGTCAAACTCTCTATTTGTGAATCACATTGCCTCTTTGATTTAAGGTAAACGCTGCTGGTGTGCAGATGTTTGTTAGCGATTGAAGCCCTGCGCTGAGCCACAGGGTCTCAGGTTAATTAAAGGTTAATCACAATGCTTTTTCTTGTTGAATTTCTCTTTATGCGCCTTATTTTGCATTTTTGTTTTGTTTCCTGTGAGTTCCTGCGAGGACAGACAGGAAAATGATTTTTTTCAAATACACTTTGAAGAATTTAAAGTGATGCTTGTGACAGACAGAGTACGACTATTTTACTGCAATTGTTTTACATGCTTAGTTGTGTTCAAAAAGACTTATTTGGGAGCTTTACGTGCCTTTATTAAGAGAGTGGGGTACTGAGAAGAGTACCAGCAACCCTGTATGATTGTTTTCACATGGTATAGGCATTATAAAGTAAAGTGAACAATTTCTAGGCTTTATCTGTTACTTTAAGTCTCAAGTTTTTAAAATTGAGACATGATGAACTTTCCTCTTCGAATCTTGCGTAAATAAATAAAGCTGAAGGCAGGACATTAGCGGTTTTTCCTGAATTTCAACATAAGTGTTGTGAAATAACTCTGAAACTTGGACATTTCGACTGAGGACTGAGATCACTGCGACTAAAGTCTATAACATAGCACCATCTTGTGGTGCAGACAGAGTCCAGTCTGCCTGCAGAGTCGGTTTTCATCACCTTAAAAGCACAAGGAAAATAAAACTCACCACTCTTTATGAGATGACAAATGTCTTATTCAAATTTTAACCTTTTCTTCCGTTGTGAGTGTTTATGCACATTTTTGTTTCTTCATCCAAGGAAATAAATTTGGTTATATGTGGTAACTCTCATAATCTGGCAGCGGAGATGATGAGTACAAATAAATAACTAAAATAGAGAAGTGACATACAGGAAGAGGACCAAAACAAACCAAATCTTAAAACCTTTGGCCACACAACACACACAGAATAAAAAAACACTAAAAAAAAAGGAATAGTCAAGTTTGAAAGCAAAAACAACAGAAGACATGAGGCTGGGAGATTTGATATGAGGAACAAAGACCAGTTTAAGGAGGGAGACCTGAACACATGGGCTGAATACACAGAGGTGAGGCTAATGAGCAGGTGGTACACACTCTGGGCGGGGCAGTCAGTACACAGACAACACACACACACACACACACACACAAAGGCAGGAAGTGAAGAATTAGAGAGGAGTGAGTGTAAAATTTAACAACACTAGATAAGCTCTTGAGGTTAGCGACGGAGGAATGTCAATGAAAAACGCAAAAACCAAAGTTTAACCTCGAAAATTAGAAGTAAACAAAGATGGACCTGTTTCAACTTCACTCAGACCATCACCATGAATGATGCTTCTTCTTATCTTCAGACTATAATGTCATTTATCTTATATCTATTAAAAAAAACTCCCAATAGGATCTTTAATTATATGAAGATTTGCACTCATTACTAATTAAAGTCTTACATAATTGAACTTTAAAAAATCAAAAGATGTCCTCGATTTTTATTTGCTCATTTATGTCCTCCTCATTGTTATCCTTTCCTCCAGCTGAGGTGCAGGTGGAGAAACGTCAACGCTCCAGCTTCACCACAAACTGTTTCCGGGGCCGTGGGGAGGATTACCGAGGCAAAGTCAACGAAACAACATCAGGGATCTCCTGTCAGCGGTGGGACGCACAGTACCCTCACGAGCATCCTTTCTACCCCAACACATACGAATGCAAGTGAGTACCCGACATGTTAAGACGTGCGGCGTGAGAGCCGGATATATAAGAGTGGTTTATTATCTGCACTCATAACCTGCTGGTTTTTAAGAGCTCTGTTTGCTTCATACATTAATATTAATGTCAGGGTGTCACTGCAGTGAAATATGTTGCAGTCTTATTTCTCTGCAGGCAGCTGACAGTTGATGATAGATGGTCAGAGATCCACTTTAAGAAAAACAAAAAACAGCTGCAATCTGAACAGCACTGTGGATGTGAAGTGAATACTTGAGGCTTTTTTATGAGGCTGTGAATATTCATTATGACACATTTGATTATTAGTAAGTTACAACAAATAAGAAATCCAAATAAAAAACTGTATAGAAAAAGAACATTATTGATGAAATATCGGAAATTTTTGTTTCCATATTTGCAGAAAAGTTTAAACAAAATGATATTTTTTTAATCTAATTTGTGCTATGTTAAAATTAGTAATTATCTCTATTTGATTTCTATAACCATGGTCCTTTAAGGCAACAGGTCTGCTCAAAGATTTGCCTAAAAGAAGATGATGCTTCTTATCTCTGATTGGACTTTTCTTTAAACTGACAAGAAGTAACTAAATATGCAAGGAACCTGTGATCTTTACCACCAACATTGTCCCAAAGTTAAAATTTGGCTTTTTTGTTGACTGAAAAAAATCACAGCTCTTTTTCTGATTCATCACTTTCACTTTTTAAACTCTTTCTATTGCACAAGTTTTCACGAAAACCAAGACAAACTTTCAAAACCTTGAGGCTTGAGGCTGTTCATGTCTGAATCACTGCAGAATACGGAAGCCCTAAGCAGACGTAGTTTATTCATTTATTTTTAGCCCCGTTTTCTCGAGACTACAAGATAGTTTTCTCATGATCTCGAATAAAACAAGTCTTCGTGAATGTGGTATTTAATTTTTTTTAACCCCCGTTTTCTTGAAATCATGAGAAAACTATCTTGTGATCTCGAGAAAACAAGGCTTTGTTTTGTTTTGTCTCACATGCCACACTTCGTCTGCACATACCAAGAAGCACCGGAGCAAAAGCCTAATAATCATGACAATAAATAATTTTGGGGTGATCTGTTCCCGTAAAGTTCATAGAGTGTGCATCTTACCATATGCATCTTACACCATGCACAGAGATCAGCCTAATGTTTCTAGTCCACCGCAAAATTAATTTATGATCTTGAGAAAACAGAGGTAAAAAAAATAAATAAATCATGTCTGCTTAGGGCTTCCGTAGCAGAGTAAGATATCTTCCTAAAAGAATTTCAAACTTAGTTCAGCTGTTTAAGAGACCAGCACATATACAGTAACAGGAGATTAAACCAAAACTAAAACTTCTTGTGCTTTGGAACTTTAATTAAGTTCTAACCTGTTAGTCTGCTCTACAGCTGAATGAACCTAATCGTTCCCCCCCTAACTGTGTGTGCTACATCTCCTTCAGAGGTTTGGAGGAGAACTACTGTCGTAATCCAGATGGGTCTGAGGCTCCCTGGTGCTTCACATCTGTGCCTGAGATGAGGACGGCTCTGTGCTTACAGATCAAACGCTGCGCAGACGACATCGAGGCTGAAGGTGAAACTTCCTGTTCAGATTTGAGCAATTAGAGCGGATAAAAGAGCTAAAATTCAGAGAACAAACAGAGGACGTGACCTCAGCGTCACTGTCAGCAACACTTATTTTGTTCTTGATGATGTCTCTGTTTTTTAGATTGCTACCAGGAAAATGGGAGAAACTACAGAGGCATGGTCCGCAAAACTCGTAAAGGCATCACCTGCCAGAAGTGGAACGTTAACACACCTCACCGAACCAAGTACGATGATCACTTACTCGCATGAAATAAACTCTTTAGCCAAATTAAGTAGAGAATATTTATGTAATTCTCAAATGAGTGAGTTTAATGCTCTTTCTTCACTATTTCTAACATTTATGAAATGCCAAAAGCTTTAAAAAAACATGTTTGATGTTCCAGGATTAACCCATCAACTCATCGTGACGCCAATCTGACTGAGAACTACTGTCGTAACCCAGACGGGGACCAGCATGGACCCTGGTGCTACACTACTGACCCCAAAACTGAGTTTGACTACTGTGCCATCAAACAGTGTGGTACACCATCAGACTTACCTCTGCCTGTTAAGATCCTCCACGCAGTTTTCTGGTTTTTGTACACATTTAATCATCTGTTTCTTTTATTTCCAACAGCCGGGGAGAGAGTGTCCGTGTCTGAACCTGTAGGTTAGTTTCTCAATGATGGAAAAGATGCAAAATTGTGAAGAAGACGACAAATTTCTTGCAGTAAAATTATCACCCTTCTTTATGTGAACGCAGAGGAGGGGGAGTTCAGCGAGTGCGGAAAGCGAGACGACCGCCTACCCAGGACGAGGATGCGGATTGTGAACGGCGTTCCTGGGAACTCGCCCTGGACAGTGAGTCTCAGAGACAGGTGAGTCCAACAGCTGATGGAGTTTGAGCCGTCCATGAGTAAACTAAAAACACTCGTGAATGTCTCTGACTCTTTTGTGTGCAGGAAGGGAAACCATTTCTGTGGGGGATCCCTGGTAAACCCCCGATGGGTGATCAGCACCAAGCAGTGTTTCTCCTCCTGGTAATCTTGATAAACTGTGAGAATTTTTGTGACGACTATCTTCTCAGAAACAAAAGATCCTGGTAATACTTTAACCGTAGACCTACGTTATCAGAGCTCAAGTGACAAGGCTTTAACTGCAGGTGTGAATGCTCATCAGTCAATGCATGCTGGGATCTAAGGAGGCAGTCCACATATATAGGTGGTCTAGGAAGCATATGTCCACATTGGTTTGATAGTGTGAAGCTCCATGTGTGCTGGGCTACACCAAAGACTCTCTCCCCTTACTTATCCACAAATAACTACAACCAATATTTCTCTGCTGTGTCTCGAAAAAACACATTTTTGATAATTTACTGTAAATGCTTCTTAAAATTTGGAATTTCCCCCTGTGGCACTATTAAAGGAACGTCTTATCTTACCTAATCTTATTTGTTAACGTGAACTAGTGAAGATGTTGTCTTTGTAATGGAGCTAGGTGTACAAAATTTTTGAAAAAGTAAAAAATACAGGATATATTTATTCAGTGAGGGAGAGTACATTTAATTCTCCAAATGAGAGAATTTCTGATTTGCTGTTGTCTTTTCTTTTTGTGTTGTTTTTTTTTTTTTGATTTGCCGTTGTGTTGTGCACCTCAGGGCCACCGTAGAAGAGAATGAAAACTTACGTAAAAGATGTGATGAAGGAGTTTGTCCGTTCGTCTGATCCGTCTGGCTGTTCTTCATGCTCTTTCATGGTCTTTTGATGCATAAGCAGTGGGATCTATCCTGTATTTTGGTGCACACAAACTCCTTCATCACATCTTTTACGTAAGTTTTCACTCTCTCCTTACGATGGCCCTGAGGTGCAAAACACAACGGCAAATCAGAAATTCTCTCATTTTGAGAATTAAATGTACTCCTTCTCAGGGCCACCGTAGGAGAGGGTGAAAACTTAGCGTAAAAGATGTGATGAAGGAGTTAGTCTGTTAGTCTGATCTGTCTGTCTTTTGATGCATAAGCAGTGGGATCTATCCTGTATTTTGGTCCACACCCTAATATAATGCATGATCAGATTACCTCCACATGCTGTTTATAACGGCAGAAGAGCTGAACTGTATGCATAATCATGATATCTGCCAGAAAAGTAAACTATCAGTAACTACATGAACATTTCTGTCGACCATTTTCGTTTACAAGTGACCATGAAAATGTGAAATTTGACAAAAGAATCTAAGCATTAGGATTGAAGTTTGTTCTCACGGTCTTTATCGAAAAATAGTGAGGAATTGCTTGAGTTCCCATGTTGTATTGACGCTGTTACAACGTTTAAGGCTGACTTCTGCTCTCGGTCCTCAGCTACGTAGACCTTCCCGGCTACACAGCCATGATGGGAACACTGTTTCGAGATCCCCGAGAAGGAGAGCCCGGTGTGCAAACCATCCCTCTCACCAAGATCGTCTGTGGACCCTCTGAGTCTCAGCTGGTTATGCTACAACTTGAATAGTAGGAACTGTCAAGTCCATAAAATACACACAAAGAGGAAAAACGCACAATCAGACAGTTATTTAATTCCCCTTTTGACTCCTCTCTCTCTTCAGCCCAGCCCAGTTTAATGAGCGTATCTCTCAGATCTGCCTCCCTCCTGAGCGCTACATTGTACCTGAGGGGACATCCTGTGAGATCGCAGGATGGGGTGAGACAAGAGGTCGGTACAGTGTGAAAAATACATCGGCTTTTATGCTCAATTGATGATATGTAACAAGAATCCTCTGGAGTAATGCTGCGTCTAAATAAGATATCTATTCAGACGGTTGAGCAGCAGATGGCTTTACCATTTCCAGAAGCATCCAGCATCTGTCCAGCTTTCTCTCCTCTCCATCGTCACTCTGAAAACATGATCTCTTAAAGGTACCGGAGATGAGACCGTCCTCAATGTGGCCCACATACCCGTCCTCAGTAACAGGGAATGCAACAAATACTTCAGAGGTCGGGTACGAGAGAATGAAATGTGCACAAACTCCTTTCAGGGAGGAGTTGGCGCTTGTGAGGTAGGTGTCTTTACAAAAGTCCTCAAGCTTACTTGCTAGAAAAGGAGTGAAAAATCCTAATCCCAGCAGCTTGAAGGTACACTTACAAACATGTTTTATCTTGTTTGTTCAGCTCTGAGCCCCTAGACAAAGTCATGCTGGTTATTCTCATGTTTCTGGTTTTGTGCTACTTTTAAGCAAACTGGCTGCAGCTCTTCAAATTGAATTAAATTAAATTAAATCCTCTGATGTCAAAGTTGTACCGATTTTTCATCCAAGCCTCGGCAACAAGCGAGTAGACATGTTTTCAAAAGTGTTTGTTTAATGGTGTTTAAGACTAACACCTTAAAGTCCTGAGAATAAATGCCTCAAATTGCTCTAAGTAAAGAGCACAACTATTTATATGTTCCTATAAATCAAACACTCTCACCATATGGATAATGGAGGCTGGGCCCGGACAAGCTGTGACTGCAACATGTTTCCAACCTCAGCAGTGACACTCAGTCATAACAGAGACAAATAATGACTCCACAATGTTGTTCCTGTGTGTCTGCAGAGAGACTACGGCGGCCCTCTGGCTTGTCAGAACAGAGAGTGCTGGGTACTCGAGGGAGTGATCATCCCCATGAGGCGGTGCGGACACCCGGGACAGCCCAACATCTTCATCCGCGTGTCTTTCTACGTGGACTGGATTAAGAAGGTCATGGAGATGGCTTAGAGAGGGTTTCAGCCATCCAACATGGACTGATGAAACACACCGTTGTCAAAGCCCTCGGTTACACCAGTTATTCTCTTAATTCTGTACATTTTTATCTCCTCTGATGTGTCTTTTTCTTTAAAAATATTCATATTGCATCCAAACGGTTATTGTTTAAGTTACAACACCAATATATTGTTTAAAAAAGTGCTTAAAATGCAAAGATAGTTTAACAATTTCATACAAAAATACTGACTTTAAATTAATAAGCATGAGTTTTAATATGTGGTGAATGTTTTCGCCGGAGAGACTAAAAAAAAGGCCTTTTAAGAAACTATGAATAGTCTAAGAAAATAAAGTTACAGAGAGATTTCTTGATGAGAAATGTTATTGAAAGACATCTTTACCGTGTTTTAGACAGTTTAGTATTTTGTGTGTAGAACTTTTATAATAAAGACACCGTTGCAACTTTAATTAAATGTATTTTCCTTATTAACTTTTAAAAACAAACTCTAAAAGCCAAGTATTAACCGCTTATGAGGAGACTGAATTTCATTTCATTTCTCTTTATTCGCAGAAAAGTTTAATAGTAACACAGGTATAAAATCCACATTAACCGACAGTCATTGTCACTCAATAACTTCTAATATGAGCAGAGCTGCGAAGGCTTTAAAACAAGTTCACTAACATCCCCTGGAAATGCACCCTTTACCACAAAACTGTACACTCCCCCCCACCCCCCCAGCCGGCCAGTGTTGAATGGAGCTCTGAAATACCTTCTTTGCCCCCAGCCTCTAAAGAAATCCCTCCTCTGCCTGTCTTTTGATGCCTGCCCCCACCTCTAAAGACATGCCTTTGTGCCTTATGCAGAACTGTATGCGCTGCACATTCTTTCTAGTTCTATAGGAGGATTTTTGTAACCCGGTCCTGATGAGCCCACGGAATTCAGCTTAAATAAACCTCAAGATCAGAGTCCAACCGAATCTCAGACACACCAGCCTGCAGAAGGCCACTGAACTCTCCCCCTCATACACACACACACACACACACACACACACACGAACACAGACCGACACACAAATTCACTCTCATGCGAACCCTCCCCCCTTTTTCTGTCTTATTACCCCATTCTGTTTCTGTCTCCTGGAAATTGTTAACTGCAAATTTTTGTCTTTTTCTTTTAACAAAAATACAGAGATGTCCTTTTTTTACCTTCTTCCCTTTTATTTGATTTTTCTGTCCTCCTTTTTTATTCCAAATACTTTCAAATAAAACTCCGAGCTAATGACGTCCAATTATCCTCCTGCTGTAGACAGAAGCTCGCAGTAATGGCGAGCCAACAGTTGTGATTCTGATCGCTATCATTTAGTAACTTTTATAATAGATGATTAACCAAATACGTTTATGACTACAACTTCTGAGCAACACTTGGCCGAGTTCCTGAGAAAGCTGACTAAGATTTTCAGCGACTGCAACCACAAAAGATGCAAATAGTTTCTTTGTTATTTTGTGTATGCATATTATGGTAACAGTATGCAGATTTAGATGAGTAATTGTCTCTCTAAATTAACATATGATTGATTTAATTTTTTTGGGGAAATGAGACATTTAAGTTCAACTTCTTAATGCATCTCTAAGTCACACTGTTGAACTGATACTCAGCGGTGTTCGGCTGGAGCTCTGTGCTTCATGTTTGTAACCTAAAGCTTTATATTTTGGTCTCATGCCAGCATGCTCACCTGACATGACTCCATGAGCGCCCCAGCTTTATGCGTCCCTGGAATGTGTATTCACTCGCTGCGGTTCAAACATTTCCAGCGCTATTTATCAGTTTGTGCAAATTTACCGAGCTTTGTTCTGGACATCAAGAAGATTAGACGGAAAGATTTATGGTTTGGATTAATCAAATGGGGCAGCATGTTAAACAAACAAAAACTCGGAGGACTGTTCCTAACTCAAACATCTCAGCTTAAAGGGGGGATGTGATTTTTCAATTCTGATTCAGTTTATTAATAAAAAAAATAATGATTTTGATGTTTTAAAATGCTTTGAGAAGAGGTTTGGAGGTAAGGGAATAACAGGAAAAAGAAACTTGTGCATGTTCTGAATGGAAACAGAGATTTTATGGTAAACATTTCAATAAGTGGATCAGACTAATCTCTGTTTTTGCTCACATAAAATTCACAGCAGACAGCCACAGTGTACACTCAGGTCTGAAAGTCCCCATTTGACATTTCTGTCCTTTGTTCTTACTGCAGTTCTGCGTCTGTAAAGCTGTAGGTAGGTGAGAGTAAAACCTCTGCTCTGAAACAGACCTCTATCATTCGTTTCTGCTTCATTTTTCCCCCCTACTGTTCTGAGGGGAACTTCCCAACCCCGGACCCAGCTCAGGGAACCCCGAGACCACACTCTACCCTCATGTTTGATGCCTCTTTTCTCCCTCTCCCTCTCTCTCCCTATCTCTCTCTTTCCCTCTCTTGTGGGTGGTCCGATGAGCATTTCGGGGCGGGTCCTCTCTGTTTCAACCCTCCTCCTCTCGTTCTTTCTTGAAACATGCTTTAATAGAGAAAGTATGCAATGCATACTGCTCAGCTACAACCCCCAATTATACTGCAACTGGGGTATTCGTGACTGGACGTCTGGGGGGATCACACACATTTCCGATTAGAGGAGGAGGAGGAGAGAGAGAGGGGAGGGGGGAGACACAGTGTGAGAGAGAGAGAGAGAGAGAGAGAGAGAGAAAGAGAGAGAGAGAGAGAGAGGGAGTGAGAGAGGGAGGGAGAGAGAGTTTACCCTTTCATTCCAGCCAATGAGGCGGTCGATACACTAACATTTTCATAGTTGTGCACGAGCACAAAGTAAGCTGACTGTGTGAACTTCCAGGTAAAACTGCAAACCGACTCAAGGTAAGTTCAGCTCTCTCTCTTTCTCTCTCTCCCTCTCTCTCTCTCTGTTCTGTGTTGCGTTTGTTGCCGCCTGCATGAACAGGATCACTCAGGCTGAACATGGAGCCTATAGCCTGAATGCATATGTGTGTGTGAGAGTGTGTGGATGTGTGTGTGTGGAGAGAGGGGGTGAGAGAGAGAGTGAGAGGGAGAGAGAAGGCTGTGTGTATGTCCAATGCTGCTTTTGAAAAGAGAGCTTTTGCACCTGTGTTCCTCGCCTTTGTCCTTTTCGGTTAACTTTTCCTCGCTGGCTCCTTGTCCATCCACTTCTTCTCCTTCTCCTTCTCCGTCTATGGTGGACCTGTTATCTCTGCGAAAACCAACACATTTAACACCGATTGCGCAAGTGATGGAAGCAGGGGGATGTTGTTTTTTAGAGAGAGCAGACTTTACGTTTTAGCACACCGATAGCCTCGAGTATTTGGGCGTTTAACTTGAGCCAGATCCCTCTGTGAAAAGTAAGGGGAAGGTTAAGGCGCACGGGCGAGCTGCACCAGCGCTTTACGCACCTTCTTCTTAAGAGGCTGTAAAAGAATGTGTTTTTATGGTCGCTATTGCCGCCCATATGCAAAAAGTACATTCAGTCCTGTACTTGACTGCCAAACAGACGAGTTAAGAGGACGGGTGTGCTGCTGCAGGAGACGGAGGAGTGCATATAGCCCCGTTTTCGAGGCTCCAAAATGAGTTTTAACAGCGAGCAAACGACGTCGTGCGTCGCGTTTGGCTTTGAATCGTTTCTTCGAGGACGTCGATTTTCTCAAATTACTCTGACTTCCTGCTTCAGTGCGGCCGGTTTGATAGGCTGTGTTGGCAATTAGTGTTTGGCACATTCCTGACGGAGCTAGAAGCTGTGGAAAACGACCACCACGGGACATGAAAACAGCCAGGGTGAAGTTGACATTTACCCCTTTACTTGCATTGACCAAATCGAGTAAGAAACCTTCGATTTAAAACGAGAGGAATAAATGTTTCCTGTGCTCCTAATAAAGCCGTTAATTCCGTCAAACACTGAGTAAAAAAAGAGTTGATTAACGATTAGTCGATTAACAATGTAGTTTAATTAATCCTGAATGGTTTCGGTATCTAAGTAAATAAAAGTTGATTAACGATTAGTCGATCATTAGTGTAGTTTGATTAATCCTGAATGGTTTCTGTGTCTGTATGGAGTAAAAAGGTGTTGAGCAACGATTAGTCGATTATCAGTGTAGTTTGATTAATCCTGAATTGTTTGGTATCTGTATCTGAACTAAGTTAATAAAAGTTGATTAACGATTAGTCGATCATCAGTGTAGTTTAATTAATCCTGAATGGTTTCTGTATCTGTACCTGTTAGCAGAAATAAAAGATGTCCTAAATTTTAAACATGAGTTTTTACGCCTTTGTGTCTTCGGTGAAAGTGACTTTTTAGATTTTATCTGTTGGTAATGGGTTCTTTTTATTACTGTTTTCTTTCTTGTACTGATTAAATGATTAATCTGTGGCTTTTTTTGCCAGTTTGATGTTATGTTTTGTTTCATTTGGATTTTAAAATAAAGAGAAAAGGTGAAAAATAAACGAGCAGGAATTGCTTAAGTTTACTACCCTGCAGAAACATCACACAAAAAACCTTAAATATTATGAAAATGCTACCAGAAATGATTTTGCTTTAGAATTCATCCAAAGTAAAGTTAAAAATTTCTGTCACTTGACTAATAAATCAATTGTCCATTTGTAGTATCTCTTAAACTTTGCACTCTGCACTCTTTCATAGTAATTGCTGTGATTTTTCTCCTTGTGTTGTATCTGTGTGTGTTTGTGGTTGTTAGTTATGGTTGAGGTTTTACAGTAAAAGTTGTAGCAGCATAAGCATGCCTACAGCATGCACAGCCCCATTGAGAAATTCCTCACAGAGGACAGATGGAAAGGCAGCGTGCAGTACAGTAGATGTAGATTTTGGATGGTAGATTGAGTTGTGAATATCTGTGCTACTTTTAGTTGCTGGACACCACTCTCATGTTTCCCTGCGTTTGCCAGAGCCCTGTCTGTGTTCCGATCCACCGGGTGCCAAGGCTTATGTATAAGCAGTTCCCACGCCTGCTCTTGGAAAATGTCCTGTGTTATTCTGAGTTATCTTTTTAATAATACATTAAGCACTGATTGAAACTCACAGCGGTTATTGTTCAAAAAGAAAGGATTTGAAGTGGCATGACAAAGCATATTAAGGTAAAGATGATCGCTGCACTCCACTGCGTTGAGAAGAAGCATAGTTTTTCCACTTTTCAGTGCTCATGTCTGCAGCTCCTGATACTTAGGTTCTTCTCCTCTTTAAGCCCTTGAGGCCGCTCCTCCAGGCTTTGATGCCCGCACTCTTTGAAGCAGGTGGACAGACGCAGGCATGAGTAGCAGTGGGACCAAAGAGCCGTCTCCCCAGCCGAGCACTGCCCTGTCACCTCCTGAGCCTCAGCGCAGGGGCCGGGGCCGGCCACGCAAACAGCAACAGGTACAACTACTTAAGTCTAAGTGAGAGACATTTGGTTAGCCGCACACTGGACATTGGTGTGTCTGTGTCTCCTTGCTGCAGGATTTAATGCTTGTAACTGTTTAGGTTTTGCCTCCATATTTGATCCATCTTTCTCTACAGGAGCCTGTTGGCCCACCAACTCCAAAGCGACCGAGAGGACGGCCGAAGGGCAGCAAGAACAAAGGCCCCAAAACTGCACTGAAGGTTGTACCTGATCAAAGTATCTTGCATATCAAATTTTCATCTCAGTCTCGCATCATTTCAGGTCCACTGTTAATCACTCATCAGCCAAAGCTTGATTTATCAGGCTCAATCAGTGCTCAAATGTTGTAAAGATCAAATGTTGTAATGTTAAAAATGTATTATGAAATGGAAATCATCCAAAATGAATTTAGACGTATTTTTAACATCCAGCTTTAGTTGAAATAACCTCTACCTCAAATCTTATATGTTAATTACATACTGTAAATGATTTAAACAAGTTCGCTTTTCCTTTGTATCTGCATTAAATCAACTCAAAAGTTTTTAATGCAGCATAAAATGCATCAATTTATGTGTAGAATGCTAATAGTCAGTGGTTTAAAGGGCATGTATTAGGTGTAAACAGCAAAGATGAGGTGTTATTAAATCACTGCAACAGTTATGTCTCAGGCTGCAGCCTTGACTCAGAGATAGACTGGTCAGTGTAGAAACAGCTGTTGTCATTTGGAGGAGTGACTGAATAAGCCATGGAGAAAGTGGTCTGAAATGTTAGAGTACAGTGAAAGAAAATAAAGATTTAATGAACGCCACATTGACATTTATGCTGTATGTTTCACACATTTTTAATGCAGTGAGTTTCAGGGAAATGGTCACATCCCTCTTCATCAAATCTTTGAAGAGAATCTTTTAGCTACACAGATTAATGGATCATGTCTTATAAAATTTGGCATCAAAAGTGTATCAGGTAGTTTAAAATGAGCCTCACCTAACCAATCAAGATGCAGTAAAGTTGATTTGCTTCCATGTAAATGTATCTATGAAACAAAGTGGGTCATTTTAAGTGCTCCTGTCAAACTAAATTTATTAAAAAATGTTTGGAAAATAGCAATATTCACCAAATTATGTACAACCTTGCAAAAGTAGCTCAGAAATTTTTTAATTTTATTTATATTATCAACGAGTCTCATTGCTTCACTTTGCAAAGAAGGATCAACTTTGTCATGCAGCAGGTGCCCCAGTTTTCCATGTGTTGTGTCTGCAGCGACTGACCTCAAATTTACACTTTGCAACAGGTTTCTAGCAGTAATGAACTATTTTCCAGCACATCTTCAGAATCTTATAACATCTATCAGCTTTGCAACCCACTTGAAGTGCAGCTATGACTGCCCCAGTTTGTCAGAAATGCTGCTGCTCACAGAATTTTCATAGACTTTGTGAGTTCATTTGTTTTTATTCTCTAATTTTGTCAGACAGATTTTAGAGGGTAAAAGTTTTATTTGTCAATTCTGTAGGATTTCCATAAAAATCTAGATGTTTAAAGAAACTGCAAATGAATATGTAATCTGCAGTGGATACACAATAATGTGAATCAGACCTGTGCGTTAATGCAGTCAGGTTAGTTCTCTAAGCTTTATTAGTATAACCTCAGAAGCGATTAAACTGCTACATCAAATCAGTGCAAGATATCTAATGCATGTGTCAACACATTTCAGTGTATTTACACTATAATGTCAATATTGTTCTATTAACTGCTTAAAGCAGGTGTACTGTGACTATGATAGGGTTTTGTTTGGCTTTTGCATAGAAAGGATTTAAACAGCTTAACAAAGGCACATGCTGATGTTAAAATAAGGGATGATTTGGCCATGAAAACTTGGTTTCTGTGCCTGTTCATCACTGAGACTCATTGACAATGACTGAGCAAGACTTAAAATGAGGGTTTGTAAAATAAAAGCAAATTATTGCCATTTCTTTTTTCTCAAGTTTGAAGTAGTAAACTTATGGACTGTCCTTGTAAGTCTGCAGAAGTTAAGAATTTGAAAATGGTCTCTAAAAAAAGTCTTATATCCAAATGTAAACTTATGAACCCCTAAATTTAGTTTGTGATCAATTTGACAAGTAAAACTCTGACACTTCCTTTAACTTTTTTTGTGCTCTTTCTTAGAAAGTAGAGCCTGTTGGGAAACGACCACGTGGGCGACCGAGGAAATGGGTATGGAGCAGTCGTTGACAGTTAGAGACATAATGGAGTTAATTGTAGATGTATGTGTGAGGCCTCCAGAGTGTCTGCTGGAGTCTGTGCAGTCTTTTAGGGCAGCTCTTCCTTCAGGTTTAATTAATTCTGTTCTCTTTCTGTCCGCAGCCCCAGAAAGTAGCTCAAGAAGTGACTGAAGAGCAGCAGGTGAGGAAAACCAAATCTTTAACGGGTAGTAGGGTGGTCCAGTTTTGGTTTTCATGTGGTGTTTCAGGTTTCTACGACAGAAAAACAACCCTGGTTTTGCATATATGGTTGTGTGGTTCAAATGAATGAAATAAGGATGATGTATAATATAAACAGAATATATCTTTAAAACTTCTGAAAACAAGCTGAACTCGCACCTTTGAACCTTTGTAGACATTCAATGCTTTTCACCTCTCATCATGACCTCTTTTATTTTGCACTAAACTGAAGCTAACATCATTTTGAGCTTGCATGACTGAGAGGAGACGAAGCGCTGATTCAGTTAAACAGAAATCTCATTTTGTGTCACACCTAATATGACTCACATTCATGAGATGTCTCATTTGACTCTCCGTGAGTTTAATAAGTATCAAAACCTAAACTGTACATGAAAACCCTTCAGTTATTGTGCTCAGGTAACAAACAAACAACGACCTTCATGAGTCAAGTTGCTCCACTTCTTTGTACTTTGATTTTTCACTCAGTTTCCAACTCATGAAACATGCTACCAGAGAAGATTTTTAAATAACAAACCCAGACTTAGTGATGATATAAAAGCCAAGGTCAGCCCTCTTGTCTTTTTTCTTTGCCAGTATCTTAAGACCACAAGTTAAATATTTAATTTACTCTCAAGACAAAGAGAGTCATCTCAAGATAAAGACTTGATATGATGAGAAAACAGGAGTTTCTTTAATGTTTATAATGTAAAAAGGAATCAGGGTTGCCAGGGATACACAAGGGTGTTTACTGTTTATTGTGACTGATTTCTGCCGAATATGCTAACCTAAGGACAACATAATACTGATCTACATATCTGAATGTAGTTTAAAATAAAGGCAGAATATTCAGTTTTGATATTTGGGGAAATTAAGTTTTTCTATCTTGAAATAATATAAATAATTGACCCGTGCTCTGGAGATAACCACATCAAAACTTGCGTGTTAGCACTGCTGCACAGAGGGAGATAAAATACTTCATACTAAAATCTTAAAAAGGAACACAATAAAGTTAAACCCTCATGAAGTGATTATGTGAAGTGAAATGTACAGAACTCTGTTTTCTGGCTTTAATGAAAGCAGTTATGAAGGACGAGAAACTTGAGGAGAGAACGAAGACTCAAAATGAAAGTCTCACAACAACCTGAAGCTTTACAAAGATCTCAGGTTGGTAGGTTAAGATTCAATAGTCGATGCAATATCATCTGTACAAATCCTGATAAGACTTAGATAAAATCATTCACTCTTAACGATTCGACACGTTTTGGTGATAACATCCAGATCCAACACATTTTTAAATCCCTCTATATGAACTGTTCATTCGTAAGTTTATCTAGTAACGGAGTAGGATGTGACTCTGTCTTCCCTTAAGGCAAATTTGCAATAGCCATTTTATTTAAAGAGTCTAGCATGTCTTAGTAGAAAACCAGTAGTTAAAACTCATCTAGCTGTTGTTTAAACTATTCCAGCTCCAGCAAACTAACAAACACATCATTGCGTTGAATTCAACATAGAGAGCGACTACTGGAAAGCCTCCGTCCTCAGACTGTCAGGATGATGATGATGATGCCCCTCTGACCTCTAGATGCTCAGCCTTGTCTAACACTTTCTAAAACACGTTTTTTCTTCTGCCCTGCACATCAAACACTTGTATTTATGTTTATATTAAGAGCCACTGGAAAACTGCTTAAATTTCTGCCACTTCCACACATTTAACTGTTTGTAACGACACGACCGATGCACATACTCTGCATGAAGGCTTCTTGGAAATGCACAGATCGCGTGGCTGAATTTCCCAGTTACACCTCTTTACATTCTTTCATGACATCCAGTTTTTGTGATTTACTGTTCACCCATATTGTTTCTGAGAAAACCTCGCCTCTCGAAGCCATCTTGTTCGTTTTCAAACACAAACATTGCGAAACGGCTCGTCTACCAAAGCGAGCAGTCGTCTCGATGCCCCTCGTTTGCCTTATCGCATCCTCTGAGCAGTTAGAAAAAGATGCTTCAAGAACTGAAACCGTTGAGACAGACTCCCTTTTCTCAGACACACGCACACGAAGGGGAAGAATGAGTCAATATAGAGAGGGGAAACCTGATCTAACTGTTCTCTTCCTCTGTCTTCTTGGTTTCCTGACATAACCGTCATCTTCCTTACATTTTCAAGGTCTGACAGCTGGACCGACTTCCCCACACGCTATCTCAAGAAATTTCGACACTCATTCTTGTATTCATGCGTCTTTTCTACGTTTCATTCATTAACTCTGCACAATGAGTCACAAAACCAAAGCAGACAGAGTCACACCAGGGTTTTGGTCGTTTCAGGGTCCTTCAGAGGAGGCTGAGGAGGGTCCGTCACAGCTTGAGCCCTCGTCATCTCAGGTTGCAGAGCAGGAGGAAGGGGAGTAGATAGGACGCCTCTCTACCTACCTCAAGGTTTGGCCTCAAACAAACGGGGGTTCAGTGTGACTCCTATCTGTGATGGGGATTCAGGAACACACACATACACACACAAACACAATAACACATCTCCAAATCACTGCAGGCAGTAGTTTCTTCTCCCAATCCAGTATTGTACTTGGTTCACTGTAAGAGTTTGGTTTAGCCTTTGAAGAATACGATCAGTGGGTATGGCCTTTTTCATGAAATTTCAACATCTTGAGAAATGCTTTTTTATGCTTTCCTGCCAAAAGTCTAAAGAGTACTTTGAAACCAATTTATACCCGAAACATTAAGCTACTCTCAGCTGCTGGTTAGCTTAGCCTATCTTGAAGAAACGGAGGGAAACACAGCCTAGCTTTGCCTATGCTAACGAAAATTGCCAAGCATCTCTGAAGCTCACGCTGTGGCACATCGTATCTCATATATTTTCAGTACAGAAAACAGTTCACTGAGACTGACTGTCTAACATTTCTGACAGCTATCACATGACTTTGAAGTTTATAGGTGCTGGAGGTTAATAATGGTTTATTTTGGTCAAAGCAAGGCAGCTGTGTCTTGTCTGGTTGCTGAGCTAGGCTAAGCTAAACAAAGCTAACACCTTGGACGTTTTTTTAAAAGTTGCGATAACCATATCTCAGTGCATTTCTTATTTGTTGTCGAAACCAACAAAGAAGAATGAGAGCAGCTAGCATGATTGTTGTAAAGAAAACTCCTTCCATCATCGACCCACTGGGCAATGCGACGTCTAAATGACATCTATTTAACGTATTTTTTCGACAATGAGGTACAAATGTGGACGTCATTTCAACGCCTAAAAGAGGTCCAATAATGATGTCTAAATCTTGGATCTATTTTGCCCATCGTGCCGACGTCTAGATTTGGTCTTCAGATGACGTCCAAATTCTAAATATCAGAGCAACGTCTAAAAAAGGACCAATTTGGACGTTGAAATTTCTAACCTATGTTGAACGTCGCACTTACATCTAAATGTGGTCTTTGACGGACCGACCCAATACTGATTTGATCTGCACGTCTCTTTGACGTCCGATGTTTTACAGTGCAGTAAACTCACTCTGTACATTTATGAACCACTGGACAAGGGTTCAAAAAGACAAATGACATCAAAGATTTATGATTGGCAGTGTTAAGAGTGTGCCCGCAAAAATGCTAGGCACCTCAGGCATCTGAAGCGTGAGTGAAAATGAGTTTTGCTGCAACGAAAAGCAGTCTAAAGGAGGCCCAACTTGAGACAAGAAAGCTTAGAGGAGTATTTCCCAAAATGTTCAGCTTTTCTTTTATGGACTCCTGCTTCCCTCAACCTCTCACTGGTCATGTGAGTGTGTGTGCGTACATGTGCGTGCGTGTGTGTTTGTGGCGACTGAGTGGAGAGGGGAAAGGGTTGCAGGCTAAATGAGAGGGGCGTTAAAGTGAGATTTCAAACTTAACTGTTCTATCAAAACATGTTTCTTTATCGAGTTTTATGAATCCTCGTGTGAAATGGGAGCAAGAAAGCGACATTTTTGATCAATGTTACGTTAAAAACATGGTGCTCTGAAGTAATTGTTATGAAAACATACATGAAAGGTTTGATTCCAAAATGATATATCTGCTTCAAGAGGAGAGTCTCTGTTTTTTTTGCTTCATGTAAAGAAGTGTATTAGGATTACTTCATATCAAATGTCAGTCAAAGAAAGAACAGTATCCAGGTTTTTTTTTTTTTTCCTTCAAACAAGCAGCTTTTTATTTTTTGTACTCAACACCAAAAGTTTTGCTCGATGTCTCATTTTGGAAAGAAACCGTTCATTTATCAACTCAACAACAGTGTTGATGCGTCAGTTTTACCACACTCAGGTTTTTACTATTACAGTGCTTTTACACCATATTGAAACCTCAGGTACAAAGCTATTCAGGAACATGTTGTCAGTCTACTCAGTAATAATTATTGTGCTGTGTTTGTTGTGCATTTCTGACCTGTATTTGACATTACCAGTATGCCTTGACACAAAGACCTCATTTAAACCTGTTGCCCTCAGTTTCTTAATATCTCATTCTACCTCAGTAACACAAAAGACAGAAGATCTCCATCAAAGTAAAGCACCACTCCCTCAGCAGCAGCTACACACACACATACACACACACACAGGGTTACGCACGGATGTACAACACGGACAGGCAAAGGGTTTTAAGGCTTTCATACACACGCAGAAGCAGACGGTACACTCCAGCAGAGGATTGTACTACCAGTGTACAAATGAAAGTGTCTTTTCTTAGAAAACAAAAACTGTATTTGTTTAAAGCTGAAGTGAGGCTCAGATTGTTCTCTTGGGAAATAAAAATGCAGCCGATAGTTTACAACAACTTGATGAAATACTTGCTTTTTAGGGTGTAGTTTCCTTATGAAATAATTTTTTTTTGTTTGTTTGTTTTGGGTCGCTTACTCCTATCTCATTTTTACTACATCATGTATTTTCTGATTCTTACACTGTAAATTGTATTGTGTGACACTCTTAATTCATGTGATTTTAAAGAAAGGGCAGCAAGTAATCAAACAGTGCTGAAATACATGACACAAAGGGAAAAACCACAAGACATAATTATCCACAGTCAACTTCAATCGTGAATTCATCAATCGATGCTGAACACGTAATCAGTGGCGCCCTTTGTTTGAGCAACTTTTAAAGTGAAATAAAGACTCAAAGCTCCTGTGAGGAACTTCCAGTTTGTGTTGATTTTGGTGCTGCCTGTAGACAAAGTGGTTCCTCTGATATCTTTGCTGATTTTGCCTTTTATATGTGAGAGTTGTGTATTGAAAAGCCGTGTTTCCACCAAGCAGTCCGGCCTGGTTTGGTTTGGCATTTTTGCATTTCCAAGTTGGGAAAGGTACCACAATAATCCATCTGTATTATCTTCAAATCATTTACTCAATAAATTATGTCTCCCTGTTACGTTATTCATTTCGAGATGCTTTTGGGTGTTAAATTTGCGTCAGGGGTTTCTCTTATTAGGAATTGATCTTTCAGTGAGAGGGCACAGAGATGACAGAAGACTTATTAATTGTAACTTGATGATGTTTAGTAAATAACTTTATCTACCTGCAGGCATCCTGATTCGTAGCAACTTTTTTTCCCCATATAAAGTCACCATAAGCTCAAGTAAAGAGCTGTGCATATTATTTTATTAACCAAATAACTGTCCTGGACACAACTTCAAAATCATGGCGCTGTGTAGAAACAAGGGAAATCTGAAAAAATAAAACCACATAAGAAGCTACATTTTTCATTCTACAGGCTTAAATTTAGTCGAACAAAGCCAGTTTAGGGGGGAAAAATCATCAAATCTTCTAATCTCTGAGTATTTGGGTGTTTGAGACGCATACGACTAGCTGTCTGATGGTCTTATCTGTAAACATGCACACTGAAATGAAAATCAAGTCTTTCTGGAGCTGTCAAGCAGCCAGCACACACTTCCTGTGTGATGCTCCCAAGGGTAACATTGGCAAGATCGGAGTTTCAAACTGTATTGAACCAAACCGGACTGCTTGGTAGACACAAAAAAATCTCAAAAAAGTTTATTTCTGTAACATCATTTTTGGTCATTTGCATATCTACTCTGGTCCTCGTGTCAATTATGGTGTCCTGAAAGGTTAACAAGGCAGTTTTATATACATGCAGTGAATCTATTACTGATGCCTACCCCTCATCTATAAGAGACATAACAGTTAACTGTGTGGAAATCGTCAATCTTAATTCCAGTGGCCTAATTTGTTTTTGTTTCTTATGAAGAGGCTTCAGTTTTAAATTCAGTCTGTTTTGCAACCAGCTGAAAACTCCTCGCAGGAGCTTTAAGTTTTTCCCTCCTTTCCTGTGCAGATGTAAAAGTTAGGCTAACAACTTTTGTCAAACACTGACAACTGTGACGACTATTTGAACGCAATCACGTAGTAAGTAGAAGTTGTTAAGTCAGTGTACCGACTCAGTATCTTTGTTTATTAAGGAGCATTTATCTGGAGTTTTTTTTTATATTAGCTAACATGTTTCCTGTCACAGTCCACAGAGTGAGTGACACTGTAGAGGGAACTTGAAATAAGTTTTTTGTTAATGCTTATTAATTCTATGTTGTGTGTCTCTTCTTCTTTCCAAAGCTACGCTGTCTTTTTAATCGGTTTTTGATATGATACGTGATTCAAACCAAACCGTCTTAATTACACTTTGAAGAACAACATGGCATCATATGGACACATCTTTAATCCAAAATACTGAGTATCAGCTGCAACAGTTCTTAAGATGCCATCCTAGCATATCTGATTGCTGATCAATAATATAGGTTTATACTGAGATGCTACCTTTTGTTTTCCAGTTACAATGAGTTGATTACAACGAGGGCAGATGGTTTTGGGTTTTTTTTCACTCAGGTTTACACACATGTTTCTAAGATCGCTGTTGACCCTTAATGTAAATGAGTGAAATTTTCTTAGTGGTCAAACTGTTGTGATCATGGTGCTAATAAGAAAATCAGAACTATCTACATGTTTGTAAAAATGGGAGAAGCTACACAAAAGGCTTGATTCTTTAAACCTTTCAACTGAATGAATCTATTAAGACTTAGCGTAATAAGTTAACCTTCATACTGTTCTTGTGAAGTGAATTTAGGTAGAGAGGTTTTCAGCCTCCACTTAGTTTCTATCCTAACCTGAACCCTGACCCTAAAAAAACTCTTTCAAGGGTTCGTCGAGTATGTTTCCTTTTCCTCAAAGTAACCGTCTATTGCTAATACTTCAATTTCCTTGTTTCGGCCCCTTTGCCATTATTCATGATAAACATTTATACGACTTGAGCTACATATCACTCATTATTTTTTTATTATATGACTTGAATACCATTGATATTTTACTGTATGTATGAAATTTTTCTTCCATTTTAAACTTGGTTATTTTATCACTGATGATCTGTGTATCCCATCAAATGTATGTATTTCAGCATTGTTGACATAAATTGCTGCCATAAAACATTTAAAGACAGATATATATATATTTTTTGATCAGCTGTATTGACTTTGCTTTGTTTTGCCCTCTGGACTACCTCTGAAAACTAAGCCGGGGACATATCTAAGGAAAGTTATGGATGTTATACTTACCCTACAGGCCATGTGGATCATGAAGTCTTTAAGAAAAAGGTCAAACTAGTACTGTTGTAGTCCACTCATCTCATCGCACTACATTCATATGACCAGAATGAATGGAAGTCAGCCTGTAGGGTGCCTCTTAATGAAACTACAGCTGAGACGATGTCTGTTATTGTACACAAGCTGTGTCTGGATATTTACTCTCTATTATGGGGACAATGTTGTTCTGTGATCTTACTGATAGTGATATACTTACATACAGTACTTGATCCATCTTCAACTATTGAAAAGTTGAAGTGTAACTTGAGAAAAAAAATCATCTTTTATGCCTTACTTTTAACACCATTTTGTAGTTATGTTATTGATGTGTCCTCATCCACTTCATTAATACAACTCACAAACCTGTGATATATATTTTGTTATGATTCTTTACCATGTGATTTGTGTTATTCTGCTTCTTTTATCGCTTATCAATAAAATATCACCCTTACCACCTCGTCTTTGTCACATTTGTACGACACAACTCCCCTTTTTTAAAATTGGTTTAAATACTTTTAATGTATACGGACGGAAACAATCGTTCGTTACTCGAAAAGAAGAAACAAAAAAAAACAGAGGAACAGTTAAGTGGAGGATGGTAACACATCCAGTGTTTAAGCTTGTCAGAGATGTAAAACCACACAATCAGTTGAACACAAATTTACACTTCTCTCTTATCAAACACAGAAGTAGATACTGAAGCTCCGGAGAACTTCACTGACCAGCTACCAAACAGTTGAACAGCAATAATAACACAACATGATTCAGAAAAGTGCATCACACTGCATCAGTGTGCCACATGGTAACAGTGCAAGATCAAATGTGATGCTTCCCATTATGCTCCTTAATCATACATGCACAAGTTTTTTAATTATTGAAAACCGCTGCCATTTTGCATTCTGTCACATAGAAATGAAGTGTTTACATCAGCTCTGGTTAGTCCCAAAGAACAGTCCGGTTTCCCTTTGTTTTCCTTCCTGAGCGACAGTCTGTATATGTCCAAGAGGCCAGTGGGCCCCGCGGGTTGAAATCAACTAATAAAAGAGAGCTGTTAAGCATTGAGAGCTTTGGCTACATCTGTGAAGACCAGACGACTGGGCCTCTGTGTGGTCCCCTGGGAGGTTGTGAGAGTCTGCAGAAGAGACGGGCGGCAGGACGGAAAGAAGATAAAGCTGTTAGTGTCAAAAGACCTCATGGTGACTTAAGCACCAGACTTACAGAAGCTGTGATTACATTTCATTGCAGAGAATTACTCTGTTATGTTGCTCAGAATACATCTAGTTTAAGTTATCGCTCAAAGATCTCAAATTTGATGGAAGACAGGAGACCAGGGACCACATGTTTACAAACAGTTAGAGTACTTCTGTGCGCTCTGCAAGAAATTCATACCAATTACAAATTTCAGAATAAAATAAATGGTTTAGTCATTTGTGTAATGTTTAAAGAAATTTGTGACTATGGTCTGCTTCTTGACTTTAAAGTGGGGTTTCTCATTTTTGTTTTCAAAATTGCATGAGTTTTATCTCGACCTACTTTGCAAAAAAATAAAAATAAAATATTCTGATAATGCTAATGATAAAACAACTCTCATCTAACAATGACAAAGTTCAAGTACTTTTCATCCTGGTTGTACCCTGGATGCTTTTAATCATTGACGGGGCATGTCTTAAACACTTTACTAAGATATTAATGAATGAAAAAGATCCCAAAATGCGATATTGTGCCCACTTTTGTGCACATGTGAGCCCTGGAATAAGTTCAAGTTTTGAATCCAGAGGGAAAAAAGGAAACACTACAAGTCGATGAAGGATGAATGTTCAAAGATAAAGTCTTAGTTATGAAAAAATGCATTTATGTTTTAATTTACCCTTGTAGTAATTGCTCTAAATTCTGAAATAATGACAGTATGAAAGGATGAAGATTGTGGGAGGAAAGGTTTAGTGAAATGATGTTCAAAAGAACCACAAGTGATACTTTACCATGCTTGTCTGTACCACTATGCCATTGTCAAAACTTAAAAGAAATAAAAGAAAATAAAAACACATTATGACAGTGATAGCTTTACAGCCAACAAAAACACTAAATCAATGGACAGCAAGATGCACCTTGAAATGGGAAAAAAGTGCATGTTGAATCTACCCATAGACAAGTACAAAACACTCAACGCAAATCAGTTCAGTGTGTTCAAAATGACTCTAAATAAGTTTTTTAAACGTATGACTGAGAAAGACTTTTATAGAATATTAACTATGGTAATGATGGATTCAGAAAAGCATTCACTGTTCTTGGTTTTAATCAGGGTTATTTCATTCAAGATGAGACAATGTCTGCAGAGAAAAGCATCTGTGTCAAGACGAAGACCTGAGGGCCTACCTTGGCATTGGGACCTGTGAGGCTGCCGTCCCGCCCGTGGTCGAGAAGTTCCTGTTCCAGCAGGTCATCTTGTTCTTCGGCTGGGTCAAAGTTGTACATGGGCATGAGCTGGTGCCTCAACTTCTCCAACCTTGCATGACAAGAGGTCAGAGATGAACACTTTTCAGCAGTTTTGACAGAAGAAATAATACAAGGTTACCTAGTGGGTTTGAAATGGGCATAAATTCACTTGCCCCCTTTAAATCCTCCACCTAGTACTCTCAGTGCAACATGTATGAACCCTATTGTCTCTTGTGCTGCCTTGAGATGCTGATTCTTGAGCTGAGTTAGTTTGTGTAACATGTTCATATGGACACAGTGCAGACTAAAAAAGTAACCTTATCAAAAAGGTTCTTCTTCAAAGTATTAAAAATAATCTTTAGAGATAATAATTGGATATTTTGAACCTAAAATGAGAAGAGGAATCTTAAAAGTGGATTAAAGCATATCTGGAAAAATATCTAGACTCACAATATATCTTTTATCTTTAAACCCACATCTTACACATGTAGTGGAATAACTTTTAAGGAGCATTGCTTGCATAGTTTTGTTAGCTTGCTAGCCTGTAACAGGCAGGGGCTGACTATGCATAAGTAGTTTTAAACCTATTTAATTGGTGCTACATTGTTTCTAACTTTGGTTGTATTTTCTACATGTTATCATGAGGCTACAGAGTATTATTCACACCACCATGTTCACTATGCTATTGCAAACTCATGCACTTTGTTTTGATACTACTCTGTCACTGCTGGAGCTTTTAAGTTTGCTGATTATGTTGTGCAAAAGAGTGTGATTGGTTTTTAAATCTGTTACATAACACAGTTAGCTGAATAATTTGTATGTTTTAAACAAAGAGTATAATGTGACAACTACACTCTGGAACATAAGTTTACATATCACAGCATTTGAAGTAAGATACTTTAAAGAGGTGTAAATACAGGGGAAAACATTTTTTTAAAGAGGGGGCTTGAATACTTTATGTGATCTGTAGTATTTTGGGGGCTCTCAGCCTAGTTGTAGTGACAGTAAATAAAATAGATGAGACTTACCGCTTCCGTTTCCGAATATACAGCATCTAGGATAAAATTAAGAGAAAACAATGAGAAGAAATATTTTTAAACTTGTTAACTTGTTCAAAAGATAATTTAAGTTTGCTAAAGTCTGATAAGTGTTAATTATAATCTATGAAATGCAACAGAAAAAGACATTCAGGTGAATTCAGAGGAACCCACTTCTACTGGGTCAAACAGCAAACTACAGATGATATTTGAACCACTCCTTACGATTGCCACTGCTAAGCCGATAACAGTGATGATGCCGAATGGTACAAGCACCATTCCCATTCCCGAGCCCTCGACCACGGTTTCTGGAAAGGATGTGGCATTGAAGCTGGTTTCATTTGTTGTTATAGTAACAGTCATTAATGTCGTCCTGGTCGTGATGTTGTCTTTGGCGCTCACAGCCGTGGAGAGGAGGGAGGGGATTGTGGTGGTGGTGGCCGTGGAAGTTGTGGAGAGAAAACTTGAGGTTGTCTTTGCTGCAGTTACAGCCATGGTCAGGTGTAACCGTTTCAACTGAAGGATGTGTTCCCAACCTGTGTGTATATGTGTGCGTGTGTGTGTGGATTATGGTAGTGTTTCTCAGCTTTCAGTGCATCTCATGGTGGACGCAGCTGTCTTCCCTCTGGTTTGAGGTCTGCAGAGGCTCCGGTAATGTTTTGTCCATAAGATCAGGAGAACTCCGCTGAAACGAAAGACAAATAATGCATGTTTCATGAATGGTTTGCTGATTATTTTAGCTTTTTATGTAGCAAAATAAAGAAGAGTTTACTGCTGAACCTGGCATAAAACTCAAGATGCCTTTTATTTTGACATTAACAATAATTAAGTACTTTATTACTGCATGAAAAACGCAGTGAAAACACAAAGATGCATCTTAAGCTCAATAACAGTTTTAAGCAAATAGAAGTGAGGATAAATTTTTTTTACAAATCCTTATAAATTGCCCAAATGTGCCAAAGTATCACAGCGTTATCCATGTAAATATTTCAGTGAGAAAATGTAGTAAAAACATCCATTTTGGCAGAGCCCACCATCCTTTCTTTCAAACCTTGGCAGACAGTGCCAGTAAGGTTGCGGTGGGTGTTTGGGGCAGGATGTGGGTAGCAAAGACACAGAAGGAAAGTGGCATAACAAACTTGATATAATACCGAGGAATAGTAACCACCAAAACTGCAACATGCACTGTGAGGAAATGTGTTGGCAGCTCGTTCTACGTCAAAATCCAACCCACACACACGCACTCTACCTTACACACTCTGCTTCCATAAATATCCACTGCATCCAAGTGATGGGTGCGTGAACCTCCGGCCCACACACATCCCATGAGAGTGAAGAGCAACGTTTACATATATGAGGAGTTTGAGAACATGAATGTGCTTTTTATTTTTAAAACTGTAATATATGGTGGCTCAGGAAGCTAGTGAAAATAGACACATGAGCCATTCCTCTCCCCTTAGTGCATCCTGTCTGCTTGTGCTCCTAATGAGGAACATGTGCAGCTGAGGCAAACAACCAATGAAAAGCAAAGGCTGGATTTAGCCATTGCTGTTGTCTGGTTAACAGTCCATGCACTGCAAAAGAGACAAAGCCTGCACCGTTTCCCACTCTGCATCTTTTGTTTTTATCATATTAGGGTTCTATTTGTGTGTGTGTGATACTGATACTCAACGTGTTATTTTTAGTGAAGAGGTTCTGTCTCTCAGCTGTCCTGCAAAGACAGCTGATCCATAATCCTGCCAACGTGACCAGTGCGTCCTCTCAGATTAGAGATGCATACGTACCTCAACATACAACATGCATGACTTGAGAGGTGAGCTGCTGCTGCTGCTGCTGCTGCAGGCAGGCCGGGGCTAGCTGGAAAAGGGAAAATGTCATTGGAAGAGGCAGCATTTCCTCCAGCGGCTGCCCCTCCTCCTCCTCCTCTTCTTCTTCTTCTTCCTCCTCCTCCCCCTCTTCTGTTCCCCCCTTTAGCAATGCAGGTAAAGCTCAGGCTGTTTACATAGAAGAAACAGCCATTTTCTCTGAAGATAACCTCCACATACCAGAGTATCCCTATCCCGACAGGCTCAGAGAGATCCCTATCCCGGTCTCCGGTTGCCTCTTGGCTGATACCGCCCCCGTCTTGCCCTTTCTTGTATTTCACACAACAGAAGCTGCTCTAGAGATGCTGCAAACAAGAGATCCGTGAGGTTAAGTCCCGCCCCCTCCGCGCCGCTGATTGGTCTAAAGGTCTGAGGATGATGCACGCTGTTGGCTCTCTGACCTGTCCGTTCGGCTTTGCAGGGGTAAAAATGGGATTTAATGGTTCTGTTCAGCAGATGCTGTCAGGCCCATGTGGATGACTGCATCCGGGTGGCAGGTCTGCCGAAGTTAACCCTGTGATATCTTCTTATTCAAACTACTATGACCTGAATTTGTAGTTGAAGACTTTATAAACAATGTAGAATTGAAAAAAGAATCACTGACAGATCTCAGATTTTCTTTGAGAAGGATATGTGCAGTGTGTCACAGATAACAGTCTCCAATCTCCAAGACTGTACATCTAGAAATATGTTAAAAATAAAGTTATTAATGGTCTAGATAAAGTATTTTATGAAACCAAATAGCAACAGCTTCAAGTCAATTTTTTTTATAAAGCACCTTTAAAAGACAGCAGTCAAACAAAGTGCTGTACATGGGATAAATAAAAGAAGTAAATACATAGATAGATAACAATAAAAAATTAAATTACAGACAGTAAAAGAATAAAAGCTACAGTGCCTCTGATTCCTGTGTGCTCATTTATTAAAAGGTGGGTCTTTAAATATGATTTAAAAGACCCGAAGGTCTGAGAGGCTCTAATATGGTCAGGTAAACTTCAAACTACAAATATCTAACTTTTAATTAGTAACACATTTGATCAATATACAGATGTACAATTGACCCCTTATTGTTTTCTTTAGACATATAAACTAGTCATTGAAAAATGACCTTTTTTCTCAAAAAATACGAAATTCATTTGTCACAGAAAAAAATGTCACAATAAGAAACATACAGAATCTTTATTCATTTTAGTTCTTACATAAAGTAAACATTGGAGAGGTTTTCAGAGTCAAAACAAAACTTACAAGAACATAACTTTTTAAGATTAATATCCTTTACTGATAGCAGTAGAGTTCATTATGTATAAAGAAATGTTTTTCTCCACTATTCACAAGATTTATTGTTAAAGTGCATGCTGATAAAAGGCATTTAAAACACCCTGAAATATTCTTATTAATAGCATTAGTTGAACATCAATGATAGTACAATGAAAAATGTTCATTTTATGTATATAAACTCACAAGAAACTTGGTGCCAACTTGTGGACTTAAATGAATTTAGTAAAAAGCTTTTCAGTGATTCCTTTTTGTTTGTTTATTTATTCATTTAAATTATCTATTTGTGCATTTATTGATTACAACTTACGTACTGTTTTTGAGATTGTTCAGTTTTTACAAAACTTTTTGAAGCTTTACTGCAATCAAAAATCATTGTTTATCATTTCTTATGTCAAAACTATTTAGTGAGTCACAAAATACTGAATGGTGAACTCAACAGTTGGAAAAGGTGGCCCAATTTCTATTTTTCACCTTCCTCGAAAACAAATAGCTAATCAATTATAATTGTGACATTTACATGTAATGGAAAAATATAACCCATTATGCTTGACACAGGTCCTCAGTTTCCCAAATATCACATTTTCTATTTTAACCACTTTTTAGGCAATGAAAGGTTTTGTCAGATTGAAGATCTGTTTTGAAATAGTCTCTAAAAATCACACAGCTAATAATTCATAACAAATTTATTGCATGAATTTTTTAATGAAGATTCTGTACCTCCAAAAAAAGTTAACTCTAAATTAGTGAGTAGTTCATTGCAAATAAATGGTTATGTGTCTTTATAATACAGCAAAGGGAAAAAGTCAATTTATAGATTTGTTAGTTTAATGAATCAAGTCAAGAGATATTGACCAAAGAAAATGGATATAAAGCTATCACAAACTGTACATAATGTTTCTGCAGTGTTTCAGTAACAGATGAAGAGATGAAGAACATAAAAATTATGTAAAGAGAACCTTGTACAGGTTCTCCTTATATTTTCTGCACCTGTTAAAAATACTTTACTGTGAAGTCTTCACTGTAAAGACTAAACTGAGAATTAAAATGTGAAGTTTAATGTTGACACCACAAGAATATCATTACCACGGGGGCACTACCAACCAAAACCAAGGGACTATTTTTTTAAGCCGTGTAAATTGAACATTTAAAATCAATAAAATTATTTCTAAATCAATACCTAAAAAGAACTTGTAATAAGTGAGGTAATGTACAGTCCAGTTCTGTGAAGTAGAATCTCCAAGACCCTAGCAAGGTCTTGTCTCACACTTTTATGATTCGATGCATGTGTATTTATTTATGTACATTTGTATGCTTTAAGCTTTAAAAAGTTTCTCATCTACAATATATACAATAAATGTGTTTTGGATGGTTTCAACATATATATATTCTCATCTTTAATAATGATAATTAACATGTCTTAGATCTTAAAGGACCGCTTTGCTGTCTGAATAAATAAATGATTAATTTTCACTATTATTATAATTGCTGTAACCCTTAGACCAAATGTTAACTGTTCCAATCTGCCACTAATATTAAATGCATAACTGCATCAAAATAGAGTTGCACCTTTCTCAGGTTGATCATAGTCTTTAACTTTGCACCATCACATCACTTCAATTAAACATACATTTGCCTTCATTTGTCAATCATAATTAATCATTTACACAAAATTACATAATTTGTTTGCAGTAGTGTAAAGCAATTTTGAGTTAGGGTTATTTGATAGAACAGCTGGAGAGAGACAGGAAATGTGGGAAGTAGAGAGTGGGGGAGGACATGCAGTAAATGATTAGAGCCGGTATTCAAACCAGCAATAAGAACTACTGCCTCTACATGGGGCGCATGCTTTAACTGCAAGGCCACACAATACCCGTGTTGTTTAGTTTCATCGAGATGGAGTTCACAAATTGAGATTAATTTTAATGGCAATGCAGAAATGAAAACAATGCTTCGAAATTGTCAGACTTAAATCATGTACACCACAACCTTTGCTGCAATAAACAATAAAAATCTGTATTTCAATTGTGTCACTGAAAAATAACTTATGGTCCTCATTTTCATCACTGTCCTTAAAAAGGGGTGTTTTTCATAATGGTTGTGGTTGTGTGGCTGCATGTGGGTGGGGTAGAGGGTGCTACTGTTATATCACACATGGAAAAACACTGACACCTAGTGATAAGAGAGGGAACCTGCACTAAAAAAAAACTGCAGAATTAGATAATCTGCTTTTTCACGCATTTAGCAAAAAGCTGCAATTTGGATTGCACCTAGTGAAGCCTGATTTCACACAGATTTTAAATGAGCAACAAAGGGCATTTTTCAAGATTGTTAAAAGATATATTTTTTGTACGTTCATTAGAAAAAAAGAGTTAAGAGCCACTAAATAAACCATCCAAGCACTCTATTTACATACTTGGTTCAGGTTAGACTTTGGGGCAGATAAAGCACCTTTATCCATCCTCACTTCTTAAAATATATGGAAAACATCGCTTGAAGGTATTTTGAAGGAAAGGGAGGCCAAATTCATTTACAGGTGAAGGTCATGAAAAAGATTGTGTTTATTTAAACCCTTGTACTGCAGTGGGGCTTCTTTACCATGAATGACTGCATCAGTGTGTCAGGGAGACCCTTTACCTGCAGCTCTAAGCTCTGCTTATTGATGCTCAGATTGCTTTGATAGTGGTCTTCAGCTGGTCTGTACTTTTGGGTTGGCTGTTTCTTCCTTTAGACAAATCTCCATTAGATCCTTTATGGGGTTAACCTCAGGCCGGTTGGCTGGACAATCAAGCATAGTGATATCATGGTCAGTAAGGCATTTGGCAGAAGTTTTGGTGCTGTGGGTAGCTGCGCTTTAACTCAGCATCTCCATAAAGCTGGTCAGCAGACTGAAGCTAGTGTGCTCACCAATTCCCCGGTAGACTTTGGACTTGCTAAAACACAGAAGAAACACAAGCCAATGACACAGCACCCGAAATCAACACAGACTGGTGAAACTTCTCACTGGACTTCAGGCAGCTTGGATTCTGGGCCTTTTCACTCTTCATTCAGACTCAAATACCTTGAATTTCAGATAAATTGCTAAATTGACTTTCATTTGGAAAGAGAACTTGGGTCCATTGAGCCACAATTTCGTTTTTTTTCTTCACCCAGGCAAGACTTTTCTCATGTAGTCTCTGGTTCAAGAGTGTCTAATATTAGGAATATGGCACCCTGAGTCCCTTGCTAGAAGATGTCTGCCTGTGGTGGCTCTTGATGCACTGACTCCAGCCTTAGTCTAGTCCTTGTGAAGCTCTTCAAAGTTCTTGAATCAATTTTTTTGACAGTCCTCTCATCACTGTTGCTTGGTCACCTTTTCACTTCCAGTCAACTTTCTGTTGATATGCTTTGATCCGGTACTCTGTGAACAGCCAGCCTTTTCATCAATGACCTTCTCCGCCTTACTTTTCTTATAGAGGATGACAATGGTCCTGATGTATTTACTGGACTACACTTACAGAAGAAAGGCTCGGGAGACCTTTACAGGTCATTTGAGTTATTTTTTTAGGACCAGAATAACTGACAAGAAATTGGTCTTTTTCACTATATTCTTCTATAATTGGATAATGTATTTTTGAGAGCTGTACGCAGTAATCACTATCATCAATATTTTACTTTACATGTGATAACTCTTGAATATATGTAAGTTAAACTGAATAAAATCCAAATTGTCTCACTTGAATTTCAGAAGCACCTGATGTATTTAGCACATTTCATCCACAAAGGCAACTCAATGTGCTTCACACAAACAAAAGAAACATCCAAGAGAAGATTAAAAAAAGCACCCAATTAGTTTATATTTACAGTATTGTCCTAAAAATAAAAAATAAATCAGCTTTCCAGAATAGTACCATTGGAAAACGTAAACTCTATAAAAAGACATGATGTGGAAATGCTGTTGCCCTGGGATACACGCTAGTTAGATGATGTTAGCTGGCTGAAATCTAAGTTAACAAGCCAGCAACAGTGCCTCCTAGGATTTAACTTGATGTTTACACTATTGTCTAACGGTAACTTACTATTAAACTTTTGTTTCACCTTGAAATGTGTTTTAAGTCATATGTGTTTGAGAGTTATTAGTTTATTTGTTTGTCCACCCCCATTTTCTATCTATTCTATTTTCAGTTTCCTCTTAAAAACTTGACGTTCTATAAACTTGTTGTATTTAGGGATGATGACATCTTGTAACTGGTTGACCCAAAAGAAAACACTATCCATTTGAAATCACTGTACATTTTCCTGCTTATTACATAGCCTGAGTATATGCTCCATGCAATGATGTAATTATATATATATTATTTACATTTATGAGGGTGTATTTTCAACGGTTAGAATGGGCTGTATAGTCTTACTGGATAACAAATAAAGCCCTGTGAGTGAAAAATTTTTAGCTTTCACCACAAAAACAACATTAGTGTAAGACAAACTTAGAGCTTAAGATGCATTGATGTATTAATGAACAAAAGCCGGTAAACTCATTTGGATGAGGTTACCAACAAACATGTATTTGGCTTCTTTTAATCAACACAACCTCTTGGAAAAGACAAGTAAATTGTTATATGAAAGAGTTTAAAGCCTCATATGTGTATGTCTGGTAATGTATGAACAATAATATCTAACAAATGTTTGGTCAATAGATAATAATTTAACAAAAGGATATAAAGTAGGTCTAAGACAGTAAATCTACTTCAGACAAAAACTTTGCAGCTTAAGAAATTAAAACCCCAATTCCATAAGAGTTGTGATAATGTGCAAAATGTAAATGAAAAAAAAAATTTTTTTTAAGGAATTGAAAATCATTTAAAGTCTCTGTGGTGATAATTGATACACCAGATTTTTCTACGTGACAAGTTGGCACTGTAGGCAGGACAGTTTGAATCCTGTTGTACAAGCTATGCTGTTGTAATGCTTGCAAAATGTAGTTCTTCTAAGTGCATTATGCAAGCTCTTCCTATAAAGGGCTTTGTTAGGATGCCAGTATACAGTGTGTTGCTTCAAAACATGGATATTGCTACCAATGCCATGGGCACTGATGCATCCCCGTAACATTAGGGATGCTGGCTTTTGAACAGTGCAATGATAACAAGATGGGAGAATTTTCACTTTGTCAAAGCCCATCAAAGAAAAAAGGTCATGTATGTGTAGTTAAACCTACATTTTGTGGATGTATGCAATAACAAGTGTTCACAGACAGTGGTGTCAGATGTAATTTTGAGTCCATGCAGTGATTTCCAATTGAGAGGCCATGTCTGTTTTCAATGTGCTGCCAATTGTGGGCTGCAGATTTAGTATTTAGCCCATTTAGTATTTATTTTGTGTCTTGTCCTCTTTGTACAGATATTTCTCCAGTTTGTAAACTCCCTGTAAAAGACTACAAATTGTGATACTGATCTAAGACAACCTCATGTGCAAACATAACCACAAGTCTACTGCTAAAAACAACTGTCTGTTCAGCTTACTATACTACTAAAATAATAAAAGATATGCAATCAGGACATTTTGGATAAAACTGTTAAAAGTCTCGACAGGGCTTTCAAAGTAGGACCTAGAAGGCACATTGGCGTCTGACCTAGGGTGAGTAGTTTCGACACAATTAGGGTGATGACGGTCACCACTAAATAGGCTTGGTTTAAAACCACTGTTTATTTTCACATTGTTATAAACCTAACCCTGTGCATTTAACTGAAAAAAAACACGGTAAACAGGATCCCTCAAACATGATTGGCACGGTGTTTCTTAATTAGCGAGGGCCGGGTTGTGTTGTTGACGCTGCTATTATTAGCTATGCTGAAATCATTAATATCACTTCCTACTTTCGGAACCAAGATGAGCTCTTACTGACAAACTGACTCAGCCATTTACTTAGACGGGACGTGAGATGCAATAAAGGCGACCGTACACTATGTCCCTCTGACATGTACCTTAATGAAACGCACATACAACATTTGATAAGTGTTACAACAATATGTTTAAAGCTTACATCTCCAGCCATGGGTAGATAATACACCAATCGAAGGTTCTCTACCCATCGCTGCTGCAGCCAGCGTGGGGTTTCCCAGCGCTAACTGCAGGGTTACCGCGCCCATCTCGTCGTTCGATGGCCGGACGAAAGTGTAACCAGGGAAAGGGCAAATGTTAATCTTGGCAAACGGGATACAGTAGACGCTTTGGTTTTGATGAATTGTAGTGACTTTACTGATTAGCCTCTTTTTTGTCTGTCTAAGCAGTTACATCAGTACAGGGCTGGTGGGTGTGATCCCCCCTCCTCCCCTCTCCGGTTGGCTGACTGAGGTTGTCAAGCTCCCTCCGCTGTTGCCTCTGCGTTCTAGAAGGGCTGCTCCTCGGAAAAACGAACGCTAGCTGGCTAGCTAGTTAGTAAGCTAGCGCTGTGGTGTCCGTTGATGCGTGGATCGGAGGTTTACGGCGTCTTGTTTTCCAGTCAATGCCAAAACGCAAAAACAAACGCAAATTGAATCAGGTAAGGTGAAATAAAGCGACTATCGTGCTGTTTCTCCATCATTCACTGTAACTGTTGGTGCCGTTAGCAGATGAATTGTGGCGGAATTGAACGGTCCGGGGGTGGGGTAGCGATTTGCTAGCTTCCTAGTCATTTAGTTAGCTGCAGATGGCTAACCTTTAGTTAGCTATTTTATCTACAACGGATTTAACTCGCTCGTTTTAGAAGTTGATGTAATGGTGAATCTTGGTGCTCAATATAACCGGCGAAAAAGCAGATTGCATCAAAACTCATCTTGTATGTCTGGCTTGTGCGTGTAAATGAAATGGGTGAAGTGGTGGAAAAGCCCCGGCGTTTAAGTAACGTTGATATCGGCCAGTAATGCTTGATATCAGTGTTGGCCCAACGGAGCTGCTGCTCGGCCTAAAAATCAGTAGTTGAGGATTAAAAAGTTTTTAACGTTAACTATGGCTTTAATATGGCAGTTTACTGTTATTGCTTGTCTGGGGGGTTGCTTTGAAGTCGAATATTTGGCTACATATTAAGATATTGCTGTCAGATGATGATGACACACTGGGTTGGGCTGGAACAATAAACGTCCCGTAAACAAATTAACAGCAAATATTAGTTATTTGCTGAACTAGAGTAGGCTTCGTCACTTGTTAATAAAAAACAGCCTATTACCAGCGTATAAATGTTAAAACTATATCTAATTAACATGAGCCGCTGGTAGCCGCGTTAACACCCTATTTTCTCGCCGAGTCGAACTAATATGTTAGCACATTGCTGCCTTCCTGCAACGACTCGGCCGCGCCGGTGCAACGCCTTTTACATAGATTAGGAATGCTCGTTATTTACCATCAGATAGCTAATCATTATTCATGCTGTATTGAATGAACGATTGACGTTGACTTAAAGAAAATCAACACGTTTATCGTTGCTTTTTTTTTCCTTTTTTCATTTTTTTGCACTCTGAGTTGAACAGGCCATAACCGCCCGACCTTGCAATTTTATAGGCTTAGTTGCACTACGAGATTAGAAGGAACAAATAAATATACTGATGCGTCTTAATCGAATCAAGCTCACACCGTCGGGTTTAACGAGATTGTTAGTGCATAGGTAAGTGGATTTCTGGAGGCCAAGCCATCGCCGAGTTTCCCTACTATGTTGGCCTCGAAGCTAACTACATAGCACTCCATGTAATTGCGGAAGAGCTGCTGTCTACCCCTGAGTGGCTGTGGTTACGGTTTCTCTTGCATTAGAAGCTACTTGCTCTTACGTTATATGTGTCTTGGTAATCAGCGGATCTAACGGTGGATCAACCGTGTACTGGACATTTTAGGGTCAGTCCTTTCATTCTTCGAGGTAATCTGACCGAATATATTTCTTTTTTTAATTCTACCTCTGCCCTGCCTGCAGGCCCAGACAGTCAAGTCTGCTAGCAAAGCTAACTAGCGGATAGCAGTCTGTAAGATGGCGTTTAGCTGCATCTTCTCAGATTTCCATCAGCGCAAGTCATTTTCTTAGTTCCCTGTGCAACCTACAGTAAATGTAGAAAATACATCAGGCGTGTCAAGATACTAAAAATCGGGTTTATAGTTATTGGTGAAATTTTTGGGGTAATTTGTTAAATTTTTTCCTTAAATAAGGTAGGGTATTTGTGGTCTAAACTCTTACACAAATTAGATAAACAATTTGATTAAAACAGTTAGAACCAGAAGCCATTCAAATCCAATGCAAACTAGCCATTTGTTGTAGGCAAATCACAGTACTGCACACAATGACTAAGTAAACTATCTCAGCACCACGTATTAGGCTGGATAAACATGTGCACTGACAGCACTCCAGAAATATACACCCTTTTATTTCAATGTTTACATTACTATTCATGTTAATTGGCAATGAATTTCTTATACACATGAATTACTTCAAATTTAAAAGCAAAAATGACACCAATCAAACAGTTATTGGACACGCTGGAAACACTCAAAGAGAAGGCCTGTATTAGGCTTGTGATATTACTAACTGTGTCAAAATCCAGGCACTTGCTTTAAGCATGCTGTGTGTAAAAGAATTAAGATTAAACTCATCCTTTTATGATTGGGGAAACATATTTCTAATGCCTGGGCTGGATCTGCCAGCTGTTTATGTTAGTGGACATGGATAGGATTAGGGACTCATTGACTGAGGATTTTAGCTTTTAGGATTATGGAGTTGCTCAGTGATATTGCTGGTTATGGCTTTTTCTATGATCCAGCTTTAGACCTGTGAAACATTGCATTATCATCCTCTAACAGTGCAGATAAGCCGACCTCTCCTTTGAGAACACAGTGCAGAGTCAGGGGATTATTTTTTTTATGTTAACCATAGATGTAAGAACCACCTTTGGAAAACAGCAGGCACAGACTGCCCTTAAGGGACCTGAGTGAAGCTAGTGAGCTACAACTGTAGGCTGTTTGCCACTGCTCATTGTTTATCATGCAGTCAGCTGACCCTGATCAGGCGCTTGGAAAGCAGAAGTGATGAGGGAGAGGAACTCCTAGCTTGTAAGCATCCACAGAGGTTAATGGGAAATAATATTTCTTAGTGTGGATTATTAAGTTTGGTTCTTCAACAACCCACATTTATGGCCGTTTTTATTTACTTTAAACCCTTTTAGGGTAGGATCTGGTATGAAATATTTAAGTTAAAAATTAATTAGACTTGATCAAGAACAAATTTTGGAATGAAACTAAAACTTAGAGCATTTCTAAATGGATAACTATTAAAGGTTTTACCCCTTGAAAAGTGACACAAATCTGTCAGCTTTAACTGTTAATAATAACCAAATCTAAAAGGTTTATGATGTCCTCATATTTCGATTAGATAGCATTGTTTTGCTGCTAAATTCTGTTGGAAACTTAAGTATCTCTGCCACTGCTAAACTCAAGTATTAGGTTTTTTATTTGCATCTCATTTACCAGTAAATGCCTGTTCACATGTTTAAATATTAATCTACAAGTTAATCAAACACTTCCACAAGAATCAGGAATCTTATTTATCTGAAATAACAATCCAGCCAAACTTATCAAACTTTCAAAAAAAAAAAATTACAAAGAAAAAATAACATCTAAAATAAGTGTAGATTATTACACAGAAATGTCCCAGAAAGCTCAAGGTTAAAACTAGATTCTGTTTTCGATTGATGATACTGCATAATAATTATATTCCATGACACATTTATTTAGAGATTAATCAGGGTAAGAGGATAACCTGCATTAGAAAGGTCAACCAATCAGAGTACCTCAAGGGTAACTTAGTAGAGACCCGTGTCTGTCTCCTCTCTAAACCTTCACTGTCATAGGCCTACTGACAGCCATACAGCAGGTAAGGTAACCAGGGGGCAAGGTTTGTATTCTTAATGGGTTTTTATTAGAGGTGCCTATAATCTTAATTCTTTTTTTATCACATTGCAATTTGCACAGGCTATTTTGCCACATCTATTTTGTATTTTTCTAAGTATGCTTCTGATGGAAAGCAACATGCCAAGTCTATAGTATCTTTTTGTGTCAATAGTAAATATGTATTTTAAAATTATTATCTTTCAATGACTCCTTACATGTCTTTTTAAAAAGTAACCTTTTTGGAGTCCTGTTTTAAAAGTACCAATTTTTTAACCGTAACTCTTCATTCGAAATACAGTTTGATGTTACAACTTGGTAAAAATTATGCGTGTATTTTGTATTTTTTTTTAAGCTAATTGGTTCTCTGAATGCAGTGGCTACCACAGGAATATTCCTTACCATTGAAAATGCACACTGACTCACAGGATATAGCCATAAACTTCCTCCTAAATGTACTGCTCTTAGACCCACTTAAATAATTTAAGTGAATGGATCTGAGTGAAAGGGGTTCTGTTTTCCAGGATATCTTTAGTTGGTAAATGACAAGTAACTATTTAAGTACTGAACATAAGACAGACTTAATATTGATTGAATAGGATATTTGTGAAGCCTTTTTTCCTATCTGCCATGCTCCCATGATGCTGCATTGGGATACTATTGCATAAACATTAATTCTTGTGCATGTGCCATCAAACAGAATGATATATTTGTATCTTTATAATATTTGAAAGTATTGGTAATGTAAATAATTACAGACTCTGCTAACCCTTAAAGTTTAACAAAAGGTTCGTGTTATTTAGGAAGAGAATTGCCATTGGGTATTGGATTAAAACAATGTCTTTATATGGGTGCGTTTTTCCATTTCTTCATATGATAGTCAGTGTGGCTGTAGTCATCATCTTGTACAGAGATGCCATTTTAGTTGGGGTATTTGCTGCCCATCTTTTTGTGTCCCTGAAATACGTTCTTTATTCCCAGCTTTAGATTACTTATATAAGTGAGACTTGGTGTTTTCCAAGACAGTTTTATATTTAGAGTATGCTGGTTTGATAACGACATGAGTTCTAATGTTGTTTTATCACAAACTTTTAGAGTGCCTTGAGGCTCGGTATAACTACAAGTGGCTTGTTGATCACTTGGCTAAAATTCTGAGTATCCCAGGGATTGAGGTCAACAGGATAACGACTGCTTCTCGGCTCATTGGAAAGTAGTGCCTTAACAGGATTTGTCTGGTAATCTAAACTGTGTATCAGGATTATGTTAGCGACATTGAGGTGTGAAAGAAAGGTTGAGCCATGACCTGTGTGCGCTGCAGGTGAAAAGGATACTGAATTCTACTCGGAGAAACTCTTTGGCTGTTATCATCTACTGTTAACAAATCTGGTTTAATGGGTCCAGGACCACTTTGATCTAGATTTGCATGAATGATCAATGTGCTTCTTTGGATTCATCTTTCAGATAAACAAGTGCCCCGGTGTCTGGAGTAAGGTAATTGAAAAAGCAGGCTAAAATGAGTGAACTGGACCAGTTGCGCCAAGAGGCAGAGCAGCTCAAGAATCAGATCAGAGTGAGTAACAAATAGCTATTTTTATCATATTATTTTATCTGTAATCATCTAAATGTCACTTACCCTTCATATTGGAGTTAAAGCCATTACCACATAGATGCATCTACATTGTGAAATCCTATCCTGAAGATCTGACCATTGCTTTTTTTCCAGGATGCCAGGAAAGCATGCGCAGATGCTACGCTATCGCAGGTAACATTTGACGTAACAATTTTTGTTTCGTTTAATGTATTTTGTGTATATATATTTTTTAAAGCACGAGGGCAGAAAGTAACTAGAATACTTACTGTGTTGCAGATCACGGCCAATATCGACCCTGTTGGCCGAATCCAGATGCGTACAAGACGAACGCTGCGGGGTCATTTGGCTAAAATCTATGCCATGCACTGGGGAACTGATTCTAGGTATATAGACCATCATTTAAATAAGTCATGATGTAAAAGATGGTATTTTTCAATGCCCCTCTGGTTAAATGTTGGCTAAATCATCAAATTAATATTTTCAGTAGTACTTAACCCTATAGTCATTTTTCCTGAATAAAAACAGATTTTGGATAAATAATAGATGTACTTTACTGTTCTGATTTGTTTAGGCTCCTGGTCAGTGCCTCTCAAGATGGCAAACTAATTATCTGGGACAGCTATACCACGAATAAGGTAAGCCACTTTGTTGACAGGGGTTAATGAGGTCACAGATGAATTTCCAAATACTTGTGATTGTAGTTGATTTAAGAAGCAGTGTAGAGCAGCAGTATAGGCTGAAGTTGTAGAAGTAGAGGATCTAACCTTTGCCATGCGTCATATATTTAAAATGACTTTCAAATGGTTCTTGAACATCTTAACCGTGGTTAGACTGTAGTTGGAAGGATGGAGGTGTTACAGTTTTTGTAGCAGATGGGCAACTTGGCTTTCTCCATCACCCACTGAAAACTTCAACCGGATAATCATGCTCTGTCATGTCTCAGTGTATTAAAGAAGTCTGACAATGAAAATTGTTTTTTGTCGAGTCGACACAATCAGCGATAAACCCAACTTAGAATTAAAAGATTAAAGGGTCATTCCAATGTATCTTTAGAGAAGATTGCAGGCCAGATTGAGGTCAGAATTGTCTATAGGATACTTAAATGAGAGTCATGTATAGAAGAAGCACCAGATTATCAGCCTTCAAACTTCCACATTGTGTTGCCTGCGAGTGCCTAGAATAACAGATTATTGATTGACATATGAAACTACCCATCCAAATGGAAATGTTTGATTATACAGGATGTTACCACAGATGTTTTTTTTTTAATTATTATTATTTTAAATAAAAAGCAAAACCTTAAGACAATTAAATGAAAAAGTGTCAGCGAAAATTAGTATCACAGTATTTGTTTGTAACACTACTGTGAGACATTTCATCAGACTCATATTCACAGGATGCTTTAAAGGCTGTGGATATTGTACACCGTTAAATCTTAATGTTAAGTATAGATCCACTTTTTTTGGTGATGGAAGGAATTAAATGAAATTTTCGCAGACCAGTCAAAACATTGCTGTTTTAAATTCTATTTTTACTTTTTTCCCTGCATAAAAGTGGACTTAAAAGGAGTTAAATGTCTTTTTTTTTTGTCACTCTTCTGTTGTAGGTTCATGCCATTCCACTTCGATCCTCCTGGGTCATGACTTGTGCTTATGCACCATCAGGAAATTATGTGGCCTGTGGTGGCTTAGACAACATCTGCTCCATCTACAACCTGAAAACCCGTGAGGGCAATGTCCGTGTGAGCCGTGAGCTTGCTGGACATACAGGTATGTGCTGTGATATTTCAGTCACTACATATGATATATCAAGCACTGAAAGTCTCATAGTTGACTGAAGTTGATGAAAATATTGTAATCTTAACCTTTATGCCAACTCTGGACAATGTTACACTAATGGAGTACTATGCCTTAATGTATGTAATGCTGATTCCATAGGTGATTCTGATGATAAATGATTGTACAGATATGATAAACAAAAACACACAGTTAGTCCAATTCTAAAATTACTGACTAGGTCTTTAACCCCTTCACTGTTGGTTCTTTTGATATCAGGATACCTGTCCTGCTGTCGTTTTCTTGATGACAACCAGATTGTTACAAGCTCTGGAGATACCACTTGGTGAGTAAAATGGATTTTCTGTACTGAGTTACTGTGATTTCTTTCAATTTTTTTTATCTAATCAATATTTACTTTGAAAGTTAGTCTAAGGAATGTCAAACTCAATTGTATTTATTATTTTCTAGTGCGCTTTGGGACATCGAGACTGGCCAGCAGACAACTACTTTTGCTGGACACACAGGCGATGTCATGAGCCTGTCGTTGGCCCCTGATTCACGGTTATTCGTTTCTGGTGCTTGTGATGCCTCTGCTAAACTCTGGGATGTCCGAGAGGGCATGTGCAGACAGACCTTCACTGGCCATGAGTCTGACATCAATGCTATCTGTGTAAGTTACTCAGAAAACTTCTTCAACAATATCTCCATCTCATGTTTCCTAAAATGCCACTGTGGGAAACATTTGTGTCACATGTGTTTGCTCTTTGTATCAAACATTAATGTCTGATAATTTTACCATTTCAGTTCTTCCCTAATGGCAATGCCTTTGCCACGGGCTCTGATGATGCCACCTGCAGGCTGTTTGATCTGCGTGCTGATCAGGAATTAATGATCTACTCTCATGACAACATCATATGTGGCATCACTTCTGTTGCATTCTCAAAGAGTGGCCGTCTTCTTCTGGCCGGATATGATGACTTCAACTGTAATGTGTGGGACACACTAAAAGCTGACCGTGCTGGTGGGTAGCCTGGGCTGATATTTTCTTGACCCTTGATAATTTTATGCAAAGTGATCAAATGTACATGTTTGCTGACTTGTGTACTAAATGAGACCTGGCTTTTTCTAGGTGTGTTGGCTGGACATGACAACCGTGTGAGCTGCCTGGGAGTCACCGACGATGGCATGGCAGTTGCAACGGGATCCTGGGACAGTTTCCTGAAGATCTGGAATTGAGGCCTGAAGGTTTCTTTTTTTTTAAAGTTTTTATCCTATATTATTCCCTTAGGCTTCTTCTTTTTAGTTCTTGTTTTACACCGGTTCTTGCGAATATTTGTTGAAGACTTGTGGTTTCCTAGACTGAGGCAGAAGCTGAAATGCTTTTGCACCACTTTCTGCCCTCACAAGTGTAACAGGGATTAGGATTTATTAAATTCTCTGTGTTTATTAGTCAGTTGCTGAGATTCATTTTTGACACACCTGCTAGCTTTAAATCTCTGATTTTTTTTTGACCTGCATGATTAACAGAACATTCTGGCCCCTAAATTTTCAATCACCTTTAACTTATTGTAAGGATTGCATTAGTTGAAGCATAATTTTGTATAAAATTTGCTGTGCTGTAAAAAAATAAAAACTGGACGGCAGTTCACTGACCACTTAGCGCAAATAAATTGCAAAATATCAAATATACACACAAAAAATAGCAGTTTCTGAGGTCTTCTATCAGTCAAAACAAAATATTACGCTTAAAAAAATAAAGTTCAGGATTTTCATGGCTTTTAAATGTTGACACTCCAACTATACTTAATACAAAAATGTCAGAGAAAGCAGCCTTCAAAAAGGACCGATAGCTCTCCTCAGCTGGCTGCAGCTCTGAGGATATATGTGTAATTAAGAAGCAGCCTTTAGTGATTTCAGGCCAGCCTGTGTAATTAGATGGATTTTTAATTAAACTTGGCCCATTATATTCGACAGTGTCCCCTGATAGTGGGTTAAATAACTAAATTTTAGATCAGATTGGATTGGTTACATTCTAAATTTCGTCTGTCTTTGTTTCCTAGATGTTCTTTTAACTCCAAAGTTGACTGGAAGACCATTACAACTTCAGAATGTTCACAGCATCTTCTCAACACTGTTTAAACTGACTTGGACACCACAAAATCGAAGGGAAACCAATGCCTTTCCTACACAAAGAAGAGCACAATTGTTTATCACCTAGTTAAGAAAGGATCTCCTGTGGTATCAAATCAGAAACTTGTGCATTCCTTCTCGGACCATTTTATGTTACCTTGAAAGAGAAAAAAAAAAAAAAAAAACAACACTATCATCCCATGCAAATGTGTGCGTCTTGAAAGCAAATGTTGGAGTGTAATTGTACAAATTATTTAACTTTTTTTTTTTTTTTTTTTTTTTTTTTTTTTTTTTTTAAGAATTCTATTCTGATGGTTTGTTATTCTTGATGGCTTTTCTTTTTGTCATATTTCTTTAGTGGTTTTAGATATATTTGAATTACTGCTTGTCTTTCTAATCCAGTTAAATCATATACAACAGATGAGAGAAAATGTGCAGCAAGTAATGCAAGTAAAAGCTTGGATCATATTACACGAGCAGCTTTCAAAATGTCCATGATGTATTTATATACTAGCTGTTTTTGTTTCATCACAGCCTTTTGCACATGAAGAAGCTTCGCCTCTCAACTAATACTATGTTAACTAACCAAGCACATGCTCTAAGTTATGAATGCTCATTCCAGTACAAAAGGAGTTATTACGAGTAACTTATACAGTTAACCCCCTTAATTCTTGTACATGCCTTTAAATCTGGGTGGGGCGGGGTGGGCTAGCAAAGTAGGTGCTGAGATAATTGGGGCATGGCTGGATTTTATTATACGGGGGGGAGGGAGGGTTGTGTTTAGTATCCACTTTGAGTGAAACACCTCACCTGACTAAATAGACACTTCCTTTGCTTGGGACTGCAGTTGCAACTCTGTGAATGAAATGTACAAATCAATGTCTGAAAATAATGGTCTGATGTTTTAAGTTAAGACATTTAATTTTGTCTGCCATGAGTTAATTTAGATGTGCATGCTGTAGACTTGCTTTCAATGGTGCAAATTCCTAGATTTTTCTTTTTTTGTTTGTTTGTTTCTGAAAAGGAGAGTAACCTATTGATTGAACTTAATACAAGCCAATTTTTTTGGCTCCAACTCTGCATACATCATGTACTAATACTGGTAATGCTATGCACCAGAGTGAGCAAGAGTGGAGAAAGAATTAATATTGATCGCATTCTTAGTGTAAAATATGCTTACCAGTTTTATTGATGCCAATTTTTGTAATAATTATAACAATCATTGTGAGAATTCTATCCTTGACAAGTCCTTCTCTCTCCCTCAAATCTTCACATTCAATGGAACAAAACGTCCTCACATTCTGTCCATACTAAACTTTTGTACATTTTTCTTGGTCTTAAATTGAAAATCAGAGCATCTGAATGACAACATTTCACTGTATACAGAAGCACTTTTGTTAAAGTTGTGACATATTTTCACTTTTCCTTTTTTCTGCGATGATGTACAATAAATGTGATGTATTCGTGTGTGGCCACAAGTGAAAATGCAATTCAACTGAGACAGATTCCCTTTTCTCTTTCCATTAATATTATAGAGCTCTGCACCCTTATGTACCTTTTCACTTTTTGTATTTCATTTCAGTCTGTTGGTGTTACACGGTGAGCTGGATGCAAGATAGATACTGTACTAAATTGTACTGTTATTGATTGAAAAATGTAATAAAAAGCTGTTTGAGATCTCTGTTGAAGTGAGTCTGAATTCTGCAACCAATAGTTTATCGATGTTGTAAGAGTGAGATGACTAACACTCTGCTGTGGGATCAATTCTGGAGGGATGGACCTTAATTTGATCAGGGTGGGCGGGGAATTCATATAGTCAATCATACTTGGCGAGAATAAATGGAAAAAAATAAGGGTAAGACAATGGAAGATTTAGAGGCTGTGAAATCATTTCAATGCTTTGTACACTATAGTACAGGGACAAAAAATTATATTGTTACTAAACTCCAATTGTCTACTTTTAAGATAGATATATTTTATTAATCCCAAACTGGGAAATTCTCATGTTACAGCAGCAAAAAATAAAATTAAATATAAGATGTTCAATGCAGACTAAAAATTCTAAATATATACAATAAATAAAGACTAAATATACTAAACATCCTACATCCAGTGAGACATGATTAAAGTCTCCAGTAATAACAGTGAAAGCATTGGGATGTTTTTTTCTTGGCACTGGGCTTCGGCAATCTGTTGTAACCATGTCCTTAATTGTGTGGATTTCTTCCAGTGACTTACAAACCACTACTTAAAATAGTAACAACATCTTGATTTTCTAAAAGGTGTATTAGTGAATGACCAATCCACTAGGGTTACCCAATTGTCAAATGACTAGGAAGATCTTATTTAGCAGCTTGTAACAAGTGCACATATTGTAGTAAAAATCAAATCTCTCTCTTCATGAACCGTTGCAACAAATAAAAAGAAAATATAAGTATCTATAGAGGTGTGTTTAGTTTTCAGGCCAAACTGCCCTTAAAGTTCAACAAATTCAGGTAATAATCTTGACAAGCACCTGACAACACAGCCAATTTATTGAGTCACGTTTTGATATAGTTTTTAAAACTCTATACGACTGGATTGCCTTAATTAATTAATCTCTAGGAGAAGATATGCCCGGTTAAAGGAGAAATCAAAACTATGACAACTGAATTATAGACTCCATTTAATGCATCGTTACTTCAGAGACTGTACGGCCCGTAGGAGCCGCCATCTTCCCATCCCAGCAACGGCTAACAACATCGAGCCTGGCTCGGCGCATTATCACCGCGGGAGAAGGGCGAAGTAACATCTTTATTCAACGATACAACTGATTTAGTTTTGGTTTACACACAACACAGTGAAAATCTAAAGCATTCGTGGGGTTATTAAGCCATCGTTAGCCTAACGTTGGTTTCGGTTAGTGCTTGTATAAAACGGGCAGTTAGGACGACTTCACCGCCGAGAAGAAATGGTTCAGCCCGGTGACGTATTTCCCTTTTCCGCTTAGATAATGCCATTTTGGTAGGCCTCGCTTGGTGGTTTCAGTTTTCGCCTCGTGGAAAAGAAAAATATTACAAGTTGTTCTATTACATACTTTTCACTTTTGTAGAAAAAAAACAAGCGCTCGGTTGAAGTTGTTCTAGTCCGGTCGCTATTTTACATAGAGTGTTTTTGTTAGAATAGTTAACGTGGGACGTACGCATTTTTCATTGCGCGGCACAGTTGAACGGTCCAGTGTTGACGACACGGCTGCCAGCGAACAAAGGAAAACTAAGGTCGATACACTTTCATCAGTGCAGCCGAAGGGGAAATATTATTTATGAAGTGATTTAACATCGAAGCTTGTTTCGCGTCATTTTTCTATCATAATTTGGCTTTAGACGTGCTTCCATCCAGGTTCTACAGACCAAATTAGCCGTATTCATTCAGTCTTGTCATCGACGTCGGCTAGTGTTAGCCGATTGTGGACAGTCAGTTAGCGAACTACAAACTTCAGCTTTGTTTTGGTACGAGCAGGAAAATGGCCGAAGTGTACATTAAAGTGGCAGAGGAGGAAAACGAAGAGCCTATGGAAATCCCCTCCGAAGATGATGGCACCGTTCTGCTTTCGACCGTGGCGGCTCAGTTTCCAGGAGCGTGTGGCCTGCGGTTCAGGAGCCCCGTGTCTCAGTGCATGCGTGGAGTGCGTCTCGTTGAAGGTGTTCTGCACGCGCCGGAGAACGGATGGGGGAATGTCGTGTACGTGGTGAACTATCCAAAAGGTAAACACGAGATTTTATCGTCGTGCGAATAAGAGTTTTTATCCAAACAGGTGACCAGATGTAAGGTTATTTATAATTCATGATGGAGCTTTTAGTGCTCTGAAAATAGGACTGACGTGACGCGTTTTGTTTACGCCCTCATATTCATGCCATTAAAAGGGAAGGCAGGAGAAATTGATTTAATGCACTCCTTAATATCCAAGTAGTCTGTATGAAGTTATAAAAGTAATGGCTTATGTGCAATTAGATGGCAAAAATGTGACATAAGTAAGCTTTAAAGGTACATTTGCCACCAACCTACTCTTAAGTATCTTAAAATGATCCTATTTATAAAACTTAAAAAAGTATTGATCTTTGTTATCCTGCTCTGGTTTGGTTATTAGTTACAACTGTCATTTGAAATGGCAGGGAAACTCATTACACAGCTGTCAGTCCGATTATTATTATTATAACCTTTATTTAACCTGGTTTGTCCCATTGAGATCTTTGGCAGCACATATAGTTTCAGTACAGAATCACATTAACCCTCACATACTGTTCAAATCTTGTATCCTCACAGTATGTTCCGGGTCAAACTTAATCCAGCCCAAGAATTGCCCATGTAGCAGGTATTTTCACCAAAGTTCTAACCCCAAAACCCTTTTATAATGTTTAAATGACCTGTGCTACTTCTAAAAATTGTTTATTTGTCCTTCTTAAATGTTTCAAAGAGCAGTTTTAACACCACTCATTTTTAGTGAAATATATATTTTGGAGAAGAATATCTATTACACAGGAGAATGTCATGTCATACCATGTAAGAAATAAAAGAATATAAAAGTCATAATGAGAAAATTTGATAATTTATTGAACAACAAACTTTATATTGAACACTCTTCTTACTGCTTGTCACTTGTCCTACACTGGTAGATCTAAAATACATCTAAATAGATGCAGGTCAAATTTGACCTGTAACAGCCCCATAGGGAGAAAATGTGTAGCACATCCACAAAAATACACATGAATATTTTTTAATTAATTTCATGTATTTTGGGCCACATCAGGAAAAGTCATCAAGTTTCAGGCTTAAAGAATGACATATGGGTTAATCATATACATTACAAAGAACACAGATAATAATTGAATTTTCAAAATTAGTAATAGAATTTATCATGGTTTCGAATACATTCAGGGATACCAGACTTTACCAGTTTCAGGTCTGATTGCAAGATGTTTCATGTACTCGGAGCAGAAAATCTAAAAGCTTTCTTACCCATTTCTGTTCTGACCTTAGGAAGAGTAAAATGATAAAGGTCCTGGGAGCGAAACTGTAGCCCTATTATTCAAGATTAAAAGGGATGATAAATAACACAGAGTCATCTGAGGATCTTAAACCACAGCACACCTAATTTAAAAACATCTTTTGTTGTTCTTATTCCAGACAACAAAAGGAAGATGGAAGAAATCGATGCCTCTTCTGCCGTAAAAATGAAGCGAGGGGACATGAAGACGTCTGACCTGATAGTCCTGGGTCTTCCTTGGAAAACAACTGAGCAGGACCTCAAAGACTACTTCAGCACGTTTGGAGAAGTCATCATGGTTCAGGTATAACATAAGCTTCATTAGATATGAATCAGTCTGGTTTCTTTGTGGTGACCCTGGACTGTCGATGCTGAGTGTTTTTTCTTGTCTCTCAGGTAAAACGAGATGCAAAGACGGGTAACTCTAAAGGATTCGGCTTCGTGAGGTTTACAGAGTATGAAGCTCAAGAAAAGGTCATCTCTCAGCGCCATATGATTGACGGAAGATGGTGCGACTGCAAGCTCCCTAACTCGAAGGTGAATATGGTAATGTCCATGCGTATACCCACACATTATGAGAATAAACACTGTTCAAATTGTTGACACACATTGTCACTTGTAGTATTAACCCCCTCCTCCTTTGTCTACAGCAAGGACCAGATGAGCCTTTGAGGAGCCGAAAAGTGTTTGTTGGCCGATGCACGGAAGATATGACCACTGACGACCTAAGGCAGTTCTTTATGCAGTACGGAGAAGTCACAGATGTCTTCATCCCAAAGCCCTTCCGGGCTTTTGCCTTTGTCACATTTGCAGATGATCAGGTATGATGCCTACTTTTAAACGTTTTTTTTTTTGTTTTTTTTTTTTTGGTGGTCATTTTGCTCAGATGACCTGACTCACGCTTTTTTCTTCACAGGTTGCCCAGTCTCTCTGTGGAGAGGACCTAATAATCAAAGGAGTCAGCGTTCACATCTCAAATGCTGAGCCCAAACATGGCAATAGGCAGTTTGACCGTACAGCCCGGTTTGGGAATGGTTTTGGAGCTCAGGCATTTGGTAGCAGCCGTAGCGGGTTAGGTAGCAGCACTAACAGTAGTTTGGCAAACTTTGGTTCCTTCAGTCTGAACCCCGCCATGATGGCTGCTGCTCAGGCTGCTCTGCAGAGTAGTTGGGGTATGATGGGTATGCTGGCGAGCCAGCAGCAAACATCGACCTCAGGCAGCACCTCCAGTGGAACAAGCTCAAGCAGGGACCAGAGTCAGTCTTTTAGTACAGGCAACAGCAACTATGGCACTAGCTCTGCCAGCCTCGGCTGGGGAACAGGGTCAAACTCTACTACAAGTGGAAGTGGGTTTAGCTCAGGTTTTGGGTCGAGTATGGAGTCAAAGTCGTCTGGGTGGGGTATGTAAGTTAATGTTTGTATGGTAAGTATTGTGAAAAAGATGAGTCTTTTCAAAGTTTATTTCTGGTGTTGATGCGTATCTGAAAACTTAACACTTTTGTGGAAGATGTTTTGTACATTTGGAAAAAAATGCTAAAGATTTAATTTAGAAAGCGTCAAATTGAGTTGTTTACCAGGATGTCTGACTAAAGTGCTATATTTGATGTCTCATTTGTTTGTATCCATTTCAACTGGATTCTCTAATGCATGTATTGTGAAATGTGATATAACCATTTTGAAAATGCATGAATGTTTGTGGTCCACCATTATCCGGCTTTGTCATCGACCCAAAAGGCAATCTTGCATTGAGAAGAATCTGGTTGAAACCTAAATGTTTTTTAAGTGCAACTTTATTTGCAGTCAAGTTCTGTGGAAAAGCCTTCATTGAAATCTCTTCTGCAGTTCACCTCTCTTCCATTTTCCTGTGAGGAAGCTCCTCTTTGGCAGCATTCTTGGGGTGATATCGGTATCAATCTCCCTCTTCCCACCTGTAAATGCTATGCCATCAAAGAACGGCTTCACAACGCATGTTCTAAGAGACGGTGGGTGTTTTCACTTTTATCCACTTTTAAATGGAAAGAACTGCGCAACTGACATTTTAAGAACTGATGAGTGCGATTGAGGATGGCTTGTGGCGAAGAGTGAAGCGATGAGTGAGCGAACGGAGAGAGACGCGTGAAACGGACTGGTTGTGCAGTGAAAGAGCCCAATTTGACTGCTTTTTGAGTGTGTGAGTGGAAGCTGCAGATGCTACGAGCGCCTCTCCTAACATGGACATTCTTTAATTAGTACTTCAAGATATTTTTTTTGTTTGTTTTTTTAATCTTTGCAAGTTTTTCCTTACTCTTAAGTATGTCGATCAAGTGCAGAAATATCAAAATGTGGTGGAATGTTGTGATGAATATTTGTATTGCTTATATTATCTGATTTGAATGCTGTATGGTGTGCGCTTTCATGTTATTGAACTGATCTGTAAGTGTGTTCTTGATGTGGATGACACCTGCTGAAGACTCTGGGGGACGCGAGTGATAGTGTGAGAACGTGGAGGTGTGTGTCCAATGGTTCCCAGTAGCTCTTGTTGTTTTGGGGTGTTTATAAAAAAATGTCAAATGAAGGGAGTTCTCTAATAAAGTTCATTTGAATAGATGCTTAGTTGATACTACTTGAGTCAATTTGTCAAATAAAAAAACATCTAATTCGATTCACATATCTAGGGACCTTGGGCTCTGCTGGTCGAGGTCTCCGTTTGAACCCTGACTGAAGGATGAAGATGGAAGTACCAACACTTTGAGTGTGTGGCCTTCTCAGTCATGACATGGGGTAGTACCTGTCTTTTTGCTGCTTTTGATGGCTTTTAGAGTGAATTATCCCTTTCTGATCATTCACAGCTAGTTTTGAAGTTAGAGGGAAGTTTTTGTCTTAGTCCAAATTTCAGATACATGAGCATAGCGATCGCATCTGTTCTCATCTCTTTGTTGCTGCAAATTTTGGTGACATTACAGAGGTGTCAAGATGGCCTTAAACACCCGCTGGCCACTTTAACAGGATCACCTGTATTATCTCTTACAATTTAGCTGTTTGATGTTTTCATTGAGGGCTCTGCTGTATGTTACAAGTCACAGTGTTTAGTGCCTGATGAAAATTCTTGTTAAAACAGTCACCTGATTGGTGCCTGAACAAGACTATACCTGCAGGAGACCTTCAGCAACTACAGAAGTGTTAGTATATTTGTGATTAACATTTACAGTTACTCTAGGATTTACCCTAGAGTGATTGTCATGTAACTAAATAATGTAACCTAGAATGAAGTTAAATGAGAAATCAGACTAAAATGTTAGCTGAAAGTATCAGAGTGTAGTTAAAAAATCTATAGCAGACATGTAAGAGTGCACAGGTGGTGCTGGTAAAGTGGCAAAGGAGTGTTCTTTATGGTAAGTGCTTAAAACATCAGATCATTTTGGTGAACAGTGGCAGGCATATTAGCTTTTCCAGTGTAGTCTTTTGGTCAGTGTAATTTTGTGCATAAAATAATGAAATTGAACATTTTGTAGTTAGTAAAATCAGTGTTAAATCCACCATAATTTGACATTAGACCAGCAGGTCCTAGAGCAGATGAAACTTGGAATTAAGTATACTCAAAATCATTGTGATAGGAAATGAGCTGTCACTTTTATTTACAGTGTTTGATTCATATATATTAACAATCATGGCACTTTATTAAACTCATTGTGATGTACTGGTCTGCTTTTATGTTGATTTGAATGTTTGGCCGAAGCGAGGCACTGCAGGCCTGCTAGTGTCTTGTCGTTATTCTCTGCTTTCATCTTCAGTGTCTCTGCTTTTCCTCTTCCCGGTATTCTTCTTTTTTAAATTCTTCTGCTCCTGGTTCAGTTCTTCACTTTTATTTTGTATGTAGATGGACTGAAATAAATAAAAGCAAATTAAACATTACTCTTGTGTTTTCTGTAGATTATATAATACATGTACGTGGTTCAAGTGCAGCATATGATTGGTGTGAAATGTGTTTGTGTGACTAGAGAGACTGGTACGGTATGTTTGTTTGACTTCAACTTGTGTGATTTATTGACATAGTGCTGTGTAATGTAGTTCAGGCTACAGGCTGGAAAAAACTCACTAATGCAGTGCTGCGGCGGGCCAAGAGCTTCACATCATCTGGAGACACTGTGGATCTTTTGGCATGTCTGAAACAAACGGGGAAAATATAAAAGATGTATTTGAAAAGTTCAAGAGACAATACTAGTTCTACTACTAAAAACAAAGGACACTAAAGGTTATTTTAGCTTTTAATTTGGCAACAAAAATGTTGATCATTACCTTGCAAAAGCCTCCAGGTCTCTGGCAAAAATATCTGTAAATAATAAGGGTCAACTGTGAGATGGTAAGTTTGATCTAGGCAACTACAACACTGATGTAGCCTAAATAAGGATCGAAATATACTGCTCCTTTGCAGTACCATCTATATTTATTCTACTACTTTTCATATGCACAATACTCCAGCACTTTTTGTTTTGTAAAAAAAATATATACTTTTTTATACGTGTCAACTCAACCACCAGTGATGCTGCTTGTGAGGCATGTTTTCACTTGATTCATTTTTTTGGATCATAATAAATGTCAACATGTTTGTAACATTTCGTGTTTTTTTATTTAACCAGGTCAAATCCTATTGTGATCATGATCTCATTTACAAGGGCGACCTGGCCAAGAGGTCAGCAGCACATGCATAATAAATGCAATAGATGTAACTGCATTTAGGCTTGATCATGAAATTTAAGAAAATTACAGAACCATATGGATCAAGACAGTTTATAATTTATCTATATGTATGTAAAAGATCAAATCAGTTGTAAGTATTTTTATAAGCAGTCACTAACTTTTTGATCTTAAAACTGTTTCCGTATCATCAGTCACTTTTTGTGTGTGTTTTTTTTTTTTTTAATTTACCTGATGAGACAGTAATAAAATGTGTTTAAGTGAACTTTAAGTGTCTGAGTTTTTTTCTGGAAAATGGGTTTGGCGATAAAAATAATGTTGAACCATATATTGGTAATTTTTTTGTATTTGGGGCTGAGTTTTACAGTTGCTTTTACTGTTATTTTTTTCCCTATTTAAGCTTTTTGCTTCATTCTGTTCCTTCTCAAACTGTTAATTTTGACATAATATGTTGTGTACATTTATCTTTGACATGTACAGTTGCTTGGTGTACATGTATTATTTTGTTTGGTGTTTTTGTTTCTAGTTGTTTTTTGTTGTTGTAGTTGTTCTTAAAGTTTGAGATTAATAAAAAAACATTTTATTTTATTCATTTTTACAATTTATTTAATTAATTAAATCTATTTATTTATTAATTTATTACTTATGTAATTTAATTAATTAATCTATTTATTTTATTTCTTATTTATTTTATGTTTTATTTTTATTTATTTATTTTTATTTATTTATTTATTTTTTTTTTTTTTGGGGGGGGGGGGGGGGGCACACCACTGACAGAGAAAAAAATCTTGTAATAATAAACATGTATGTGCCTTTAGCAGTATCACTGTTATCAGTAATATTTGTCATATGGATCAGTCTTAAGTATTGACACCATAGACTGTATACCTATCTACATACAGAGTGCAGTCTTGACACCCACCGCTCTGTCTGAAGGCTGTCTCCGCTATCGCTGCTATGACTTGTCGGCTGAACGATCTCCGGTGTTCCTCTCCAACTTTCTGACACAGACGACCCGCTGTGAAATGCACTGCTGCCTTTAACCTCTGAAATTAACACATTATTTCATATTTAAAAGAGATGAATGCAAGACTACATAGCATTACTTTAAAAACGGTTGGCAAACTCTCGCTTGTTCATTGACGAATCTGAAGAACTTTGTATTAAAACCTTCTTACCTGCTGCATCTCTTCGCTTTCGGTAGACATTTTCCTTCACAGAGTCTTGATTTGAATAACAATCCTGAATGTTAAATACACGTAAATCATCGAGCAGTTGTTTTGTTTTGTTGGTTTTGAGGCGAAAACTCGCGGCAAAAATGTTTAAGCAAACAAGACTGTCGACTTTTTATGGAGTAAAATTTGTATAACACCGCTGTGTGGCGAGGAGGGGGTATTGCAGCTAAACAATTCACTTTGGATCAATGCTGCATTGAGATAGATAGATAGATAGATAGATAGATAGATAGATAGATAGATAGATAGATAGATAGATAGATAGATAGATAGATAGATAGATAGATAGATAGATAGATAGATAGATAGATAGATAGATAGATAGATTTTTGTAAATATGTGTAATGCACCATGACAGTAAAAAACACATTAAGGCATAAAAATTTACTTCTGCCAGTTTTATTTGTTCCTTGAAAAGCAAGATGCCTCAGAAGATATTTTTTTTATAATACAGTCACTGAAATAACAATTTTGAACATTATCTCTGTGATCATGTATTCCTTTCACTCGGCGCTTCAAGACCCATCAGCCTGCTTTTCTTTTCCTGTCATCACCTCTGGTCTTGCAACACCAGGCTTTTTTTGCCCCGTATTTGATTTCCCTCATTTGGTAAGTAAGCATTGACTTGCCCCTGCTCTCTAAAGACAGTATTTAATCATGAAAATCACAGTGACATTACATGCATTTCATTAAGTATAGAAAATAAACAATGGTTGGTCTTAGCTCTTGTCATGAAGCTACTTTAAGGCCCCCACTGAACCTGACAATAGAGACTACAGAGTCCTTTTATAGATTTGCTTGCAGACTTGATCTTCACAAGTGAGTTCCTGGTGAGAGAAAACAGGAGGTTGTAAAATGTTGTGACCAAAAATATATAAAATGAAAAGTGACTGTTACATAACTGAGCAATAGACAGCTATAAGACATTAAGTTTATTTTTTAGACCTAATTTTAACCGTATCTTTAGACGGAATTTAGACGTTGCACTTTAACCCATTATTCGATAACTATTTATTTCAAAAAGCAACTGTGAGTTGCATAACTGATCTCCAAGTACTTAACTAAAATGATTAAAGGTCGTTGAGCAATATACAGTATAGTAACGATATAGCCCATATTTAGATTTAGTCTAAACTTGGGCTCAATTAAGATGTCTAAAAAACTTGAATTTTTAGACCTGTGGTAGCCTGATTTTAGATCAGTCGTCTAGACTACATTTAGACGTCTATTAGACCTCTTTTAGACCAAAAAATGCTCAGTGGGAACTGCATTAGTGTGTAAGGTGGGTCATTGACAATCACTTACCAGATGAAGCTCATCTCCTTCAATCCAGTGAGCCCATCCTCGGTTCTTCTTCACTCCTCTCTGAACACACACCAGCTTATCATCCTTCCAGTTCACCACAGTCTTCAACCAAAAAACAAGAGCAGATGTGAAAAGAGCTCCTAATAACTGCGCAGCCCCACAAAACACAACCGACTGATGTCCAGAGATATTTTGGATATCTTTGTTGCGACAATAACCTACAAAGTTTTTACCTGGCATGATCTGTTGTCCATTCCTTTTGTCACTTCCACGAACTCTTCTCCAGTTTTGAAAGAGCACTCATAATTTTTGAAAGTCGTGAATGTCTTGATTGTGAAACTGTCTCCATCTTGGGTAATCACTTTCTGGGGCTTCAACAAAGACGCAACCTTACGTGTTGCAAAATCAATGCCTGTATGTCAGAGTAAAAAGAAAGTCAAATTCATGTGAAATATGTATCTCAACCATGTCCAGCATTGTTCACTGAATACAGATCATATTAAGTCTTATTTTCAGAGGACAAATAACTCTCTTTACATTTTACATAATACAAAATCACAAATCCTGTCAAATGTACATATTCATTTTCCCTTATACCACAACCAAAACACTCATATCTAAGCGTCTATGGTCATTAAAAGAAGCTGTGTCACATACCGAGTGAAATCATGTATCCGTCAAAGTTGACATTGCTGACCATGTCCCACGTCCCACTATAGTCCACTGGCATTTTGGATGTTTGTTTGACTCTCTGGGAGACTCTACAGCAGGAGTTACAGGAATGATCAGACTTGAAGTGAATGGGAGGGATTTTGTATTTTGCCAATGTCGAGCAGAGGTGATATGTTGCTATTTGGACACATGTGAAGGAAGACTGCTGGAGGGCGTAACAGAACTTTATACACATTAAAAAAGAGGAAACTGTTTTGTTCCTGTTTCAGTAATTACCTTCACAGAAGACTCTCCTGAAATCTTCAAATGTGAGCTTGAACAAACATACACAAAATATAACAACCTACTTCTCATACTTTAATGTGCAAGTGTTCAGGTAACACAATACACAGGTCTGTGTGCATGTGCAGCATGAAACTCTATCCTTCCTCCTGCTCGCGTGTGGAGCTGCAGGCAGTGAAACACGTCCAGCCATCAGGGTCAGTGTTTCATCCTGAACATCCATGTTCCTCTACATGTTAATCTACCTGGCTTATCACAGCAGCAGACAGATACCAAGGAGCAAGAGGTTGAAATTGTAAGTTAGTATATGTTCATTTGTTTTTTTGGTCAAATTTTTATTGATTTACATTTTCTTTTCCCATTTGCAGTCAAATCGTGAATGCAGTCGTCACGGCGCTGGTCCTGGTCCCTCAGCTCTATGTAATAAGAAGGTAACTAGAACACAGGTGATGGCTCTGAGCCAAAGAGCTCATGGGTCATTTAGGTGAGAGGGGATATGGTCTTCTTAACAATGGCGTCTGTTTGTTTTAAAGTCCCAAATCATCCAGATACTGCAGTCAGCCTCTCCTGAATAACCTGTCGGCTTCCATCGCCCTCTCCTTCATTACTGCAGGTATGTATTTAACCAATTAATGGCATCTTAACAGGATACATTATTATTATTGTTATTTTTATGTAACCTTTATTTGAACAGGTAAGAACCCATTGAGATCGAGGTCTCTTTTTCAAGGGTGACCTGGCCAAGAAGTCATCAGTACATGTCACATTAATACTACTACTACTACTACTACTGATGATAAAGAAATGACCTCCAGAAACATAATTAAAAACACAGGCACTGTTCCATGGTCTCCCAAATTCTGTCATGTAAGACTGATATATAAATCTTGCAGGTTTGGAAAGTGACTTTTTTGTCCGTACAAGGTTAAAAAGGCTTTAAGTCAAAATGAACTTCTATCAAATTACCTGCGCCCCCCCCTCCCCCCTCCCCCTTATTTTCATGTCTATCTGAATATATTGAAATTGAGTTTTTTGAACTATCTACAGGCTTGGTATCAAAAAAAGTGTTCTCTTTAATAGGTTTCTCAGTGATATTCACATTAATAGACCCGGTTCCTCAGAGCTTGTGGGCTGCCTGTCACATGTTCGGTCTGCTGACATGTGGACAGGGACTGTGCACGGCCATCCTCACTTTGACAGCAGCTTCATGTGTGAGATACTGACTATAATGATATATCTCAGCTCTATGAAGAAACTGCAGCATCCAAACGATTCGTTTGTGTTTTTCTACAGGCTGAAACCACTCCTGAGCTGTACTACACCTCCCTTTTTCTTACAGTTGCTTCTATTTTCAGTACAGGTGAATGAGTGTTTTTGTGAATTAACATACTTAAAGAGAGAATTCATACAGAGAGCCTTCAGCTTAAAACAAACAACACCTGCTTGTGCGTTTCAGGGTTTTTCCTGGTGCGAGGAGGACTCTGGTTGAGTAGGAAGCCATCTGTAATGGACCAGTGCAGAAACAATGAGCGGTAAAGCTGCCCAGCTGTCCCACGTTGACACCGGATACGCCACATATTAAGATTTCATGTGTTTTCTGTCCTGGAAGAAACTTAAAACCATGGGAACAAAAGACAAAAAGGAAGCTGACTTGATCCTCAGAAAACGACCAAAAGCAGATGTTTGTCTCCATCATTAAAGCTGTTTTTTATTTTTATTTGATGTGTGACAATTTCCATTTGTGCCAAAAAGTAAAATCTGAAAGCACATTTTAAATGTAAAGCTACTTCAAACAGATTACAGAAGAATAAAGAGGACACGGTTCAAAAATGGCTCTAAAACAAGTCCATAACCATCATCTAAACATCATAGGTCAGATTAATATTGACCTACGATTGTGCACCTTGTACCTGCTGTTTAAAATGTCCTCATCAGATACTTCAGGGTACCAAAAGCACCACAAACAAAACTGAAATGTTCATCTTTCATGAGCCAAACTTGATTTAAAATTAGGAAGAATATGGTTATAAGAGAAAAAAATCACAGTAATTTTGAAATGTATTGTAAACATAGCATCGATAATCATCATTTCCTGACAAGTGCTCTCATTACAGTGCATTATAAGACTATTACATGGGTTCAATGACTGAAAACACGTGACTACAACACTATGGTGCAAAAAATGACACCAACAGGCACAATATGGCTGCCGGAGCTCAACAACACCCGACCATAGCTGGAGTATGAATCAAATGATAATTGAAATAAGCTGCCTTTGCTTCGACGTCACCAGGATCATAGTTGTTCAACCTCACAAGTGGAATGTGTGTGAATCGTGTCTGTGCTTTTCTGAAGTGAAGCACCAAATTTTTCGATCAGAAAACGTTCAGTAACAAACTGCCTGCATTCACAAAACTAACACACAAACATGGTTCTTATGTGATCGAGTCACATTTTAGTGATATTTTTACTTTCAGCTGAGATTTTAAACTCAGTGGAAGACAAACTGCCAACAAGTCAAAAATACACAGCAAACTGCATATAAGCATTTATAAACTCACCTAAAATCTCACAAACACGCCCTCTTATGAAAAAAGAATAAAGGAATACTTGATGAAATGGTTTTTAGGCATCAAACTATCATTCAGTGCTGCGTAGTGTGCTCTCTGTAAACTGCAGTCATGGACATCAAATATTTAGTTCACATTTCACAAGATTCGAATAGATCCAAACTCCTTGTTTCAAGTGCTTTACGTCTCTGATAAACATTTTCAGAACCCTAACTTTTAAGTCTTTGTCACGTCCTCATTCGGCTGAAAGTCTTTCTTTTTTTTTTGGTTTGTTCATGTGTCGGGAAAAACTCCACTTTAACTTTAGCGATGGCTCAACAGCAATCTATTTAAGAAGAGTTTCCCCTGATATGATAAAGCCATAATGAACCTTTTTATCAAGCAGAGAAAAGGAAAATTCCTGTATTTTTGTGTGATCTTGACTGATGCTGAGAAGAATTTCTGAAATTGGTCCAGTATTGAGAAAGAGTGAATGAGCTGAAACGTAGTTTGATCGGGCAATTGCACATTGTCAAACTGCGTCCACTACAAGGGCTTTATCTTAAAGGGATCTTCAGGCTTAACTAAGTTAGGGTCAAACACACCGTAACACCGAGTTAGACACCCCCTCGAGAGATGAATGTTTGCTTCTCTCGTTATACCAACTTTAGTAATAACCGCATGATAGCAATACACAGAGGTCTATGGAGCCAAGCGCACACACTCAACCAAAACGCCACTCTTTAGCCACAAATAATGCTCAGAACAGCACCTAACTTCATCAACAGTACATATAGGGTCCCAGCCACAGCACTAGCCACCAAACATCTTTTTAACTTTGCTGGATTTCTTTAGCAAAGAGACTAAACACGACTCACCTACTCTCTTCCAGCAGCCGCTTGTTTGTAATAGGACCTCGGATAAGTCCATTACCGACTGCAGCAGGGTGACGCAGCTCAAGGAAGAACATTTATAATCATTTCTTTATAATTTCCCTGAAGTAATAATCAACATATTAATCATTTTGCACTGCAGACACAGTAGTTCTTCTGCCTTCGCGTCTCGGTCATTTCCATAAAGTAATGATAATAAATGTTCTTCCTTGAGCTGTGAAACTCCGCTGCACTCTGTAATGGACTCGTCAGGGCTCCCCAACAAACAAGCGGCTGCTGGAGGAGAGTGGGTGAGTTGTGTTTAGTCTCTTTGCTAAAGAAATCAGGCAAAGTTAAAAAGATGTTTGGTGGCTAGTACTATGGCTGGGACCCTATATGTACTGTTGATGTAGTTAGGTGCTGTTCTGAGCATTATTTGTGTCTATAGAGTGGCGTTTTGATTGAGGTTTGCACGTGGAGACTTAGACCGCTGTGTATTGCTATCGTGCGGTCATTACTAAAGTTGGTATAACTAGAGAAGCAAGCGGTCGGCAACATTTATCTCTCGACGGGGTGTCTAACTCGGTGTTACGATGTGTTTGACCCAAGCTTAATTTTGCACCTGACTATCCCTTTAACACTGAAAGGCTCTCAAAAAAATCAACCACAGACCTGCAGCAACAATTATGTCAAAGAAATGAGATTTGTCATCCACAGGTATGGCATGTAAACTGGTATTTCAACAAGCGGTTCAATCAAAGGAGCTTCATCCTAATTCATTAATTTATCCTAAAAGTGTGTCATAGTCTAAATACCAAACCAGTCTGCCGTCAGAGGGCTTCACCCCGGTGACGGGCCATTTCTGCGGGTTGTCCTTCACTCTGCTCAGCTGTGTGATCATCTCATGTTTGCTCTTGCCCATCACGAGCAGAGACACCCTGCGGGCTCGGTTTATGGCGCTGAAAGTGAGGCTCATACGCTGGTGAGGTTTAGCGGGGCTCTCAGTCAGCGCCACCAAACTCTCTCCATGCTGGTCTATTTTAGGCCCCGGGAACAGGGAGGCTGTGTGGGCGTCGTAGCCGACTCCCAGCAGCACAAAGTGGAAACTGGAGCCGTTAACCAGCTTTTTAATCTCTTCCTCATACTGCAGGGTCCCTCCATCCTCCTCCACGCACAGACGCTGGTTCAGCTGCACAGGCATGGGATGGATGTTGTAGTAGGGAATCTTCACGTGCTGCAGAAGGTGGTCGTGCAGGTTGTGGAAGTTGGACTCTGGGTCGGTCAGCGGCACGCAACGCTCGTCCACCATCCACACATGGGTGTCTCTCCAGGGGAAGGAGAAGTGGTGCAGGGCGAGCCGGTGGAAAAGAGCAAGGGGAGATGACCCGCCGGAGAGGGCGAGGTGGAAAACACCGCCCTCACGCACCGCTTCCTCTGCCGCTTCTTGCAGGTCGGTTGCTAGCTTCTCCACCAGCTCCTCGGCCCACGCAGACACCATTTCACAGCTGCGAAATTTACCCTGCATCACCTGGAAACCGTTCGCAGAGGTACCACCCAGGGGATTGTTGTTGATGATCACCACCTCGCTGTTGTAGCTGATCTCTTTCCCCTTCAAATTAACATCCAGGAGGCCTCCGTTGTCTGCGCCTCCGGGGTAAATACGCGGGAAAGAGCTGGCTATACTGCTGAGCAGAGGTGTCCACATTCCCCATGAAGCCAGCAGGTTTTCAGTACTAATGAAACTATCTTTACGTCCAGCGAAAATGTGAGAAATCAGTTCTGAATACGCTTCTTTCAGCTCTGTCGGAGTATGAACATAATAATCTGAAACAGGCAAACCTAAAACACTCAGATCTTTGTGCTCCATCACTTCCTTCCACTGCGAGTCTTTAAAAACTGGCTTAAATAAATTTTTGCTCACAAGGATGGCTGGATATTGAAGGCTGCCATGGCCAAAATGGAACACTATCTGTTTGGGCTTGCAGTGAACGCTGTTTTGATTCTGGAGACAAAAGATGTCGTTCTTGAAAAGTACGCGTGCGTATCCGACACGTTCGTCCAGCATTTTCCCTGAGATCAAAAGAATCGGGACTCCTTCGTACTGAGCCTCGTCCATATGTGCCAATACAGCTGAAATAAACAAACAGGATCAAAATTTGGAATATTTCTGATTTTAAAACAGAGACGATCCTCATGATCAAGGTCTTCAGTGCTCACCTGCAAATGTTGGTGTGATACTGATGTGATCTTTAGTCATATTCAGCTCCTGCTGAACCTGCGCCTTGTATGCTTGGTACTGGCCAATCACAGCCTGATTCTTTCCAACAGGCAGCAGGGAGCTGAAGATCCGCAGCTTGTTTTGGAGGACTTCCTCGCTGCTGCTCAGATTCACAGGGAGCCTCATGGTCATCAGGGTCATGACTTCGGTGAGGTGGTTCTGCAGGACGTCTCTGATCACCCCGTACTGGTCGTAGAAGGGAATACGACCTTTGAGGCAAAACAAGAGGAGAGATAGTTGATTTCTGGTCCTCCGTTTTCGACTGTCAACACAACACTCAAATCCAACCCACTCACCGCTTTGTTTGGAGTCACACCCTCAGAAATTTATACCACTAATAAACAAAAGAGAGCAAAAGCATTCTGCAGCCTTATAACTCAGAGGCTGATCTTCATGGATTGGAAATCTATCCATCGAGATGGATTCAGGAGGTTATAGCTCCACTTCAGTTAGAAAAGATAAGACAAACACTCAACAGATGCTGTGACACATATACCAGTGTGGTGTGTGGTCTCCTTTTATTGAGTATGTAAAGAAGTTAAATCTATAACCAATCATGTTATCTCGGTAATTTTAACCTGTCTGACTAGTCCATTGATTTTACTCTTTTGCAACATTGGATCCCTTTGTGTGTGTGTGTGTGTGTGTGTGTGCGCGCGCGCGTGTACTCTTGGTCCCAAGGGAAGGTATGTGGGGAGGACACTAGCACCAGATTATGATCATGAGATTTGGTATCTTGTGTTTTTTTTACTATTTTTTATGTATGTTATTCTTATATAACTGAAAATGCCCTAAATTAAGTTGTAAAAAAAGAGAGACCATGAACACATGATGGTATCTATCTTTACAGGGATGTTCAGATATATTTGTTCCTTCCTGACTCACATCATTTTATCTTCACGTCAATACTGGCCAGAACTGAGTATCCCCTCATTACTTGTGTGTTTCCTGTATTTAGCTAACTACAACTTTTGGTACAATTTCTTCCAGTACCACACTTTTGTTGCCTGATTTTGTCAAGCACCTAAAACCTGTAATTTGTCTGGTATTCCACTAGTGCATTGACTGGCATACTCGCCCACTATAGGAACCACATTAGAGGCTAAAACTGATACTTGCACTCAGTTTCCAATCTCACGATAAATGCGATAAACGCAAGTTGATGATGTAAACACGGGCGACGGACTCACAGCCGTAGCCCACACAGAGCAGAATAAAAAACAAACATAGGTGAAGGTGGAGAAGATTGGGGCTTGGACGAGTGGAATAAGGTATGCCTGACATCAGACATTGGATCTACTTCTGTTCACTCTGTTCAATAAGAGTTTTGAATAAATGTTGAAAGTGTTTTCATATTTCAGACCTGTTTGATATCTCTAGTTTTATCCATAACCTACCGCTCAAACTTCAGGCTATAGGTCCTTACACACCACGCGTGAATTCGCCAGGCGAATTATTCGCCTTTTTTTAAAACAGCATAAAGTCAATGCAAGCTTCCACACTGGCGGCGATTTTTCCGCGGGGCAAAAAGCGTCTTTTATTTTTTCGCTCTTGTGTCGAATTTTTCGGAGATTTGCAGGCGAATATCTGGACCTACTAGACCTCTGGCCAATCAAAAGTCATGTTGTTGATGACGTCACAGACCCATGCGGCTGCAGTTCACACGACACACACCACCACTAGCACCAAGAGCAACAATGGGAGAGAGTGTGTACCACAGAGTAGTTGCCCGGTGTGTATAAGTGAAAGTAATTTTTCGGACTGGCGAATATTTTCGCTTTTTCGTCTCACTTTTTCGCTTCACAAATTCGCTGGTGTGTAAGGACCTTAAGTATCTTATTTGACTATGTGCCTTGATTCAAGAACAATGTTTGTGCAGTTCTCATTACAGAATGAGTCAAAAATATAGATTGGAATTATAATAATTTTTATCGGGATTTTTATCGTTATCACCAGAATGGCAAACTTATCGTGATGAATTCTTTAGCCTACATCGTACTTCCCTACTGTTCATGCATTTACCTTTTACATCCAGGGTTTCTTTTAAGACGATCTCCACTCTCTCAATGTGGTGCTTGTTCCAGATAGGATCCAGAAACTTCTTGTTCTCCTCTCTGAATGGAAGAATCTTTGCCACCACCTTCACACACAAAATCAAACACATGCTGTGAAATCAAACATCTCACTCCCACAGCCACGGGAGTGCTGCTGCTTCTACTAGAAAGGATTTTCTTACCTGCTTGCCCAGGTAATGATCGATTCTGTACATTTCTTCATCCTTTAAAGCACTCCCCAGCTGAGATGCAAGCACCTGAGCGCTCCTGAAGTCATGCCCGAAAGGTTTCTCTAGCACCACCCTCAACCAGGTGCCACCTTTTGGCCTGCAAGTGCTGTTTATCTTCTCAGCGATGTCTGCGTACGCAAACGCTGGCACAGAGAGGTAGAAGAGCCTCCCCGCCTCAGTGAGTCCCTCCTGCTGAAGCTGCTGCTCAATCTGCTTAGATAGATCCTGGTACTCCTCTACCGTCTTCAGCTGCTTGTACTCAGTGAGCCGCAGGAACTGCTCTCTAAGTATAGCGCACCGCTCCTGTGACACATCCTTGGGGCAGGTCACCGCCTTCAGGATCTCAAAGAGGACCGGGGTGGCCTTTTCAGCAGGTGACAGCCCTCCACCGTAGAAGGAAAAGGAGTTCCCACTGCTAACGTGGTGGGCGTACAGCTGGAAGAAGCCCTGCCACAGGTATTTCTTGGCCAGGTCACCTGTGCCTCCAACTATCACCACGGAAACATGGCCCTGTCCCTGGGTTTCCTCACCGTTTCCTCCCTGGGAGCACAGAGTGACCAGGAGCAGGACCACACACACCAACATGCTCTGGTTTGAACTGTGCAAACTCCTGTATCAACACAGCAAAGAAAGACACGACAAGAGATCACTACATGACACACAAAATGCATTCAAAATGACCTTCAAAATGTTGTACGTTATGTGTGTTTACACGCCAGGAAAAACTGTGAAGATTGTTGACAGTATTTCTGAGAATCTAACTTTTTAGATTCAAAACCAAACTATATAAAGTCAACTTCCGACAAAGAAAAGAAACATTTTCTCAAATTTTCACTAATCATTCGTAATCAATATGTGAAAATATACAATTTCAACACCAATGCAACCAGTATTTGTTTTTGGTCTGCAAAATAAACAACCAACTGACCAATAGATGGCTATTAGACGTCTAGTTTTTTTTAGACCTAATTTCAAACATCTAGATTCTGTATATTTTTAGACAGAATTTAGACGTTGCACTTTAACCCATTATTAGACATCTATTTATTTCAAAAAGCATCTGTGAGTACTAAACCAAAATAATTACGATAGCCGTTGAGCTAAATACAGTTAGACCTCTGTTAGCGGACTAGTCTAAACTTGGTCTTAATTTAGACGAGTAAAAAGCTTTTATTTTTAGACCTGTGGTAGCCTGATTTTAGACAAGTCGTCTAGGCTACATTTAGACGTTTATTTGACCTCTTTTAGACCAAAAAATGCTCAGTGGGAATCTACTTTTTATAGTAATAAAAACTATGGTTTCAGCTAATTTAAAGCTCATTATTACCTGAAAACCTTAAAGTTAAATAAGAGTTCATTTTACCTGGAGCTCAGATATATCCAAAGAAAAACAGAGAAAATTTTTTAAAAAAGTAGCAGAAACGGATCCAGCTGATTGTTCAGTCCCCTTAGAGCTTATGGTTGTGCTTTGCCGTGAACGTCATGGTCCGTAATGATCCGTAGATGGTGATGAGGCAGCAGTGAGGTCTTTGGACTTTGCTCGGGGGCAACAAGCCTCTAGAGCAACAGATCACCTCTTGTTGAAATGCTGGGAAACTCTGACTGATTTTCTGGTGATTTTGCAATGACAGAAATTCATTGATTTAGTCAGACAGGCATTGATCCAACAAAACCTTATGCAAAACTCTGGGTTGGGGGGGGTAGTTAAAAAAAAGGTTATTGGTCTATGCATCTGTTAAAGGAAACAAGGCTGTGTAAATCCTCTTTGAATCTAAATGGGCAAAGATCTGACACACCGTCTATATTTAGAAATAAAAGGTCACGATTTAAAAAAAACTGAATACCGCTCTGATACAAGATAAAGCTTTTATATTTATGGCATTAATTAGTTTTACTTAAAAATGCTTTCCATACTTTGTGAAGCAAAATGTTCCAAATAAAAGCATGACTTAGTTCAACAGAGAACTGATTTTGACTTTTGCATCAAATTTTTCAGGGATTTAAATTCCCTAGTGAAACTAAGTAACCCCATCAAAAAAGAAGAATGAAGGCATTTGATGCAAATATTTGGGTGGAAAATTTCCAATTTTTTGTGTTTTTTCATGCCAATAATGTAGCCTAAAGCGGAAATAGAGGGAGGGGGTTCAAAGAGGTCTGGTGAACTCACTCTTTTGAAACAGCATGGATGTGTTCATTTTTTTCATACTGACAGTCAGGAGACCCAGCCGATGTGGACTCGAGTGATACCACTGGAGGCAGTTTGTTAGATTTTATCTAGGATCTTCTGGGATCATAAAACATACATATAATTTTTTTTATTGCTGCATCACTCACCTCGAATATACTGAGGAGGTTTTTGAATTCCCTTTAAACCACATTTTAAAATGCTGGTCAAAACTTCTCGGGCAAAATAGTGCACCTATCAGTGTTTATCAGTGTTGTGGTTCTGAGACACCAGGAATAAAAACTATGACTGAAAATAATTCATGATGAAACAATCCCACTGAGCATTTTTTGGTCTAAACGAGGTCTAATAGACGTCTAAATGTAGCCTAGACGACTGGTCTAAAATCAGGCTACCACAGGTCTAGTGATGAAAGCTTTTTAGACGTCTAAATTTAGATCAAGTTTAGACCAAGTCTTAAGCTGGGCTTTATCTATACTACACTGTATATTGCTCAACAGCTATCATAATTATTTTGGTTAAGTACTTGGAGATCATTTACGCAACTCAAAGTTGCTTATTGAAATAAATAGTTATTGAATAATGGGTTAAAATGCAACGTCTAAATTTCATCTAAAAATATATAGAATCTAGACGGTTGTTAGGTCTAAAAATTTTGGACGTCAAATAGCTGTCTATTTTTAAGTGGGATGAATTTGATGATAAAAATGAGGAAATCTGTATAGATTTCCTCTAATACACCAATTACTGCATCATGTTGTATCATGTATCAGACTGTGGCACTGCTAGGGTGATATGGAAGCCCTGGTTACTTTGATAGTTACCTTCAGCTAGTCTGTATTATTGTCTTTGGTGCTTCTTGTCCTTCTCTTGAAAAATATAGCTAGTTTCTCCTCCTCTGCTCTTGTAGCTGACAAAATTGATATCAGAAGTCCTATCCCTTCATGATTTTGGTCATTTGGTCTATTGGAGAAGATGGTGGGTGCTTTGAACTGCACTGGTCTTATTTCAAAAATAGGCCCCAAATGCCATTAGTGGACACAAACCCTTATTACAGAAAACTTTTTTACTATTCAAAAAGAGAAAAACTAAAAATGGAAAAAAAAATTACAAATGGAAACTAAGCTGGAGTATTATCATTGTCTTGATATTACAACCACAGATATTTATGACAGAAATATCACTTAATGTCAGTAAAATGTATTACGCAGCTGCTGAATAGTACGGACAGCAAACAAAATCTTGGTCCAGGCGGTAAAATCCTGGCTGATGACAGAGAACAATTTGTTTTGCTCTCTCATTGCGAAGGATTGAATACAGTCCATGTTTACCTAATGACACAAACTTAGAGCTGTGTAAACAGATGTGTCTGCTGGAAACAAAACAGCTGCAAAAATGTGGAGACCAGTTAGACACTGCTTACAGATTTAGGTTCTGAGATGTGGAGATGTCTGTCCTTTTTTTCCCCCTAAAGGAACAAAAAAGGGTTTTAACCTTAATGATGTTTTATCTTCATGAAGATTCTGTCGCCAATGCTGTGCATTTGGTCACAGTTTTTAATTTTTTTTTCATTTGATTAAATCCAGAAATGCAAGTCATACTCAGTATTTCATCCCGAAATACTAACTAGCCCTTGGGCCACATGTATGCTATGGACGCCACTGCGCTACAAAACACAGCACTACACACTTCCCTGAACGCATCATGGTCAACACATGTTGCGCTTAATTCTGTTACCCATGAGACTCTTCCCCCCCGTTACTGTGGTCTACTAATTTCTCACCAGACAGAAAACAAAACGCCTCAAAAATAGACATAACGGTCGTTTCTCGGTGTTGTCAAACGATGTAAAAAAAAACACGAGCTCATCTGCAAAAATACTGGCGCGTGGCGATCGTACATCGGCGTATATGTAACGTGAATGATTACCTGAACACTACCGTAGATGACCTCTGCAAACTGTCCCTTTTAAGTCAATACTAAGTAAAACAAACGCTATTATACCTATATTTTCATATTTGTTTAACGGACTGCAAACGGCTGAAAGTGAAACGGTGAAGTTCAGAGTGTTTCTGATTACACCTGCCAGCTGTCAAACTTCACTTCCGCGAAAACTACAACACACACAGAGCTCAAAACACCTCCAGCGACTCAGTAGCAGAGCTTTAAGATTAAATATATAAGCCACGATGTCTTATAGGCGCACAGACAGAAGACGGAGAGACACAGTAGAAGTTAAAAGGATACCAACCTGCCCCGTGGCGGCATGAACTATCCTGCAGCACAGTCAACAGCTTCCTGCTCTGGCGGTCACGTGATCATCCTGCTGCTCACAGTACAGGCTGATGATGATGATGATGATGATGATGATGAAGAAGAAGGTTTAGTTTGTTCACATTTCTAAAAAAAAATTAACCCACTTTTACCTCACTGTATAAAACTGAATAGCTTCATTCATGCAGTCACCACACTTACGCACAACAGAGGTACTTTACTATGCGGTTTATACGGTGGCCAAGAACCGCCACTGCTGCAAATAAAAAATAAAAAAATAATGCAAAAAATTAAAAAAAATAGAAGAAGAAAGAAACTGAAGCCCGCTGCAAATAAAAAAAAAAAGAAACGGTGTAGATAAAAAAGCAACAACAGAAGTTAATGACGCAGAAAAAAAAAGGGGGGGGGGGGGGGTAACTTACTGCAAAATAAAAGGATGCAAATGAAAAAAAGCCACAACAGAAGCATACAAACTGGGACAAAGAATAATGATGCATGGGTGTTTTACGATCCAGGCACAGAAGGCGACGGCGAGGAGATGAGCAAAGAAAGGTTATTGTTTAATTTCGCTTTTTTTTATTTGCATCATTTTATTTTTGCAGTAATTAACTTTTTTTTTTTGCATCACCACTTTTTTTTTGCCTCATTTACTTTTGTTGTTTTTTTAATTTTTAATTTTTTTAATCTGCACCGTTTCTTTTTTTTACTTGCAGCAGGCTTTGGTTTCTTTCTTTCTTTTTTGAATCAGTAACTTCCATTGTGGTTTCTTTTTTTTTTTTTCAGTGGCGGTACTAGGCCACCGTAGTTTCTGCACTCTAAACCTTTACTCTCTTAATCTACCACTCGGATAAAAATATTGAGGCCTACTTATTTTTTACTTTGTTTGTAAGAAGCGTGGTGTGGAGGAAAATGTGAACTTCTTGGGCAGATCTGTTGTAGTTTTGAGTCTTTGGCTGTCTTTTGTCACTTGGGGGCAGTTTAGGACTACAGAGTTTCATTCTAACAAGAGAGACCTCTGGTGGTTTGTATGTGGTATTGCTGCTACTGTGTGTTACACAGTCAGAATGAATGAAACTTTATTTAACCAGAAAAAACTCATTGAGATTAAGAATCTCATTTGCAAGAGTGTCCTGGCCAAGACAGGCCACAGACACTCTTGATGTGGCCCTTCCTCCTGACTGCATCAGGTAGAAAAGGCCATGGATTATTTTATGACGCTTAATTCTTCACTAAATTTTTCAGCTACTTTTCCAACCACAGCTCTCCTTCAACAGTCACAGCCTAACCCACAGATGAATACTTTTAAAAAGTCAGAGTAAAAAATCAGAAAAACACAAACTGCTGACTTTGAGAGGATAAACATCAGCTCCTGTTTGCTCAGCATTGTTCAGCTGTCTCATGTCAGGCCTACCTCAAACAAAGCAGGTGCCCTTTTGGCCAAATAATGATCTGATTGTTGTTGACCACACTGCCGGTCGGCCTCTCTGGTCCTCCCTTTTTACTCTCCTCAACAGTTGTGCCGGTCGTTTCAGTTGTGGACCTTGACTCAGCACCTCCACAGACCTACCTGATAGAGATAACAAAGCAAAACTTGGCAGATTAAACAAAGAAAACTTGAAATTGTAAGACTGCATTACAACCAAATAAGAATAACCAGAGGTTGTTTTTTTTTTTGTTTGTTTGTTGTTTTTTTTTGAGGATCACATTCTCGAGAGAAACAAGAGCAGTAATTTTCTTAAATTATCAACTTTGAAATTCAACTTTCAATAGAGCAACTTTTAACCCTTTAATGCTGTTTGTATCATATTTAATACATACTTTTAAATACTTCTATCAAATCAATATAATCAACAAATTACAAAAAAAAAAAACACCTGAATACAGTCTGATAAATGATGAAAATGTCCACTTGTAGTTTATCAGTTTCCAAAAACATCTAATGTGTCAAACGAGATCAACAAATATATTTGTTAAATTTTATGGACATTTTGATTTTTGAGGGTTTTCAGTTGTAAGTGAAATAAACATTTTAGCTCCAAAAAAAGTGAATTTTCTGGTCATGATTTGTGGTGTCAGGCATTAAGGGGCTACGAAAGTATAAAATTTTTCCCCATGTACAGAGATTCAAACATGGGCCCTACACACACACACACGCACTCTCACACACACACACACACACACACACACACACACACACACACACAAACCATTCCCTGCACTACCTTACAAACAGCTGTATTGCTTGTGTTCACTTTGTGGAGCCCTCCCAAGTTGGTTGGCCACTGTGAAATGTAAACAGTAAACAGGATGGAGCATCCTGCGTTTGTGTGTGTGTAAGTGTGTCTGTGTGTGTGCATGTGTGTGCGTGTGTGTGGAGAGCAGGGGAGGGGGCGGCTGCTAAAGAGAGAATGAGCCCATGCAGAGCGTGCTAGCCCAGCTGTCACTGCTTTAACTTCAGACTTGAGAGACCACAGAACACAAGCTGGAGGGCCGCACTGTGTGAGTGTGTTTAAGTGTGAGTGTGTGTGTGTTGTCACCCCACAGACCGACCAACTCCTCCACGCCCCCCTCCCCTCAGACATTCTCCACAGCCCCCTGGCTTCCTTCCTCCCCTTTGTTAAGCCTGCGAGGCAGACTTCGTCAAGCTGAGCACACAATCGAATGCATATGAATGTGTGCTGTCATCTTTATTAGGCCCCTCTGCCAACAGCCATTACATTTAACACAGCTCTTTACTGAAGGGGATTTCACTTTCAGACCCCCATCCCAACTTGCCAGACGAGGAGGATTAAAGTAGCCTCAGTGTGGGATACATTTGAATACACAACCTGCTAATACGAACATAATACTTTGCACACAGTAAATGCTAATCTGTAAATAACTCTTAGTTTCTTAGAGATTTGTGATTGCCTATAAACTGTTGCATTTCCATCTACCGATCTTGAAATATAATTATTCATCAACAGTTGTTCATTAAATTTGATTGAGTTACATGCGAATGTGGACCTCCTGTACATGTTCATGCATTACAGAAAAATTTAAGGGCCACTTTAAAGGAAAAAAGTTTGATTTTTTGTTAAAATCCTGACTTTAATCTCAGAGATTAAAGTCAGAGTCCAGAGTTTTTTCTCAAAAATCAGAATTTTTCTGATTTATTAATATTTATTATCCTCTTTTGTAATGTATGCTCATATTATTATGTCAAATCTTTTTATCTTCAGGAGAAAAATATTCTTTACAATCCTAATTAATTCATTTTTAGTGTAAATTTTGGTGTTTCATATAGACATATGTTTTCTTTTGTTATGATAATATTTCTCATATTAATTTAAAGTATTGTCTCATCTTTATGATCATTTTCATTCTTGTTTGTTGTGCTTATTCATATCTGTTTATTTGGGCTGGGATGATATGCTTTTCTCCTGATTTGATTCTTTTATGATTTTTAAATGCCAATTTGATTTAAATTGCGATTCTACGATATTGTCGATTTCTCGATTTTTAGTCTGCATTTTTAACACCCGTGAAACAGTTGAATGATTATGATCGTCTACTGACTATTCCAGGAACCATAATTCCCCAAAAATTACACATCACATGTAAGTCAGTTTTTAAGATTTATTCTTAATTTGGAAAACAAATCGATTTAGAAATTGTAAAATGAAAAACTGCGATACTTATCGATTTTTTCTCCCACCCCTACTGTTTATGTGAATCAAAGCCAATGTAAAACAGGTGTGTAATTCCTCAAACATGCACGCATATCTGGTTAATAAAGTTCATTCTTATTTTGGTATCGGTGGTTAAAAGATGATTGACTGATTGATTAGAGGTGGTTTTACATTTCAAAGTTAAGACAATGCCCTCAGCAAGTTTTCTTTGGAGTCTTGTTGGAACACCCATCCACCTGTATTTCCCTCTACCACACACTTTGATGCATGAGGTCAGTGCCAACGCTGGCAGCGATGACTGATCCCTGCAAAGCCACTAATAGACTCAAACTGTGTAATGTATGACTAATGCTGCAAGTTTTGAACCACGATCTCACATTTCTTCCCCTCATAAGCGGAAAACTTGTCGAAGCTTGTTCTTTTCTTTTGTGTCTCAATGCTACACTGCACACCAAACAGCCCACATACAGACGGCATGCACCCGCCCCGAATTCCACCAAGGAGAGGTAGTGTTTTCAGAGGAGGCATGTGGGGCTTTTAAGAGGAGATGACTGAGAGGAAAAGGAGGAGAGAAAAAACACAATGTGAAACACAAGGCTTTTCAGCTCAGACAATAAAACCACAGATTCAAGGAGCTTCTACAACGTCTATCCTGTTATTCAGGCTGTTTCTCAGGAAGATAAAAGAAGAGTGATTTAGGATTGGTTTTAATGAAGTGTTATTAGTGGAGCACACTTCTGTCGGTTGATATTTTACAGTGTGTGGTCTTTGTGGTTTTTATTCCTTTCGTTTCTGTACCTGTATCGGTATGCAGAGATTGAAGCCTCTAAATCCTACTTTTTGTTTTGGTTTATTTGCGTAGAGCTTATCAGTACAAGGTATCATGCTCCGTCACTGCACTGCAGCATTGAATCAAACTATCTCCTGCTTGTTGAGCCAACGTATCTTGTGTTTTTGTCGTCACGTCTGGTTGTTTATATTGTACAGAACAGCTCCTGCCTTGTGTGATTTTCATGTTATCAGATAAGTTTAAGGGATTACATACTCCTTCTTAACACACTCCTTTGTGGGAGGAAAATTCCTCCCTCGTTGCCTCATGAAACAAACCTTTTAAACTCATCGGATTATCTCAAATTCAACTTGTCTCCCAGACTGTCTTTACAGCCTCTGATTCAGGAGCTGCATGTTGGTTTTCGTTTGATCCAAATCCAACCTGATTATCAGGATAAACTCAAGAGGACTGCTTCTCATAACTATTGAAACATTGGCACCGATTATGATAAATGGTTATTGCAAAATAGCTGTGTTTCCCTATTGTGTCATCGAAAGTAGACTTGAAACAACTGCTATATGAAACTGCATTTTAAACTTAAATTAAAGCCAAACTATCTGTGTAAATTATGCCTAGCCATGTAATTTCAAGCTCTGTGTTTCAATATAATTTAAATGACTTTTTACTGACTTTATTAATTATTTAGTTTTATTTGTACAGGATCCATGTGCAAAGTAACACGTAATTGTTGCAATTTCATAACACCGATATGAGCTAAGGCAAGCTTACGTCTTCAAACCTTTGCAGATAACATGACTTTTACAGGACTGTTTTTATCGTGCGATTTATTTCTGATTGTCAAATTTTTTTTTCAAACCCGTATCCTGTCAATACAAGCGTTCACATCAGCGACGTTTTCCCGTCCTGCGATATTGCGGCGTTTATTTTTTCGTATCACGGTCGATTTTTCAAAAGTTTCGCATACTGTGTTTCCACTTCTGACCAATCAGATTGCGTGTTGTTGCGACGTCTGATTCACCGGTATATCCAACATGGCCGACCAGCCGATTGTTTACATGTCGGAGAAGAGAGTGATTTTTGATAAAAAACACAAACATTACAAAGATAACGACCTGAAGGATAGTTTTTCTTTAACAGTTTGCTAAACGTCTTTGTTTTAACTTTCATCTATGCTAAGTAACTTTAGCTCATAAGCTAACCTGTTCAGATACAACATACCATATGTATTTTCACTGTCTCAAACTCAGTCGCGTTGCTGTCACAGCACCATTAGGTCTTGGTTGTTACCTTACGTTTATGGATTATAGTTTCATGTGCTTATCTGGTTCTGGCCCCGACTCAGTACACTCATCTCAACACTAGTGTCCAATCAGAACTGAAATAAGTCAGTCTGCTGTTGTGTCAGTCTTCTCGCTTCCACCAGGGAAAGTCGCAAAATCCCATCATGCTTGATGTGTATAGTCAGGCTCCTCTGAATATTTCGTAATTTTGCATCGTATATTTGCGTCAGTCCTGGTGTGTAAGGACCTTTATTCTTACATCCTCTCAACTCCATTTCAGCAAAAAATATTAAAATGTGTGTTTGTATTCTTACTCAGGTGAAGCTAAGCAAATATGTAGATTTTCAGCCTTGTGTTTGTTCTTGGTTGTTGTGCTGTTTTGCTTAAGTAAATAATCCAAGTGCTGCTTCCACCATTGACGGTGAGTTTTGAGTCCTTATAATGTAGGAACAAAGGCGTGAATCCATCATCTCCTAACAAGAGTTTTAGAGGCCCGCACTTAAACAATGAAATGGTGGAGAACAGTAGGTGCATTTTATGTCAGCAGTGGACAAAAACTCCCCGGTGCTCTCCATAGTGTTCCTGCTCTCTGTTTGCTGACACCACGAGAAGTGTGAGGGCGGTGGGGGTGTGAGGGGCACAGGCTCTGAATGACACGGCATTGCTGCTTTGGCCGTTGTTCACTGACCCACAAAATACAGACCCAGCCCCCAGTGTGAAGTACTTTTGTGCTGTCATCGCCCTCAGAAGCCCAGGACCGGAGGAGGGGAGGGGGCGTAAGGGTGTAAGAGGGGAGTTTGAGCTTCCAGAGGGCTCAGCGGCTTGCTCTCCAGCAGCACGCATGCTCTGTTAGCCGGATAAAAAGACGCCTGTATTGTAATGAAAGCATTTGCATACTTGTGTGTTAGAGAGGGTGTTGACCTTTGACACCTCTGAGAACTGGTTGACAACAGAAACCACTTCTTGAAGTCTCGCCATTAACACTCTAGAAAATAACACCTAAGCGTACCTCAGCGTGAATCAAAAGAGGCAAAGAGAGGAGAGAAAGGGCTGTTCCAGTGCTTGAGATGGAAGCTTCCTCTCGAGTGGCGATTCACACTCAAAATAAAGTGTGTCGGGTAATTTGAAAGTGACGGATATCAGGTTCTCCGAGGATGGTGTTGGGTCTTGGTAGAATCTCAAACAGTGAAAGCAAGACTACAATTTGGGGCCATCAAATAAATTATATGTTAACAATGTATAACAAATGTTTTTGACAAATGGAGATACTATGACCTTTTCACCTTGTTCTCCATTCATGACAGCAACACTCATGGTGCAAAACTACCCAGCAGCATCAGCATTCCTATTGCCTTATGTTGTAAATGAACACTTTTAAAGTAGGTATCTATGAAAGTCAGAGGACAAAAGAGATGCAAAAATTTGTATTACATTACTTTTAGGCTATGTTCACACTGCAGGTCAATTCCGATTTTTTAACCATATGTGACACATATCTGATTTTTTCATGTAAGCGTGAACAGTGCAATTCTGAGTTTTTCAAATCCGACCCAGGCCTCTTTTGTATGCGTGTATAAATGGGATATATCGGATATGACTGCAGTGTGGACGCTCAGGTGCAAATATCCGACCTATACGTCATCAATATGTGACAAACGTCACCATTGTTCGACAACACAAACAGGCGCGGAAAGCAATTTGTGATTTGTGCGCGTGTGGGTCACTTCACGGACGGATTCCGTTCACATTAGATGACGCATTCGTTGTTGTAATGTGAACGACTGCACAAAAAGATCGGATTTAACAAAAAATCCGAATTGTGCATCATAACCTGCAGTGTGAACGTAGCCTTAGAACCCCATTTGAATCATTTAAAGCAAGCTTTACGTAGAAATTTGACTTGGCAAATAAAAGGCGATTTTAAACTTGATTTTCTTTTGTGAACAAATAAACTCTTCGTTGTTTTCACATCCTAGTTTGAGTTGATGGCTATAACTAATGATGGAATAACTAAACTTTGTGATAGATAGGTTTTTCTGCAGTCCATGATTTAACATAATGTTGTCTTCTATTCTTAAGGGTAAAAAATGACCTGTGCGTACTACACTCATCATGTTCAACTACAATTTGTGTTTGTCAGCAATTGAAGTGCTTGTCATTTGCAGGTCAGAAAGCCATAATTCAGCCCACACTTAACTTGTTAATCTATTATTCCACAAACATCTTTCACTCTGTCTGTTGTATGATTAATGTCCGTGTACGGTAATGTTGGACAAGACAATGTCCGCCTCTTCAGCGGGTTTTTTGGGGGGTCTTTGTCAGGACAGCCGGCAGTGTTTGGCTCTCTCAGATGGAGGGGGCTCTTCTTTCCAAGTACACAGCGCTTCACAGAAGAAGACTTGACTCTGAAATTCCTCCAGATAAGAGTTGCTAGGTGATGCTATTGTCAGATCCTCTTTGTGGTCACATATTCATACCCAAATTGTTGAGGTTCTTTTTTGAGGAGCGCCTCATTAGTAGTCATATATTCATACCACACGACCCCCCCTCTACTTGACCCCTCCTTTACCAGTCGTGGGAAAGACGAGTCCTGAACGAGACGAGGAGGACTCTAGCAATTACTTGGAGGGCGGTCAAAAAAAGATTGTTCAAGTTAAACACTCTCTCAGTCTGCGAGAGCTCAAATGTATACTGTTTTGTTGTTTGAAACATTTTTATCAAGCAAAACAAATCCAGTACAGATGGAACAATCAAGTTTATTTCATGTTAAATTATAAACTGTGGAAGAGCAAGATATATTCTTTAAAAACAGACTATGATGGACCCCATCTTTCAAGTCCCATGCCTCAAACAAGACTGAAGCTAAATCAGATGTGTAAGAAGAATTTTGTAAATGACTTAAATAAAACTTAAAGGGATAAATTAGTTTAGGGTCAAACACACCGTAGCACAGAATGAAACACCCCCTCAAGAGATGAATGTTGCCGACCGCTTGCTTCTCTAGTTATACCAACTTTAGTAACGATCGCATGGACTGCTGCAGGGTGTCGCAGCTCAAGGAAGAACATTTATGAACATTTCTTTATCATTTCCTTTAAGTAATAATCATCATCATATCAATCATTTTGCACTGCAGACGTGGTAGTTCTTCTGCCTTAGCATCTCGGTCTGATTGCATTTCCATGAAGAAATGATCATAAATGTTCTTCCTTGAGCTGCGTCACCCCGCAGCAGTCCGTAATGGGCTGGCCTGAGGTCTCGCTACAAACAAGCCACTGCTGGAAGAGAGTAGGTGAGTTTTGTTTAGTCTCTTTCCTAAAGAAATTAGGCAAAGTTAAATAGGTGTTAGGTGGCTAGTGCTGTGGCTAGGACCCTATATGTAATGTTGATGAAGTTAGGTGCTGTTGTGAGCATTATTTGTGGCTACAGAGTGGCATTTTGGTTGAGTTTTGTTTATGGCTCCTCAGACTGCTGTGTATTGCTATCGTGCGGTCGTTAAAAAGTTGGTTTAACTAGAGAAGCAAGTGGTCAGAAACATTCATCTCTCGATGGGGTGTCTCTCTCTTGGTGTTACTGTGTGTTTGACCTTAATTAATTTTACGCCAGAATATCCCTTTAAACACATAACTCAAAATCTAACTTATGTTGTCTGTGTTTTCTGCATTAAAAACTGCAATGTGGATCAGTTCAAAGTAGGCTATAACTCCTTTTTGGGCCAGCCAGATTCCTTATAATGTGCATTCAAACAGGAAAAGATTAAAAAATTGAGATGAGACACGTATTCCATGATAAAAAGAGAAAAACTCTTGATTGATTCTGAGCCATAAATATGTCTTAAGTTACCTCATATCATAGAATATCAGTGAGCATTAATATCAGTGAACATAGTTTCACTGGGACTGATAAAAGTTACTCAATGACGCTGCACTTTATGAAGTCCTAACTCCTTCTGAATGAAACAGGTGCGGTCCAGCAGCTCTGGCCCCGCCTCTTTTATCGCCATATATGGACATTCGTCGAAATTCCAAAGCGCCCGGGGCGGGGCGATGACGCCACCTGTTTGTCAATGGGTTTGCCTCCGGGCTCGTGCTCACTCAGCCGGTAGAGTGAAGTGGAGTACGTGGGAGCAGACGGAGGAGCGCAGAGAGAGACTTTGAGGATATTTAACCACGACTTTAAAACAAAGTTGTGAGGAAATATGGAGCTCCGTCGCGTCAACTTCTTCTTGTTTTTATTTATTAACCAAGTTTTCACCAGCCTTCAGTCGAAAGAACGTGAGTATAGACCATTTTCTTTTCACGCTTTTCGTTAGGGGAAAGTGCATCCTACTTTTTTACCACACCTTGTGAGTCAGGAGGTTGGAATTTGAAACTTAAAATTTAACTTTCTGTTTTTAATTTTGTCATGACAATTCCCTCAAATGTGTCGCTATTTTATGTTATTCAGCTAATGTAATGTGGTTTTTTGTTTTGACTCAGGCATATAGCAAACACTGGCCTTTTAAAACGTGTCTTCACAATTTAGAATGACTTAAATAAAAGTAAAATAACTTTTTAAAGTGGATTTAAACTTGTCTTTAACAGTGAATTAGTCTACTTAACCCATGTGCTTAAAGTAGCCTTTGTCACTTTAGGGTTAAGGGCCACTTGTGAGCTGCCCCAACATGTCCGACTGTTTTTTTCTTGTTTCACTTGTGTGGTGTAGATTCATGTATTTCTCTGGTCATGGCAAATTTAAGTGCCCACGCCTTTCTCAGACATTATTAGTTGTGTATCCTGGACCTGGAGGACACGGTCAATGAAGTCTTGAATCGAACCGACATGCCTGATTAGACTGTCAAAGCATGGCATGCGCCCCCTATAAAGCTGTTGGCCCCTGGGATCAAGGCAGAAAATGCAATTGTACAGTCAAATCAGAGTCATTTCTAATTACTTAACACCCTGTTTTCTATAATAGCTATGTTTTTAATACTTTTAATTTGCATTTAGGTGTAATTGGTCATTGTGTGGTTATTCTAACCTTGTTTTATATGTTTGTTTGTTTTTGCCTGCAGAAGTTTTACTGGATATGAGTGCGTCAGGATCAGAACTGGGCTGGTTGACGTCCCCAAATGAGGACGGAGTGAGTATTTTTACTTCAACATGCTTAAGGTTAAAGACTTGAAGCCATCTTCCAACTTTGTGAGGCAACAAACGGACTGAAAAAGCAGCTGCAGATAAGACGATTTGAGAATTTGAATACTATTTAGTAATAACAATAGCCGAGGCCTCTTCCTGCTCTTTCAGCCCACTAAAAAAGCTATCCGGGAGAGATGGAATGAGTGGCAGCTCCGTGAGGTTTGGCAGAGCCCAGCTAGTCTCGCTACCCTTTCATAAAGAACTTATGAATGTCATTAAAATGTCAAGGTTCAGCCCTATGTTTGAATTTACGGAGCATTTTTACACACAATCACAGGAGATTGTTGTCATTCCAACACCAGACCATGAAGCTGCATTTTGAATTTGTGTTCCCCCCCTCTTCGTGTTACATCTCTGAATTTAGAGATAACAGCAGTGAGAGAGGATCTGTACATTTGCGGGCAGACGTAAGTAAAAGAGGCATAAAGACTGGTCCGTGTGTGGAGAACCATCCCTCTATCTATAGTTCAGTGGCTTTCCATCTAAATAAAGCAACAGGACACGGCTACTTCCACTGTGTGGGCTACGTTTCTTGTCTGTCTGTCCCAGAGATCCAAGGATTCTGGTATTTCCCCTCCTATAGCACAGTTTTCCTTATTTTTGCTAAATGTTCTCCCAGTATTTAGCTAAACTTTATCAAACTGGTGACTTTTTACCATTTATTTGGTAAATGCTGTTAAAAAAAACTTGGTCGGTGACAGAAGCTGGGTCTTAAATTCAGCATTTGATGTCTCCAGTATATAATCTAATCTAAAAGGTACATGCTTCACTGATCTATAAATTACAAAATGCTACTCCCTAATGTGATCACTTTTTTTTTCCTTTTACTTAAAACATCTGAAATACTTAACTGCATCTCTGTCTAACATCAGTGTAAGAGCTGTAAATGCACACTCTGATTTACTCCCCGTACTTAAACATATGAGGTGTTAGATTTTAATGTTAAATCAAAGCTTTAATCTCTCTACTCATCATTGCTTCCCCGCTCTTTAAAAGTCTTAATTGCAGCCAATTTTGCTGCCGTGTCTTTGCCATGTGCTTATGACGCTCATTTAGCCGCTATAAATCTCGTTTGGTTTTCTACGGTAGTATTTGCCGGATTTATGTGCGTCTCACACACATGCACCCCTCTGTGTGTAAGTGGAGAACCACACACGTCGTGACTGAGCGCAGCACATGTCCAGGCCGATGATCTTAATTTGTGGGGAAAAAAAACTTCAGCTCCCTTCTTTACTTTATGAGCTTCTCCCTCAGCATGAAAGAAGAGGTGTCCCATCAATAAAACTGGCTCTCAGTGAGAACAAAGCATCTGAAGCCTGTACTTATTCCCTGAAAACCACAACCTTTCATTTTAGAAGCTTACTAACAAACTGATCCTTTTCCACTCTCTTTATCTTCTCGTGTTCTGCAGTGGGAGATTGTCCAGACGGTGGTGAATGGCTCGCTTCTGTACACATACAGCGTTTGCGGCATAGACTCCTCTGAACAAGATAACTGGCTAAGAACAACGTTCATCCAGCGGCGCCCGGGGACCTCACGTGTGTCTGTGGAGCTTCGCTTTGTCGTACGAGACTGCAACACCTTCGAGGGTGCTTCTGTGGCCTGCAAGGAAACCTTTAACCTTTACATATCAGAGGCCGATGCCGACGTGGGGACCAACTTCCGCAAGGGCCAATTTAGAAAAGTGGCCACCATTGCTCCTGATGAGGTCACCAGAGGTCGCGTGCTAAAAGTGAACACGGAGACGAGGACGGTGGGGCCTCTGTCCAGAAGGGGCTTCTACCTGGCTTTCCAGGATATGGGTGCATGCGTGGCTCTGCTGTCTGTCAGGGTGTACTATAAAACGTGCCCATCCACGGTGCAGAGCTTGGCGGCCTTCCCAGAGACGGTGGCGGACGCCCTGAGGGAGGTGGAGGGGGCCTGCGTGGAGAACGCCGTCAGCCAGACCACCCCACGCATCTACTGCTCAGCTGAGGGCGAATGGGTGGTTCCCGTGGGCCAGTGCCAGTGTCTTGCAGGCTATGAAACCACCGGGGACTCCTGCCAAGGTAAGCACTGCCAGAAATACGCCATGCACTCAAGTGAAACGTGTTTGTGCCGCCATGTGAGTAAATTAAACTCCTCCAACCACTACTTTGGCAAGGTGCGAGGAATGAGAACTGAGGAATGTTAATTATGTACGACTTGTCTGCATATCCATCATGAAAAAAACGCTCCATATGTCTTCAAGTAGGTCAGGTACAGTAGGGTAAGGTATGGGAAAGGGAAGATGTCTCAACATGTTTGTTTTATTTAGATTTTAGGCAACCACAGATTGCTCCATGTGCTTGAGAAAATAATCCTAAAAAAAAATTCGACAGCTCATCTCTTCACCTGTTGGGCAACAGCGCATTCTTTCCACCACTCTTCTCTCAGGACTCACAGACCGGGGAAGGGCTGACACACTGTTTTATGGTTATGGCTATGACTGGAGGAGATAAAGTACAGCACAAAAAGATCCTCTATTGACTTACTCATTCTAAATCGACTGTGACTTTGTTTTTTATTTACACACAGTCCACTTCTTTAGACCTGAAGCTGAAACTACAAAAATATGTGAAGTCATTGTGAAGATTTTTTCCTTTTTTGTGTGAAGAGCTGCCAAGTTTCAGGTTACCGATGAGCTCTTAAAGACATAAATTGAAAGATATTTGTCAGGAAATGTCTTGTTTGAAATAGTAAATAACACAAGCTTCTTGTATACAAACTCAGGGTTCCTATGCAAGTATGAAAAGTATGGAAAAGTATGGAAGTAATTTGATCAATATCCAGGTATATACTCTAAAGTATGGAAGTATGGAAAATTATCTAGGTTTCCAGACTATTACCACAGTAAAAAAAAAAAATGTTTTCTAAAATAGAAAAGAAGTTATTTCCAAAAATAATTCTAAAAAGTAAGGTATGAATATTCCAACTGTGTAGGAACCCTGACAAACTGTTCTCCTTTAAAAGTAGCCTCACTGTCAATTATTCGCAAACTAGAGTAAAAGTTTTAGGACACATTTTTAACTCCTCAAACATTTAAAGACAGACTTCAGTTTAAAGACGGTGGGAATCATTTAAAACCGAGGGAAATTTTAGAAGTTAAAGGTGACACCCATGCTAAGGTTAAGAATGCAAAACCTTTCCAGAATGCACTGCCCTCGAGAAAGACCTGCAAGCACAAACACACAAACTATAACAAGTGTGTACAGTAAAAGACATAGCTGTGGTGTTCGTACTGTAAGTGCCCCTACTGTTTGTACGGAAGTTTTTTCTCGGGTGTGGTTTGTTGAACTGTCTAGAGGAAACGTGGGAGGAGAGGAGGATACGGAGAGAAGGGGAAGGGGGGAGGAAAGGCACAGTATGATGCGGGGATTTTCTGAAAGGAATTCTTTCACCCTCGCGTCACCTCCACCACCGGTTGACTAAAGGAAGGGTCCGTGTGAACGTGTCAGCGTGACTACCTGAGTGGTGTGTCTTCTCCTCGGAAGTATTTGTTGTGCATGAGTTGCCGGGGCGACGGGAACCGCAGATTACAGGGGATGGAGCTGACACGCCTGCCAGAGGTTAGACTGAGTCAGGCGGCAGTTTATGACTGCTGATGGTCCGAGTCACCTTGACTGGCACGGTTTAATCTCAGGTTCTGAGTCAGTTCCTCTCAGTGAGTTTACTTCTCCAACTGAAATATGATGGATTAGATTAGATTAGTTTGTCCACTGACTGATTGGTAAACTATTGTTGTCTTTGTAGTTTGATTCTTGGGTTTTATCTCACTATTAAAAAGACAAAAAAGAAACAACTCAAAAATTTAAATACGCCATCTTTAGATTGGGAAATTTTGGCACATTCAGAGTCACTGACCACACAAATACGTGGTCAGTGGACGAAATGAAAGTCAAGAGTGAGTAAATTCTGTGTAAGTTGCACACCACTCATAGATAAGTGCTGTGCGTCAAAGAGCAAATCTTCATCTAAGGTTGTAAAAACAAAACAGGAGAGTGAGTCAGGAATAATGCCAAGTCAAAGGAATGTTTCAGTCTTTGAGGTTTCCTGACCGCAGGCAGACTCTGAACTGAACACCTGAACCGGAAGCTGGCGATGGAGGACAGGAAATATTTATGACGAGAAAAAACCTGCAGTCCAAAGTCTGGAGGATGACCTGGTTGTTTGGCTTCAGGAAACATTTTATTACATAAGTTAACTCGCAATCATTGCGATGGTTTAGTTTGTTCCAGCCGAGTCCTTGTTTTCAAACTTTACATTCAATAGAGAAAGTGATACCCCTCGGAGGCTCATATGGATTCCACTCACGACTCCAACTGTTGTGGGGAAGAGGAAGTAAAGTGAGAAGAGGAGGAATGCTGACTGACACAAATAAGCAGGTTGTCCTTGGTTGAAGTCAGAGGGTGGGGAGCAAGTCGACAGTTGGTGCATGAGGGTGGCTAGCTTCGTGGCTGCTTAGTTAGGTGTGGAGTGTAATTTAGTCAAGAGGATTAGTAGAGCAACAGGACAGCTGTTAGCCAATGACATGCCCCCGCTTTGCCTCCCTTTGCTCTTTCATCCGGTTGTTAACACACGCAACGAGCTCCCTAATCCATGTTCCCACTCATTAGAACAATGGGCCGACTCAAAAGCAAAAAAAGCAGATTCAATTAACAGATGCACCGGTGCGGAACAGAAGTCCTTTTCACATGTGTCCCAGTCTAAAAGGAGCCTTGGACGAAAAGAAGGACAAATTACATTAACAAGTCAAATCAAAGACAGCAAAGTGAAAGTTTGGATCTAGTTAAGCAATATTTATGATTAAATTAAGCTAAACTGTTGGGATTTTTTTTTAATCCACCATTTCCAATCTTTGCAGATACAGTGTTTGTATTCATTTCACACATGCCGCCATTTGTGCGCTGCATAATGAGCAGAGCAACATATTTATGGCACCACTCTGGCCAATCTCAGAGACAATAGATGAATAGGGCCGGAGTTTCTTTGGTACGTGACAGAGGTCCTGCTGCCTGGGCTCAGGATAAAATGGGCTGGCCCCCTTTTCTTATGCGAAAAGACTTCAGCTACACCCCCACTGCCGCCCAGTGACTCCCCGGGGAGAAGTTCTGTTGGTGCTCCAGACCTTTGCCCCCTTCCCCCCTCCATTCATCCACCTATTCATCTTCATCCTCGCTCCTCAAACTCAACCTGCTCCTTCTCCTCCTCTGAGGCGATACTAGGGGTGCAAAGGTCCTTCTGCCTCGGTGGTAAAGTAACGCGACCACGTCTTAAATCCAGGGTTCACCCGACCTTTTCTCACAGCCACAAGCTCAGGGACCACATGAAAGGGTTCTCCTGTGGGAGGCAAAGAGAGGAGAACTTTAAACCAACATTTTCTTTTAAGTTTTTTTTTCCTTTTTTTGTGGTTCAGGGCCCTTTCATGACTCTAGAAAGTATGTGCATTTGTTTCCATAAACACACTAAAATTCATAATTTCTTCCCCTCTTTCCTGACTCTCCTGTCCTCCCCAACTTTCCAACCTTGGATTCTGTAATTTGCGACTGGTGTCAGAGGTTGTAGGGAGGAAGGAAGAATGGGAGGAAACAGCAGCTTCAGACTGCACTGCAGTTTTCCTCTCTGGTTTCTGTTCACTCTGCATGTTCATTAACCTTCTCTGCCCTGGAAGGCTGTTTATCTCTCTACTAAAACGTACATCGCAGCTCTCCTTTGCCCAGTGTCCAAGGTGCCACTTCCTTTGTTGAAAACACAAATATGATTTGCCAGATAATATGAGCTGAGAGTTCACAGGGGAAAAGGTAGATCAGATCACCTGATGGATTTAATGCTCCACTGTCATCCGGTCCACATCAACGGTATGACCCAAGATTAGGCCTCTGGGCACAAACGGCAAGTAGAGGCAGATCTTCAGGGAAATCCCTTTTCATTTCTCTGCATACAAAGACTCAGTGATTACAGGTTATTCACAACAAACGCTTCCTGTCAGGTGGAAAGGACTGGTCTTACAGAGACACCTTTATTGTTTGCATTTTGATCCGTCATTCCTTCCTTTGTTTGTCTGCTCATAGTTACACATATCTGTCATGCCTAAGCTAACACACACCTTCTTTTTCTCACACAGCGTGCAAACCAGGCTACTTCAAGCCATCTGTATCCAGCCTGTTATGTCAGGTTTGTCCTGATAACACCAAGCCCTCTACAGCTGGCGCCACTGAGTGTGAATGCGAGGACGGTTTCTTCCGCTCTCCAACTGACTCTCCTACATCAGCCTGCTCTGGTAAAACTACTCACTAACAAAGTCCATTTTTAGCTCATTAGCAGCAGGTCAGGAGCTGAGGCTAACTGTTCTGTCATCTATTTCCTCTCGCAGCCCCACCCAGTGCCCCTCGTGACCTGATCCCCACCACCCTGTCAGCAGAGGGCAGGCTCCAGCTGTCCTGGAGCCCGCCGCTGGTGACCGGGGGCCGCGGTGACCTCACCTATAGCGTGGTTTGTGAGCTATGTGAAGGCACCTCCTGTATCGTCTGTGGAGAGAAAATCCGTTTTGAACCAGGTCCTACAGACCTGCAAGATACCAAGGTCATCATCAGCGAACTGGATTCTCACCTCAACTACACGTTCACTGTGGAGGCTCACAGCGGCGTGTCACAGTTTGGTACGACGAGGCCCGCAGCGAGCATCACCACAGCTCTGGACTACACAGGTGAGTCCCAAGTTGAACTTATGTCCTCCTAAGTTGAAAAAGTAGGGAGCACACAAAGAACTTAAAGGGCACAATGAAAATTGATCAAATAGCGTGTGTCTTATTGGTCAACATAAGTACTATTATTTGAAATCAATTGTAGGTCAATTGGTCACATGACATGGAAGATATTGAAGGAAAACAGCCTTTTTTGAGAACGTCAACCGGTAATTTATTGACGGTCCCTTATTCAACTCCTGACGTTGACAGCAAAGGTGCCGAGTAGATTTAACCGCGATGGTGTTGCTATTCCTGGTTATGGAGAGTGAGAGGACACCAGTAGGATATCCAACCCAAAACTAACTTCACTGCGGTATTTACATGGAAAAAAAAAACATTTGTTGCCTCAGCTGATTTTTTTATGCACACATGTGCCCCTAAATACATTTTACAATTTGCCCCCATCTATTTTCGGTCGCAAATGCATGTGTAACGGTCACACTGTTGAGCCCTGCCATCACATGTAGAGATTGAACTTTCTCCCTTAAAGTTGAATCCCACATATTTCTCTCTAAGTTCATAGATGAGAGCCAAAGCAAACTCAAAATGTTTTATCCTTTGCAGAAAGTCTTTAGGTGGTTGTAATTTTCTTTGCCTCAAACTAAACTTGGTCAAATAGTTATTTATATATATAAAAATCAAATAAAGTAAATAACTATTTTTTTAGGAAGCGCTTTTCCAAAAAACTTGTCTAAACATGATTTTTAATTCATAGTCATCATTAAAGCCAGTTACTTCATTAAAGGTGTAACTTACCGCACCTCTCATAATTAATCCATCATTTAAGTCCTTTGAAAGAAATCCCAGCAGATCTAGTCCTGTGTAGAAAGTACTTGAAACCCCACCCTTACTGCCATGACCAAACAAAAGATCCTGTTTTTGTTAACTGTTTTTTCTTTACTGAGTTCTCTGAGACACTACACAAAGAGCAATTTATTACATCCTGCAGCTCATCTGTTTAAAATTAGGTTTATGAGCAATTTGTTGTAATAACCGTGGTAATAAAATGCTTTTACTTTCAAACTGGATTAGGGGTTTGAAAGAAATAAAAATGTCAAGACAGTTTTTCATGTGCGTTTGTATTTGTCTATCGAAAGCATTGTGCTGAAATGAGGGGTTACTCCACTTAGAGGAATTCACTCTGACCAAAGAGTCCCAGAGGCTTTTATTTCCAACTGTCCTTCCTAACTACTATGATTACTCACTAACCATTATTTTGCTTTCTGCCTCCCCACGACCGTTAGATCCCCCAAAGGTGACGTTGATCCATCTGGATGATCGCAGCCCCACCAGTCTGTCTCTTTCCTGGTCTCTGTCTCGCAGGCCTCCCGCCCACATCAATCATCGCTACGAGCTCATGTACCGCAGAAAAGTAAGACGGAGTGCTTTGTTTTCCTTTGTGTTTAATCCCTCGTTCAAAATCGAGGCTTTTGTGAGAAATCTGCACATACTCTACGGAAAGAAAACAAAGAAAAACAACAATCCATCTTCTTTTTAGGACGACGATGGGGAACGCGATGTGACCACCTACACAGTCCTGATTTTGGAGAAAAGTTCAGTCCAGATTAACGACCTCACCCCAGACACCACTTACATGTTCAGAGTCCAGGCCATGAGTCCTGAAGGCAACCCGGGCAGCTACAGCGTGGAGCACGAGTTCCACACTTCACCTTTAGGTACCAAAGTTGACCAAACATAAAACTCAAGTTTAAATTTTTCATAATTCGCATGCTTAATATTGCACTGTCTTTGTTTTTCCACAGCTGAGTCTCAGGTCCAGAACAACTCCACCATGGTGATGGGGGCTGTGGTTGGAGTCGCTGTTATTCTGCTTGTCGTGGTGGCTGTACTGCTGCTGCGTAAACGGTATGTTACACCACACTTCATATAAACAAGCATCACCTGTGTCATTCAGATAAATGTCATCCTCAGACCTGTGTTATTATGAGCCACAAGCTCGAGGAGGGTTTATCCTTAATAGATGGTGCTGCTATTGAAAACAGGCTTGGTATTTGTCAGCAGAGACTGACCTGCTTATTTTTAAAAAGCCACTCTTTATTCTGTCGAGTCTGTAGTAATAATTACTCGTGTTTTGTCTATCAGGAGACTGAGTGCTCGAGGCAGAGGAGGACCTGAAGATCCCTACTTTTCAACTGGTGAGAAAACCATTCCGTCTATACAGTAAATAAACATCAAGCAAAGTGAGTTATAATAATAACTGACTAATAACTGATTTTGCCTTTAGATCAGCTCAAACCTCTGAAGACTTACGTCGATCCACACATGTATGAGGACCCAAACATCGCCATTCACAAGTTTGTCACAGAAATCGACTCAAACGCCATCAGCAAACAAAAAGTCATCGGAGTTGGTGAGTGCTTTTCAAATCACTGACCTTCATTTTGAGAGTTATAGGGAGGGACACCGTTTCTAATGTCTCCTCCCGCTGTCCATCTGCTAATCAGGAGAGTTTGGGGAAGTGTTCCGTGGCGTGATGAAGACTCCGAGCCGAGGGGAGGTGGCTGTGGCGATCAAGACCCTGAAGCCAGGGTACTCGGAGAAACAGAGGCAGGACTTCCTGAGCGAGGCCAGCATCATGGGTCAGTTCTCGCATCCGAATATCATCCGCCTGGAGGGGGTTGTCACCAAATGTGAGTTCATTGCCCGCAACAACAGCCAACAATAGTTCACAAGTCATTTGAATCAAAAGTTTTTCTACTTTTATCTCACTAAAGGGAACTTTTTTGTTTCGCTTTCAGTCAAACATGCAATGATAGTGACAGAGTACATGGAGAATGGAGCTCTCGACACGTATCTGAAGGTAGGTGCAAATATCTTATTTGAGGTCTAGTGTAGAATCTACTACCAGTCCCCTACACTTAAATCTCACTACCAATCCCCTAAAAAGTTAAATAATGTGTAACCTTTCCCATCATAGGACCGTGATGGCGAGATCCCTTCATATCAGCTTGGGGGGATGCTGCGTGGAATAGCTGCAGGAATGAAATACCTCTCTGACATGAGCTACGTCCATCGAGACCTCGCAGCAAGAAACGTGCTCGTCAACAGCAACCTGGAGTGTAAAGTGTCTGATTTTGGCCTGTCACGTGTTTTGGAAGATGATGCTGAGGGCACCTATACCACAAGAGTAAGTCTAACCTAGACATTTGAAGCCTAAAAGAACAGAAACCTTGTTTCTGTTTCAGTTAATAATCCCAGACAGTCAGTGTTTTGTTTTACTCTCAAGCGCCCAATCATGAGCGCAGGTCTTTCACCGCCTTGTGTTTCCTCTCTCTCAAACCATTAAATATGATTTGTTATGTTTCTCTTCTTTCAGGGAGGTAAAATCCCAATCCGCTGGACTGCCCCAGAGGCCATTGCATACAGGAAATTTACCTCAGCCAGTGATGTGTGGAGCTTCGGGATTGTTATGTGGGAAGTCATGGCATTTGGAGAACGGCCCTACTGGGACATGAGCAATCACGAGGTAAGTTTCATCTGTCACAGAAACCTCTTATGGGTGAGATGAAGGATTGTTTAGCTCTATGTAGGTCAGACTATAATGTGTGTTACCACTGAGAATTTGCGCTCAGTAAGTGGTGATAAAAAGGGGTTTGACATCTAGCGAAGGGTCCCACCATCCTCTGTAGAAAAGTTGTTAATGTCAAAACACAAATGTCATGTTAAACCGTAGCACTGCCCTCACTCTGGCATCATCTTCTCTGCAGGTCATGAAGGCCATCAATGAGGCCTTCAGGCTTCCTGCTCCGATGGACTGTCCATCTGCTATCTACCAGCTCATGCTCCAGTGTTGGCAGCATGATCGCTCTAAACGGCCTCGCTTTTCGGACATTGTCAACATTTTGGACAAGCTGCTCCGAAGCCCAGAGTCTTTGAAAACCATTGCTGACTTTGACCCACGGTAAGAGTGGTATTCCAGTGAATTTGATACTTCATAAAAGAGACAAAACATCTGTCTGTTTTGCAGATAGATTTCAGTCAAATACTGACACAGTATTGACCAGTGATATAAAAAAATGCCACTTTTGCAAACGCATGTTGATTAAAATAATGGCTCAAACTCAGTGCAGTTGAAAAAATTGTTTCAAAATCATCATTTTTCTTGGCTTAGTCACCGTACTATCTGGACTCTCTACTGGTCTTCTTGCCAATAAATGGTCAAGAAATGAACCCTTGATAAACCGACATTTTTCACTCTCAGAAATTTCAACCCATTACTCAGAAAACTGTTCTTTTTTTTTTTTTTTTATTTGAAGAAAATGTTTGACTCGAATTGTTTGACTGGTTTAACTGTAGCAGTATTTGTCATGTTTTTAGTCATTTAAAAACCGGAAAACCCTGTCCTATCTTGTACTCAAATGAAGCTGTAACTGTAACATGACCTAACAAATCCACTGTTTCCTTGTAGTGTGTCCATCCGCCTGCCCAGCACCAGCGGCTGTGACGGCACCATGTTCAGGTCGGTGCCCGAGTGGTTGGAGTCCATCAAAATGAGCCAGTACAACGAAAGCTTTGCTCGGGCTGGGATCACAAGCATGGAGCAGGTGCTCGCCTTGAGGCATGAGTAAGTACACACATGGCACAGGTGCAGCGCCGACTCACTGCGCAAATTTATCTGGCATCAGGCCACATCTTAATGTAACAGAGAAAGTATTGAGCTCTCAGCTGGAACATTTGTTTGTGGTTTGTTAAGGCAGAAATGCCCCCCTCCAGCTATGCCCATCTCATTCCTCTCATTCCTTACTGCCATGACTCCTGCAGCCGTGGTTAGAAGCGTTTGATTTCCCACAACCCCCCTCCCCAAGTATCCTTACATTCACACCATCTGTCGAGTTTGTTAGTCCTGACTTTACACGGGATCTAACCTGACATAATCAATTGTGTAATCCTTGATATCATACTAATATAATCTCAGCAGGTCAAACTGGTCAATAGTATCTTAGCTTTTAGAAGTGGTAGAATCAGCATTTGCACTTTTAATCAATGTTTTTTAGTAAACAACCTCAGCTATTTCAATGATGTAGGATCTCTATTTCAACTAGTTTTATGAGTTATATTAGCAGATAATCCAGTACCTTTTTCTGTCTGTTATTTTAAATTTGGTATCTCATTATTTTGTAATTTAACCTTTATTTAACCAGGTAAAATCACATTGATGGATATGGATACCAAATACACTATTACTATATTTTATTTGGTATGATCCCATCTGTCTTAGCGCTGAGGTACTCCTGGTATGCAATCCCTCTCTTCTCTCCTTGCAAACAGAGCACATATTTTCTATAGTGTACTAAACAAGGTCTCATTTGTCTTCTCCTTTTAGAGACATCAGGAATATTGGTGTCCGGCTGCCCGGTCACATGAAGAGGATAGCATATAGCATCCTGGGCCTGAAAGATGAGACCAGCTCTCTCAGCGTGTTTGCAGTGTGATCTAAGCATTCCTCCAAATCAAAGTGCACTGACCGACCATGCCATTTCACTCGAGAACTGAGAGGACTTTTTGTGGGGGCGTGAAACTGAGCTGTGCTACAGGTTTTTCCCTTCCTCTGTGACAGTGTAGCGCAAGTGAAGAGGACACTACAAGCCACTCAGAAAAGACTGAGATTAAAAACACTTATGTACTTTATGATAACAGAGGACAAATTATTTATCTTTGTGTACCAATGTTTTATATGCTGAACATAAAAAAAAACAAGTGATCTCATAAATGAAACAACTATAAAGAAAGTGCAAAACTTGTCTTGCATTACCTAAATGACTGAAATGTCTAGTGCTCTCCATGAATGAGAGCTTTTTCTTCCAGGCACTCACTTTATCCTGCCAGTGTTTTTGGATCCTTAATTCTGTTGTTTTTTCCACATGTTCTGTGATTGATGAGACTTTGTTATAAACATGAAAAAAAATATATTCCACTCAGGGCAAAGAATCACACATTCTTGTTTAGTAGATAGTCTCTGTATCACAGTTTTTTTCCTCAAGTTGTTTGTTTGTTTACATCATGTCTTAATACAACTGTCCATTTTATTTAATATTTATTTGTTTTATATTTATGTTATTTGTTACAGTATAAATATGTGCGGCATGTAAGCCCAGGCGGTGTATTTTTGTGTTGAAATAAAATCCATATTGCCTTGTGACTGGATCACTCTTCTACGTGTGTTTGTAAATGGTCCAAAAACTCACCATCTTAACAACTGCTTGACTCATTTTGATAAACCTTAAAACATTCATGCTCTGATACGGATTTCCAACATACTGATCCCAAATGTAGTTTAGATAAGAAGGAAACTATGAAGTAAATGAATTGCCTTAAAATTTGGTGAGAATGTGCGTGACCTTTAATGAACCCAAAGCATGAAATTCTTCCTCTTCAATTCTCCTTTACTTTGATTTATGACCACATACCTACTAAATAACTGTCACCACATTTGGCGTCAGCTGTTTCACAATATTTCTGCATGTTATCACATGAAACTCAAACAGAAACTGAGACAATCATGACTCACTTGTTAACAACTGTGACTTTTTGTAAACCGTTTCAACCATTAGACCATAAAATGTTACTTTTTTCAATATCTTATTCACAAACCTAAACATCATTTCTAAACTCAAACTTAATGAATTTTGATCGTTTTCATTACTTATACTAAACGTTTGTAGGCTAAAAAACATTTAGCTGTTGGTTTGTACCACTCATCCATTACTTTATCCACCTATTAAGGTTTTCAACCATCAGTCAGTATAAGCATAACTTACTATTTCAAACAATTTCTCACTCACTTACCGATCTAAGCTTACTATTTTCACCCAAACAAACTATCTTTTGCCATCAACCTACTATCCACTGTTGCTAACTCATATTTGCTGGGTATTTTAACCAACTATCTGCTAGCCCCGACACTGTAAGCTAGCGTTTTTAACCGTTTATCAGTTCATTTTAGCAATCCTAGCTAGCCACCCTACTGTTAGCTTAAAATTTCAACTTTTTTGTCAAGCCAGCTAGCTGCCTTCCCAACCATTTTCACCACTGTAAGCTAGCCTTTTCAACAGTTTATCGCTTCATTTTAGCAATCTTAGCTAAATCCTACAGGTAGCTTACAATTTCAACTTCTTGGTCAAGCCAGCTAGCTGCCTTCCCAACCGTTTTCACCACTGTAAGCTAGCCTTTTCAACCGTTTATAAATTCATTTTAGGAATCTTAGCTAAATCCTACGGTTAGCTTACAATTTCAACTTCTTGGTCAAGCCAGCTAGCTGCCTTCCCAACCATTTTCAAGTCGTTTTTACAAGTTTTTTTCAGCCATTTTGCCATCACGCCATCACTGGTCACCAGTCTTTGCTGTTTATCCTTTATACTAGTTTGTGAAAAATTAGTAAGACTTTTAATGTATTCTAAATCTTTTGACCATAGTGTGATATAAAACCTTACAAGTGAAGTTTTTTCTGTTCACACCATCTTTACACACTTCCTCATACTTTTATTTCTTGAACATAAACTTTTCTGACAAAATATGCTGAGTGAAACTACCAGGAAGTTGCCTGGATCTAAATGTAATTCACGTTTATTGATGAAAGTCAAATAAATTCAAGCTCATTCCCTGTTTTTCCTTCCTTCCACAGAACTTGTTTTGGTTGCACCTGCCAGTCATATGGAGTTAATCAACTTTACTGTCTTTGACAAGGTGAAGTCAAATTTTGCACCTTAGTACCACCTCACTCCATCATGTAACAGTCCCTCAAGCCAAGTCAAATTTACACACTATTTGGTTTCACTGTAAAGCCTGTTGGTACAGTGTCATTTCATATCCTACTGACGAAACCGCACAAAAAAAAGTCACATTACCTTTTTTCCCTATATGTGTCATGTGTCACCGTTTTTAATTCAAAGTTGGGGGTGGCAGGTCATTCATTAAAAGGACAGATAATAACAGGTTATTGCATTACTCAGGCACATCTCCACACCCTTTCTCACACAAACACAAAGACTCATCTGCTCCATGTCTGGGGTGTGGACAGAAATACTGGACCCCTTGGCAACACTCAAACAACAGTTCTGACACATTGAATATCTACAACCCGTGTCATATTCCAATCCAGCTACATCACTGACACACACGCACACACACATATACACTGGCCTCCATAAGCACTCAGCAGACTATAAAGGACCCATAAACTGACTCTTTGATCGGACACAAGAGAATATAAAAAAAAAACCTTCTTTGACCTCCATATAGAGCACAAAGCCATTTTCCATAAAGAGCCAGCTCCTAAGTCTCCATGGACAAAGACAGTGATCCAGGATCACCACCTCTGCACACCAGCATGGAAAACAAATTTCCAGGTCAGTTAACAAAATTCAAAGATTTATTCCCCCAAGGTTTTTGTTGTGAAGACTTACAATGTATAAATGATTTCTTCCAGGTCATGCATATCCAACAGGGATGATCCAGCTGACTGGAGACATTTTCCAGTTTACAGTCAATGTGAGTGAATTTCCTCCAGAGGACGTTATCATCTCATACTACAACAACCGGATAAATGTGCATGCTGAGAAGGTAAACCTGCCTTATGTACTCTACAGTTGTCACTTTAAACTCTATAATGATCTATTGTTTGATTTGGCATTCTCTTATCACCTAAAAGTATTTTACATTTTCCTGAAAATTTGCAGGAGAAGGGAATGTTCATAAGCGAAAGGACTAAAACAACAGAATATTAAAAGTTTATATTTGACATTGGCTTGTATCAGATGGATTATGTGACCATGTTAGCATGATTTAGGGTCTGTTGATTGATTTCATTTTTAACTCTCAATACTTTACTCTTCCTTATGTACTCTTTTGCCCTTTTCATACAGCTGGGAAAACATGGAGCAGTCGTAAAAAGTTTTTCCCATCAATGCAAACTACCTTCAAATGTGGATCCCACATCAGTGACGATGGCCCTGGAAGACCAGGGGGTCCTGACTGTCACAGCTCACAGGGTGCATTAGTTTTAGATATCTTATCTCTGGATCTGGTTTTTAAACACTGGAGTTTAGTGACATCTGTTGGTGACCAAAGGAATCAATCAATCACTCAGTCCACCTAAACCTTCAAGTAGTTTGACGATTAAAGCCAAAAGAAGCAGCAGCACAAAAACCTGGAAAGGATTGCTGAAATAAATGTGAATAAGCATATGACCTCATGATGCTTTATCAGTGAAGCTGCATGTTTTTATAGTGCAGTCACAGCCACATTTCTATTGTGAAAAGCTAGATTTGTTCATTGATGTTGTGAAGAATACATCTCTTATTAAGGCCTATGAGGGAAATATCACATATGACATTAACTGAAGAAATTTATGATTGTTGTCCCCCCTTTTTGTAGGATTTTTATTCCCCCCTTAAGAATAAAAGGCTTATTCCCTAAAAGTTTTGAATGTGATGTGATTTTTAAAAAATGTTAAACAAGAATTAGACTGGGGAAAAAGAAAGTGAGTTCTATTGTTGATGGACCTTTACCGTCAAAGAACAATCTGCCTACACAAAAGGTCTACAATAAATACTTAGGCATTGTTGATATATACAGAAATGTTAAAAGGTTATTAAGGCATATTCAGGCATAAAATTAATTTAGGGTCAAACACACTGTAACACTGAGTTCGACGCCCCCTCAAGAGATGAATATTGCTGACGGCTTGCTTCTCTAGTTATACCAACATTTATGATCATTACTTTATCATTTCCTTGAAGTAATAATCACCATATTTACATATTTACCATATTTACTTACACTGGCTCCCTGTACAGCACAGAATTAATTTTAAGCTTTTAATATTTGTTTTTAAAAGCCTGAACAATCTTGCTCCACCTTACATTTCTGAGATGCTCCAGCCTTATTGCCCACCCCGACCCCTAAGATCAGCCGATCAGCTGCTACTGACGGTCCCAAATACAAGGCTGAAGCTCAGAGGGGACAGAGGGGACAGAGAGTTGCTGCTGCTGCTGCCCCAAAGCTCTGGAATGAGTTGCCCTTGAAAATCAGACAGGCCTCCTCATTTCCTGTTTTTAAATCCCTTTTAAAAACACACTTTTACTCCTTGGCTTTTGATACTTTTTAGTGTTATTTTGTTTTTTATCATTTTAGCACTTACTGTGAGCCTCCTTATTTATTTACTTATTTATCCCCTTACATTGATGTATTTCTGCTCGCCTTATCTTGTTCTTTGTGTTATTTGTTTTTATGTGTCATTGTACAGCACTTTGGCTACCCTTGTGGTTATTTTAAATGTGCTATAGAAATAAAGTTGATTGATTGATTGATATTAATCATTTTGCACTGCAGACGCGGTAGTTCTTCTGCCTTAGTGTCTCAGTCTGATTGCATTTCCCCGTCTTCCTTGAGCTGCATCACCCCGCTGTAGTCCGTAATGGACTGGCCCGAGGTCTCGCTACAAACAAGCGGCTGCTGGAAGAGAGTAGGTGAGTTGTGTTTGGTCTCTTTGCTAAAGAAATTGGGCAAAGCTAAAAAGATGTTTGGTGACTAGTACTGTGGCTGGGACCCTGTATGTACTGTTGATGAAGTTAGGGGCTGTTCTGAGCATTATTTGTGGCTATAGAGTGGCGTTTTGGTTGAGGTTTGTGTATGGCTCCTCAGACCACTGTGTATTGCTATCGTGTGGTCGTTACTAAAGTTGTTATAACTAGGGAAGCAAGCAGTTGGCAACATTAATCTCCCGAGGAGGTGTCTAACTCGGTGTTATGGTGTGTTTGACTCAAAATTAATTTTACGCCGGAATATCCCTTTAAGTGTACATGACATTCAGGGAAGGGAGACTGGGTCACAAAACCTGATATTTTTCATACTGTGTTAGAGAGCAGCTCTAAGAGAGTTCTTCTACACAAGGATATAAAGTATACTGTCGATAATATACAGTATACTGCTTAAACATATTTCACTTCACCCCTTTTTACTTCTATGAAGCTTAATTTTTTTCCAGTAGGTGGCGGTAGGGCGTCGAGAAGTTTGTTAGTCAACCGCTGAAACCTCCAAAGAAGAAGAACGCATGCCGTCATGGAGAGGTTGTCATGGGACGTTTTAGTTTACGGAAGTTTTCTGTTATGGATCCACTGTAGGACTACAAACACCTCTGCTGACCAGTTTCTTGTCTTGTAAATACTTTCCGGTTAAAAATTTCGGCATTGTGAGTTGTGTTCCGTAGTTTCAGTCGCTTTTAAGTCGTTACTTCTTTTAAAAAATTCAAAAACCCGATGTTGTTTGTTAATATTAGCTTAGCGGCTTCACAACATCGATCATGGCACATGTTCCTGCGTCCGGATCAATCGTGGTGTCTGACTGGCACCGATGTAAAGACAGCAAAGAGTATTTTAGCAAAATTCTACACAAGAAGAGACGAAAACCCTTTGGTATGAGAAATAACTTTCACCTTTAAGTCCAATAACATCGGGGTTTCTTAATTTTTGCATGTTTATTTATTTTGTTTATTGTGCAATCCGTGCATAGCCTACCTGTAACATTAACAAAGATGTTTTCATGTTAATTTCTTATTTTTAAGTCTCAAACCCTTCACATTCAGCACATTAATAAATGGTATTCAACACGTTCTTGATGTAACCATCATAAATAAGTTTTAAAATTATTATTGTTGGTGTTATGATTATTTATTGTTGTTGATGTTATTGACATTTTAATTATTTATTAGTTTATTTTATTTTCATTTTTAAAATTATTTATTATTGATATTCTTATTATTGATAATTAGTTTATTATTACTTATTAGGGTTTTATTTTATTTCCATTTTTTAAATTATTAATTTTATTGTCCTTATTATTATTATTATTATTATTGCTAATGTTGTTGTATTATGATTTGATAGCTACTCCCAGTGCAGTTTTGGACCTTATTCTATTATACAATCAGACAACACCCACAGACCTGTTTTAAACTGCAAACCTTCTTAAACCAGAATGTAAATCCCTAGATAAAAGCCTGGAAGCATGTCTCCCTTTAAGCATATAATATATAGCATATATAGCTACAATTAGGGTTACATACAAAATAAAATGAATAACTTTAAGTCCAGATGATTCACTAGACTCTTGATGTGGTTTCCTCATTTTAAAGGTCTGTTAGAGTCTCCTGTGATGCCCCCACACGCAGCTGTGGACACAGTTCACTATAAAATCTTCATCTCTGGCAAAAGTGGAGTCGGGAAAACTGCTCTGGCCGCACGCCTCGCAGGTCTGAGCACTCCTAACTTGCACTATGAAACTACAGGTAAGTCGCTGCCCTACTCTGACGAGATAAAAATCACACTTTTAGCATGATTCAATTTAGAAACTAGTCAGGTCACATGAATGTAGATGCCCATCTGTTTATGCATCTGTTGTAGGTATTGAGACAACAGTGGTGTTTTGGCCTGTGAAGCTGAGAGAAAGTGGCAGGGTGCTCTTTTTTCGTCTGCAGCTGTGGGACTGTGGAGAGAACGCCCTGCGTAGATTTGACCACTTACTTCCGGTATGTAGATGAGATATCAAGTACTTCATAAAGACATGTTAAGAGTTCTGAAATTAATTAGCTATACAGAATGTATTTCATTATTCTTGGCTAAAATATACACTTTTTTTACAGCATTACACCAGATGTTTAATCCTATCATTTCTGTCATCATGTCTCTTTTAGTCCTGTAAGGAGCAGGTGGATGCTGTTCTTCTCCTGTTCTCCTTCACTGACAGGACGTCATTTGAGGATCTGTCGAATCAAATTGCCAAATGGACTGAGACACCAGTTGTGAAACTGGTGGTTGGCACTAAGTATCCTTTTTGTGCTTTTTACAAAATATGTGGAACAATTTTGAAAAATAAAAAAAAGGTTAATCTGTTATTTTAAGTCACTACACTTAACATGAAATGGAATATGCTTATAGCTCAGTATAGATATGTTAATAAACTTTATAACCAGTCAGGTCTGTATGGGCTTTATGATCACATGAGCAGCTCCTCCTGCTGTTCATAAGAAGTATTTGTAGCTTCTACTGCAATCACCCCCCAGTTTTTTCTTTTTCAGTTTCATCCAATTCCAAGGCAAGTTTTTGTCTTTAACTTTTCCGTTCAGATTTGACTTGTTCATGCACTGTGATGTGGCAGAAAGAGATGTGAGGGACTTCCAGGAGAGGTGCGGATTACCTGTGCTGCGTACAGGTGGGGAGGTCAGTGATGGGTTGGGTGACGTGGCCCCCATCCTCAACTGCCTGGCAGAGAATTTGTGGCATCAGGACTGTGTTATTGCCAGATCAGGCAGCCACCATTCACAACAAGAGACAGGGACTCTACTTTGATACACACAAGATCTTTAAGAAACCATTTAGGCTCTGTACTTGTCATGGCTTTTTTAGGTGTTTGTCAAATATCTGAAAAGTTTTAAAAGATGAAATTTAATGAATACAGTTTTACACTAAAAAGTTTAATAAACACTACATCAGGAGCAGGTGTGTCATGTCTGTTACTATTTTTATTCAGTTCAGCATTTTGTCACACAAGGCCACACCTTTAAATTCTCAAGAATAAGTAAAAAAACACCAGAAAAAGTAAAACACATCTCTTAAAAGTCATTATAGCCCTAACAAAAATTGTTCACGTCAAAGTTGTGTGTCCCCTCACTTGAAGTGTCTTAATTGAAAAAAAAGTGTTTTTGAACATGTTGTGTGTTGACACCCCAAAGTTTCCTTATCCAAAAACATAAAGTGCAGCTGAGAAAAATCTGTAAGTGTGGAAAAGTAATTCATCTTTTTAGTTGATAAAAAATGTGAGTGCTGTGTAAGTTAAAACAAACCAAGTTAAAGCCATACAAATAAAATAAATTTCTATTGTTGTCTAGACAAGAGTCTAATCCACTCCTCTTTATCTGACCTGCAATGCAAAAAAACACAGATTGACACACTTCTGCAGGATTTTTATTGATTACATTGAAAATCCAGACCTACCTTGAGTTTGTCAAAAGTATCATGGCGGTCCGTTGCCCAGTTTGACTTCGGGTGAGATGCAGCAGGAAGGAATCTCGAGGTAGACCCAAGACCTCAGCCTTCATTGGCTCAATGCGAACATGTGTGGGGAACTCGGCATGATCCAGAACCGTGTACCCCTGATCCCTAACAAGATAAGACAGGGAAGAGGCAATCCGGTCTGATTGACAGTCAAACTGTGTATTTGCTTTAGTATTGATTGTAGGGTGACACACTTTTTTGAGGAGATGATCAGCAGGTCGTTGAAAAGGTGGAGGTGGACACACAGGAAAGATATTTTAGAGCTGTAAGAAGCCTCTAATGTCAGCTGTCTCACTGGACCCTGGTGCACCAGGAAGCGGCCGTTTGCCACCAGCGGCACTGACTAAAGGAGAGAGGAGCAGTGAGGGTTTGTCACCATCTGCAGGTTGCATAACAGAATCAAAAAGAAAAATTCTCACCTTAACTTTGCCAAAATCCATCTGCATTTCCAGGGACACCAGCTGCTCGATTTGTTTCATTTTTTCGACGCCCTTATTACACTCAGACACTATCTGTTCAGAGGATAAAGAGTGTCGAAACTATCACACTGGCATCCTTTCTCATCGTATATTTACCAACCCAAACAGCCTTACCTCATGAATGGCTTCTATTGCTCTCTCAAGATTCAAAACTGAGTCAGAACCTGGTTCAGTCAGTTTAAGGATGCTCTGAAAAAGAAACCCAACAGAAACCAGGTTATTATTTGAAACTTGCTCATGCAAAGTTCAAAATATACACAGAATTGAAACCAGATTAGGTACTGACCTCTAGGATGAGTTTTACACGAGTAATTCTCTGGAAGGGAAGGACCAGGAAGGACTTGAGGCTCTGTCTCTGACACACTTTGTCACCCTCAAGCTTTTTGATAGAGTTCAGGAAGTCTCTGTTCTGCTGACTTAGGAAAAGACAAGATGTAAATGTGAATGATCTTTATTTATACAGCCCTTCATAACAATCCTGCATTACAAAAATAAAAATAGAAAATAAAAAAGAATAAATAAAAACAAATTTAAAAAAAGAATAAAACACAATGCAATAAAATAAAGTGTCAACACATTACTGGGTATTAAAAGTCAGCATAAATAAGTATGTTTTCAATCGGGATTTAAAAAGGCCCGGGTCGGAAAGAAGTCTCATTCCCGTGGGGAGCTTTTTCCAGAGCCTGAGACCAGCAACTGAAAAGGCTTGGTCACCTCAGTGCTTGTGTTTTAACCTGGGCACCTCCAGCAGAAGTTAATTTGACGACCTCAGAGCTCTTCCTGGCTCCCTAACGGTTGAAAGCTCAATTAATTAGATGGGGGCAAGGCCGTTAAGAGCTTTAAAAACAAACATTAAAAAGTTTAAAATCAATCCTAAAAGAGACGAGAAGCCAGTGAAGGGAGCTAAAGACAGGAGTGATGTGCTCAAAGATGGGCAGCAGCATTTTGGACAAGATGGGATTGAATAAGTTGGATGACACAGACTCAGAGTAGGTCCAAAAGGACTGAGACTTACAGAAGCTGGTTGATGAGGGCCTCTTGGTACATCATGTTGATCACATACGGCACATAGAGGCTGTGAAACTCCGGGCAGTGCTGCAGCACGATGTCTCCAACCTGAGACATTAACACACTTTCTCCCAGTCGAATCTCCAGATCCATAAGAAACCTGGAGGAGACCAAAACCCAGCTCAGTAAAATGTCATCAAAAGCAGATCAGACGGGAGGAACTGTACATAAGGCTCTCACTTTTCACTGGTCGCCATCACGCCACAAATATTGGAGAACAACACATGATGCTCCCTTTTAGAGAGACTCTTCCTCAGCTCTTTGGAGGTGTAGAAGTGGTTGACAGCAACTCTGAGGCTCCTCAGGTAAGACGCCTCAGAGCCGATCAACTCAAACATGGACTACAGAGGAAGGAGAGTGGGAGTAAAGATTGAAATGAGAGATTTAGACTGATGACTATATTTTCATTAAACTTGGAAATTCATCATAAAACTCGATTCCAGAAAAAAATGAGCACGGTTTAAACTTGAAGTACAAATTGTGCAAAGACGACAAATCAAGTATTTACTAACAAAAATTGAATAATATGAAAATGTGTTTCTTTTTCAATTTGATGCCAGCAAAACATCTGTTGTTTTTAAACCTCTATATGTTTGCGAGCATTTACAGGGATTCTTAGATGTGAGACCTCCCCATGTTTCAAAATTATGTGACTGATTACAAATGCAGCATGTCGAGTGAAGGATACAGAACTTTTCAGACCTCCTGGAGGCGGATCTCTCTGTTCGTCAAGCTGCCAAGAAGGCCGGATGCCTTCACCTCCTCTAAATCCTGCCATAGGGTGCATGGAGTCACCCTGATTGGCTGAGGCAGAGGTGAGGACAGAGCTTCATTAGGGTTTGATTGAGGGGGTGTTGCCTCAGATTCGCAGGACGGACTAAAACGGGACTGTAGACCCTGCAGGTACTGAGGGGTTATGAGTTCAGATACAAAACTCTTGGTGAGTCTGAAGATATCTTCCTTTACCCCCTGTAGACAGTAGTCCTGATAGAGCGGGACTGCAGAGCAAAATTAGAGAAGAAAGGTACTTATCATCGCTTTCTAACATCAAATTTTTCTATTTGTCATTAAAAGGAGAACTCACAGAAGTCGATGAACTTGGACTGGAACGTCACACTTGTTTCCTCTTCATCAGCTGGATCTGCTGGTCTGGGTTATCAAGTAGGTCATGATTACTCAGAGTATCGAGGGTACAAAGACGAAGGATTTAAAGAACCTCTTACCCTTCTGTGTTATCATCCTGATCATCCAGCAGAGATGAAGCTGGCTTGTCCTCCTCAGATGGAGATACTGTGAACATTTCTTTCAGATCCAGAGTGTGAATTAAAGGCAGACACCTGAGAGCTGATGATATGTCTATGGCAAGACTAAAAAAAAAAAAAAGGGATTTCCATCATTATCGTCAGGTGTATTAAGTTTGTTTATCTGTACCAAATTCACAATCTAGTCCTTACCTGCAATCCTTAGTCTGGTCTGGTGAGTCACTGCGCTCATCAAGACCTCCTGAGTCCTCTGCACTGTTGTTTTCCAGAGAAGGAAGTTCATCTTTTGTCCTCATGGTTTGTGTTTGTGAGAAAAAACTACTCACAAGATGAGAATTTCCAGCAAATGAGTTCATGGCAGTGCTAATGTGGGGGCTCAAACCGTGGCTGTTTTCATCACTGCTTTGAAACTGAGCCATGTCCTCTAGACTCTGATTTTACACTCTGCCCAGGGTGAACTCCTCAGATGAAGTGATCTCAGACTGATGCAGTCAGAGATCTATCAAGCAGCAATCACAATAACTTGATCCAGGTGTTGCTTTCTCCAGGCCCGTGTGCTCCGGTTTTATTCCTTCACTCATGTTCTGGGAAAGTTTAAGTGAAACATTTTCTGTCTTTTTTTAAGTTGCACTGTTATACCAAAGTCGAAATTTGACACACATCCTCACTCACTCTGTCCGACTTTGTGTTTTTTTAATCCCTTTGTGTTGTGAAATTGATTTTTCTTGTAGATGATACACACCCAGTTGGGTATGGAAGCGTACTGCATTCACAAAAAAAGGAAAAAAAGCTCTGTTTTTCAGAGTAATTTTTTTCTGTTCCTCTAGTTTTTTTTTTTTTCAGAGTATTTTTTTTTTCTTTTCTATTTTTCTGACTTTTTTTTAGTTTTTGTTTTGTTTTTCGACGCATTCATCCCCCTCTGCTCGATTTATTGACAGCGAACATGGCTCACTTGTTTGGTTTAATCTAGTTTTACTTTCTTTCAGGTTTGAGACACAGAGAGATACTCCTTTCTTTTAAGTCAGAAAGATAGAATCATCATAAGTTTGTCTACCTTGCACAGGCACCTCAAGATCTGTAAACCCTATGTTTAACAAATAACATGCTTTACCGTTGTTGAAGTTATCCAGGAACTGGAGAATCCGTTGATTTGGAGCAGCCACGGTGGTTAATGTTTTCTGATTGTACAAGAATCTCGCAGGATTTTTAAGTATCTTGCATAGTTAGGAAAAAAATAGTCAGAGAAAACAAAACAAAAATATATATATATTTTTAAAAAGTACAAAAAACAGAATATAAATTTGTCCGAAAAACAGAGAGAGGGGGAAAAAAATATTAGTCGAAAAAACAGAAGAAAAAAAACTAGTCCAAAAAACGGTCAAGAAAAAAATTACTCAAAAAAAAAAAAAAAAAGATTTTTTTTTTCTTTCTAAGTGAATGCAATATGCTTCCGTAGTAGGGTGACCATATTCTGAGGACACTTCTACATGGGGTGGAGTCGGGCGTAGTAAATTTGGAGGGTTTTTTGGGTTGGGACAAGTGTTTTTAACGCGCTTCTAACTCAATTAGTCGACGCGACACAAACTCAAAACTTCCATACAAAACCCCCGAGATTCGAAGGATTTGATAAACCGAACAGCCCCCTCAAAAAAGAGGACATATCTGGGTAAAAGAGGATGTACGGTCACTCTGACACCCAGACATCTGCATGTAGTCTATAACAAAGACAAAAAAAAAAATCCCACAGATTGTACAAATACTAGTTTCATTTTATTTGCAATTTAAAATTTCATACAAGATAAAAGTAGATAATTCAACCTGCCTGAACATTGTTGGTATATGACTGAAATAAAGCCTTTAAAATACTTGATATAGATGTGCTGACGAAACATCTTATGGGCACGAATGGCCAAACATAAAACAAAATGTCGATGGATGTTCTGATGGTATGAACACAAACTATGACGGTTTGACACGAAATGAAAAAAAAAAGACTTCATGAACAGGAACCACGAACTGATTTGTAATCTACACATGGCAAAGCTTCCAAAGTGGAGAATGACACATACAGTACAAGATACCCTCTGTAATACACATACTTCACCATTATTATTCCATCTATGATCAGACATCGACAAATACACTAGTGGCTCCCTTGATACTTCAGTGTGAAAGCTGGAGAAATTATCTGTAAACCTGACCGAGGTTGATCAACCCATGAACTACAGCAGATCCCAACATGTCGCTCTTCCATCACTGGGTTAAGATTTGTAACAAACTGAAATGAAGTTAATCCATCAGCACACTGCTGTAAATGTCAATGTTTGACAGAGTAGAAGTGAGGAGAATTCTTCCTCGTTTTCATGTTTTTTTTTATTTTTATGAATGCTCAGGAAAATAAACAAAAGGTTTTATGATTTATCAAAAGTGAGATTATATCATGAATAATGTTTAAAGAATCAAATCAACCAAATTGGGCTTTTGAAAAATGCGTCAATGTTGGACAAAAAGAACAAAAAGAAAAAATTTATCTACCATACCAAATCTCTAAAATCCAATGAAATGGGTGGGCACCCAAAACATCTGCATGCAAACACACCTCACATATCTGCAGTATCCAGAAAAGTTTTACCGGTTGTCCTGTTAGTTCTTGGATATTCTGTATGACAAACCAAGAGACAGCGTTTCCCTGTGTTTTTTACGTGCTCCCTGTTAAAGAAGGGACGAGACATCTGGATCAGTAACAAGGTATAAATAAGACAGATGCTGAGTTGGGAGGCCGGGGTCTCAGTGTGACTAGTAATGAGTCTAGGTGGGCACAGTGATACTGCGGGCTAGCAGCGCCAGCAGAGCTAGCTCCACGACCCCGTGGGCTTGTTGCAGTGCCTCAGCAGCCTCCATGGCAGAAAAGCCCGCTGCCTGGATTCTCTGGATGTGCTCGGCTGGAAATTGTTCTATAAAGGGATGGGAGGACGGGGAGAGCGGGGCTGGAGATGTGACCTGGGCAGCCTGAGAAAGAGGAGGAGAAGAGGAAGACGTGGTGCTAGAGACTTCCTCGGGTGAGCCGACTGCCATGGACAGAGGGCTGAGGAAAGGGTGCTCAGTCTGGAGGCTTAGAGTGTCAGGGGTGTTGCATCCAGAAGCTCGTCCGTCCGCAACCCCTCTCCCCTGCTGACCCTCCGGAGGTTCCCTCAACTCCAGCTCCTCTGCGCGATCAGGAGGAACCTCTCGCTCAGGTTTGAAAGTGCTGATAGTATTAGCGTCATCCTGCCCGTGTCCATCAACCCTCCCTTTCTTATCTGGACAATCTGATGGTCCTTGTCTCTCCACAGTGTCAGCTGCGTCTCCACCCGGATGCTCATCCAGGCCAGAGGAGTCAGGCACAAGACACTTTGACGGTCCCTCATCAGACACAGCAGCAGCAGCATGGTCGGCTTTGGCATCGCTTGGTTCTGCACCAGCTGTGATGGCAGTAGAGGGGATGGTAAAGAACTCAGGTGTCGGGGTGCGTGGCTCCTGGACTCCTTCTTCGGTTTCCTGTCTGAGTGGATGAGATGGGGAGCAGGAGTTGCTGCGGTTTTGGGACTGAGCACGGTTGTTGGACACCAGCAGCTCGTGAAGCTCCTTCAGAGCAGCAGCGAGTGACGGGATGCTGTCCGAGCTGGACGAGTGCTCTCCTTCAGGCTGGTCCCTCTCTGAGGACACCACACCCTGGGAGGCGGTTGGCGACTCCATTTCAACTGAATCCGGTTGGCTATGAGCACTTTGACAGGGTTCTGCGGCATCCGCTGTGTCGGACTCTGTCGCCTCCTGCTCCATGGGCTGAAAAGGGGAAAAGTCCTCTGGATTCTGGGGGGCCTCATCTGATTCAGCATCCCCCTCTGCAGCTCCAGGCTGTACCTCACTCCCTGGATGTCCGGGAACAGAAGTAAGATCCGCAGGAGTAGGGAGGATGTCAGCTGAGGGACTTGGTACACGCGGCACTTTGGAGCAGCTGTGGACAGGCAGAGGGTGAGGCTGGACCTGATGAGGCACAGAACCGGCATCCTCTGCTGGGGGCAGAGGGGGCTCCGGCACGATAGGTTGGTCCTCACACAACTCTGACGCCAGGCCATGCGTGATGGCAGCCGGGGCAGACTGGGAGCGATCCAGAGTCTGAGTCTGACTGGGGGACAGGTTTTGGGAAGGGGAGGTGGATGAGGACATTTGGTCTAAGGTTCTGGGTAATGTAAATGGTGGGGGCTGCGGTGAGGTAGTTTGTCCATCTGCAGTGTCTATTGTGACAGAAAATATAATCGGAAATTAAACACTTGGAACATGTCGACCCAGTCTGGAGGCAAAACTTTGGATAACCTGCATTTACATGTGCAGAAGAAAACAACCCAGAACACACATTTCCAAAGAAAACTCTTAAAATACCGACTGCTTGTATTTTAATAACGCTCCTTCTCCCTCTTAAAGGGATATTCCGCGTGAAAATAATTTAGGGTCAAACACACCGCAACACCGAGTTAGACACCCCTCCAGAGATGAATGTTGCCGACCGCTTACTTCTCTAGTTATACCAACTTTATTAACAACCGCATGATAGCAATACACAGCAGTCTGAGGAGCCATAAACAAATCTCAACCAAAAAAACACTCTATAGCCACAAATAATGCTCAGAACAGCACCTTACTTCATCAACAGTACATATAGGGTCCTAGCCATAGTACTAGCCATGAAACATCTTTATAACTTTGCCTGATTTATTTAGCAAAGAGACTAAACACAACTCACCTACTCTCTTCCAGCAGCCGCTTGTTTATAGTTAAACCTTGGGCGAGTCCATCAGCTGCAGTGGAGTTTCGCAGCTCAAGGAAGAACATTTATGATAATTTCTTCATGGAAATGCAATCAGACCGAGATGCTAAGGCCGAAAAACTACAGTGTCTGCAGTGCAAAATGACCAATATGGTGATTATTACTTCAAGGAAATGATAAAGTAATGATCATAAATCTTCTTCCTTGAGCTGCGTCACCTCGCAGCAGTCCATAATGGACTGGCCTGAGGTCTCACTACAAACAAGCGGCTGCTGGAAGAGAGTAGATGAGTTGTGTTTAGTCTCTTTGCTAAAGATATCAGGTAAAGTTAAAAAGATGTTTGGTGGCTAGTACTATGGCTGGAACTCTATATGTACTGTTGATGAAGTTAGGTGCTGTTCTGAGTATTATTTGTGGCTATAGAGTGGCGTTTGGGTTGAGGTTTGTTTATGGCTCCTCAGACCGCTGAGTATTGCTATCCTGTGGTTGTTACTAAAGTTGGTATAACTAGAGAAGCAAGCAGTTGGCAACATTCATCTCTCGAGGGGTGTCTAACTCTGTGTTACAGTGTGTTTGACCCTAACTCAATTTAACGCCAGAATATCCCTCTTAACAGATATATGTATTCATAACAAATACATGAGTAAGTCCAACAAAAAGTACATCAATTAACCAACTAGGCAGCAAAAAAAAAGAGCAAAGAAAAAGACAGAAGTAGCAATGGACTTAGCACTGGCAATGGATTTATGAACTTTGCTGTACCTGGTTGGTTGGGCCCTCTCCAGCTGTGTCCAAAAGCATCAGTGCTGTCCTGCTCAGGGTTAGGGCACACACCACACACATCATGCAAAGGGACGGAGAAAGTTAGCAGTCACACACAGAGCATGCAAAAAAACCCGTGGGCCTTTTCACATCCTCCAATGTGAAAAGGGTCATCCAGAAATAAAAAAGTGTCTATGTCCTACAACACTTTCACTGAGTTTTATTAAACATTTCAACTCCTATAGAATTGGGGTTGTATTCGCTATCTATCAAATAAAGTTTTTCATCAACATTTTACACAGCGTCATCACTTATTTTGGTATCAGGGTTGCACAAATGTAATAAAAACCCAAACTGTAAGACAAGCTGTTTAATATTCAAGCTTCAGTCAACAGCCAATAACCCGCAGGATCCATGTTGGGCGTGTTCAGTTCAGTCTATTTTTGCTGCTTTACGCTTCCAATGCGCGTCAAACCTCAAAGAAGATCATTGAGGTCTAGCACGAAAACCACGCATGTCATCCGGTATTTCTTAATAAAACACCATATGCGACTGTGTATTAGTTCATTTAGATGAGAAATACTTCCTGGTTATGGATTTATCAGTAACACAGAACAATCTGATGGTCAATCCCTGATCCATGTGGACCCCAACAGGACTTGAAGGTAACAGCACAGCATAAAGGAACATGGTTTACTTTATTAAATATGAGTTAACCTGCAAAAACCGAAAGTTTAACATCACATTGCTTTTTCCACATACAGTAGAGGCTCTACGGTCACTGAATTATATCCAAATTAGCAGGAAATAGACCACAGTTCTGTGTTAATGATAAACCCAAACCAGGAAGTATTTTTCATCTGCACAAAATAATAAACAGTCAGGAGTCTGCATATGGTAGGTTTTTTTTTATATAGTGGATTTACTATACCCTGCTTGAGGGGTGTCCCGATACAACTTTTTTACTTCCGATACGATACCAATATTGTAGCCTTCAGTATCTGCTGATACCTATATTGGCACAAACTTGTGCATGACAAGTTTTTTCACTCAGCTGCAATGTCTTTTTCGGACTTTAACAAAAAATACTGCCACACAGCCGACATCTCTCCAACTCCTTGCTTCTTTGTTAGCAACTTAGTACACACTGTTTTGATTTTGTGGGCTCTGCATGCTAGCTAGAGGTGCAGAGTGGAGTCTGGAATGGACTGCTTGTATCAGAGTGCTGATATCTGAGATTTCAGATGTAGGCTGATATTATCCGATATTTGATTTTTTAGCTGATATCGGACCGATATCCGATGTCAATATCGTATCGGGATAGCCCTATCGTGCTTGTGCTTGACTTTCTGTCCGATGTTATCTGCTCTGTGTTGATTGGCACATGTTGGAAGCACAGAACAGCGAAAATAGACTGGGCACGTATCTTTAGCAGAGCAGCACCTCAAGATGGAGCAGAGACGCTTTCTGAGGGTGACGCTGCATCACGAGAAGCTAACGACACGCACTCAATGCGGATCCTGTGGGTTATGGGCCTCAACAGACTACTTTAGGAACAAGCTCCAAAACCTGGAGACAAGTCTGCATTTGATTTGCAATAAGTTTGTCTTTGGTTTATAAAAAAAAAAAAAAGGAGCTAAGGTTGCTTAGTAAAGGTGATGGTGTGTCAAAACTGTGGAAATTGATTTTAGTTGTAGTTTGATAACACACTCTTACACACACATTCACAAACACAATGTGAGCTACGTTTTCCTAAACTGAGCTGGGACTAAAGTGGTGTAGTATTGATGCAAATTTACATCAAACAGACTATTAATCACCAGCAGCTTCTCCTGTGATTCTTTTCTTAGTCATTTCAAATAGTTCGAGAGGATGATTCACCACATTTATGACTCAATTATTCTCATGTCTTTGTAAAGATCTATGCATTTAATCCACTACTGCAACATTTTTCTGTGTGAGATACTCTTGTCCTGCTCATACAAATCTGTGCCTACATTTCTGTTGGCACAACAACCCTGTTTGTAGGTGGTTTTAAGAGCTGTTCTCACACTCCTTCTGTGAGCCATCTGCACTGTTCTCTTACAACAATGATCGTCTGGATTGGACTCGCTGCAAGAAAACACACTCAGGACTGATGATAAGCTCTGATGGTCCCAGGAAAAGTTAATGGAGCTTTCAGTACTGGAGTGTTTTCACTACTGTTCCTCACATTTCAGATGCTTCCAAGCGCATTTATGGCGGCAAAATCGACTTTAGATGGCTAGAAATGGCTGTATGGTTTGTCTACTGATGTATTATGAGGCCTTTTTGGAGATTTAAAGGATGCTTTTAAGTGTTAGCCTTGGGCCGAACATAAAAAACATAATGTTTAAAACCATAATAATCATGAGTTTTTCCTTTTAAGCCTAGCAGGATTGATCTTAGTCGGGTTGATAATACCGTCTTGTCTTGAATACAGTTGGGTGACATTTGACTGACAGAACATCTTTTCTCATTCTTCAGAGCATATACTTGGCTGAAGTGTTGACATGAAATGATCATGTGACTTACAATTCAGATGACAGCATAAATGAGGTTGAGAATAAGAAGCTTTAGGTGGCACATGCAAATGTTCCTCTAACTGGACTGAAGGAAGCCCCATGAAAAACACACCAAAGGCAGAGATCAGGGACCGTTTCTTACCGCTTTCCTGTATGGATCTTTGAAGTGCCTCTGCCAGTTCTCTGTCAGCTATCTCTTCGGGGCGAGCGTCTTCCCGCCCCTCTGCGCCATATGCCAACCTGGCACATTCAGGCAGCTCAGCCTCAGACAGGAAGCGAGTCTCAGTGCCCGTGGTGCCTATTAGGAGCACGCTCTTCTTCAGATCGATTGAACACTACAAGAAAACAGAAGGGAAGTTGACTGTCATTAAACTTCTCTGAAACGGTGGATTAAGGGAGCAGAAAATGGAAAGTTCTTCAAAAATGGATCAAATTAATTGAGCTCAAACCTGGTGTCTCTTCAGCATATCCAGGCCGAGCAGCATGTCCATCGGCTGGTCCTCCAAGATGGAGAAAGAACAAGGGAGGAAATCGCCCTCAATCTGGACCTGAGCTAGATGTGTACAACAAGTCAAGAGAGTTTTACCTGCACTGAAATGGACTGAAAATAAACAGAGCTGATGGATTTTCACCTACGCATCAGGTTAAACATCTGATACTTTTTGAAGGTAGTTTTTTTTGACAAAGCCATTTCAAACTTTATTAAATCTTTCTTACTTTTAACCCTTAAATATGATAAAGAGGACGAGACGCATCCTGTAACTGTGCTGTACTCTTTGTAACTCACAATACATCAATACCAGCGACAAATATGGAAAAATAATCACTAGTTTAGGTTTAAACTGAGAGTTTCTGGGATAAATTGCTTCCAAACTTGAAAACTCAACACTTACCTAAATGAACTCTACCGATGATCTTCTGTGTGCCCACTCCCTTGGCGATTCCAGCCCAGCGGCGGTCCACCAACCGCATGATGTTGCAGCGCTCGGCACATGCTTGGCTCATGATGGTCATCTGGGCACCTTTAAAACAAGAAACAAAAGATTTTACAATATATACACTTTATATAACCCTAAAAGAAAACTTGAATGTAAAGTGAGGTGATGAGAGGAAATTATTTTTGTGTAGGTTAGTCATTCATCGTATTGTAGAAGGGGGAATCCTTAGTGGCCCCACGATACGATATTATCGCAAAACTTGGGCACGATACGATATTATTGAGATTTTTAACATTTTAAATACAGTATTGCGATACAATGTATTGCAATTTATGCATTTTTTTTCTTTGTTTGTCTTATTTATGCTGTATTTTATTTTCATGTAGCACATCTTGCAAACCTTACATATATTTGTTGTACTAATTTCTCCTGCTCTATGATGTCACCTCTGCCAACCTCACTGGACAACCAATTGATTGTATTTTTCCATTATCATAGATTTGGCTTCATATTAGAAATTATTTTGAAAAATCAATACTTTGTAAATGAAACGATACGATATATCACCAGGCAAAATATTGCGATACTATGCTGTATCTCCCACCTCTATTGTATTGTACTTTCATTCTCTGTGGGGATAGGTCTTGCTAAGAACACAAAAAAAGCACACATGGACGGCACGCCCAGAGAGACAAACTGAGGAGTTAAGATATGCATGAAGAGTCCAGATCAGAGAACCTGCTCTGTGAGGTTAAAAAACACAAGTCATGGTGGGTGAGCATTTAAGGTCCTTCCCTTCAACGGAGACGTATTTCACTTAAACCCTTGACTGACTCATAGTGAAAGAGAAAGAGGTGATAGGGAAAGTGTTTGGCGTAAACAAACGTTGGAATGCCCCTGAAGTGCGTGCCAACTTGAGCCAAAAGCCAAGCCATCAGGAAATCGAAAGAAAAGAGAACACTCTGTCTCTCGTCTTGCAAATAATACCAAACACTGCACAAAGGATGAGCAGTTAGCATTTTAGGACATGATATGAGCTTATTAAGTTCAAACACTGCTCTCAACTCAAGAAAACAGTGATTCAAAGAGTCATCTTAAACGAAGCATACCGTTTGTAATTTGCCTCAAGAAAAAAAAACTACGACCAGACACACACTAACACTGAGGACACGACACAGTTCATGACCCGAGTAGAGTAGCTAGGACAAACAGGATCAGGATTTAATGCTCATTACCTGAGTCAACAAAAGCTTTCACAGGGTGCCCATTGACTTTGCAGTTAATGTAGAGCATAACCACCTGTCCAAAGCTTTCAGGGGCTTCTTCCATGGCAATGGTCATGTTTTCTTCCACATTGTGCTGCCTGAAATATACACAAAATAAACTGTTAGACAAACTGATGACAAAAATAAACAATAAAAAGGTCCCTGACACTTGATGAACATGTTTTCTATTTCAACCCTACACAAATATATATTGTACCTGATATTGTCAGAGCTATTCTCATTATTTACTGATGAAGTTACTGACACTGTTAAAGGATTATCCAGCAATCAATCACTCACAACTGGTGTTTTTCCAAGTCAAATCAAAACAGCTACCAATGAGTGAAGCAGGAGCTAAACTAACTATCTGGCAACAGACCAGTTTCCTTATCTCTAAACACATTATACTATTTGGTCAAAATTAAAGATTCAGTTCAAGGTTCAGTGTTGGAAGTTTCCCCATCTACTAAAAACAGCTTTATTTGCAGACAATATAACTTAACTTTGCTGTTGGAAAAACATATGGATACATTCGGGGATGAAATGGAGAAACTGAAGAGTTGGAGTCAAATAAACAAACATTTAACCTTGTGCAAAACTGAATTTACAATCAGCTGGCCAATAAACTCCGGAAGAGAATACATGAAATTTGATTGGGGAAAAGAAACAGAGGCTGTACTGCAGAGGCAGGGAAGAGAAGGTGGGCAGTGTTATGAATAATTACGTTTGGTAAACAAAGCCTTCTTTCTGTACCTGATGTCCTCCTCAATCTTTGCTTGGGCTTCCAAATCAAAAGGATCAGCCGTCAGGAGTCTGATCCTCTCCTGCTCTCTCTTGGCTCGATCCTGCTGTTGCTCCAGCAGCACTTTGGTGAAACGCTCTGAGGATAAAACATTTACGTGGTTTAATCATATCTGACTGAAACACTAGATTGAGTACGCAGATAAGGACACTTGACATTAAACAGGCGGAATATTGTATACCTAAGTCTCCGCTCAGCAGGGCTTCAGCAAGAGGTGGGTTTCTCTCCTTTAGGAGGGAAAGCTCATGTGGATTGGACAAAAGCATCTGCTGAAGTAAGGCAGGGTCATCAAGCCCCTGAGGAGAGGAGCCGCGAAAGGCCACCGGCGTGGAAGGTTGTGCTGTGCGTGGCTGTGTCGGTGGCAGCGATGGCTGCTGCTGCTGCTGCTGTGGAGGTTGTGAAGTCTGTGGCTGCTGTCGTGTAGCACCGCGTTGATTTGATGAAGAGGAGGTGCCAGGGACTGTGATGGAGCGAAAGTCGATATGGGGCAGACCTAAGACACACAGATGATAGAGGTTGATTATGTACATAAAAAAATCTCTCATGCCGTCACATATATCATTTCGAATCTCTGGATTTTAATTTTATATATCTGTGTTACCTGGGAAGGCTGGCTGAGTTGGTGGTGGCCTTCTGTCGGCTTGCCTGAGAACCACCACATCTCCATCTTTAACGCCATAGGTCCCCAAGGCACGAGATGGATCTTTTAGGGGCTGTTCAACATATGTGATCTGGGGAAAAAAATGCAGAATTGAAAAATTTAAAAACAGACAGATTGCTTTTGGGTTTTGCTTCTTCTGTATTTGATGCACATTGAAGATTATGGAATTGACACGACCTGATTAAACAAGAAAAAGTCAATTTACTGCCTTCTACATTTTAAGGGTCCAACACTCTTTACACATCAAACAATTATTTTACAAAACAACTATCACTTGACTGATCATGTTAACCAAAACTGATGGTTCAGAAGATAGGTAAAGTAAAAGTTGTGATTGAGCGGTTGCATTGGACTGTATTGTAGTTGTGTACATTTCACAACAGTCTAAAAGGGTTTCGGAGCGTATAACCTGTGTGTTTGCACATGTATGAAAATCATCATATCTTAATAGAAATGTATGTTGAAAAGTGAAACTTAACAGTCAATCAAAATAGTTGAGTATTCTGTCAAATAAAAGGGATATACCGGCGTAAAATTAAGTTAGGGTCAAACACACCATAACACCGAGTTAGACAACCCCTCGAGAAATGAATGTTGCCAACCACTTGTTTCTCTACTTATACCAACTTCAGTAACGACCACAGATAGCAATACAGCACTAGCCACCAAACATCTTTTTAGCTTTGACTAATTCATGATCATTTCTTAATCATTTCCTTGAAGTAATAATCATCATATTAACCATTTTGCGCTGCAGACGCTGTAGTTCTTCTGCCTTAGTGTCTTGATCAGATTGCATTTCTATGAAGAAATGATCATAAATGTTCTTCCTTGAGCTGGGTCACCCCACAGCAGTCCATAATGGACTGGCCTGAGGTCTCGCTACAAAAAAGCAGCTGCTGGAAGAGAGTAGGTGAGTTGTGTTTGGTCTCTTTGTTAAAGAAATCAGGCAAAGCTAAAAAGATGTTTGATGGCTAGTGCTATGGCTGGGACCCTATGTGTATTGTTGATGAAGTTAGGTGCTGTTCTGAGCATTATTTGTGGCTATAGAGTGGCTTTTGGGTTGAGGTTTGTTTATGGCTCCTCAGACCGCTGTGTACTGCTATCGTGCGGTCGTTACTAAAGTTGGTATAACTAGAGAAGCAAGCGGTCGGCAACATTTAGCTCTCTAGGGGGTGTCTAACTCGGTGTTACTGTGTGTTTGACCCTAACTTAATTTTACGCCGGAATATCATTTCAACGCCCAAACGGAGTTAGAACAATAAAGTTCAATATCAGTTGAAAGGGGCCGGTATTAATCAAACTCTAAATGCATTCAGGTTGATTTTTAGGTACTTGTATCAAACCCTACGTCCAGTTACTTATGTATAACTTCAAAATTGTACTCCTAAACATTACTACTATACTCTTCACTCTATATATAATCCAGATGCCGGCGTGTCAAACTGCGGGTAATTTATAGGGTGTTGGCCCGACATGTTATAATTTATTCTCTATCAATAAAGGCAAACCTTTGTTTACAGGTTATGTTCGAAAAACCGTTTACGTTATCGTAACTTTTAGCGCGCGCGGACCAACGTTTAGTCTGTCAGTTAAGTGATTAACGTCGCGTGAGTGTTTAAAACATTGTTGACTACTCTGACAACTGTTAGCTTCATGTTTGACCATTATTCGAGCTTTTCCGTTAGTTTTAATCGACCAGCTGACAAAGGGAACGGTCTGTCAATGCGGTTAATCGTTGGAGATACTCGTGGGCAAGTATGTCTGCTCTTGATAAGCTAAGTTTCGCAACAACCGGATCATGAAAACAACAAAGTCCGATTCATGCTAGCAACTCAGCTAGCTAGCCATTAGCCTGTGTTAGCACTCTGGGGTTTCGAGTTACCTGAATTTCCCCTGCTGGGATTCCTGATTCTAGTTCACAAAGTGCTACGAAGTCTCTCAGCTCCAGCTCTGGGGACACATCGAGGGCGAAAGTGGTTTCTGGGCGATCCCTCGGCGCGCAGAAAACGGTGACCAGCATCGCTTTTTTGGGGCAGGATCACCGGACAAACCCGCTGTAACAGAATGCGGTTAGTGTAGCGTTAGTGTCCTGATCACAAAGGAAAAACCCCTGTTATAATATGTTTTACAGACTTTAAAGATGTGTTTTCGTCGAAAAAGAGAAAAACAACTCCACATCGAAAAGAGCAGGATTGCTCGCACTTACTGAGTAAGAGTCTGATGTGACAGTTTCTCTTTCATCTACAACTAAACAACATCAAGTAGTGCTCACTAGTGCCGCATTTCACCCAGATCATTTTCGACATGTCGCAGAACAGATTTGCAGTCGTGACTCTTTCCACTTCTTCACAGATTTTTATTGGCGGATGACAAACCAACGTTTATAGTGCATAACGCCACCTACTGCACTGGAGTGTAAGATATCAGCACTGAACTTCAGGTAACTTTCTGAATACAACCACTGAGCGTTTGAGGCTATGTTCACACTGCAGGTCAATTCCGATTTTTTAACCCTATTTGACACATATCTGATTTTTCCATGTAAATGTGAACAGTGCAATTCTATTTTTTTTCAAATCCGACCCAGGCTTCTTTTGTATGTGAATATAAATCAGATATGTATCCAATGTGACTGCAGTGTGGACGCTCAGGTCGCGTTCATCCGACCTATACGTCATCAATATGCGTAAAAACGTCACCATTGTTCGACAACACAAACAGGTACGGAAAGCAATTTGTGCTTTGTGCGCATGCAGGTCACTTCATGGAGGCATTCTGTTCACATTAGATGCTGCTTTTGTTGTTGTAATGTGAGCAACTGCACAAACTGATTGAACAAAAAATCAGAATCGTGCATCACAACCTGCAGTGCGAACTTAGCCTAATAGACGTGTAAGGCTATGTTTACACTGCAGGTCAATTCTGATTTTTTTAACCATATGTGACACATATCTGATTTTTTCATGTAAGTGGGAACAGTGCAATTCAGATTTTTTCACATCCGACCCAGGCTTCTTTTGTATGTGAATATAAATCTGATATATCCGATGTGACTGCAGTGTGGACGCTCTGGACGTGTTTATCCGACCTATATGTCATCAATATGCGACAAATGTCACCATTGTTCGACAACACAAACAGGTGCGGAAAACAATGGTGGATGAAGGAATGGAGAACAGCGTCATGTAATGTGAATGACCGCACAAAAAAAAAAAGGAAAGTTTTTTAGACGTCTAAATTTAGACCAAGTTTAGACAAGCCAGCTAACAGAGGTCTACACTGTATATTGCTCAACGATTATCATAATTATTGTTGGTTAAGTTCTTGGAGATCAGTTATAAAACTCACAGTTGCTTTTTGAAATAAATAGTTATTGAATAATGGGTTAAAGTGCAACGTCTAAAAACCATCTAAAAATATACAGAATCTAGACGGTTAAATTTAGGTCTTAAAAAAACTAGACGTCTAATAGCCCTCTATTGCTCAGCAGTGCCCACTGAGCAATAGAGGGCTATTTGTAAAGCACTTTGTAAACTTCTGTTTTTAAAAGTGCTTTCAAAATAAAGTTATGTTTGTCTTACTTGACTCTAAAATCCCCTCCAGACTCTATCCCCTACCTTACTCATGCATCTGAGTAAAAAGGTCATATGTCCCTGTAATGGACATCATGTCATTACCATCATTATTCCACACAGTACATTTTGCTCAATTTTAACAACATTCTGATGTTCCTTATTAAAAACCCATCAATTTCTTCCACTTCTGTCTTCTTCCACTTCCACTTTGTATTTATCGCTGCTGTAAATTTTGGAATTTCCCCTTGTGGGACAAATAAAGAAATATCTTATCTTATCTTCTATCTATGTGAGTTTTCCCAACAATCATGCAGTACCACGCAGAGCTCAAATTTTATGGTAGCACACACGAATGTTTCTCGCCTAATTTTTGTTTATTTTAAAGATAGACACTCACAATGAGCACAACGTGTTGCTAAAATTGCATGGGTGACATAATCAGAAGCAGATTTATTGGTTTTACATGAAATATGATTGGGAACACGTTGAATTTTTACATTTTTTGTCTCCCGTCTTTGTTAATTTTTGGTTAATTGCTAAGTTTTACTAAAAGAATTGCCTTGATGTAGTCGTGCATAACCTTTTCAGCTGATGCGGCAAGCTCTGTAATGCAGAATATGTGTGCCTCATTTTGTAAAGACAAAAAGAAAAAAATTAGTGGTAATGGAAACACTTAGTTTCACCAGACACTGTCTTGCTACTGTGTTATCTCTGTGGGATTTTCTCCGTAGCTTTTGTGTGCACCCACACTGGCGGCAATGTGTTTTGCTTACCACATACTTTCCTCGTTTATTCCACATATAATGGTTGCTTCTGCCAAAAAAATAAAGAAAACAACATTAATCAGAGCACATCCTGTGTGCTTACAACTTTTGTCTGGTTAGTAAAAACACAAAAACAGGGAGAGAGACAAGACCATCACTAAACATTGAAAAGTAGTTATCTAAAAACACAGATTTCAACTGTTATTTTTTTGTTATTGCACCAGACACCATACAAATGTGTTCTTTAATTAATGCATCCACAAGTCCATTATTTATTTTAAGGATGATATCTATCAGTAGTGTTTTATCAAACCCCTCATTTCAATGGTTTAAGGATCATATTTATATGACACCCTGTTAAAAAAAGACTACTACTACTTTGTAGCCAAATATGTTTACCTTTCATAGACCCAAGTCTATAGGTTAAGAAATCATAATGCATTAATTTGCAGAACCTGAGATCTTCTCGGCACAGCTATGTTGCCATCAGTTGTTGCGGAAGTTGTAGGATTTGTTTTAACAGACATATAAAAACGTAACTGAGAGGACTTTGGTTCTACTGCCACTGGTACAAGCTTCAAATATGTTTTGATTCCCAGAACTGGAAAGCAGAACTAAATGTAAATTATGGTAGGCCTGGTTTTTGTCATTTCATTCAGTCATTTTGACACCAACCCTGTTTCAAAAATCTATGAGTGCTACAAGAATGACTACCTAATTTCATGCTACCAGCTGCTTCATTTCTATTTTACTCATAATGTAGTAACAGAAATTTTCTTTTTCTTGTCACCTCACCACAGAGCTGATTTTCTGTGTTAAGCAATGAGGCTGGAAAGTTTGCACATGGGTGGGTTATTTGTGGTACATTCTCTCATCTTATTTATTAAAATCATTATAAAAATGGGCACGTGCCAAAGCAAAGTGAAAAATAAGTTGGCCTACTGTAGTAAACATACTCAAACCTGAAAACACTCTCCACCAGGGCCACAGGCCGCTCCAGGGCAGACATGGTTTTCCCTGTTGCGTAGTCTTTGTTGCAACATGCCATAGTGTCTCCCAGACAGGAGGTACCTCTATCTCAGATGGGAGGTCAGATTTGGCACCCCAACCCTCTTTGCCTTCAGCTGTGAGTTCGGCCACTGCACGGCTTGACCTAACACCAAGTTTCAAGGACAATGGGTCAAGCCGTGCAGAGTCTTGTGCAACCTTTAAGAACTTGTGTTGACAGCACAGCCAGCATATAAAAGTTAGACCAGCTGTTTGTTTGTCATAATGATTGTAAGAGAGGTTGTGCTTTGTTCAAACAAAAACTGTCCCATCGGATTGTAGACATTACCCACCTGGCATATCTGTCAGCCAGCTGCCCTCAGTCAGCTAGAATGAAGCATCATTCTACGAAGAGGGTTTCCACATTGTCACTCAGCACTTTTCTGCAATTTTACAGGGTCAACATTGTAATTCCTATCCTCTGGGTTTGGGCCTTCTCCCTGGCTCTTCTTCGTCACAGAAATGAGGTTTGTGTTGGGATTCCTCATGGCTCTGTTGTCAAAAATCATCCAGTACTTGAAACACCACCTCTGGCGGTCAGGAAGTTTGAAACAGAACAAAAAGTTTAGTATGTAACTACAGTTCCTACGTATCCTGGATGACCATCTGAGCTTTCAGTCACTCTGAATCCTCTTGGTTTGTGAGAAGATTTTGCATTTTTTCCACACCCACTGTTATGTAAGCTTTGTAAAGGAAATCTGAAATCCATAATCTGTACCTGTGTCATGGTTGTTGGTGTGCATTGGACATTAATTTTCAATGGTTTTTATAAGTTCTAAATAGGTGTAAAAGCTATAGGACAATCTTCTCACATAACAGAAGCTTAGCAAACAGGAGGAACAAAAAAGAGGAAATGTACCATGAAACGGTTTACAGCTCTACTTCCCTGATATGTTTTGAAAGATGTCTCGGTGCTTATTTGCTTTGAAGCTTGGTTTCGGGAACTACTACTTTTCCCTCTACATTCTGCTAAGTGATACTACTGCCGTTAGAAACCAGACGTGTAGCGAGACAAGTCTGAGTAACACCTCCTGTGATGTCATGAGGATATCTGACCACACATCTCAGCACAAAGAAATTCGAAGAAGGCTCAAACCATCCAACTCTCTTTACTTCATTGTATTAATAACAGCTTGTCAATTAAATGAATACCTGCAAAAACTTGAGATTTCTTTTTTCTTTTCCCCTTCCTGCTTTCATCGTTATTGTTATCAGCTCAAAACCCCTCGCATGATTGTATGAAGCGTATATTCTCCTCTACAAATGCTTCACAGCCGGATAGGAGTCAAAAAGAGGTGTTCTTTTTTTTCAACATCCGTGTTCAAACAATGAGCTTTGCACCATTTGCGTGGTTGTATCTTGCAAATTTATCAAGAATATGAGGTTTCCAGATGCAAAGGTCTAATGTCATGCTCTTGAAGCAAACAATAAAAAGCCGTTATGTTTCAGATGATTAAAAAAAAACCCTACCTCCTTTTACCTTTGAAGAAATTAAAAAACAAAAATAATAAAATAACTCTGATTCTTTAATATTCTCTTTCCCCGGAAAACTATTATCAGCAAGGTCACTTGGCCAAAGGAACATGTTTCAGCATTGTCTGTCACTTTGAGTGCTGCTCAAATGAACAGCATACAAGTGCATATTTATGTGTAAAGTAATGATTCTTGATTACTTGGTTTTTTTTAAATGATTAAAATTGGTCACCCAGCAAGCAAAGATTACTTTAAGTTACTGTATGCAGAAATGGGAGTATTTCTTGTGGTGATTCCAGACTGAAACGCTCCCCCTGCTCACCCTCCCACCATTAATGTGATGGTAGCCCTCAAGGACAAGAAGGCTCCTTCAAGGTTCCTGTGATGCATGATACATATGATCCTTTATTTATCAAGTTTTAACCTTTAAAGAGGTCTATCAATACAGTTTCTAATTTCACACAACAACCATTTTCTTCTTTTTCTTAGTTTCTCATCAACCATTATATTGTAGAAAGGCAAGAATACCCAAAAGATAAGAAAGGATTTCATGTCTGCCAAATCTATTCAACTAAATACCATGAATTTTTGCAAACTGCATCTTTAAATGTCATGCATATCCATCATGTACGGTATTCAATTGTATTGACAAGACTACTTTGTTGAAATAAAAGGAAGGATTGTAAAAGTTTGACTAAATCCCCCACGTTTGATTTATTCAGTCAAATGAAGAAATGAAAACCAAGTCCAGCGATGATGCCACTTTAACTGATACCAAAAACAGTCCGTCTTGTATCTTTATTTCTTTGCACTTCTTCATTCAATCATCTGTCAAAAAATGGTACTTGACAGCTTTGTACCTATTAGTCACTTCTCTTGAAGTCAAGAAGTGTTTCCAGTCAAGCAAATAACGTCAAAAGTGAATGAACTGTATGATTCATCTGAGTGTGTAGGTTCACGTCAGTCCCTCTTTAGATATTCATTCAGGCAGGTGTGTCTCAGTGTTTCTCTCTCTGTCTGTGGTGTCTCACAGAGGAAGCGGCTAAGTTCCACCTGTCACCACTGAAACACGGAGTATGGCTCTGCTAAAATGGTTAGTCTTTGCGTTGACTTTTTGTGAGCAGGTTATTAATTTGGATGCCAAGAGTTGCCCAAAAGGTAGAGTATCAAGTTTCTTGTATGACACTGTGATATTCTTCACATATTTTTGTTTGAACTTCTTAATTTTTTTGTCATATTGTGAACTGATGCAGGTCAGTTTGTGGCACCTAACAAGCCAGGTGGTTGTGCCGTTTGCCCTGCTGGATTTTACCAGCCTGACACCAATGAGTCTAACAGGTGCAAAGTATGCAGGAGGTGTGATGAAGGTAAGTGGCGTCCAAATTACTTTTGATAGAATATATGATTCTCATTGTTTGGTTTTGAGGGAAAAGCTTGATGTAACTCTCTGGATACACTTTCCCCATGAAACAGTTTTCCTGTCCTAGCTTGCTTTCTTTAATACTGTTCCACTCTTTGCTGTTTGTTTTAGAATCGGGGAGTTATGCTTTAAAGGAGTGCACAGCAGAGACAAACAGAGAATGTAGTTGCCGTGGCGGGTTCCTTCGCAGTGACACTGATTTCTCCACCTGCAAATGCGACATAGGAAATGGCAAACAGGACAGAGGTACAGAGATCTCACAGAATTGAAATAGCATGATAAAGATATACATTTCTAACCATTTACTCTTTTTTAACAGAATGCTTACAATGTCAAGATGGCTATTTCAACAATCGTATTGACTCGCCCTGTAAAAGATGGAAAACGTATGTTCATTGACACTTGTCTGCTATTGTTTGATAAACTTATTTTATACATCTTTTCTTTGCATGATTCGTAGCTTGGCACCCAATAATTCTACTATGCCTCTATTTGATTGTAGTTGTTTATCGTGATATTGTGTTTTTATTCTAGGTGTAGCGCAGGAGTGAATGTTACTGGAACCAAGGTCTCAGATGTCATCTGTAATGCAGAATCCAAGACCTACTTTACTACAACAACCATGTCAAACAAACCATCTCATGAAGGGACTAAAATTCAGAAGAAGCAAACCGTGAACAACACTACCACCCTTAGCGCCACATCTGCCCCAAGACCAAGACTCACTCCTCAGGGAAAAATGCCAACTACCCGTCCTCCTAGCACGGACTACCACATTGGTAAAATTAATTTGGACCAATATATTTATGAAAAGACCCATATTTACAAGCATCATTGGGTAATTAGTATTTTTTTTGTCTTCTGTAGGTAGTACTATCCTCCTCACATGTGTGATTGCTCTTCTTGTACTTACGGCTGTGATCTACAAGCTGCTCATTTCACCTGGCTGCTCGGAGAGAAAACCAGCAGTACAAGGTATGTTGCAGGATTACTGTTGAAGCAATTGCATACGAGACTAGTGGAACATTTAGAGAAATATAAATGCTGCACGAATTCTGTCTCTACTGTTAAATATGATACAACAGCCAGCTTGCTAAGAGTAGTATATCAAAGCTTCAGGATGTCCAATGAGAAATATAACAGGTGTATCAGAACTTTTGAAGGTGATTTTGTTCTCCTTAGAGAATGCCATGGTAACAGGCCATGAAAGCAGAAACCTTTTAGGCGCTCTACCTCACAGTAACTGTTAACTCACAGTGCAAGCAGCAATCTTGGGACTCAATGGCTCATGTCTGCTAACTTTTAGGGATGATAGCCAACTTTTTCAGGATTCAGCTTTTTTAGGTTTCAATTTTTTGAGATTTCAACTTTTTGAGGTTCCGGGCACAGCCAGGGGTGAGAAAGGACTTTTGACTAATACTTGCCTGTCTGTGTGCCTGTAAATTGTTTACTGCCCACAATACAAAGAGCATTTGACTAAGGAGGGCACTGAATTAGTCAAACAGAATCCATGAACACATTTCAGCTGTGCTTAAATGCAATTGTTTGTTCATCATTTTTGGATGATAGCTTAAAGTTCTGAGGACTGTATTTTGGTTGGTATACTTTTTTTTTTTTTTTTTTTTTTGCAGACCAAATATCTGCAAACAAACAATACTGTCCGTAAAGCTAATGGAAAATACTAATTGAGTTGCAAACAAGAGCAAGAAAACTTCCTCCCCCTCACCTCAGAGCCTGCGTTCATTGCAAAATCTGAAATGATGCCAGCGATAGAGACAGCATGGTTCTTACATGGAAACACTTTCCAGCAGACCACTAATTGCAAGCTGATGGAAAAACACTATATGTCACTATGTCAATTTATGTGTGAATAGCGTGAGGATGTCACCCTTTCATCAAACTGTTAATACAGGACTCTCATCATTCATTCTTTCATAGATCTGTTGCTTCAATTAGTGATGGATGATGACTCTAAAGACATTTATTCAGCTGAAATAACTACTGAAAGCCCTCGAGTTTACATGTAGGGTGATTTTTATCAATCATCATCACAATGTGGTTCCTGAGCAACCACATGAGACTCAAGGAGGCCACTGCTTTAGGCCGAGTAGTGTAATGGTTCAGCACAGATTTCTCTGCTGCTTATTTTTTGTATTTTGCGAAATCACACTAGTTATATCCAGCTAATTTGTAAAATTACAATGTGCTGTGAGAACAGAGACAGTCATGCCAGTCAAGTGTTAGCCAAGCAGCTGCTAGCCAAGCCTGTAGCTACAGCTAACTTCTATTGCTATATGCGGTAAAGCTCTACCATCTGAATGTAAACAAGCACAGTTGACAGATGGAATCACATGGTGAAGTGGTGAATTCAGTCTGTCTTTTCCGTTAATAATGCTGTTATTTTCATGTTCCAGTGCAGGAGTCGTTGTGTGGAAAACCCGTCGAGGAGAGTGGAAATGGCAGTCAGTCCTCTCTCAAACAGTATTCAGATGAGCCCTGAGGTGAAACTGAACATCTGTGGAGTAAAACCATTTTACATTAGGAAATAATCTAGTAAAAGTATTCACAGTGTGTCTTTATATCTGTCACAATATAGTAATCAACATTTGAATGGTGTTTATCTTTTGTAAGACAATACCAGGTGAATAGAAAACATCATATCTCAATTTTTATTATTTTTATCAACTGAGAACTAAGATGTAAAATAGTGCTGAATGCTCTGTAGTGAAATGTGAATGGCTTGAGGATCATGTTATACATGTTTTATGGTATTTGCAAATAATTCTTTTTTAATCGTTGTAATACTTAATGATGATGCTACATACTGTGAAATGTTTTATGGGCTGACTGACAAGTGTCTAAGAAATGTGCTGGGATTAAATGGAAATGCAGTAAAGGCTGAAAAAAACTGATCCAAACATCAAACTCCTGGAAAAAAAAACCTTTACGGGTTGTTTTTGCATAATTTTCAGTCTATTTTTATCTTGTTTTGTTTGATCAGCTCTTTCCACTGGTAGCATTTGTATGTGGGGTTGGGGGGAGTCCCACTCGGGGACTGTTCTCCCCAATGAATGAAACTTCCTGTCATGTTTTCGTTTCAGCCCGTTGGAAAGACTCGTTCTGTAAATGTTAAGACTTTCACGTTTGTGTAGTTGAATGGAGACTTTCCCCTGATTGCCATGGTCTGAGGAGATATAGAAGCATGATGTCATTATCCAGAATAATCTTTACTTCACTGCAAGAAAAACTTTTTATCACATGGAGCATGGTGTGCAACCGTATGGCTCTGTGTCATTCAAGTTTGTCTGAGTTCAGTTTGTTTTAATTCAGTGACATAGCGACCTCTAGTGGCGTTCTCAAGGCAAAAGAATATATAACGAAAATAATACTACTATAACAGCTGTTGATGTATTTCTAACATTTAAGCACTGGTGCAGGAATTCAAAAACACTCAGTGACAGGTAGGGTCTCACTATAGTTAATTTTTTTAAATTAACTAATTCAAATGCAAACTGAGAAGTTAAGACACGAAATGACTCTTTGTTGGGATTGCTAATAATCTAAACATCCTTTAATGTGACCCAACTACACAGAGGTGATCGGTGAAGAATTGTGGAAATATCGTATTTATTTTCATGTGTTCTGTACTTATACATGTGTACATTTTATTTGAAAATTTAGCACAATATATCTATCATATGGATGCGGTGCACTGAATATTTTATTTGAAATATCATGAGGAAGAAAACCTCAATATAAGTGTAAGTATCTCAATTGCTAACCAAAGTACTGCACAGAGGTTAACTCCTGCCAGAAACCTGTCAGACTGGTATCTGAATTTTTTGTAAATCACTCTTTTTTGCCTGTTTTTTGTTTTATTTTTGTGTGTTATAGACTGAGATTCTGTGAATAAAGAGTTTCTACACCCCTTGTCTTTTTGTATAACTTAAGTGGTAACACTGGTAACAGAGAGTGTTCACACACGATGGAAACAGTGCTTGTAGAAACCCCGTAAATGACAGTAATCCAGGAAGTCGGTGTGTGGTTTCAAAGAAATAACCAACACGTGTGCAAAACCTTCAGGGCCTCCAGATAGCTGCTTTGTGAAGCTCAAGAACCTTTCTCATGAACAACTCATTAAAATCACACATATATTTATATAGTGAAGTTATGTAAAGTCTCTGTAAAACTGACTCTGTATTTATAACGACAGGCTGAAGGCTATTCTGTAAAGTGAATATGGTGTGTTACAGGCTTTTAGGGATAACATTGTCTTTTCGAGTGACAGCTGCCATCAAATAAGGTGATGGTTGTAAAGGTAGATATCAAATGACAGCCTAATAAACTAAACTAAATTAACCAAATATAATACTTATTTTCACACTGCCTGCAAATAAAAACTTGATTGAAAGTTTGGGGGTTTCTTTCTACAACAATGTATTCTATTTGTATAGCACCTCTCAAAATACGAGCTCATTTAGCAGATGCTCTTATCCAAAGCAATATATATTTAAGATCAATTAGGCACAGCCAGGAGCGTCTTGCCCAATGACACTTCAGCACATGGACAGCTCTGGAATTGAACCCCTAGACCTACTGATTGAGGGACAACCGACTCTAACAACTGAGCCACAGCTGACACACAATATAAGCTTACACAGGCTGTGAGGATCAAACAAGGTCATTGTGATTGTGTCATGGTAAGGAGGCAAATGTAAGTGCACCAACACTCATCAAATCTGACATAGTTCTTAGTGAAGGAGCGGGAGATGGAAATACAAGGGCTGCTTGATGTTGTGGCATGGTCAGAAGTGTAGACTGTGAGAGAGCATAGAAAGAGTAAGCTAGCACAGGATAGATGTATAAGTATCTGCTATGCTTTTCTCTTGCAAATCACCCCAGATGGGACTCGAACCCACAATCCCTGGCTTAGGAGGCCAGTGTCTTATCCATTAGGCCACTGGGGCTGCAGAACTGGTCAACAGACACTTCATCAAATCAGAAAACTATTTTTGTCAACACTTTAAAAAAAAAATCAAGTCAAGCAATGGTTAAAGCATTGTCAACGTTTCAAAGCAGCTTTGAATGAGCAGCCTCTGAACTGGGATTTAAGTGCGGGTAAGTCAGTACAGTCACAGATAAATTTAGGTTTAGAGTTCCACAGAAAGGGGGCAGCAAAGGAGAACGCTCTTTCACCCCAGGTTCAATACTTGATCCCATTTGTTTGGAAGAGGAGGTTGGCATCAGAGAAGCTAGGACTGCAGTAGGGTGAGTAGGGAGACTTAACTGTTTATGGAAATGTACAGACTGGGAGATATGATCTGGCTGCTCGACAAAATGTGGAGGAGAGATGTTCCAGATGTGACACCTGGAATAAAGTGTGGTTTGATGTGAGTTTAGCATCCAGAAATCCTGATCATCAGCAAATACATAACAATTATATACATAGGGTTTACTTAACTCCTGGAAAGTTTTATTTGATGAAGGTTATAAATGATCATATATGTACTTTCTGTTCTTCCAAAGTGATGGACAGTTATTATTTTCATGTGTTCTGGGAGTGGCCAAATTTTGGAAGATGGTTACCTTTAACCTCTCTAAGAGTTGAAGATCAGGTTGCCCTGCTCCCCTGCTACACTCATTTTGAAAGATCGGGTTTGACACTGGATAACAGAAGAGCATTGTTGGCTGGACTTAACGGCTGTGAAAAAATTGGTTACCACTATAGACTGTATCTACTATGGACAACTTGGTTCTGCCTTCCGCCAGTATACGGATTTGAAGCCGAAAAATCTCTTGCACGCATTGGGCTGGAGAGTTGCTGAGAGTCGCTGTGATGACATTCGGCTCAAACAGCGTATCCCCCAGGTGAGCTACACAATCTTCGTCTGCCAATAGGCTGTATCAAGTATCAATCATAGAAATGATTAACCCCCTAATAACTTTTAAAAGTGGAGCTGTACAGAAAAAAGAGGACTTGAGCACAAACCAGTCTTACAGTAACTACATGTTAACATCGTAAGCAGGGTGGAGAAAAGTTTATGTTCTGTGTAATTAATTTCTGAAGTTTGTCCACAGCTCCATAGGGATTGCTGGAGGAGGCGGGATTTATGACCTATACTGCAGCCCGTCACCAGAGGGTGCTGTTTTTTTGGGTGGCGTCACCCAAGGTGATGGACGGCATCCATTCTGTATACAGTCTATGGTTACCACATGTTGGAAACTTTCTTTCAGAGCATGGGTTCTGATATATATTAAATATATTTATCACTACAATTTTATTAATAATTGCTTTTATTTATTTATTATTTTTTGCTTATTTAACCGTATCTGTATATAAGCATAGGTATTAATATTTATCTTGTGAACTATTTCTGTGACATAGGTCTACCTTTACTCAAAATGATACAGCGCAGCAGAACAGATTATTCTGTTGATTTCAGTGGACACTCCTTGTTATGGAAAGTTCAATGACTCTGTGTCTGAGGCCCATAAACACTGCATGTTGACTCAGTGGATTTCCCTCTTTCAGACAGACGTTTTAGGGTTAGGGTTAGGGTTAGGGTTAACACTTTTTCTCATTTTCTACATCTGTTAAGAATAACTTAACAGGATACCAACCTGCCAACTTTACACAAAAAATTGTACAAGCAAACAAACTTAAGACTAGATACAAATTAAAAAACACATAGGACAAAAAGCAACTTGAATTAATATACCGTAAAAAGTATAAATACTCGCCAGCTATTGAAAAATACATCCATAACTTCTTCTTTTCTCTGTCCTTACATGGTTTACTTTGGCATTCAGTGCTCTTTAACTTATAAACCTGAACTATCAGTAAACTTTTGTGACTTCTTGAAGAGGGCTTTCCTCAGTAAGTGACGACACACATCTAACACCTACCCTCACCACAACACCCTCAGAGTGGGTGGTGCTGATGATGCACCCTGACTCCTGTGAGCTGCGTGTAAGTACGTCTCTCGCTACGTCACATGCAGGAGGAGGGTTAAAGCATGCGACTGTGTGGTTGTGATTGAGGGGGAAGTGAATGTCTTCAGGCACAGCAGAGCCATGAGGGAAGGGATTTTCTGCGGGGATTGGGGTTGGAGGGGGGCACTAAAACATTTACCAAACCGTGCAGATTTACATGCGGTGGATTCGATGCTGTGATTCTAATATTGCTCATGCAAACGAGGAGCTGAGAAAGCATTAAACTTTATCAAGAAAAATGTGCAGGACCACAAATCACTCATTAATAGTCATCTCTCACTATCATAGTGAGTCTTTGTAAGATTCAGCAGTATTTCCCAAAGAACACCAAATCTTGACAGGACTCAACAACAGCAGTAGCCTTTCCACCTAATGATTGATTCAACTACTTTTTTAAACTACCCCGTCAAAACTTTGATCGATAAATCATTTGAAGATGATATTTGACAAGTACGAGTCAGTTTTTTTTCCTCCATCAACAATGGACTGAAACTATGAAGTAGATTTTTAATATAATTTTTGTGCTTATTTACCTTTACTATGTTGCATTCACCAGGAACAACATTATAGAGTCACACCTCAAGACGGTAAATTAATTCTCTGCACACATTTTTGTGGTTTGCATGTTCGTGCGTTCTGCAGGGTATGAACTTCTCGCCTGATAAAAGTTCACTTGCATGTGTTGTCGTGTAAAACACGCCCCCCTCCATGGGAAGAAAAGCATACAAACCCACGCATGAACACACTTCATGCTAGCTTAACCACATTTCACATTTTTACAGACTCTGAACAAGCCTTGGTGTTAGAAGATAAAATCAAGCAGGCTTCTTTGACGTCTTCAATAAACGATGAAAACAAACAGTTTAATAACACTTTGTATGTTATGGGAAAGGAAATTATACCACCAAGATAACACTTTCACCGTGCCCTTACTTTGTAGATGTGTGTTTACATAGAACCAAACTGAGTCATCTTAGCACTGTAAATGTGTGTTTCATTAATCGCTGTTTTAAGGTCATACTCTTGATATGACTTTCTGTCATATGGACATTTTTAACTCAAATTTGACTTTGTGTAAATCACAAATGAAAACAAATAGATGCATTGCATTTCTAAAATCCAGTTAAATCCTCTGCAATTTTAACCACGTTATTCAGCCATTACATTTATTGTGATATTCTTCCATTATGATCAGTCTTGTTCGTATTTCTTTACAGTTATAGTATCAGTTAAGTTGACCTGACCAAGTTAAGTTGGTCGCTCTCGATTTTTGTGGTTGTCCTCTCAGCTTCCCTTAAAGTTTTGAAAAACACAGGTATGAAACACCAAGATGCCACATACGACCAAAGTTAAGTAATATAATAAGACTCAAATCAAATCTGTCATTTTTTTGTGAGAGATTATTACTTGTAAAAGTCACTGCTCTGGAATGAACTACTTGTAGACTTTAACAGCATTTTACTGTTTTTTTTGTTTTCCTGGATTATTCTGAATATCTGTCTAATTTCTTATTGAATCTATTGAAGATTAAATCATTTTAAGAGCAAATTTGCCCCATGATGCCCCAGGTAGACAAAGTGGAACCTCTTTGCTGATCTAGTCTTGCACATGTGTAAATATTTTTTTCTCACAAAAAGACAAACAAACAAACAAAAAAGTACATTTCTGTTGTCTTAAACAGTCACAAATTTCACTTACTGTGGATTCACACTTTGCTTTTTGCGGTCAAAAGGCTGTATTACTATTATTTCTAATCTGTTTTATTCATTTGTCTTTTTTCATTTTCAGTCATGTCAGATTTAGTTTCATAGAAGTGCAAATAAACAGTAATCAGCCCTCAGACTTGACCCTGAAAGCCAAGTTTGATATGGACTTGGGAATGGATTTCAAACATTATTCAGTTTAAACATGTTCTTATAGCCTACTTAATTTTACCTCTCTTGATTCCCCTCCTTTATCAGATTTTTTCTTTGTTTTACAGTAATTAAAGCAACACTCAGCAGGAGCAAATCTTAAATCTTTGCAAATAAATTAAATCCATATGTGTCTTTGTTGATTTTTACCAGCATCCACATCAGCTACACTATCTTAATTTAATCAATCCGGCTCTCCTGGTCAAGACAATAGTTCTGCTTTGGATCTATAAATGAAGTTTTATAATAAGGTAAAATCTAAGAGGACATACTCAAATTATGAAGTATGGGAACATTAATTTAACTTGTTACCACCGTCATTCACTCTTTACAAATATTTCTTAAATCATCATCTGCTTCCAATAGCATCAAGTGGTCTTTCACTTCTGTGGTGCTGCACTTGTCTCACACTTTCTGTCTCGGATAGCTAACCACAGTCACAACTCATAGCTGACGTCAGGAGACCACAGGCAAGATAAAAACCCTCACAGCAAGAACAGAGCAGTGGACACAATGTTTCCTCTGAGCCTTTCTCTGGTGATATTATCTATATGGAGTATCTGGATTTCAGAATTTGCCGCAGGTTGTGGGGAGCGACAGCATAGGGTGGACGGTCGATGCTGTGACCTTTGCCCTCCAGGTAAAAAGATTAAATCTATCTTTATCATTTTTTTTTTTGTGACGCCATAGTTAACTTTAACCATCGCATGTCTTCAGGATAATAGATGTACACAAAGGGACTAGGTGTGTTAATCGTCAGTTGTTATTTTATGTTAAAGGGACATATGTGGAGAAGTTCTGCTCACAGCACCGGCAGACTATCTGCACCCCCTGTAAAAAGGGCACCTACTCGGATCAATATCACATTTTAGACACATGTGAGGAATGTCAGTCATGTCAAGGTAAATGCAAAATACTAATGTAATGCTTGTTGCATCTGTAGTGAAACACCTGCCAGAGATACTGACGGTGCTTTTCAAATAGCGGAAAACAAAGGCTTTGTTTGGAAGTCCCGTGGTTCAAATTCTTGTCTCTTTTCAGAATATACTGAGAAATGTACACCCACCACAAATGCAAACTGCTCTTGCCGCCCTGACTTCCTGTGCTCCAACAGTGTCTGCTCAAAGTGTGAGGAAAACAAATGTGTCACAGGGGAGAGACCGAAAAGGACAGGTGAGAGTGGACTTATTTGTCTCAAGGACAGAAATATGTTGTGAGTTATTTGTTTTGCTGGTACAAATCTGCTTAGAGAGCAGCAACCACAGTGTCTCTGTTTCTTGATATTTATCATGTCAGGAAGCAGGAGGTGGTTAAATGGAAACTTGACGTGTGTGTGCCCCCGTAGCACTTGGCAAATGTAGGTTGGAGGTACCAACCACATTTTCACAGTCTGTAACATATTTCAGCTCACTCAGCCATAAACTGTAACCTTTCCCAAACAACTTCAATACTGTATGTTTTATTTAACTATAACAATGTTTATGACTTTTGACCTTTAAGTGAGTAAAATAGGAGCTCCCTGTTACAAAGTTAAGAAGGTTGAGTGTTAAGCCCCCATAGACCAGTCAACTAATATTGGTTATTCAGAAAACAATAAATTACCCTGTACCCAAGTACCCCGATGGCAGAAATGATGAATTCATTACCACTGGTAATTTTCCAAGTAGAAATGTTAGACATTTGTTCCATATATTGACTATAAAGCTTTAGAGCTTTTCTTTGTCATTTGGGGTGGGAAAAGAAAAGTCTTTGGGCTTTGGAGCATTAAAGCTCCTGTGAGGAACTCTAAGTCTATGTCAATTTTGGCGCCCCCCTATGGACAAAGCAGTCTTTCCTACATGTATCCTCTACATGCTTGAGGAGTTATTTGTGACAAAAATATCACCCCGCTGGCTTGTATGCATCATTACTTGTGAATATGTTTTGAGGAAATTATTGAAGTAAGGCTGTTTCTTCAGCTGGTTGGCTGACACCTACCCCCTCACACCGATTTCAGGTATTAGAAAATAGGACATAAAAGTCTTCAGTCTTGTCTCTGACAGTCTTGTTTGCTCGTAGACACTACAAAAAGACATCAACATGATTTTCAGTCTATTTGATAAAGGTAAACAAACTCGTCATCAGAGCTTTGATTTGTTGAAATTGCAAGTTGAAGACAACACTGTCTGGCACATGGAATATATGTTTTTTTTCTTTTTACATTTATGGACAAAACAAAATATTGCTCTGTTTTAGTGATAATACATATTTTTTATTATGGGACAAGGACAAAACATCAACAGACTATTTTTAATCATAACACAAAGACAGCCAGCTGTGGTTTGACCTAAAATGAAATGTCTGCAGTGCAAGCTGCTCCGTACAGACACATCCGACAAGCAAATTTGCCATCACTGTACCCTGCACAGCCCAGGCTTGTGGATATTTCTTTACATTTTGCCCATCTCTGGTGATTTACATTTGGATGTATCTATGTTTGCAGACAAACCCAAAGGAAAATGGTTGATCGAGTACTCCTATCAGTGTGAGCCGTTATGCCCTGATACTGAATATTTTGATGTGAAAAAGAACGTCTGCAAACCTCTGACACAGTAAGACGCCTGAACTTCAGCTATTTATGACAATTACTTTCTTTAAAGATACTGTTTTAATAATGGTTTATATTCAACAGGTGTAGTGTATTTGGACTTGCTGAGCGTTTTCCCGGGAACAAAACCCACAACTCAGTTTGTGAAGGAGGTATGTGTACCTCCATGTAAACATGTTTCATGCCGACACAAACTAGCCTGTGCTTTGACAAAGAAAAAAATGAGGTCATATACAATGTTTGATGGCAGTTTTTTGAACTAACTTGCCTTTCACTTGCTGTTTCACCAGAGAGACCTGGAAATGGTGGAGACTTTGTTTATGTGATCCTCAGTGTTGGCTTCGTTTTCCTTTCACTCACCCTCCTCATAATGCTGTCTTATGTCTGTGTGAAGAACCTGAGGAAGCACAAACAAGGTTAGTGTGCGGTGGTGGAAGTACATAAATAGATGGACAAATAAGGACATCAATTCAAAACAAAGCAAAACATACTTTTATTCACTTTTAACTTCTGTTTTTTTTCTGATTTTGGATCAGAAGAATGAAACAGGACGCTCTATCTGCAAACATCAAGTATATGACCCTCTTCCTGAAGGCTTTTATTTTGAAATTATTCAAAGTAAATTCAGTGTTGCTTTTTTGCTTGTTGTTTTATGTAAAACTACTTGAGCCTTTTCATTTCCAACATGAGTCTCAGTTGTTTTGGGATCTTAAATGTTTCAGCTAATGTCAAAACTTTACATCTTTTTTTTGTAATCATTGTGATCGATTAATATCAAATTACTTTAATACCGTGTCTTTAAAGAGACAAAACTAACATCTTTTAGAGGAGATAAGTAATCTTTAAAGCTATGTTCTGTAAAAAGTCCGGCTAAATTTGCTGTGCTTTATAACTCCACATGCTGTTCAGTACAGTTTTTATGAGATGATGATAAAAATATCAGGTCAGATGAGCGCTCCTCTTACTGAAAGACCATGAATGTAAATTGTAAAACAAGTATCATCATTGAGAATCCCTGAAAACAAACCTTGAAAATCAAGTACTGATCAATAATTCATATTTGAGCAAAATTTATGAATCTTAACATTACATTTTTGCACATTACATCAGTATCAGCTTTGAATGAAATCTTTTCTTTGTTTGATTTTCATGTAATCTGGTGTATAATGTACTTTTTCAACATAAAATCTAATAAAAACAACATTAAAAATATCTTACTTTAACTAGATTTAGTAAGATATCCCATTTAAAATGTCTAAATTAAGCCACACTTATCATAACCAGTGAAGGGACCTTCATTGAAAACTGAAATTATTTTTAATTCATCACACAAATCTACATTCAGTTTGGATTCATAGGACATGAGTGATTGTTGTTCAGAATGGCTTCAGGGTCTGTTTGATGATTTGGCCTGTTTCTAAATATTGTTTCTGAATGACTTATTCTTTCTGCTTAGGCGATAAACCATCAGACCTAACTGCTCCCTCCACCAACACCAGTGACTTCCACCTGTCGAAGGAGGAAAGCGGCCTTCAGCTCATCAGCCAGGACAACTCCAAACACAGCGACAGTTTCTGCGACTTACAACTGGAAAGCCTTACTGACTGAACATTGTTCTGGATGATAATACTGACTGAATGATATAAATGCATTTAAGCTTTTTTCTTTGTATAATTTACATATTCAATCAAACCTCATGACATTAGAGATGTCCCTCTGTGGATGTGAGGTTCCTGCTTTCACTTCTAACATGATACAGCAGACCTCTGCATGATACAGCAGACCTCTGCAGTCACCCCCTCCTAATTACCACTACCGAGTGCCTTTGAGCTCGGTATTTAATCATATTTAATTGGATGATGTGAACACACAAATTACAGTTTGTTCTAGTGCCCACGGTGCACTTATTATCTCTTTAAGATGTTGGGGGATAGCTGTAGAGATTATTTTGTAAATATTCAGATGTGTTTGTGAATAATTTCTTTTTTACAAAGATTTCCATATTGTGTAGGTCTGTGTTTAGACTAAGTTAACCTTTCTTTATGCTCATATTTTATTGATTTCCTCTGCATTTCCAAGTATTAAATTCATGATATGATGTCAGACTGTTTGAAATTTGAAATATCTACAGCTATAAGCACTAAAACATTTTGTTTTCATGACCCATCTTAAAATTCTTAAAATATATACTGTATATAAAAAAGAAACTTATCATGAAACCATGTGCCAAATTATTTTGTGTCTTACTTTGCTTACCATAATGCTCGAGAGAGTTAATGAGCCCACAGAAGCAGAAGAAGAAGAATATTGTCTGAATAAATTATTTGAAAGACAGGAAGGATTGATTTGGTTTCCTTTCACAGTAATGAACAACATACTCCTGAATTAAGAAACAGCTTTTGAATTCCTAGTTGGTGCAAGGTTTGACTCTCAGCAAGGCCCTTCCTTGTAGAGCTGGAATATAGACTAAACTCTGCTTTAGGAGTACCATTATATCATGTAGGGGAGAGTGGGGTAAGATGAGCCGTTTTTCATATTTCAGATCACTACTTCAAGGCAAACATAGTTTTGTCTCTAACTAGTGTATCTGCATATATTTCAAGATGTGGTGCATCCCTGAAAACCAATAGAATGAGTGTAAACATAACTGTCTTGATAATAAAGCATGCCAAAAAAAGTGGTCTCCTATGAAGACCACTAACCCTGTGTATGGGGTAAGTTGACCATAGGAGCGGGGTAAATTGAGCCGTATCCCTACTACCCCCCCACTCTCCACCCCAGCCCTCCCTCACCTTCTCTCTCCTTAAATAACAGTCACTTCTTCACATTCCTGTGTATTCTTATCTGTTATACACTATTCATCTGGTACAATAATTATTTTTATTATTATTGCATATAACTGTTAAAAAGCTGTTTTGTAAAAAGTCATTTTAACATGAGAATACCTTTAAGTGATTCAGAACATTCACAGCTGTATTTTTGAAAAGCAAAAGTAACACATTTCAACTATCTGAACTGAAACTCTGATCCTCTCATCAGACTTCTTTACTTTCTCAATTGAACCACTGGCTCAACTTACCCCTGAACTACTATGATGACTTTATTCGTCCTCTAAGCTAAAATGGTGGACTTTTATTCTAGGTTTTTGACCTCATGTTGTAGCTCATAGATACACCAATTGATGTATAAAACTAATTTAAAACGATATTTTTTGGTCTGAACACAATTCTAATAAAACTTATGACAGACTAAATTCACTTTCAAGAGTGAAAAAGGTTTTTTTTTTCTAAATAAATGTCTAACCCCTTCACCCATGTGCTTCTTACCTTCACAGACTCCATGACTCGATGCCCATCTCCTAAATATTTGGTCACATGATCAATTTCCTTGACCATTTCCAGGCAACAGGAGGTGGCTCAACTTACCCCACTCTCCCCTACTGTTCCCCCTGCCCCCAAACTCATTGAATGTCTCATTGCTGTAGTGGTGGTGGTGGTGGTGGGGCCCATATGATCTTTTTCATGGATCCCATATTTCCTCCTGACGCTCTGTTGGCCTATCAAACCATCAAACCGGGTGAACTTCCTCCTTGTGCCTACAGGGGGGGTTCAAGTCTCGCTGTGGCAGACTGATCATATGACAGCTGCATGCGTCCCACTCCTTCACTTCCCCAGTGGAAAACGCCACATCTGACAGGGAGGGAGAGACAGACAACCACGACAGGGGAGTTTCAACACCGACCTCAAGATGCTGGCGCTTATAAACCGGCTTTTGGACTGGTTCAAGTCTCTGTTCTGGAAGGAGGAGATGGAGCTGACGCTGGTCGGCCTCCAGTACTCGGGAAAAACAACATTTGTAAACGTGATCGCTGTAAGTCTTCAGCTGCTAGCCGCCTCCTCCTCGCTATACAGACTAGTGCTAATATCATTAGCCTCAATAATGGGATAACAGTGACCGAGCTCGGTGTGTGTGCTAACGCTACACTGTCTGTTTCCATCAAAACAAACCCGAAACAGAGTCAGGCTGATGGTTTTGTGTCAACAACACAGCTGAGATGACTAGTTTGTAGCTGGTGGATCCGTAAGTAAGCTAGTTGCTGACTGTGTTATTATGGTTGTGTCTCAGGCTAACACAAACCGCAGCATACCTGCATTTGCTTTGTTATGACTTCAGTCTCTTCTAAACTGTGGGTTCATTTCTGAATCAGGGCGAGGCTGTCTGCAGTTTCCAGTCACTACAAAGTCAGTCTCAGACATTTCCGACCATTACAGCAAAACACACACAGACACGGACACATTGTGGTATTTATGTACACGTCTCCTCCTGCATCGAGTTTGATTTGACTTAACCCCAACACAAACAAATAAGGAGCCTGGGTCGTTTAATTTCCGGCTTTTGTAGCTTTAACTTGAACAAATGTAGAGAAATGATGGTGTAGGGGAGAGTGGGGTAAGTTGAGCCACCCCCTGTTGCTTGAAAATGGTAAAAGAAATTGATCATGTGACCAAATATTTAGGAGATGGGCATCAATTCATGGAGTCTGTGAAAGGGTTAGAAGTACAAATAACTCTTGAATGTGAATTTAGTCTGTCATAAGTTTTATTAGAATTGTGTTCAGACCAAAAAAGATTATTTTAAATGTGTTTTATACAAAAATTGTGGTATCTATGAGCTACATCATGAGATCAAAAACCACCATTTTAGCTTAGAGGACTATAATAGTTGTTCTGGGGCAACAGAAAGTAAAGGAGTCTGATGAGAGGATCAGAGTTTTAGTTCAGATTGTTGAAATGTTTTACTTTTTCTTTTCAAAAATACAGCTGTGAATGTTCTGAATCACTTAAAGACATTCTCATGTTAAAATGGCTTTTTACAAAACAGCTTTTTAGCAGTTATATGTATTAATTGCAATAAAAATAATTATTGTACCAGTTGAATAGTATAAAATAGATAAAAAAAACATATTAATGTGAAGAAGTGACTGTTGTTTAGGGAGAGAGAAGGTGAGGGAGGGCTAGGATGGAGAGTGGGGGGGTTAGTAGGGATACGGAACTTACCCCGCTTATTTTTGGCATGCTATATTATCAAGACAGTTGTGTTTACACTCATTCTGTTGGTTTGCAGGGATGAACAACACCTAGAAATATATGCAGATACACTAGTGAGAGACAAAATTATGATTGCCTTGATGTAGTGATCCCAAATATTAAAAAATGGCTCATCTTACCCCTCTCTCCAATGCCAATAGATGCACCATTATAGATGCCTAGATTATACATTGCAATGCACAAAAACAGCCATTAATGCTTTGTATTCTAACTGTGCAACATGGTTCCGCTGTTGTAGCTCTTGTAGTAAACAGACAGACGTTTCTGTGTTTCTCCATGACCTCTTGTGACTGAGATGAGAAGCATCCGTAGGAGGTATTTCCCTTGTGCAACCCAGGGTGGGTTTCTCAAAGCTGGTGTTTCTGGTGTAGCAATCACTCATTGGCTAATAAGCAGACTGCAACAGAGTTTTTTAGCACCACATGGTTAAAAGTGATAAAGAATTTCACAGCTCTCGCACACATGTGTCTACTCAAAGTTATATCTAGATGTGTCTCACAGTCATTCAAGTTTTACATTTTGTCCAGCATCATGTGGTCTGCACTGATAAATAAATACACTTGAATTCAGAGAGAGATGAGTTAGATACTTTCACTGCACCAGCAACAGTTTCAATTATATTAGATAATTATATTTGCGATGATTAAGAAATGTTTCAGGCATTTCCTGTGTGCCTTTCTTGTCACGTTGTTTAAACCTCTCAATTCCTGTTAAGGCCATTTCTCTGCTTTTTTATAGCATCTTAAACTTGTATCTCTTTTCAAACTTTTCAGCAGTGAAGATTGGATTTTAGGTTTTTTTTGAGCAGCAAGGTACAAATAGCTAGAAATAGCTTCTTAATCTAATCTTTACAGATCAGTATCATAAGATTATTAGTTGAAGTTAAAAAAAGTGACAAAACTGTTGCAGCACTGAACAGACTTACATCTTTCAAAGCTTAAAATTAACTTTGTGCTTTAGAAAACTGTTCTGAATTTTTAACAGTCTTTCTAAGTCTAATTAATCCGACAAATTTATGAAGAAATTAAATGGTCAACAGGTCATCGTGAAAATGTGAAGAAAAACCAATAACAGTTCTGCCTCAGCAGAGTAACAGGTGTAACAGGTCTAAGTTGAAAATTGTTTAAGGAACATTTCAGAGTTGGTAAAAAGGTTTTTCAGTATGCCTGCTGTGTCATCTTTCAGGTCTGATGTCCGAAGAGGAAGTCGTGTTAGGTGCTGGAATAAAACCCTGATTTCCTGCTTAGCCTAGATGTATAAAAAACAAAAAGCCCTGGTTCTTAGTGAATGATTGTAGCTGTTCAGAGTTGTTCCTCCTCCTTCAGCAGTCATAAGACCATTGCTCTCATTTCCACTTAGCTTCATCAGGTGACTCAGGCAAGTCATGTGCTGAGAAATGTGTGGACATCAGACAGTGGAGGGCAGTAGGGGAGGAAATAATAACAGCTTGTGAGGTCTGATGTTAAAGGGGAACGAATAAAAAAACCTACACTTTTTAAAAAAATGGCATTGTTGAAGTTTTTCTTAACACTTGATAACCCTTACTGCACTAGTCCCTGGCTTTGTTTGGACATAATTAAGCAGGAAATAGAATTTGACTGTAATATTTACATTTGCATTTCAAATTAAACTTTTAATAACAGATTTCTTTGTTCTTAATTTGTTTTTAAAAGTAGGCAAAACTTTGAGTACAAGCAATACCATACCATTTGGTTTCTCTGCTTTCAGTCTGGGCATTTCAGTGAAGACATGATCCCTACGGTTGGTTTCAACATGAGAAAGGTCTCCAAAGGAAATGTCACCATCAAGGTATTTTAACCTCTCTGTTGTTATCACAAAGTAATAAAACGAAATGAAACCAGCAGGCCTCTATGGAGGTGTTAAATTCATATTTAATGATGCCTTGTAATGTTTCTGCAGATATGGGACATAGGTGGGCAGCCAAGGTTCAGGAGCATGTGGGAGCGGTATTGTCGGGGAGTTAACGCAATTGTGTGAGTATAATCTCAGCTTTGATTCTGAAGTTTGTCAGAAAAGCCGCAAACACTTTTTGATCGATGTTTTCGTTCTGACTCATTTTCAGGTACATGGTTGACGCAGCAGATCGGGAAAAGGTTGAGGCTTCCAGAAATGAGCTTCATAATTTATTAGACAAACCCCAGTTGCAAGGAATTCCAGTAAGTTACCTCCTGAAAGTGCAGTGTTTGATTTTTGCACCAGCAGTATGCAAGCTTTGTCTTGATAACTGCTGCAGGTACAGATCTTGATTGAAATTTTGTTTTCAGGTTTTGGTGCTCGGTAACAAAAGGGACCTCCCCACTGCTTTAGATGAAAAGCAGCTCATCGAGAAAATGTGAGTCTGGATCAGTCCAATCATTTAACATAGGTTTTTCCCTGATAAAAAAAAAGGTCTTTATGTAGCCTGAACTTTAAGTGGAATTTTGGTTTTGACTTTATAACATAAGCAATTTAATATCCCTTTTTGCTTGTTTACATAGCATGATTTTCTACTCATATCTGTCTCGGTTAAGTCAACTGTGTTTAAGTCAGAATCCTTTTTTTCTTTTTTAAAGCTTGAGCTGAGTTCAGATGTATATAACTGAAGGGAAGTGGCTCCCTCTGCTGACGGATCATAATGAATGCATATCTATGTTTATGTTTTATTTATTTTATGCTTTATGCACTTTTCCTTCACAGGAATTTGTCAGCTATTCAGGACAGAGAAATATGCTGCTACTCGATTTCCTGCAAAGAAAAAGACAACATTGGTGAGTTTCAGTTCATGACCTCAGAATCTGTGTGTTATTTTGTTAAACTTACTTTTAGACTTACAATCATCCAGCAGACTTGTGATACTGTAACTCACAGACCAAGGCTGAAAAAGATATAATGACTAAATCTCTGACATATTATCTACATTGGACTTTAGCTTTTGTCATTTAAACATCTTCAAAACTATATTTTTAAACCTCTTGAGATTATTTATTGTACTTGTTTACTATCCCTACATTGTTTCTTATTACACAGGGAGTGGTCATACAAATTTTCATCGTTCTTTAGTGTAATGATAACGCTTTATGTCAGATTCCGAAAGACTACATTGAATTGGTCGGTGGGAGTTGCATTTTTTTAGCATTACTTATGCTACAGACCTGATCATGTCGGCTTCTTACATTTTAAACAGTCCTTTAAAATGCATTTGTAAAATGTATTTATATATGTAGAAATGTTTTGATAAACACAATACTAAACTATTGAAGTGACCCTTCAACAAACACTAACAGATTTATGTCGTATGAAGCCCAGGGGACAACTGTAATTAGTGCTCAGGCCTGAAAAAAAGTACTTTAAACTCCAGACTTTCTGCTCAACATAAAATCACTCCTGAATATAATTTCTCAGAATGACTTTGAGGTATTTTGTGGAACCTAGTTTATCCAGCATTTCTAAAATGGGTCAAAAATTTAACTATTTCAAAAACCTAATCACCGTACAGTTCAACCGTTATAAAAAGCATAATGATAAGTTTCTTGTCCTGTTTTTAAATGAAGGATTTTCGGTTTAACTGTGTCACTTTGACTTCTGATGTCAAGTTTGAGTTTTCTATATGATCAATACTTTTGGTGTAAATTAGGAGAATCATTGCAGCAACAAACACTTTCCTTTAACTTAGATGTATCCCAAAATCACATCTCGTTTTTGCTGCTGGGGATTTTTCAAACACCTGACTCATAATGCAGTTTTCACACCGCTACAACAATGTTTTTATTCATTTCAGATATCACACTTCAGTGGCTCATCCAGCACTCGAAATCCAGGAGGAGCTGAAAATGCAGGGGTTATTTTCCAGCTGTGTTAGCCATGTTACTGTCATGCCACACCCCCACCACTCTACGTTGTTGTACAGTCTTCTACTCACATACTGCACTGTTAAGCTTGTGACACACACACACACACACACACACACACACACACACACACACACACACACACACACACACACACACACACTTTTTTCCTCTCTTTTTACATTGTGATGTCTTCATAAACCCCAAAGAATGCACTACTTAAAAAGAGACCAAATTTAAGGAATACAATTGGCATTATCAGCTTGCAGAGCTGGACTCTACTCTGACTTCCAGTAAGACCCTCATTTCTGATCTACCTTTTGCTATTCATGCATTATCGGTCAATGACGCCCGTTAGTTTGTAACACTAATCTCGGGTATGAAACCACTCTCTTGAGAGGAGTGCTGATTCTGTCAAACAGGCATCAATAAGGATAATTTTGTTTTTAACACAGTCAGACATCTTTCCAGGAGACATGGCGGTTTTCCTATTCCTGTCATCTTTTGCTTGATCATGTTTTCTTCTACTTTAAAAACATATCTGTTGTTATAGAAAACTGTGCATTTAAGAAAGTAATTTGATGCAGGTCTGTACAAATATCAAGCTAGTATGATTTTTACTGATGTGAGATGTGCGTGTATGAATATATGATTCTATTTAAAGTCTGAATGTACTAGACGTAAAGCTACAGGATTGTGTGGTTAGTGTTGGCCCCTGTTTGTCAGTCGCCTTGGTGGAATGATGTCCTTTGTGCTGCCTGGAGGCTGAGAGAGCGGCAGAATTCAAAGTGCCTTTTGCAATGTCTCTCACCTCTGAGGCGAAAGCAAAGCGGTGCGCAAGGTGTGCCTACCTGGGCAGATTAAATGGAAAAAACAAAACACCACTTCAATATATTCAAGAAATAAAAGGCATGCTTTTTAATTTAGACAATGTCCTGTTATTTGTTCACTGAGCTGTGAATACATTTTTAATTGTTTTTCTGCGTATTTATGGAGATTAGTAATTGTAAAGGTCCTCAGATGGTATTTGTGTCGTCTGAGAGTGCAAAGAAAAGCTGAACTCATTTCGATTAAACTGTCTTTTTCTTTTTACTTTCAATTTAAATGGTCTCTGCTTAGTTAATTTGACATGTAATTGATATATAGACCACCTCACTGTATAAATGAAGACTTCTGTTCAACTTCAGCATGGTTAGACCCTTAGAGGTGGTTCCTCTGTCTTCACCTGAACTCTGAGAGCAAGTAATGAATGAATATAAGTGATTTCATAATGCACTAGAGGAGGTCAATGTTGAAAATGTAATTTATGAATGAAATCTGCAGACTTAAACTATGGCAGCACATGCATTTCTATAAATAGTTGTTTCATGTTTTATTTGACAAAAATCTGTAGGGGAGAGTGGGGTAAGATGAGCCATTTTTCATATTTGGGATCACTACATCAAAGCAATCATAGTTTTGTCTCTAACTAGTGTATCTGCAGATATTTCAAGATTTTGTGCATCCCTGCAAACCAACAGAATGAGTGTAAACATAACTGTCTTGGTAATATAACGTGCCAAAACACGTACCCCGTGTATGGGGTAAGTGTACCGTAAAAGAAAGCTAACCAAGAATTCTAGTATTTGAGTAAAGTACAAATCCTGAGAATCTGTACTTAAGTACAGTACTCAAGTAAATTTACTTCGTTACCGAACAGCCGAACACTCTTGTCTACCGATCCCAGAAACTATGAATTGGACTTCTGAACCGTTCAGCTGTGTATCAGTTCAGGGGGTAGAAGTCGCAGGCTTCTCCCACCAAGGGCTAAATGATTTGGTGATTTGGTAAACGAATCTTTTGAACAAATCTTTTTAGTGATTTGATTCTAGTGATTCAGTTCATCTAAAAAACTGCCGTGCCCATCACCTGAAATGTTCAGGTGTGTATCAGTTCAGGAGGTCGGAATCGCAGGCTTCTCCCACCAAGAGCTAAATGATTCAGTGATTTGGTAAACGAATCTTTTGAAAGAATCTTTTCAGTGAACTGATTCTAGTGATTCAGTTCATCTAAAAAAACTGCCGTGCCCATTACCTGAAATGTTCAGGTGTGTATCAGTTCAGGAGGTCGGAATCGCAGGCTTCTCCCACCAAGAGCTAAATGATTCAGTGATTTGGTAAACGAATCCTTTGAACGAATCTTTTTAGTGAACTGATTCTAGTGTTTCAGTTCATCTAAAAGAACCGCCGTGCCCATCACTACTTATTGGTGCAGAAGTTATGATACGACACGTCATGGATGGTAGAAAACGCAACCAGGATAATGACAGCTCCTCGGCCAATAAGAGGACGAGCCCACATCAGCGTCATGACGACACATACCGTAAGAACCAATCGGTTGTCAGGATTTCCGCGGAGGCTGGTATGTTGACAGGAAGCGTGTGAGGCGGAATCACCAGCCCCAGCGCTGTTTGAGCTTGTAGTTCAGCCGGACAAACAGGATTTCACAGCTGTTCACCCCGTTCGGAGGCGCGTGGACCTGAATTATGCGTTTGAAGATCGATCCGGATCAAAGATGCAATGGAGGTCAATAGTAGTTGGTCTGGTCGTGTTGAGACTGTCACTCAGCTGTGTGCTGTGGTTAGCTTTCGGACTCGGTCCTAGCCTTAGCTGGGGGTTCAACTTTCCCCTCGGTTTCAGTTTGCACAAATTAGACCTGTTATTTCGAGAGGAAAAAGGGACAGACCCGGGAGGGAACTCGTGGTCTCAACGAATACAAGGCCCCAAATATGAAGAGACGTCGAGCACCTGTGCGACGGTGGGACGAGAGTCTCCGAAGAGATCCTACCTGAGCTTCTTCGATGGGAACAAGGACGAGTACGTCCGGAGGTACAGCTCCTTCCCGGAAACACTGAGGGAGAAAATGAAGGATATGGCAAAAGAAATGTTTTATTTTGGATATGACAATTACATGAAACACGCCTTTCCTGAGGACGAGCTGAACCCCATCGACTGTGAAGGGAGAGGACCTGACGTGCTGAACCCGTGAGTTACATGCAAAGCTGCTACCTGGACTGGCAAGGCGGTTATTTACATGTTAACTGTCCTCTGCAAAGCTGTGATATTTCCGCAAAGTTAATTTGTTTAAATCACACTGAGAAACTGTTCTGAGAGTAAGGAGAAATTCAAGCTGTTTGACAAAAGTTTGTAGATGTTTGCAGACAAATGAAGACTGAGAAACTTTAGTCGTAGCTAACATTTATGACTATCGACTACAGACTAGGGTTAGGCGATATGGGGAAAAGTTTATCACCGTATATTATTTTTATATCAGTCGATATCGATATATATATCATGATAGGCCTGGATGATTTGGCAAAAAAAAAAATGATCATGTATTCGTTCATATCGTCCGATTACGATTATTATCATGATTTATTTTGTCATATCGTCTGATCTGGATTATTATCACAATTAATTTTGTCATATCTTCCAATCTCAATTATTATCACGATTTATTTTGAAACTGCCAGTATTCAAGCATCTGTACTAAAACTAAAGAAACTAGAGCAACTCCCCCTTTCATTGGCTATTTGTATAGTCTACCAAAACATGGCAGAATGCCAGCTATCGAAAAGTATATTGACCATGTTTTATATTGATATTGAGGGAAATTAATTTTCAAAATATGTATCATTATTGTTTTATCGCCCAGCCCTACTACAGGTTATTATCACATCATCTGATTATTTGTTTCTTTAATACCAAAACAGAACAATGTTTGTCACTGTTTCCAAATTGATAACTTAAGTGTGCCAAAAAGTCTTAAACTTAAAAGTACTTAATGTAGTGAAAGGCTAAGAAGACAGCATTTTTTTAGCTTAACAATTTTTATTCTATAATTTGCACATTTATTTTACAAATGGCTTGAAATTAACACAGGTTAAAATGGCATTGATTAACTACCTGACCAACAGACTATTATATATGGATCAGTCTGAAAATATATTATATTCATCCTAAGATGTCGAAGAGAAGCATATGTGACTCATATTTTATTAACTAATCTGTACAGTACAACAAGCTGATAATTCTTCAGTTTAACTATTCTTTATTTTAATTACTCTCCCAATCATGTCCTCATTTAACCTTAAGTACCTCAAGGATTACCCACTTTATGTGAATATCTCTTAATTCAGAATGGACTGAACTATTTTAAATAAAAAAACTATGACTTTATTATACACCAAATGATTTATTAAGAAAATGCGCTGCAGGCAAGTCAACATTATCAATGAAAATTATTGGGTGGGAGGAAAGATCGATTTACACAAGTATTGCGATTTTTTGTTTTACAATTTTTGAATCGATTTTGACCTTCAAAAAATGTTTTTGGTCTTTTTTTTTTTTTTTTTCAAATTTAAGAATAAATCTTAAAAACTGACTTACATGTGATGTGTGTTTTTTGGGTAAATTTGGTTCCTGGAACAGTCAGTCGACAATCATAATCATTCAACTGTTTCACTGGAGTTAAAAATGCAAACTAAAGATTGAGAAAATCAACAATATCGTAGAACTGCATCTGCATTGAAAAAATCATAGAAGAATTGATATTGTCCCAGCCCTAAAAGCATATTGTCCCAGCCCTAAAAATTAACCTGAGTTACAATACCTATATACTGGTACAGATATTTTCAGGTGTCCTAGTCTTATGTCAGACAAGAGGATAACTAGATTTATGTTCTTATAAAGAAATGTGGTGTCCCTTATTGGTCTCATCAGTTTGCACTCACTGAATATTTCTGTTGTTCATTTTAAAATGTGCTTTTCTCATCAGGTTTTTCTTCCTCTTCTGCAAAAGTTTCACTGAGTCTGTTCCACTTCTTTCCCCACAGATCAAACATCAACATAAACGACGTCTTGGGGAATTATTCACTCACACTGATCGACACCCTGGACACCCTGCTGGTAAGTTATTGTTAGTTGTGGTGCTCATATGATACACAAAGTGCTGCAGAGTTATCTTTATCTTAGCTCTTAAAAATGCAACGTTAAGACTATAAATTAGAAAATCGGCTGGATTGATTAAAATGTTTATTTTAATATTTCATGTGTGTTTTTGTCAAGTACCTGAAAAGTGCCCTTAAATTTTGAGATTGAAAACCATCCCATCAGTATCATGAGCGGAAAAATTTAAGTTGTTATTCATCTGAACATCTGTTTTTTAAGAAGCCTTTCTTTTTGGGTCACTGTGGTTCCCAAGCACTTCCTGTGTAGGAGGTTGCATGATGCCTGTAACAGTCAAATCTTGCACCTGATTTTGGATTCAGGTGAACAGAGTTTCTGAACCGCCTTTCGATAGTTTTATTGTAACCGTGTTAGCCTTGAAACCACATTTTCAAGTGTCCCGAATCCTGAGAATGAATAAAACACTACAGATGTACAAAAAGAAACAGTTTTCTGAATAATAGTTACCATCCACAAATGACAAGAGAAAACATCTGAGAAAATGGCTGCAGTTCTTTTCAGCTGAATAGTTTTGTTTATACAACATACAGAGGTTACATAATGTATGTTTCTCTGCAGGTGCTCGGCAATGTGACGGAGTTCCAGAGAGCCGTCAAGCTTGTTATAGATACTGTTTCTTTTGACAAGGACTCAACTGTGCAAGTTTTCGAGGCAAACATCAGGTACAAATGTTGCTTCTGTTTGTGGACTCACACTAAAAGGACGGGAGGTTATTTTAACACCATGAGTAATTAGGAGAAAGCCTGAAGTATAACTGTATCAAGGGTTGAGATAAGCACAGAGACACTCAATGTGTAAAACTTATTTCTCTCTCTTTGTAGGATCCTTGGAAGCCTTATTTCATCTCACATCCTGCTGACAGACCCGAAACATCCATTTGGTGATGTGGGATTTGAAGGTTACGATAATGAGCTGCTTCATTTAGCTCACGACTTGGCCGTTCGCTTACTGCCAGCCTTTGAGAACACCAGCACGGGCATCCCGTACCCCAGGGTGAGCCTTTATACTTCATACCTGATCGTAAACACAGAGCTCAGCTGTTATAAAGCAGCTGTTATGTGATTTCATTACTTTCTGTGAGATTTAAACGCCATGAAGTATTTGATCTCATGTTATCTTAAATCCAGGTTAATCTAAAGACCGGCGTCCCCCCTGATAGCATCAATGAGACTTGTACAGCAGGAGCAGGGTCCCTGTTGGTGGAGTTTGGGATTTTGAGCAGGCTGATTGGTGATTCCACATTTGAGTGGGTGGCCAGACGAGCTGTGAGAGCTCTGTGGAACCTGAGGAACAATGAAACCGGTCTGTTAGGTAAGCTGTGCCGTTGTGAGAAAAAAAAAATCAATTTCTATTTCCTTGAAAACGCTCCAACTTCATCCAAAAAATGTTAATACAAGGCTATATTCAACTTACTGTTATTTCTCGCTTTGATTCTTTTAGGGAATGTGGTAAACATCCAAACAGGCCAGTGGGTGGGCAAGCAGAGTGGTCTGGGAGCTGGTATGGACTCCTTCTACGAATACTTGCTCAAATCATACATCCTTTTTGGAGAGAAAGAGGACTACAGGATGTTCCAAGCGGCTTATGAGAGCATTCAGAACCACATGAGGAGAGGGTGAGTCCTGCACTGAAAGAATGTAACACTGAAGATTATGTGCATTTTGGCGTAAGACTCAAGGTGTGTTATCTTTACATGTGGCTGCGTCTGAATCCATTTAAGTTATGAAGAGGAATCTGTTGGGGGCGGGACGAGAAAGAGGAGACAAAACTGCAGAAATTTGTGTCATAAGATGCCTCATGAGTTTTACACTGTGTTAATTGAACATAAAAGAACCATTGACAGGAAATCTGCGTTTAACACCAATAAATTTTCATCTTTCAAGTTTCTAATCTGCTAGAAAAGTAACTGAGTAATACTTATCTGACATATCTGACATTGTTCTTGAAACATGTATGCACCTGGTAGTAGTGTTGGGCGGTATGAACAAAATCTTATATCATGGTTTGTTTTTTCCCTCCTGTAAATTCAATTAGTGGCCTAAAAATAACCATACTGTCTCTTTTGTTCATTTTCCTTTTATTTTTAAACTCTGATCTGTATACAAATGCAAAGAAAATGCCCGACCAGTCTGGCGATTTTTTTTTTGTCATATGGTGTCCCTTTGGCGAAAGACTCTGCCAAGCTCTTTTGTATGAGAGGAGCTGCTGCAACTTTTGCTGCACTCATCTTTTGGCTCTTATAACAAAGCTTGGCGTGTTTCATCTTTAGGAGGTGGAAGAGGTTGCTGGTGTTTCCTCCTCCATCAACAACAGCCACACAAACTCTTTGCATAGTTTTGTTTTTTGATCATTGTCGGATTTTCTAAATCCGAAGAATCTCCAGACAACCGATGTCGCGACTCGCTCCCTTTTTCGAACAAGTTCCTCATGTTGGGTGGGTTGGGCTGCCTCCGTTTGCTCGGTACTGCCACTAATCTCCACATCCATCATGACCACCACCAGTGAAGCTGTTTCCTCTTCGTCGAAACTATGCCAAAAAAATTTCTGTCATACCACCCAACACTACCTGGTAGTGTTGGCAGGAATGGCATAGACAAATAGAAAGAGGGAGGTGCACACAGACCAAGAGATTTAGTGACAGGCTGATTGGCAGAAAGGAAGTCTATCAGACAGCATCAGAATTCACAACAGACCAAACTTTTACTGTCAGGAGGACGGTTTCGTTACTCTGGAAAGTCAGTAGTGTCTCTAAAGTGGTCCTGTGTCTATATTTTTCCAGGAGAGAGTCTTGTAATGAAGGAGAAGGTGATCCGCCTCTTTATGTGAATGTGAACATGTTCAGCGGCGAGATCATGAACACCTGGATCGACTCCCTTCAGGCCTTCTTTCCTGGGCTGCAGGTCAGATTACACACACCCTACTTTGACAGATCTTGTAAAGACTTGAGTTTATGGTTTACAAATGTCACCACTTTGTGTTACAGGTGCTAAACGGGGATATAGATAACGCCATTTGCCTGCACGCCTTTTACTATGCCATCTGGAAGCGCTTCGGGGCTTTGCCAGAGAGATACAACTGGCAGCTGCAGGCTCCTGATGTGCTCTTCTACCCTTTAAGACCAGAGCTGGTGGAGTCGACTTATCTGCTGTATCAGGTCACAGCTCAGCACCCGCAGAGGAAGTTTGTTCGTGTTATTATTAGTTTCTAGACTGACAGTTTTGTTTCTCCTCACAGGCGACCAAAAATCCCTTCTACTTACATGTTGGAATGGATATCCTTCAGAGCCTTGAGAAAAATGCCAAAGTTAGGTGGGCGTCATTTCATACATGTTTTATTTTTCAGTCTTTTAAATGCTTTGACACATCTGCTTTAATGTGAGCTGTGTGATTTGCAGATGTGGGTACGCCACTCTCCACCATGTGGTGGAAAAATCCAAAGAAGACCGCATGGAGAGCTTCTTCCTCAGTGAGACGTGTAAATACCTTTACTTGGTGAGTAAAAGGGTTGAAGCGATTTTATACAATCCTAGTTCCAAAGAAAGTTTTGGAAGCAGTTTTTAGTCCATGCGGTGATTTCCACTCCAGAGTCATGTGTGATTTTATTTTTTATTGACATTCAGAATCAGACATTCACAATGTATACATCATGTAAGCGTACTTCTTGCATCCGTTGTCTGCCCTAAATGCCAAAACAAAATTTTTGTTTATATCCGAGTAATGCAAAGAAAAACAAACTACCATAACAACGATAACAACAACTAAGTTCAATAACAAACTATGAATCGGTAAGGAGGGATCTCTCTCATACATCATGGCCACTGGTTTGTGAAAATAAAATCTGGCCTATGAGGCGTGACATATTTGACTCAGTTTCACAGAATTATGTGAATTTCTCCGATTTGTGATTAACAAATGCTGTTATTTTCTCCATTTTATAAATGTCCATGGTAAAGTCCATACTTATATTAAAGGTTGGTCTCTCCTGTTTTAGCCATTTTCTGGTAATACCCTTTTTACAGGCCATCAGCAAGATACTTATTAAATGTTTATCTGTTTTCGGCCATTCCTGAGGTATGAGTCCAAGAAAACTCCAGTTTCTGACTTCTCTGAATCTTCACATTAGATGATAAAGTCCCTAAATTCTTAGAGATTTTCTGCTGAGCAACAGTTTTCTTACACTGTTAAGCGCTCGTGCAGCTTCTCCCAGAGTGGTGAACCTCATCCCGTCTTTACTTTTGAGAGACTCAGCCTCTCTAGAAAGAGGCAAACTAACCCAATTAGTTCACAGATTTTCCTTCTGGTTGAATTTTTGTGACATTACTCAACTTTTTCCATATTTTGTTTTCCCTCTCCCACATTTTTTTGACACATTTTACTTGATGGAAATATAAATAAATGTACATATTTTAATGCAACAATAATTATTTGTCATCTGATTTGTTGTTCTTGTACTATTTTCACTGAAATGTAGGTTTAAACTATTTGTACACCATCAAAATACTGTATTTTTTTGTCAATATTGTCTTCACTTTTTGAATTAGGGCCGTACAGGAAACAGTAAAATTTGTCACATGTATTCATATGTCTTAAAGTCTTGATGACTGTAAAAAAGGCGACTGCAAAAGCTTAAATACTAACTTAGATTTACAGACTGGAGTTTATGAAATGATACATGTTTCTAATTAAAATTGCTCAAGCTGAGGAAATTGTTCATGATCACATCTTTAACTTGTAGTTCTTGGTGAAAAACTTCAAACACCATTAAAAACACTGTCCCATTTCTGTTGTCATGATAACCAGTGGAAAGTATTTTACTCTTTTTAACCCAGTTTCAGGACACAACTTTGACTCTACTTTAAACTGTCAAATAAACTAAGTTTTTTTTTGGCTTTACAGCTGTTTGATGAGGACAACCCGCTCCATCGATCAGATAACAAGTTCATCTTCACCACAGAGGGCCACATTGTGCCGATAGAGAGGCGCTTCAGGGAGAAACAGTGGAACGACTTGTTTCCTTGTGAAGAGGGAGAGCTGGAAGATAAAGAGCCAAACAACCAGCTTGTTCCCGACAACAACAACAACAACAACACCTATGTAAGGCTCAGTGCACCTCACTGTTCACTCAGCCTGGGATAACTCATGTTAATAAAGAATCAATACGCACATTTATTGATCTTTTTTATCTTATTCTGCAGTGCAACAAAATTCCAGAGGAGCGGCGCTACACGCTACCATTAAAGAGCATCTACATGAGACAGATTGACCACATGGTGGGGCTCTTCTGAAAAAGAGAAGATGCATGTGGTGAGGCTGGCATGAACTGGCCTCTCCAGCTCACGCAAATGCAACCCTCAGGTGTCTTCAAAAGCATCCACCTTCGATCAGTCTCCTCATCCCACCTGTTCTGCTGCTCAGGATCCAGACAGCAGAGAGCTGACACTAAAACTGAACCTGAGAAAGCAGCTCGGTCTGTGCTGGACTGATCAAAACTGTGGGTCTGTGTGGGTACTGTTGCTCTGAGCACTAAGTGCCAAAAAGACGAACAATCTTTCCTCTAGAAAACGAGGCACTAAGTACCCCTACTTCTTTGCTGGTGAGCTTGTTTCAGTCATTTTAGATTAACTTAATGGAGCAAAAAAAAAAACCTCTCTCAAGTGTTGGTCCAGATACAAGTGTGTGTGTCTGAGCGTGTGTTTGTGTATGTATTTGAAAATACAGCTGAGCTGTGAATCATATTTTATGTTTAAGGGAACAGCGCCATCCAGCCACACACATTTTAAATGCATAGCCTTTAAAGACACTCAAGTCTGTAAACATGCTGAATAGTGCCTCTCTGCAGTGATTCAACGTTAAGGGCTGCACACTAACACACAATAACAGGGAGGTTCAGGAGGACTGTTGCTGTTTTAAAGTGCCTTCAGTTTTTGTTGTTTTTTTTGTCTGGATGTCTGCAATGCATGCTAGTTATGGATAACAGTAATAATTTGTTTGGGTCAGGGCATGGTTGATATTGCACAAAAGGTATCATTCCATGTCTGTGATCTGTTTTACACTGATTATGACCTCAAGTTAATTTCTGTAGAAATGACGAAACAAGCCATAAATGTATTTTTTATGTAAATGAGTGAAAAAATGTTTTTTTTTCATCACAATTTCTACAGAGACTGTCCTCCATGGAGTATTGTTGTTGAAATCATAGATAGAAATTGTTCTATTTTGTTTCTCTTTTCATAATTGCACATCATTACACCTAATAATTGTCATGTGATGAGAACTCAGGGTTTAAATGAAAAACAAAAATCAGTTAATGCTTTCATAAAAAAATAAAACTGTCTTGAAATGTTGTTGCCTTTAATATCTTGGGACAGTCTTAAGTATTTACACTGCAAATCGAACAACTTGTGTATCTGAGATCAAAGAATAACCACTAAAGTAAAGAACAGTCGCACCAGGATATAAATCTGTGTTCGTAACAGGAAATGTGTAATCCTAAACTGTGATAGTTTCTTTTCAAATGCCAGGAGTGAGCAGAGCTTTAGGATGAATCACATCACTGACATTTTCTTTTCGGAGGGAATGTTCAACGTTTTATAAACATAATGTTAATATTAAGAACTGCAATGGTAGCAGTATCATGTTTCATTATGTTGGCTGCTCTAAAAATGCAGATACACTTGTACGCTCTTCTCTGAGTAACAGCAAAAATGATTTGACAGAAGTTGATGACAAACTGAAAATCTAGCTTAGCTTTGCACATGAAAAGAGTTTCCTTAAGCAGATATCTTATGACACAGTGTTGAAATTGGATGTGGATTTTAGAGGGAGCAGTTTTGCATTCTGGACAGAGCAGGTCAGCAGTTTAGTCTCTTTTCTCTGCCTCTGTGCAAAGTTAAACTCCAGATGTTTGATATGTATTGTACAGATATGAAAGTGTTTTTTACTCTCAGACAGTGGTGTCGTCTTTGTTCAAACTATGCCTTTTACAGATGTGAAATCAAGAGCAAAGACATTTTAATTTTTAACAGGATTTTACAACTCCAGAAAAGGACTCTTGAATATATGTGAATCATTAAATCATGGATCATTGATAAGATATTGCTGTCATTTTTTTTTATTAGTGGAAAATGGAAAATTGCTCAGTTTTCTACAGAAGCATTAAAAGGTGAGTCATGGTTTACAGTTAGTGTTTACTGTACAGGAAAGTCTGCTGAAAGGCGTGTAGTTCATTCAACAACAAAGAAGAAACAGAGCTGACCTAACATGATATCTCCACACTTGATAAATTAACCGATAGAAAATTTAAAGTATATACACTGGCTCTTTTTAACTCTCGCTAAAAGTAACATTTACATCATTCCTCTAGAAACCTTTGCATACTTCGTGTTCATAAAGCCATTCCTATTGTTGACTTGAGTTTTGCACAGTTTGAAGTGCTTTTGCAGAGGGACTTCTTTCGCATCATTAATGGTGATAAGTTACTAAAGCACAGACCTGATGCTCTAGCCCTCTAATTATGCACTTAAAGGGATATTCCGGCGTAAAATTAATTTAGGGTCAAACACAACGAAACACAGAGTTAGACAACCCCTCGAGAGATGAATGTTGCCGACCGCTTGCTTCTCTAGTTATACCAACTTTAGTGATGACCGCAGATAGCAATACACAGCGGTTTCAGGAGCCATGCGCTCAACCAAAAAAACACTCTACATCCACAAATAAAGCTCAGAACAGCACCTAACTTCATCAACAGTACATATAGGGTCCCAGCCATAGTACTAGCCACCAAACATCTTTTTAGCTTTTCCTGATTTCTTTAACAAAGAGACTAAACACAACTCACTTACTCTCTTCCTGCAGCTGCTTGTTTGTAGCGAGACCTGATCATTAATTTATCATTTCCTTGAAGTAGTGATCATCATATTAATCATTTTGCACTGCAGACGCAGTAGTTCTTCTGCTTTAGCATCTCAGTCTGATTGCATTTCCATTAAGAAATTATCATAAATGTTCTTCCTTGAGCTGCGAAACTCCACTGTAGTCCCTAATGGACTGGTCTGAGGTCTCGCTACAAACAAGCGGCTGCTGGAAGAGAGTAGGTGAGTTGTGTTTAGTCTCTTTGCTAAAGAAATTAGGCAAAGTTAAAAAGATGTTTGGTGGCTAGTACCATGGCTGGGACCCTATATGTACTGTTGATGAAGTTAGGTGCTGTTCTGAGCATTATTGGTCGCTATAGAGGGGCGTTTTGGTTGAGGTTTGTTTATGGCTCCTTAGACCGCTGTGTATTGCTATCCTGCGGTCATTACTAAAGTTGGTATAACTAGAGAAGCAAGCGGTCGGCTACATTCATCTCTCGAGGGGGTGTCTAACTCAGTGTTATAGTGTGTTTGCACCTAAATTAATTTTACGCTGAAATATCCCTTTAAGTGCATGTCGGACAAAATCTTTGAGGGGTTACAAGCATTTTGTGTTTTAACTAAAGATTACAAACAACCCTCCAGAGACACACTGAGAGAAATTCGCTTGACCATAATTTCTCTGAATTCAGCCCAAGTTTTTACCTTTTGTTTAGGTTGATGATAAATCTTTGGATTCAAGCTTCAACCACATTTTTAACAAAACAAACTGATTTTTGTACTTTTCTTTCGCCAGTTTGAGGACGCCTGATCGATGGGAATGTTTTCATGATCAGTCCTTCGTTGGTTCTTAGACGGGATTTTTTGAGTGTGATCACTCTGGAATAAAAGAGGACATGTTCATTATGAGCAGGTCAAAATCTCTTCATCCAGATCATTAAATGATTACAAGGAAAAACTTTCAGACTCACCTTCACTGTGTGTTAAAACAGACCGCAGTCTTTCAGGTTTTCTTTGATGATGATGTCCGTGACGGCGTCGAACACAAACTTGACGTTCTCTGTGTCGGTAGCACAGGTCATGTGAGAGTAGATTTCTTTGACGTCTCGGCGCATGTTGAGGTCCAAGAACTGCATTTTGATGTAGTTACCAGCATCCTCGTAAGTGTTGGGGCCTTAGAAAAAGATACCAGGATAAATGACATTAAAACTCAGTTTCATAGACTTGCTTTTATGTGATTTTGTCATCTTTGAAACCTTTTAAACTTCTTATTCATGTTTTATAATATTCCCCTTGGGTCCTGTTTCGGCCGGGTATCAGGGGTTCTTATAACGTCTTTTTTTAAATGTCTTCGTTTTAATGACGTCTCATCGCTCATTCATCAAAATTTTTATGTCGATTATTATTTTATTTTATTTCTTTATTGCCAGTAATGTGACATTTCCCCCAAAGTGTTCTCTTAAGTTATTTTTATCTTCTTTGTTTTCCTGCATGTTAAAGCACTTTGTAAACTCTTGTTTTTAAAAGTGCTATATAAATTAAGTTATTATTATTGATAAATTAGTTTTTATGTTTACAGAGTAGGATTAAGTGACATTTAGTAACACTTCTAAGTGTGTTTGGAGGAACGTTTTACCCCCTAAAAAGGCTAGTGTTATGTTCGTCTGCCTATTGCGGGTTATCTCAAATGTAACACACTTTTACCGTATGAGATTATTCAACTTTTCTTCTTTTCAAGTCTTTACATGCTCATAAATTAATACTCTTGTTCAATTTCTGCCAAAAAATCTTACACACGGGTCAAGTTTGTATGTTGTGATAGACTCACCATCGTACTCAGGGAAGCACATGCTTAGATGTGCTTTCTTGATCTTCTCAAGAAACACATCTTTCTTGTTGAGGAAGAGAACGATCGAGGTGGTGGCAAAGTAGCGGTGGTTGCAGATGCTGTTGAACAGGTGTAAACTTTCGTGCATCCGGTTCTAAAAGGAAAATTCGTGAGGGTCAAATAAGGATCCTTAACACACTTATTATTGGTGGTCCAACAAGGAAAGCATGAAAATCATCAAGTGTGAAAATTCATATCATACCACTTCGTCATCCTCCACCAGCACCATGTCATAGGCGCTCAAAGCGGCGATGAAGATGATACACGTCACACCTTCAAAGCAGTGGATCCACTTCTTCCTCTCAGACCTCTGGCCTCCTACATCGAACATTCTGCAGGGAAACACAATCATGTTATCTGTATGGTGCTGATGGGACTCCAAAGATGAGTTATTGTTAAAATCCTCTGCAGAGGACTCACCTGAAGTGTAGATCTTTGAAGGAGAACTGGGTCTCGATGATTCCTGTAGTCTTCACTCTCGATCGCAGCACATCCTGCTCTGTAGGAACGTAGCCCGGCTGGATTAGTCGCTCCAAGTCATTGAGGTAGCTGAGGAAGAAATGAAATTAAACTCAATGAAAACACTTCTGCATTCAAATGAGACCTGATTGGTTGGTTTTGAAGGAAGCATAGGTTCTTACTATCCAGCAGAGTCGTTGAGTTGATACTCAGAGGCCCTGTCAAAGCAGACTTGTATTCCTGAATCCTTCCATAAACGCAGAATGATGTCTGACAGCTCTTTCGGCATGGTGCCCTCCTCAATGGTGTCTGCAAGGTGCATCAGTTTCCTGGCGTCATCCTGCAGTTTCAAGCGAACAGAAACAAATAAAAGTTTAGCTCAAAAGTTTTCAAGAAACCTGACCTCAATTAACAAAAACAAAAGTGTTAGCTGTTGTTACCTGCTGATCAGAGTGGCCATAGTTAATGTTGAGTGTGGTCATGGCCTTCACGATGGCCATGATGGACTGCAGAGTATTGCTGTAGATAATGGTGATGAACTCCAAGCATTCTTCAAGTGAATACCCGTCTTTGTGGATAATTCTTTGGAAAAAGAAAATTTGAGTATAACTATGTGTGGTGTAGTCAGTTAGACGATACGATCATTTACAGTCAAATGTCTCTCTTACTTCATCTGTTTGACGATTGTACTTTTGCCTGACTCTCCAGCACCTGCAGAAGAATGAAATAAGTGACTTTGATTATTTTGTATTAAAAATTATCATTCAAAACATTGGAAGTGAGAATATATCCACATCTCGATCTTCATTTTTTTTGTGTTTTTGTTCATATTTGAGTTTTAAAGAAGAGAGCTTTTCACAAATAAATCTGGCTCTGCTTGTGAAGAGAAGTTTTAGACTTGATGTTAAGTTTCTTTAGAAAATAGTATGAGGAGAAGAGTGTAGAACAAATGAACAACAAAAAACCTTGGCCCACATTTCTGGGTTGGGCAGCAGACTGTGTGTCCTTCATGGCTAATCTCTTTGTGTGAGAGTCTCTGGATTACCGAGGGATTGGGATGAGTGATTATCAAAATATCTCAGCCAATCAATGACACATGTTATTAATTCCTTACCTGATTAAAACTTGTAGCTCACTTAATCACTGTTGATACAAAGGTGTACTAGATGCACCTTTTCGAATCTGTTGGTTGTTTTAAGGTTTTTAAGGTCAAGAGAAACTAAATTGTGTTGATCATTTAGAATTAATGAACATATTTCAAGTTGAACCTCATAGATTTATGAGCTATTTTCTGTTTCCAGCCACCATAGAGGAGCCTATAAATGTAAGATATCCTCGAGTTGCATCCATTGCGTCTGTCTTTACCTAACAGCAGCAGTTTGACAGTTCTTGCATCCTTGTCAGCATCCTCCTTCAGCTTCTTCTCCAGCTCTCTGGAGTGTTTCTCCTCAGCGCTCGCTCCAGCCCCCATCCTGTTTTCCTGGAGAAAAAAAAAGTGTCAGGAAAAAATGGAAGTAGGTCCCAAAGAGTTGGACCCACTTTCTGAATGATGCTGAATGATGCGCCCACCTGCAGCAAACTCTGGACTATGTTTGAGTGTTTCCCTGTCTTAGGAGAGGATTTCGGGTATCCCCCAACCACCTGACCGTGAACGGCCAATGGAGCACAAGGACAGATGTGTTTTAGGGCAGGGGGGAAAGGTGTGAGGAGTGTCAGACCTATATGGGTGAGGCTGAGCGCTTACGTTTGGGGGACTTTGCTTCGCTCAGCGGAAGATAAACAGAAGCTCAAGCGCTTATCTCTCCATGCTGTTCTTAGGGGCCTTCAAGAGGAAGCAGACCAAGATGACTAAGTTTGTTTATGTCAATAAAACCAAATCAACAAACTGAAATTCAGCTCACATTTAAACTCTTAATCTGGCTTGATCAAATTTTCAGTGAGGTGGAAAAGTAAGTGAAACTAACACCACAATATTTGCATTAAATGCGGTTCGATAGATAAATTAGCAGACGCCGTACTGTCCTGTTCATACATGGAGACATAAAAGGTGTTTCTGTTATAATAGCTCAGACTGCAGGGTGAGCTGTGAAGTGCTTAAAGGGCTTTGTGGTTTCACCTGACAGATCTGATTGACCTCAATCTAAGGATCTTAATCTACTCACATTCAACAAAGTATTCACACAGAGTAATTGTGTTCATCCGTGTCATTGAATTTCTTTTCTGTGTACTGTCAAATACAAATTTAAAGGTACTGTAGGGAGTTTTCACTTTGTTATGAATAGACTTACATTCATATTAATGACTTTTTACGACCTTTAAAAGCTAACAAAACCATCAGTGTAAAGACTGATTATTTCTGTGTAGTTGTTTCTGTTGTCTAGAAACATTAGTGGAGGGTAGGTGCCAAGTAATAGTCTGCATGACCCCAAAATAGCCTTTCTTTTCACATTTTCAGTCTTGGTGATACCTTCAAATTCCAAATTTGAAAAAAAGTTTTTTTTTTTTCAAAAATACTAACACGTACAATAAATAAATAAATTAGCAATCATGAAAGGCAACTCTTTGTCAACAGGAATGCCAAATCAACAAAAACCAAACATTTTCAGAAGGTGTAAAATACTTGCAGTTTTAGTTTTAACCTGTACAAATTAAAAGAATTTGAAAAAGTTTAAGTTTTTACAGCTCATTCAAGGGAAAATTGTGAAATAAAATAATCTTTTTTAAATGAAACAGTAAATCAAACTACTACAAAATGTAATAGTGGGTCTTTAGTTGAGGTTGAGGGTCTCTTAACATTATGAAGGATTTAAGTACAATACTTAGTTATTTTATAGATTTTACATTGTTAGAAAAAATACTTTGCATAACTTTAATGATACTTAAGCAGTACTTTTACTTAATTTTATCATGTGGGTTTTGTGTATTTGCTCATTATTCTCATACACTCCAAACCAGTGCTGTACACACTAGTTACACATGGAGCACTGAAATTAGTACCTAACAGTGTGTTATGCAATAAACTCATAGACTATATATAGAATGAGCGCAGTCTGCCTCCTCGCTGGGTGAAACCACCCTGAGAACAGCACCCTCTGGTGACGGGCTGCAGTTTAGGTCATAAATCCAGCGTCCTCCAGCAATCCCTATGGAGCTGTGGACAAACTTTAGAAATTTATTACACATAATATAAATTTTTCTCACCCCTGGTTATGATGTTGACATGTAGTTACTGTCAGACTGGTTTGTGCTAAAGTCCTCTTTTTTCTGTGCAGCTCCATTTAAAAAAGTTATTATGGGGTTCATATTTTCTATGATTGACACTTGATACAGCCTATGGGGGTACAAAGATTGCGTAGCTCACACAGGGATATGCTGTTTGAGCCAAGCGTCATCACAGCGACTCTTGACGACTCTCTTGCCGAAAGCATACAATGCTACTACGCAATGTTGGTTTAAGGAAGCAGAGAAAAATCGCAGAGATACCGAGAGCTTTTCAGCTTCAAATCCATACTCTGGTAGAAGGCGGAACCAAGTTGTCCATAATTTATACAGTCTATGGTTAAACCCGTCACAGTGTCTGCTCACCAACAACAAACAGAACAGAAATTCAGTTACTATAAAATATAGAGCTTTAATTTATTAGTCAGCAACATTGATGAGGAAGAAAAGATAGTAATTTTTTACAAGTCATAACAATAACATCGACTGTGCATTATATTATACATTACTTAACTCAATGAACCAGAGCAAAGTCCGTCAAACTGACAAAATAAAAAAGTTGCACATTTGAAATTATATGCAAAACTGCCGAGAAGAGAAAAAGAGACACACAAAGAGAGAGAGAAACATAAAGAGAGAGAGAGAGAGAGAGAGAGAGAGAGAGTGGGAGAGACAGAGAGAGATTTAAAACCACAATCTGATCTGACTTTGTCCCATAATAAATCATGGGGCTCAGCACCTCATTCTTGTACTGATAGTTTTTCCATATTCCCACAACAAGAAAGACATTCACTGACATCCACAGCAACATAGTGTTTTAGACGAATACCATATACATACACTGTACATGCCATGCACAATGAAAAGTCACCCTCTGAAGATTTTAGCATATGTTGTTTCTCTTCAGGGTTGGGTGAACAGCTTCTTAGTGGTTGTACTTGTGTGACAGTTTTTACATTTATTTTAGCATTTACTGTGCGGAAGTTGCTCAATATGAAGTCTGTGGCACGTATGTTGGCAGGATGGCACTGCACAGTAGCAGTGAGAGCGCCGTTGTTTACAAGCACCAATCGAAGTGGTATGTATGCGTACTGTGGCAGACTTATTGCATGGTTAGTATTCACTTGCTTTCACTGAAACGGTTATTTAGCGTAAAACTGACAGGAATGCAAACCTCTGACACTATAAGAGCTAAAAAAAGACACTTTTTGAAGGGGGCGGCCCACCTGTGGTTCAGGGTGGCCTAAAGTATGCAGGCGCATGTACAAATGCTCAAATTGCATTAACTTACTATATTCACTTGTACTATTTACCGTAAATGCTAATGTTATTATATCATCCAGTTGTTACATTTCTGTGTAGTAGTTTTAATAGTTATCAACATAAAGATCGATATATCCCTAATCTACAAGAGATTAGAGGATTAGGGCCACAAGAAAAGAAAATAATAATTACAGGAGGGAGATTTTTTAATTTCCATTTTGAGATTAAAGTCAAAAATTTAAAAAGTCGAAATGCCGTATGGCTTAAATTTGTCGTAGCCATCCCTTTGCTGCATTAGGTCATCGGCTTCGGTAATGCCTGCGCCTCAGACGCCAGGCTCGTCTGTGCTCCATGCCTTCAGGATCAATCAACTTGATCAGTCGTCTTATTGTATCTACAACATAGCCTCATTAAATAGCCATCGATAACCCTGCATCTGCATCATAATCTTCGGCACAGTCTTTTCAGAGTCTGTATACTTATGACCACACTGTGTTTGTGTGCTAAAAGAGCGAGGATTTCCTTGTTACTAAATCCAATTCTAAAGTAAAGCTTTATTAACTCTTCTACAGAAGACATGTTGCCGAGTGACAAATGACAATGCTCTTGATTCATTATCATTAATCTCATCATTACGACTTTATTCATGAAATTTAATCTTTATTTGCATCGTCTTTAATCTTGTAATTTCGATTTAATTCTCAGAATTTCGAATTAATTCACGAAATTTTGACAGCTTTAATCTAGAAATTTCAACTATAATCTTGAAATTTCGACTTTAATCTTGTCCCTGTTATTTTTTTTTTCTCTTCATGTGGCCCTAATCCTCTTTCGTACTAATCAGATGGTCTGAAGTTAATCCTGCCTCAGACTGGACAAATAACCAATCAGAATTCATTATCTAGGTGCGGTAAATCAATTTTTGAGGTGGGACAATGCCAGCCCACTCCCCCCCTGGATGCGCCCCTGCTCTGAGAACACAGACTAGTTGCCCAAAACAAATACACTGCAAATGCCACAGAAACATATTAATTATGGTATTTACTGTCTATCAGGGTTACTAATTTGGCAACAGAAGGTGCTTGTCTCTTTTTTGTTGTTGTTGTTGTCACAAACTGTCACAAACTCACATATAGCTGCCTGCTGGAATTTCTTTTCTCTGAAAAGAAAAGACAAGGCAATGTTATATTTTCAGCTTTTGTGTGTCATCAAAAAACCCTTTCCCCGAAAAAAAAGGAAAAAAAAAACAAAAAACAGCTTATCACAAAGGTCACACTTGTTTAGGATACAACATTGAGATGTGATATTCACATAGAAACAAACAAACACTTGGCAGCAACAGATTTTGGAAGAATTTGTGTGATGTACCATTGTTACTTGAATCCAGGCTGGACCACAACAAAAAGGAGACGTCTTACCTCCCACACAGGTAACTTTAGTTAACATGTGACTGTATAAACGTGACAGTCCGTCACAGCTGCGGTCAGTGGGCATTTCCTTTATCCACGTATGTCCTCAGAAATGCAGCGATCACTCTTTCAGCAGCTCGTATCTCGCAGTTAAAATACAAAAACGAAAAATAAAAACAGTCTGCTATATCGTGAAGAGTTCAGGTGAAGATGTTAAAGGAAGTCTATCTCCACTCCCAGCTTTGACAGTGAACACCGCCAAGAATCATGTGATCCAACATGGCCGCCTCAAACAGTTCCTGTCCTCGCCCATGTTGTGGATACTCCCAGCATCCTGGGTTATTGTTGCTGTTTCTCAAAAACACCAAACATAAAGATATTCTCAACATAATAACACATTGTAATAAACATGAACACTAACAATAATATTATAATAACAACAATATTTGCACAGATTTACCTATTCACAAAAAACATGTTTTCTAGATAGGTACAAAGAATTACTTTTTACAACCTACAATAAATATTGTGTACTTTTTTTTCCTGTATGATGCTGTCGCTTTAGGTTGCAGTTGTCCGTAATGATAACTTTATTTTTCTATCTGGAGTCTTTCCCCTAAATGGAGGGTAGCAGTGTTCAGGAGGAGGCGTGAGAAGGTAGACAGGTGGTGTTTGAGTGTGATTAGGTGGAACTCCAGCTCCTCATGTCTCAGCCGGAGTCGTTTGCTCATCATGATGCCGGCGGTTTCGGGGTTTCTTCTGCTCCTTCAGCTCCTTCAGGCTTTTGGCTTTGCTGTCCCCGAGGCTGCCCTCCCCGAGCTGCCAGTAGTCCTGGCAGTACTGGTTGATCAGACCCATCTCTGGTTGGCTCAGGATGGTCAGCAGGTCTTTATACTGACCCACACTCGGTGTCCAGGCACTAGACTGCAGCGGAGGGAGCGCCGGGCTGCCCGTTTCCACCAACACGTTGTTGACTGTGCGACTGGACAGGACCACGAGCTGCAGTTTGACGAGCGTGTGTTTGAAGTTCTTCTCGGTGGACGTGCACTGGTAGATGCCGCTGTCGGATGACTGCAGAGAGCGGATCAGGAGTCCTTGTTCTGTTTTCAGGATGCGGCCTTCTGAGCGGATCTGGAAGAACAGTATTTCATCGATTAATCTGTCTTATCTTTCCTCTTTTTCAACTTTAAAGACAGCAGACTTTGTGACTGTTTGCTCACCTCTTTCCTCCGGTCACTGTTTTCCTTCTGCAGGTGCCACTTTAGAGACATGTGAGGAGACCTGGCCTGACACTCCAGGAACGTAGTGCTGCCCTCCACCCCATACTGAACTGACTCCAAGGTATTCTTATTAGCTGTGAAACAATATATAACTTATGTTACTGTCTATAAAACAAAGGAGTGACAGTGGGGCAACATTCCCGGCTTAAAGGCATGGTTGACGATTGGAGAGATTGGTAATTATTATGAACCGCGTTTATTTGGCGATCGTGGTCCTAAAGTGCGATCTCCACAAAATGAAGAGAGAAAAGAATGGAAAAAATCTGTTCACCCAAGCAGGTGCAGAGCTGCAAAAACATTGACCAATGTGAGCAATCCGTCACGTACAGCTCCTATTGGTCAATCTCATGCTCTGCCTCTCCATCCAATCACCTCGCTGTATTTGACACACCCCTCTTCAATATTTCTGACTCGTCCCCTCCCACTGTTTACTGCCGCTAGTCACTTGCAATCTGATATTTTGAATCCTATTTGAAGCGAGCGTAGGATCTTCTGCAGGCCAGTTTCTTGCTCTACCTTAATGGCTCAGTTTTTTTCAACTGCTTCTCCAATCGTCACTCATGCCTTTAACTGGGTTTGTACTTGTATTACTACTTATTCTACTTATTGTACTTATTGTACTCACTCAGACTCACACAGAAACACACTTGAACTAATTACTTACTGTTTGAGTTGTAACCTCTGCACTGGCGGATTGGGTTTCCGTACTTCACATCCTGCCTACGGCTCCGTCTAGAGGGGTCAGATCAACAATCAAAAATCAAAAGCTTAACTTCAGCTTATTCTGAACATTTAATTTGCTAAAGTAGAGCTTTTTTTCGTTAATCCTCACCTCTTCTGAGAGTTGGAGTATCTGGAGCAGGATTTTCCATCCCAGGCACAGTACGGATCTCTGGCCAGACAGCAGTCAGCACAGGCCTCTCCGTACACATCACAGCGATGCAGGGCCAGGTGGGTCACCCCCAAGACTGAGCCCACGTAGAGTTGTTGCTTTTGAATAAATAATAAAAAAAAACACAGGTAAGGATCAGAAAATAAAATTATATAAGAAAAGCATATATATAAGAAAGCAGATGGAAATTTTACAAGCTGTTTGTTCCACTGAAAACACATTTATAAAGCGAGTCATTGGTCCTTTGTGCTCAGAACGCAGTTGTAGTTGTCTTATGACATCTCTACTGTACTCTACTAAAGTCATGTATTTGGTAACATAAAATATTGTTGTACTGAGATGGTAAAATTGCCCCCAAAGATGGAAAATTAAGCATGGAAAAACTTCAATAGTTACCTATTAATCTACTTTATTCTTTATGTTGATGCAATTAACATTAGATTACAAAGCACTTTACTAGAACTTTCTATTTTCTATACAGCAACTGTAATTAATTTGTTAACGACTGCAGAGAAGTGTACGAAATGTAAAAAGTTACCTAACTGTGTGTTACATCTTGAAAATTTGGCTGTTTTTATCACCTTCCCCTCTTTTTAAAGCTTCTGTTGCACCCCCTATGGTTAAAGCTATCTTTGCATATCTTCTTCCCCTACCCACTGCGCAATGCGACGTCGAAATGACATCTGTTTAATGTATTTTTTCGATAATGAGGTACAAATGTGGATATCATTTCAACATCTAAAAGAGGTCCAATAATGACGATTCGGTCTTCAGGTGATGTCCAAATTCTGAACGTCAGAGAGACGTCTGAAAAAGGTCCAATTTGGACGTCGAAATTTCTAACCTATTTTGCACGTCGCACTGACGTCTAGATGTGGTCTTTGAGGGACCGACCCAACACTGACTTGATCTGCACGTCTCTTCGTCGCAGATGTTTGGTGGGTATATGCATGAATAGTCAAAAAGTCAAATGTATCAATAGTTGTGCATAATAAATGTGGAAAATGTAAAATCAGGTTGTTTCTAAAGCTGCATGGCTGACATCTACTCTCTTGCACTTAAAAATTACACTCTTACAAATCATCAATCTTGTACCTGATGGTCTTATTTACTTTTGTATACTATGAAAAGCCAAAGTTTGAATTTCTTTCTGTTTCATCAATGTTAAAAAATCTCCTCACAGAAACTTTTATGACTGTTTGGTCGATAACATACCCGTTTTGATGAAATCTTCATGGTGGTGATGGGTGTCGGAACCTGCAGCAATAAAAAGAGCAGCAGCTTTAAACGTCACATCACAGAGTATGAAACAAAAATACAGAAATGATAAAAACAAGAGCGCAATCACACCTTAAAGACCTCCACCTCCTCCAAGACCAGCTCCTCTGTCTGCAGGTCGTCTCTAGGCAGGACGATCACTTTCTGGACAGACCCCCGATCTACAAAACACAAGAGAGGAACGACATGTAGAGCTCTCCTTTCATGATGAGCACATTTTATTTCTTACACCTGTTAAATACTGGATATGGCTAATATAACCAATGCCCAGCAGATTCTCTACATGGGTTTAAAGGCTGAAGGATTTGTTTTTTTTTCACCAAAACTAAACACAAAATTCAAGACATATCATGAAACTGTTGTTTGGTTAATAACTGACCTGTGCCCAGGAAAAGCACTTCATAGTTTCCATCAGCAGCTGCAACCTGATCCACAGCAATTGTTGTGAACTCATAATCCACGTTGGTTCTAACCACCAGGGGGCGCTTGTGCACCGGATAAACGGCGTTGTACATGGTAGGGTGGTTTCTCATGAAGTTGATAACCTCATCTGGATAATCCTTTGTGGATTTCATGTTGGGGGTGAAAGTGCCTCCAGGACACTAGTGAAAAAAAACAGACCCAGCTCTCAAACCTGCTATTACACTGTAAAAAAAAACAACCATTCTTGTGAAAAGCGTGACTGAGATGTAATTATGATTAGGAATGTTCGATGTTGATAACTCACAGTGCCAGGTCGTGGGTAGGGGATCTTCCCAGTGTAAGCCACCCACTGGTAGTTCGGCCCCTCCTTGTGGGCGAAGGGGCCGTTGAACACCATGCGGATGTCGGCCATGGAGTAAACGCACACTGCTGAGCCTTTAAACACAGATCTGGAGGAGGGCAGACGAGAAAAGGATGAACACACAGAGACAACAGCTTGACCCGTTCCCTGACATAATTGCTTCTAGTTTGTTCTCCGCGTTTCTACGACTGCTAGAATCTACTTCCTTCCCCCGTACTCACTCAGACTCACACAGAAATGCTCAGAAGCATTATGACGCACAAACACACACACTTGAACCGAGTCAAGCTGTCTGACACACTGACATACAAACACCCACAATCTGCAGAGAATCGCCAGAGCCCTGGTGGTGGGTGTACTATGTTTGTAACTCCTGTCATGGGCCTCTATAATCAGCGCTGCATGTGTTTTTATCAGGATGGAAACAATAACAGTGTTTGTTTCTCAAATACATTAATCAAGATATCTTTATTATGACTATCTGCAAACCTCTCCCTGCTTATGTGCAGTCAAGAGTCTCAATTTTCACGTCTGCCTGAATTTTAATACCGTGTGTTGAATGACAACTTGCTATCAAACCTGACCTATGAGGAGCTATAGGCTCTGTCAGCGTCCCAGAGGAGTGAGGCTCCCTCTGGGCTCCACGTTCACAGCCTTGTTTTCGCTTTGTAGCCTGGATCTGACAGGCCATACACACAACACAGCATTTCAATATCAGAGAGAGCTGACACCTCCGGGCTGGGAGGAAATGAAATAAAAAAGCTGCAGGAGGAACCCAAAATACACCTTCCCTCCAAAACTGCATGAAAGTCAGAGAGTTTGGGAAGCTGTCAATCACTCACCCTGAAACTGAGAAGACTCCGTAGATGACGGGGTTCTTGGTGTCTTGAGTTGGCTGGATATAAACATCCCCTAAAAGATAAAGACAGAAGTTACCAGAATAAGTCAAACAATTAGAAGAAGTGGTGAAATCAGAACTCGGATTCTTAGTTAAAGGTGCAGCGGAAACAATATAGAAACTATCGTAGACACAAACATTTGAAACTTTACAAAAGTAGGAGTTTACATGTGCCACAAGAACTAACTCTGCCAGAGTTAATCCTCTTTTTTACTGAAATAGAATAAAATTCATATCGATGCTTTTTTAGGATTTCCAAAAGCAAAAAAGATCATCAGCTGCATGACTGAGGACTTTTATACTTTGATTTTTAATGCCTGAAACCAGAGTGGGGGGTAGGGATGGGCGATATGGGCTAAAAAATGTATCACGAGTTTTGCCATTCTGGTGGTAACGGTAAAAGTCCAGATAAAATACATTATAATTCCTATCCATGTTTTTGACTTATTCTGTCTTGAGGACACCAGTTGGCATAGTCAAATAAGATACTTAACTACAGTGGTAGGTTATAGAGAAAACTAGTGAAATGTCTCTTCTTGCACAGATGGAACAGAGTGTGCAGATCCACTGTCTGATGTCAGGCATACCTGGTTGCACTCGTCTAAGTCCCAGTCTTGAAGGAAATCCCTTGTTTATCAGTGAGCTGCTCAGAAACATCCTCTTCACCACCTTCAGTCATGTTTGTTTGTTATTCTGCACTGTGTGGGCTACGGCTGCAAGTCCGACGCTCACGCTTACGTCATCAACTTGCATTTATTGTATTTATCGTGAGATGGCAAATATTTATCCTGGAGGAAATTTCTGACGATAAATTGTGAACGATAATTTATCGCCCATCCCTAGTGAGGGGGTAGGTGTCAATAAAGTAACTGAAGAGACAGCCCTGTTTTTATATTTCCCACATATATTATTCACAATTAATGATACAATGGATTTTCAAAAGTCAGAAATATGGTTTTGTCAGAAAACTAAACTTTAATATGTAGATGTCAAGATAGTCTGTTTTGTCAACAGGGGGCGCCAAAATTGGGGCAAACCAAAAGTTCCTCACAGAGGCTTTGATTGATTAAATATGTCATCGTAAGATACCTGATAGTTATGCATGAATCGATTGGTAAACTAGTTCAGTGGTCTCTAAACAAGGAGGGCGAAGTTATTAAAAAAGTTTTTCTGTTATAAGTGAGAAAAAAGAAAAACTAAGTTGTGCATCAAAAACATTTCCATATTTTATGTAATATTCTTGATATTTCCTCTTACTGTTCTCTCTTTGCTTCAAGACTATTTCATTAAAACAATCTGCAAAGTTAAAAAAGAAAATAAGCTTCTAAACCTCTGAAACAAGAGCCCCTTTATTATCAAGCCAAACACATTTGGAGTCTTTGCTTTGGTCTCTTACCGACCACTATATTCAACAAGCTTTACAAACGTGTGCGTTAATTCCTCATCTGTAAAGCAGCAAGAAACCACAGCTGTCAAAATACATTAAAGGGAGTTAAAATACTAGTTTTCCTGGTGAGGTAACTCAAAATGATTCAACTAAGTCTTATTTTTTAACTATATTCCACCAAAAACTCAGAGTGGCAGTGTTTTGACAGATGCACAGATGAAATGTTAGTGTCTGTGTCTCATATTGAATCATCCTCAGGCTTTATTAGCTCAGATTCTACCTGATACCCCCCAAAATATTTGTAATTGTGACACACCGGGACCTTTGACTCCGAGGATGGCGAGTTCAGTTGGAGTTTCTCATGAATTGTGATACCAGAGCCTCGACGAGATCCTGAATCCAAGTTCTACCGATGCTCAAACTGCTGTCCCCGAGTCTCAGTAGGGAATATGAGTGAAACAGAGATCTCTGCTGAAACATGACTTTAATAAGAGCCATATGCTTCCAAAGACTGCAGAGCTAAGACAGTTGTGAACCCACTATATCCTCTAAGATGACTTAATGAGAGATAAGTGCAAGAAAAAACAATTCTGTGGAAAACCGAGACAAATTTCAAGTCAAGACGTTGAGAAAACATCTCTGCAGCTCAAGCTGAGCTCACAGGCTCATGTCATGGAGTGAAGAAGTTCAAAGTGCTTGTTTAAATGACCATAGATAGGAATAAATGAAGATAAAACCATCATTTAAAGTCTTTGGATGAGAATAAAGGTCGGACAGAGACATGAAATAACTCATAGTTATTTAAGACGGTAGAAGTAAGACAATTATCTGGCACCGAACAACGAGAAAGCTACGATTTATCTTTCGAATCTCACCTGAGATAACACCAGAAGCGGCATATACAGAAATTAACTTCAAACCACAATTATACACGTGGAATGGAGGGTAAAATGTAATAACATAGGATTTTTCTGCCTGTACCCCCTGGCAATACGCACATGCACATGATAAACACAAGGGAGGGAGCTTAAATCCATACAGCTTGTGTGCTGAAAACATCTCTGACTCTGCAAAGCTGCAAAATCAACAAACACTGCTTTGATCACCCGTTCCAAATGATTTCAGTGAGTGGAAGAAAAAGTCTCCTTACACGCCAAGGTATGAAAATAACAGGTAATGGCTGAACACGAAAGCAAGAATTAACTTTTGGCAAACAAAGTAGAAACTCATAACCCATCAGACGCCAGTTTGACAGGCCTCCTTGCAACAAACTGAGCGCAGTGAAAGAGAGGAGAGAAATAAATCAGGAGAGAGCTGGAGCGAGTTGCGTCACTGAAACTTTTGTTTCTGATGTGACGGATCAGAGAGCGTTTGAGGCGCTCGCAGCATCACATTAGCGGGAAAACATCTCTGATTGCTGCGAGCGTAGATAGAAAACACGGCGAAGGGACAAATTATGTGTTTATGAAATGCTAAAAGAAGAGGAGGGGGGGATTCACTCAGCGAAATTGTTGTTAGCATCTTGTAAGTGCTTAAATGGATGTGGAGGGAAAACTGAAAAACAAACAAAACCTGCAACAAAAAGGATTTTTCGGTCTGTGTGTACAGTTAAGCTGTTTGGGGATTTGTGGACTACAAGGACATAAAAATAACTCAATGAAAAAACAATGTTTCACTCCATAATTACATCTCAGAAAAGGCAATAAAACTTTATTGCCCGCACATCCATTCTCATTTTTATCTGGCAGACATTTTCCTCTCAGTCGTGCCTTTATATACTTCCTCTCTCTGTCTCTCTTTTATTTCAACACTAAATGCCTACTCTGCTGTTAACACTGACTGCCTCACCATCTGAATGTACTCTACTTTCTCCCCCGAGTCCTCGTACAACCACTCTGAAACCTCCGCTGGACTCCATCAGGGACCAGCAGGACTGGAGACAGAAAACATTTCCAGCAGACCGTCTGTGGTTGTGGGCAGGACGACCACAGAGCTGTGGGGTGTTCGCTGCACCTCAGGACTCAAAGTGACCTCACTGTGAGTGTTCGTCTGCAGTGAGATTACAACTGACCTAGACCACTAAGAGAGCCGCAACGCCGGAGAGAGAAGCGCTCTTCTGTCACTGAGTGCTGCTAATGCATAATACACATTTGCATCTAGTAAAGCCTCATCACAGGAGCAGAGGCTGTTACATACATGTGGCTTATAGCTGTGGTTGATGCAGTTTTTCAAGTGAATTATTTAAAGTGTCATAAAGGGCAAATATATTTCAGTCATTCATGGTGTTGCAGTAAGTCCATGCATTTTAATACAAGACCCACTCCGATGAAAATCATGTTTTTCTTGTTGTCTATATGCTTAGCCCAGCTACGGTGTACTGATAGGGGTTTATTTGGTTAGGGCAAGCTGTTGAATGTACAGTGTGATCCGTCTCTCGTTTTTATGGAAACTGTGTTACTCTTCCCTGCACTGTGGGTAATGAAACACCACTTTGAATGATAATTAATAAAATATTTTATATTTTTTCTATTTCGAAATGATTAATAAAGATCATATATTTTTAACAATACGTCGTTGTCTTGCCTGCTGATTGTACTGAGCCTCTCGGGTCACATTCTGATGCTACAGGACATATCATGAGAAAAGTATTTCTTCATTTGAATCGCTGTGAATCGTCTAGCAGACTCAAACGGCAGGCTCAGATACAGTGAGATTTCCTATGTCACAATTCCAAGCTCCGCCCCCTGAGCCCCACTATGCAGGCCAGACTCTGAGAAATAGAGAGGATGATCGCAGAACAAGCATGTGCTTTAGCAGATTGCAATGCTCTTAAAAAAACTAATTATGATATTAGCTTTCATCATGCCGCTTAAGTCATAGTGTCTGAGAGCTGAATAGCTCTTATGTTCTTTGCTACTTTTACTACACTGGCAAAGTTAGGCTACAAGCTAGTGTAAAAAGGAGTGTGCAGAGCAGCGCTGTCTCCGCCCACGACTCAGAGGCGAATTGCTAATAAGCTACTGGAGCTCTGCAGAAGAAAAGCTCTCGAAAATGAAATAGGTAACACGATTTTAACTAACTTTTAACTAAAAACTTCATAATGACAATCTTAAGACTACTGAGAACACTTTAAGTTGTAAAAAAAAAAAGTATGGAGTTGGATTTCAAACTGATTTATAATTAACTATGTCTGCATCATTTTTTACACTTAAACTCAAATGCACTTTTTAAATTTGTTCAACATTAAAAGCCTCAAACGTAAATTAAGTGCATCAGTTTGCAGTTATTTCTTACTCACGCTTAAATGAAAGTACAGCGCTAAAAGGGATTCTTGCCGTACACAGTTTATATCTAAGGCTGTCTTTATTGTATTCAGTCTTGTCTGTTTCTATTCTCCTCCCAGTGTTGTGCAGCATTGATTTTAATGCCACATTAGTTTGACTTTATCCTGTCAGCTTTTATCTGGAGAAAAAAAAGATGGCACAAGATTTGTTTTTTAAGCTTTCTGTGGAAATTAAAATCAAATTCAAAACCTTTCTGTCGGTGAAATAAGTGATTCATACACAGTAATGTAACAGTTTTTTTTTTCTAAAATCCAGCAGAAAGTAGTGAAAGATTTGCTGCTCATACCAGCAGTCATTAGAATTTCAAGGATACTACAAATCCCTCTTTAATCCTGTCAGTCATGTGAGTGACGGACAGGCCGGGATGATCCACAGGGGGTCGGACTGATCCCAGCTGCTCATTACTTTGATTACTCGGTGTGCGTGTGTGTGTTCGGCTTTCTCTCTCTGGTTCAGATTCTCTGCTGTAACATGGTGATGCTTCTTGAGAGCGGAGTGCGCCCGGTATTGCAGTCGGGGTGTTACCTTTGCAGATGTTATAGCACTCCTCGGAGCCATGTTGATGTTCAAAAGAAGCAGGCGTGTCAGGCTTAACATGTATGAGTCAGTGATACCTTAATCTAAAGCTGCAGCTCCCTGGGATTCTTCACATAAGCAGATACGTGCTGCTGTAAACGCTGCACATGTGCCCTCGTGTACGGGGGAGTGAGCTGCTGCAAAATCTGAGGAGATGTTTCGAGTCTTTAAACTGTGACATAATGGTGAAAATATGCAAAGCCAATGGGAGGGCAGAATGTGATGAGAGCCCTGAAAAATGAGAAAGTTGTTGGCGCTCAATCTGTCAACAAGCCTACCATCTGCAGACCCTTTTTAGGATTTTAGTTAAAGGCTTCTGTAAGGATTCGCACTTTCCAGCTGCCATTTTGTCTCTCAGGTCACGCCTTTATTCACTGCATGCTTCACACCAACTCTGAGCAGATGTGTTAAATATTTTCCGAATTGGGTTATTTGATCTGCAAAAGCAAAACATCGAGTATTGAAGATATTCGGCTTTGAAGTTACCCTCGATTACAAGCACTTACCAGAAGCTTATTAACCAACAGGTGGCGGATAAAAGATACACCTGGGTGGTGTGCGGAGATGAAAGAAAGCGCCACACGTGTTCTGAAAGGGTCAACAAGCTCAAGGAGACGTAATATTTCAAACTCACTCAGTTCATCAAAGTGCGTCTCGATGCCGTCAGCTCCTGGCACCGAGCAGATGAGCCGAGCTTTCAGAAACGTGCTCCACTTGTTGACCAGACAGCAGTGTCCACCGTCATCGTTCTGTGTGGAGAAAGACAGTCGTCATGTCTTCAGCGTCTGACCAACGTCTGACCACCAGCTGTTTGAAACAACTGTCTAAACTAACTGCATCGGCTCTGTTGTTACTGCGCCAGTGTGAATAAAGATCAGCTCTGTGCTTCAGCTTGGCCCATCTGCACAGGAGGTCAGCCAACGACTACTGCTGAGGTAAGGACTCAAGCTGTGGGAAAATGATTCATGGGCTGGAACCTAACTCAATGTACACAGTCCAAATTTGCAGAGCTGGAAGACATTTAGTGTCTATCTTTATCTACTGTGAAATCAAGGAAGAGAGAAAAAAAGTCAGATGTTCGAGGTCTTTGGTGAAATAGAATTAAGTTTAAAGTTCTTCCAGAAACATGAAAATGATCTGACCTTTTTTTTTCCAGTTATAAAGCAATGGCATGACCCTATAGGGTGCAATTCTGACACAAGCTGCATAAAACTAAGCTGCTTTTCAAATTATGTTGAGTTAAATAGATAATAAATAAAATATCACGTTAATTCACTGGACTGGACTGGCTGCAGAGGATGGTCTGAGAAAAAACAGACCCGGCTCCAAAAGGGCACAGAAATCTTTCCCAGAAACTAAAACCTGTCATCTTGAACAGCTTAAAATTAAACTGTCATGAAAGTTGTGAAAGACTTTTTAAGTTTCCTGGAAGATAAGTTGAATATGTGTGGTGTTGCTGTACTGCCAAATGCATATCAAACTTTTCACTTAGTCAGAAACATTGACATATATTTGATGTTTTGTCACTAAGATTCATTATAAGATGGACTGTGCAAGTTCCTTAAAATGTGTCAAGATAATTTAGGTGATTCTTTGACTTGTTCCTCAGCACCACATTGAATTTGGAGTTGCAACACATTGAAGTTGTTGCTGAAAAAACATGTTATGTAAGATTTGGTGGGGATATTCATAATCCCTGAGGATTAACTGTCAAAATAAATAAATAAATACATAAAAACAACTTTTTTTCACCATCTTTCATCTAAATGACATTACTATCGGCCTTAAAGGGATATTCCGAGAGGAGAGTGGGTGGGTTGCGTTAGTCTCTTTGCTAAAGAAATCAGGCAAAGTTAAAAAGATGTTTGATGGCTAGTACTGTGGCTGGGACCCTATATGTACTGTTGATGAAGTTAGGTGCTGTTCTGAGCATTATTTGTAGCTTCAAGTGGCTTTTTGGTTGCGGTATGCGCGTTGAGATGTAGACCACTGTGTTTTGCTATCATATGGTTGTTGTTGAAGTTGGTATAACTAGAGAAGCAAGCAGTTGGCAAAATTAATCTCTCGAGGGGGTGTCTAACTTGGTGACTTAAACCTACGCCGGAAAATCCCTTTAACATTTCATATTTAGGCAAATAAGGGAAGCTTGATTCACTTATGTAAAAGTTGAGCATGGATAAGATTGTACATATATTTGACTTAGGCCTTAGCACTGTCATTGCTATCATGTTCGCATGCTGATCCCACTGAGCAATAGGCGGCTATTAAATGTCTAGTTTTTCTTTTAGTCCTAATTTCAACCGTCTAGATTCTATATATTTTTAGATGGAATTAAGACGTTGCACTTTAACCCATTATTCAATTACTACTTATTTCTAAAAGCAACTGTGAGTTGCATAACTGATCTCCAAACTTCACCAAAATAATTATGATAGCTGTTGAGCAATATACTGTGTAGTATAGATAAAGCCCAGATTTAGACTTGGTTTAAACTTGGTCTAAATTTAGACGTCTAAAAAACTTTCATTTTTAAACCTGCGGTACCCTGATTTTAGACCAGTCATCTAGGCTACATTTCAATGTCTTTTTTACCTCTTTTAGACCCAAAAATGTTCAGTGGGATTAAAGGAGGCATTTTAATACACATCTACACCCACAAGAGTCACTGGCATGGCTATTGATGATTATTATCCATAATCCTTGAAACCATAAAGGATGGTTTCATATCAAATTGTTTGATTGTTTTTTCAAGTTGCCCGATATGGACCAAAGTAAACTCTGGTGGTCAATTATTTCCTTAAGCAACACAAAATCACACGATACAAACAAAAGATTTGATTTCTTGACTTGTAACTGGTGAGTGTGACTGGTTTCACTCAGCAACTACAGAGGATCACCAAAAACTTCCTCAATGACCTTCTAAGAGACTACGAGGCTATAACTAACCACCACGGAGACGCATAAACCTTTCAGCCGTGATGATCAACGTGAGGCTCGCTGACTGGTGTGATAACTCACCAGGCAGATCCGCCCTATCCTGGACTGGGTCATGGGACTCTGGCCCATCTCGGAGGCTTTTTCACGGAAGAAGAAGTAGAGCTTGTCATCATTCTTTTCGGCGCTATCTGGGATGAGGTGTGCGTGGACAAATGTGGGGTCTGTATGAAAAGAAAACGAGACAGAGAGAGCATTAGCGGTGTTGTGGGTCATGTTGCAACCAAATTCGCAGACTTAAAAGGAGTTAGATCGGGGACCAGGGTCATATAAAACATTTTACTCTGCAGGAACAGGCTGAATGGTCAAAAAACCATACAACTCAAAAGCGTATAAAAATACAAAATATACTTTGTAGGTTATTATCTTAGTAAAACTAGCTCCCTGCTACTTGGCGCCCCCTGCAGGCCCAGAGCACTTCAGCTGTGTTGAGAAAATCTGTGTTTTTCTCGCCTTTTTTCCCGCTGGGTTTGTGTGGTTTTACTTTGCATCATTCAAACATTTTGCAGTGAAAACAGAACGAGATCTGATCCAGACTAACAAATGTAAAAAAACACAAAGTGGGCTCTACTGAAGAGTTAACATTTGGAAGCAGGTTTAACTGGACCTCACAGCTTAAAAGGATGTCATTTTATCACACCAGGACGCTGTTAATGACAACTCATTATGTGCTCTGTTTCATTTTTTTTCCCCTTAGTTTCTTTTATGCTCGAGTACAGTGCCCCCTACTGTCTTTTTTGATATGCTCTCTGGGTACTGTTGGGCACTAGAGTGAGGATATATCTGTCCTGTTTGATCTAGCCATCCATCCATCCATTTTCTACCGCTTATTCCCGTTAGGGGTCGCAGGGGAGCTAGAGCCTATCCCAGCATCTTCAGGCGAAGGCAGGGGACACCCTGGACAAGTCACCAGTTCATCGCAGGGCTGACACATAGAGACGAACAACCATCCATGCTCACACTCACACCTACAGGGCAATTTGAAAGTGGCCAATTAACCTAACCCCACTCTTGCATGTTTTTGGGATGTGGGAGAAAACTGGAGTAAACCCACGCAGACACAGGGAGAACATGCAAACTCCACACAGAAACGCCCTGACCTCGATTTGAACTCAGGACCGTTTTGCTGTGAGGCAACAGTGCTAACCATTACACCACTGTGCCGCGTGTCCTGTTTGATATGAAGGACAAACTATGGACAAATGGAAGAAAAATGACTGAAATATCTCTAAACCCTGGACCTACCTCTTGAAACGTATGCACTGTTACGATGATTCTTCTCTCCCTGTGTAACAATATATATTTGTATGTATATTTTTCCATCTGTGCCTTTCCTTTCCTGTTCTTTTCTAGTTCTTTTCCTTTATTTCACACTTTACAAGTATTTTTAAAAACTGAATGAATTCATAAAAATAAAGTTAAAAAAGTAAACTAATCACCTGCAGGTCTGAGATATGGTTTATGATTTTTATCCAGAAATATTATCCTAACTCTAAGAGAGGGAATGCACGAGGCAGAAATCTATCCAGGATGATTACAGCTGTGACAATGAACTACGTGCAATACTAGCCTGGAGCCAAAAAACAGCACTTTAACCCAATTCCTATGCCCACCCCTTTAATTCTTCCTAGTGACAACGCTCAAAATGGCATCACAGCGCGCTCCCACTGGTTGACTTAGTGGGTCACTGCTGGACACGCCACACAGAGGGCCCCTCCCCACTGCTACCAGGGTCCCAAATGAGGACAAATCAAAACTAGGAGAGGAGTAAGGGGACAATGTGACAGGGGGGGATGGGGAATATCTGTGGGATTCCACATGGCTGATTAGCAGGACTCAGGTGTCCTGATTCGGTGTACCACTGTCATGGGACTGTTGTCAGGGCAACAGGGTCAAAGGAAAATCTGGGAAACACTGAGCAGGGTTTGGCAACATGAACCCAACGCCCCCCAACTGGCATTTATAACACTGTGGAAATCATGGATCATTAGCAAGCAGAGGCAACTCTGAGTAATTATTGACATTTAACATTTTCCCTCCACCGCTACCCTGATGACCTAACCCACGGGCGCTACAGGCGTGCTATCAACAATTAGTGTAATGTATTTTATGCCTTGAGTGAAATGGTCATGTGGTCCTAGAGAGCAGGCCGTAAAGATCGACTATCTTTTCCCTAGAAGGAGTGAAAGCTGCACAGGGTGGTACTGAAGTAACAAATGAGACATTAGAGTCATTCACTTCAGGAGCTCAAGAACAAATTATCCTGATCTGGAAAGAGATGAGTCGAAGAATGAGCGCTGGATGCAGTTCAAGCTGTGACTTGAGAAATTACCGTTTAACCATCTGGAGTTGTACTGATCCGTCCTCATGGCTGTCTGCTTCCCCAGTGTACGGAAGATAGCCGAGTCTGTTCCCATGAAATCGATGTAGACTCCTGCGTACAGCTCTCCGTCTGTCAGTCACAACAAGAGAAAGGAAAGGAAGGTTGATACAGAGGTGAAGTCACGACGGATGACAAACTCTCCAGGTTACCGCGGTGAACACATTGTCTACCACGTCCTCATTAAAACGGTGAATCATTCCTTCAGAGTTCATTAAATCAAACTGATGCTCTTCAGCAGCTGTGGTATGCAGTTTTGAGTTTTTATAATGACTGATGATTATCATTTCATTTAACAACAACAGCAATCTGCTCTTTTGGCGTGGGATAGTTATCTTTTACTTAAAAATGTTGATCCTACGATTTTCTTGTAATTGTAATCTTGGCCAAACAGTTTGATTGTAAAGGACGGTTGGTTTTAAAATATTTAATCAAGACACGACTGTGAAAGGTCAATTAAAGCTCGATATGGAAGCGTTTTAACTACCACCTGCCTAATGAGTCTGTTAGTACAATATTTTTTAAGTATTTTCACTAATTCCAAGTTAAACAAGATTAAGTTTGTAACAATGAAGGGTGATTTTATAATGTATGAAAGTAGGAATAATCATTAATCATTGTGATGTTATTTCATCACAATGATTACTGATTATTATGTGCAGGCTGATCGCTCCAGAAGACGGAGTTAATTGATCATTGGCAGTTTGATTGGATCTCATTTTGACTTTTTTTCACTCACATTTCCAGCTGCTGCAGATGTCATCTAGTCTCACTGATTTTATATTAAGGGTGGGAATCACTAGTGGCCCCACGATACGATATTATCACGATACTTGAGCCACATTACGATATTATCGAGATTTTTAACATTTTGCAATACAGTGAGTACTGCAAAACCACACATTGGGATTTACACAATTTTATTGAATGTTAAGCTGATCTAGCATTTGTCTCTCCTTTATTGTTTGTCTTCTTTACACAATATTTTATTTTCATGTTGCACATCTTGCAAACCTTGTGTGTCAGGTTCTCACCTCTGCCAACCTCACTGGACAAACAGTTGATTTTATTTTTCCATTATTATAGATTTGACTTCATATTAACAATTAATTTGAAAAATCAGTACTCGGTAAATGAGACGATACAATATATCACCAGACAAAATATCGTGATACTATGCTGTATTGATTTCTTCTCCCACTGTTAATGTTTACATCTTATAAACATTAAGATTGGCAGAAGAAAAAACAAGCTTTCCTGTTGTTTCTCTTGATATCTCAATGTAATTAAGCTTCAAGCTCATATCATATAAAAGTACTCATGAGCATGACCTCTTTTAACTCCCACCAACTTTAAAAAAATCAGGAAAGTATGTAAGAATTGCTTTAAAGATGGCAGTGAGGGTCAGCATCTTCAAACACCAAAACCAGGGAAAGTCCAACTTCTGTCCTCTGTTGTCCTGTGTGGTTTTTCCTCTGCCCTGTGGTTAGTTTAAAGTCAACCTGTGGCTGATTTTCTAAGCAGAAAAAGGTTTTCTTGGATAAGCGAGAAATGAGCTGACACTGTGAAGCAGAAGATAGCATTTCTCCTCCTCCTCTCTCTATGTGCACACACTTGAATGTGGGGCAGGAGGTCAGTGATCCACAACCATGTCTGACCACCTGTAAGCTACCGGCAACAATGGACCACCCACTGAGATGAGAGCGCACACATCCGACTGAGATGTTGATTAAACCATAACCGGACAAAGGCTGAAAAGTTTAGGGCAAAAAGTCTTTGGCAGCAACTTTACAACATATGACAGAGAGAAAATCAGCAGAATTGTCATATGTAGAGGTAAGACAAAACAAATGATTAAATAAAGATTTTTTGTGCTGTTCTAAAAAAAATCTAATTTAGAAGCTTTCACTCTTCATCGAATGAGATCATTATCTTGGCAGCAGCTAATGTCACATGCTTGGTTATCTTTTTCCTTAAACTGTAAGCAGAAGAAAGTGTTGAAAACCAAAAATGCTTTCATAAAATTTACTGGATTTGTCCTATCAAACACAAACTTTTGGAGGTTTAAAACAGAAAATAGCAGAACTTCTTTGTTTCCCTCCAATTACCCAGCTTTCTTTCTACGTACCTGACTGTGTTCAATACTTGATTGCAAGTGGTTAAACACTAAACAACATGAGTACAGCCAGTAACAACTATATCACACACTTTATTTTTAATAATCCATGGATAGAAGCCCAACACATTTAACAAGTTTATGATTTTCCTCCTTCTTGTTGATAATGTGACAAAAACACAAGTTTTAAGACGATAGTGACTTCTTCGCTGTGCATCCTGGTCTTGTCTCAGTCTGTTAGAGTCCTACTTTGCATAACCACCAGCTCATATATGACATCCTCTTCTTATAAGTCGTGAAACCTTCGCAAAAGTTATATGAGGGGGAAAAAACAACAACATTGACTTACTGATTAAAGCGGAGACACTGTTCAGTTTGGGGTCATAAGGGCATTTTCCTTTCCCAGAATCCACTTTTCCAGGTTCAAGTCGAAATATGTATTCCTGTAGTGGTCAAGATTTAGGAAAAAAGTCATAATTAGTTTTCATTTTGTACTTTCAAATGCGATTACAGAAATCAAAAGTGTTTGAGGATTTGTTTTGTATCCAGGGAGAGATTATTCTTTTAAGGCAGCGTGTGCTGTAAAAGGCACTTTGAGTATATTTAGATGTTAAAAGCGGTAACATCAAACTAAATAATGCGATCAGTGTAGAGACATAGCAACAATGACGAACTGTGACCCTAAACAGACTCTCTCTCCCTTTTTCACAGCACTGTTGGATCTGCTGAGGGGAACAAAAACACAAAGCCAGTTATCTGTGAGAGGGAAAATGCTGAGAGCAATCCAAAAACTCATCCAGCATGCTTCTGATGTTAGAGGCTCAAACAAGAATTCATTATTCCACGAGAGTGCAAGAGGACATCTTGAACATCTGTGTCAACACTCGGTATGTGTCTACATGGAGTTTTGTCGGGCACTTCAAAGCTGGCTGATGATGCCTGACAGGTAGAAAATATGTGAGGGGAAGCAGAAAAATGTCAAAGCTGCTTTTCTGACTTTTTCTCAGATGTTTTTTTCTTTCGAGGAAGAAGATACAGTATCGTCAAATGTCTGTGTCGATGAAAACCATTTGTGAAAACTCAAAAATAAATCAAACACAAAGGTTGCAACTATTATACTCACAACTCTCCAAATTTTGCTAAGAGTGTTGTACTTAAATCTAAAATATTAGTGTTTTTCCCATCTGTAACTTATGAAAGAGGATTCAGGCCACAAGAGGAGAAAAAAATAATTACAGGAGGGAGATTTTTTAAATTTCCACTTCAAAATAAAAGTCGAAAATTCGAGATAAAAGTTGAAATTTAAAAAAGGTGAAATAAAAAACATCAAAATTTTGGCATTTAAATTGAAATTTTGAGATTAAAAATATCGAAATTACATGAATAAAGTTGAAATTTAGATTTTAGTCTCAAAATTTCACTTTTTTTATCTCAAATTTTGACATTATTCACAACATTTTGTAATCAAAAAAATTTCAACTTTATTGACATAATTTTGATTTTTTAATCTCAAAACTTTATCTTTAATCTCCTTCCTGTAATTACATTTTTTCTCTCCATGTGGCCCTAATCCTTTTTCGTAGTAAATATATATTATTTTTACAAACTGAAAGCTCACAAAACTTCTGACTGTTACAAAAAAAAAGGAAGTAAAAGTCACAAAAATGTGTTTTGAACCTTTTCTTTTTTCATTACATAAAAAAAATAAAGGATATTAAAAATAAAAGGATATTAAAAAGGCAGTTTTTATGTCTAAAGTAGAGATTTGGAGTTTTAGCTCTTCATCAAGCTATTTTCTTGCACCAGGTTTATCGGGAGCCTGTATCTTTCTTTCTTTCTTGTACGATTTCTTCAACCACAGCTGGGAGTAAAAAAAGTTCTCCAGGAGGACACCAAAGTACAAAACGTCCTCCAGCCCACCTTTGCCTCCAAAGGCTCTGATGGAGCGCTGTAGTCTGCTGCCCGACTCGTTCTCCCTCCAGACTGGGGTGCCTGTAGATAGTGGGACCCCTAGAACAGAAACATGGCACATTGGGCCATCTCATTATGTAATTCTCGGAAGGAAAAATAGGCTTGACTCGAAGGCGGCCAAGATAGAAACAGAAGAGTGAAAACATAAGGGCTGGAAAAAAAAAAGTTGACTCAACAGAGAGAACAAATCTGGAAAAGAAGTAAAAATGTCGAAGTGAAGGTCAAAGTAGAGTGAAGAGAGCCTGGTGAGTGACATTTATCATTTTAGTAACCATGTTGGATTAGACTCAGTGTCATGCAAACACAGCTGCATGCGTTAACCATGCTGGGAAAACAAGCTAATACAATGAGGATGCAGAGCCTTTGTTGGTGTGGAAAAAATGAAGCAATAAAACAAAACAGGAATATAGACTGGAAACTATTGACTGACAGTGAGGGTCAAAAAATTCATTTGACATACAGCACTGAAACGATCTCCAAAATGTTACCATCTACTGTTTTTTTAAATCTTGATAAAAAAAGTTAAAGGGATATTCTGGCATAAAATTGATTTAGGGTCAAACATACTGGAACACTGAGTTAGTCAACCTGTCGAGAGATGAACGTTTGCTTCTTTAGTTATACCAACTTTAGTAATGACCGCACGATAGCAATACACAGCGGTCTCTGGAGCCACACACTCAACCAAAAAGCCAATTTTTAGCCACACATAATGCTCAGAACAGCAACTAACTTCATCAACAGTACATAAAGGGTCCCAGCCATCGTACTAGCCACCAAACATCTTTTTAGCTTTGCCTGATTTCTCTAGCAAAGAGACTAAACACAACTCACCCACTCTCTTCTACCAGCCGCTTGTTTGTAGCGAGACCTTGGACGAGTTGATCACCGACTGCAGTGGGGTGACACAGCTCAAAGAAGAACATTTCTTCATGGAAATGCAATCAGACCGAGACGCTAAGGCAGAAGAACTACAGCGTCTGCAGCGCAAAATGATTAATATGGTGATTAATACTTCAAGGAAATGATAAAGTAATGATCATAAATGTTCTTCCTTGAGCTGCGAAACTCCGCTACACTCGGTGATGGACTGGTCCGAGGTCTCCGTACAAACAAGCGGCTGTTGGAAGAGAGTGGGTCGTTACTAAAGTTGGTATAACTAGAAAAGCAAGCGGTGGGCAACATTCATCCCTCGACGGGGTGTCTAATTTAGTGTTGCGATGTGTTTGACCATAACTTAATTTTACAACGGAATATCCCTTTAAGTGAAGACTTTTGATGCAGGACTCAATATGTCTCAAAAACCCTACACAAAAAAGTTTTTTAACAGCATCCAAAGGCAGGAAGTGACACATTAAACGTGAAAATACTACAATCGTATCATAGTACCACTGCTGAGAACTCATCAACAATTGGTTTCTGTTTACATCTACTGCCACCAAAGAAAATCTTTACCGTGTGAAGTCACATAACATTTAATCCTTCAGGGAGAAGCCGAATGACAAGAGGCGAACTGACCTTTACATTGAAATGTGAAGCCTGCGTTCAAACAGTGAGACTAAACAGGCGGAGTGGTGAATGAGAGTGTGCGCTGACTATACGGAGCAGCTGCTGCCGCTCTGCGGAGCCGTGAAGGAGCGAGAAGAGATGGAAGGAAGGAGGGAGGAATGGAGGAAGGGACGTAGGGAGGGCAGAGCTACAAGGCTGATGATGGATGAGAGGCTCTATAGGTAATGATGGCCTTTCAGGGGCTCTCAGCCAGAGAAAAAGACAGGCCACAGACCCCGCTGTGTGGAAACAGGTGAAGGGGGGAGGGGGGAGCAAAGATATTTGCTATCGATAAAATGCCAATGTAATTTTGTCAGGGGTAACAGAGAAGATTGGTGCCTCAAAGATCTCTAAGTGGTGGTAGTCAGGTACCTCAACTGCAATAATAATAGAGATTTAGAAACGGCTGGCCATGAGATATGTCTTTGGAGTCTCCCAGACCGTGAAACAGCACCGATTGATGAAAGTAAAGGGGCAGAGAAAAAAATCGAAGAGAAGAAGAGCGAATAAAACACAGGAGCAAGAGCAGAAGGAGATTCGCTGACCCGAGATTGATTGACAGATAGGTTTAAAAAGAAGATTGGAGAGAAAGGTCAAAATGTCTCTGTGGTTACCCCCGGGTTGTCTTTGGTTACCTGTGACCTGCGTCCTCGGTCCACGTAGGTGCAGATGGGGTTGTATGCACCGGTTCCGCAGACATACAGGTGGGTGCGGTTCCACGGTTCAATCAGTCGGATAAAGTTTCCACACTCCCCCTAAGAGAGAGAGAGAAAAATGGCAGCTGTTGATTATTTAAAGAAAATATAAGAAGAAAACTTTCAAAGTCAGTTTTTAATCAGTAGCTCAACATTATCTTACGAGATTTAATCTGTAATCTCAGGGCCTGATCTACTAAGACCCTAGATAGATGCCTGTGCAAACTTAAAAAATTGCATGTGCCATTAAGAAATGTCCTGCTTTCTGCTCCAAGGCTGCGTGCGCATACCTGCGATGACGTTGCACAGAAACCCGTCTATATAAACAGAAATTCTCTGTAAGCAGATGTCCACTTTAAGGAACATGTAAAAATGGGCATTTTGACATTGGATGCTGAAGAGTTTTTTTAAGGTCCTTTCTCACCAGAAGCGTTTTTTCATGTGATTGTTTCGGACGTCAATATTTTTTCTAACCCTTAGTCTGTCAATACAAGCGTTCACATCAGCGATGTTTTCCCATCCTGCGATATTGCAGCATTTATTTTTTCGTATCACGGTCGAATTTTGTAATGTTTCGCATACTGTGTGTCCACTTCTGACCAATCAGATTGCGTGTTGCGACGTCAGATCCACCGGTATATCCAACATGGCCGACTGGCTGATTGTTTACGTGTTCGAGAACAGAGTGATTTTTGATAAAAGACACAAATATTACAAAGATAACGACCTGAAGGACAACTTGTGGAGAGTCATAGCGTCGGATCTCTCATATGACGATGGTTTGTGTGCTTTAACAGTTTGCTAAACGTCTTTGTTTTCACTTTCATCTGTGCTAAGTAACTTTAGCTCGTAAGCTAACCTGTTCGGATACAACATACCATATGTATTTTCACTGTCTCAAACTCAATTGTGTTGCTCTCACAGCACCATTAGGTCTTGGTTGTTACCTTACGTTTATGGATTATAGTTTAATGTGCTTATCTGGCACTGGCCCCGACTCAGTACATGCGATCATGACAGACAGACATCTCAACACTAGTGTCTAATCAGAACTGAAAAACAGTCAGTCTGGCGTTGTGTCAGTCTTCTCGCTTCCATCCGAGACGTGACTTTTTTCCCTCCCGGAAAGTCGCAAAATAGTCAGACACGTCAAAATTCTCCTCCGAAAATTTCGTAATTTCACATCAGATATTTGCATCGAGTCCCGGCGTTTAACGACCTTAAGTCGGGCTAAAATGGACTTGAGGGACTGCAGTCTTCTGCATTTCCACACTCTAAATTTTTCAGCACAAAAGTTGCAGTTTGGTACTGCTACGACAAAATTCATGTTTTTCTAATTTCTTGTTTATTTTTATGTGTGTGAAACTAAAAAATGAAACTGAACTCAAACAAACCAAACAAGATTAAGGGCACAAGTTAAAAAGCAACTTCTGATAGCAGAAATCAAACCAGAGAAGGTTACACAACACAAAATACCCCACTGGTGGTTAATAGCCCCTCTTCTTGGCTTCAAACCATCACATCTATCATCTCCACTGTTGGCTGCCTTGTGTTTGGCAGCTCTGCTCTCTGGCTCTGAGTGTCAGTCTGGCCCTGGCTTCACATCAGACCACACTGTCAGAGAGAGAAATGTTTCCAAACACCATATAACTGTGTGGCAGAAACCAAGAAAAGCAGAGCCTCTGAATGGTGGAGTATGTTTTGTCTGCGGGGATTGAGGGTAAAACCAATTTAATGTTCTGTCAGATCTGACAACTGAAAAACATTCTGGTTAGACCAAAAAGGACTGCTAAGTGAAAATTTAGGTTTTTCAGAAACATAAGATTTAAAAATCCAATTAGGGTTTTTTAAGAGGAAGACACAAAGACATGCTTGCTGTTTGTGGACTTTCTGAACACTCAAAACAATGTGGTTTACTCAGGATTTTAATTCAAGGATATTGCAGACAAAGAGGCTCTGCTATTAAAAGGTCTCTCTGCTTTCGAGGTCTACAGCTCTCTAATCTTGATTTTTTTCTCTCTCTCTGGCCAGCTGTGTGCCTTCCTGCTCTCAATCCGACCAAATCAAAACTCCAGCGACCGAAATGTACAGTCTGATGATATCTGTTCAGATTTGTTTGGCTGCTGGTGACAGCTGGCAAAAAAGAAAGGATGTACCAAGCATAAAAAAAAAAAAGATTATATGCTGGATGAGGGGATGAGATATTCAGACGGTGTGACAGACACACACGTCAGAGGTTTGAGAGGATGTGCTTGTGTGTGTGTGAGCCTGTGTGTATTATTCAGCACATAGTTGTGTTCCCCCGCAGAGAGCACAGTGGGAATGATTGCCTCTGACCTCCCGCCTGAACCAACATCCCCTCTGAATTGCTTTCGAATTGTCTTCATCTGTCATTCCCAAAAGAGCGTCTCAGATCGCGCCAAGGTGTCCCAAAGCCAATTTTATTCCTTATTTAGTGATGAAATTTCAAACCCGGCTCAAACACACACATACATGCTCTACTATACCTGCACACGCTAAGATACAGAGGCCAATTCGATGTAGCCAGAGGCAGTGGGAGGTGCGGGTCACCAAACACACATAAATGAACATTCCAGTTGGATAAACAGCAACCGGCGCTTTCTACCAGCAGGGGAGATCGGGGTTATTAGCCCACTCCTCATCACCGCTCCTGCCTGTCCTCACCTCTTACACAGGAGAGATGAGCATGTATGTGTGTGTGTGTTTCAGGAGGAGGGGGGTCAGCATGTGTGAACCAAATCAAAAGAGAAGGTTTTTATATGAATTTCAATGATGAGTTTCCTGGTGGGCGGGCAGTGGCTGTGTTTGAATGTCTGAATCGTATTAACACTTCAGACAGGCCTGCAGCTTCAGTGACTAATTTATTTTCAGTGTCAGTCCAGACAACAAAGGATAAAAGATAATAATCATGCAAAGAGAAAATTAGATTATGCTAAAAACCAGAAATATCAATGACATGAGTCGGGTATGTGCATTGAATATGTTTTCAGCTCTCGCTAACGACGACTGAATGTTTTGCATGTTCCAGCTTCCTGCTGCCGCTTAATTGGTAGCAGCTGTACGCAATCAGCAATCAGGGATGCAGAGACAGTAAATAAGGGCTTCACAGCGAGAAGCATACTGGAAAGAATATGGACCCAAGAGGTAGATTCAGATCCAAAGTGATGCTAATAAGACACACAGCAAAAAACACACCCACACCGCTGAGATTCCCACGAGGATGGCTGCCAATAAACTAATCTCTGAATGTGCAGCAGGTCACAGAGGACAAGATGTTATTAAAAAGTGGTGAATTACTTATTATTTTTCCTTGCAGTGCTTGGTATTGATCACTGACTGTTTGATTTTAAGTTCTGCAAAAAATTAAAGAATTTCAGGGGTCGACAGAGGAAGATGTTTTTTTGGTTTGTTAAACTCTTATTTCAGACACAAAAAGTCTGCTTTGAAATAATTCAATATTTTTTATAGCATGTGATTAACAGTCAGTGCGATTACACGCGCAGCTTAATCGGACTAAGTTCATAAATTTTTTTTTTTTCGCCAAATCTGACTTATACCCTTGTCCAAGTATAAATGCAGCTGAGAAAATTGAATTATTAACGTGAACATGTCCTCCTCCCCAAAACTAGGGGGTGATATAGGTCTTTTCAGCGGTGATGTGTCTGGTTGACCCAACAACAACAGCAAGTCCGTGCCAGATGTCAGAAGTGTCTACAGCTGCTGCTGGGCATTTTCGAGCAAGAAGATGGAGCATCGTACAGCCTTGTTTTTGTCTTACATGATGTACGCGCTACTTTTTCTGCAGATGAGATGCACACGACTCCTCTTCTCTGTTTTTTTTGTTCCGGGGTTACGGAGGCGTGGCGCACGCGCACATGCATTTTCCTATCATACTGCAACTACGCTGGTTACATGGTGGAGAAAATCGAATTCTGATCGCATTATCTGGGTGTCTTAATCAGAGTTCCCCGACTTTAATCGGAGTTTGAAACTCCGATTGGAGTCGTACTAAGGTGTTAACATGCACTTCAGTTGTCAGATCTTAATCGGAGTGAGGCAATAATTCGTTTTTCTCATGTAAACGTACTGAGTGTCTCTGTTTCTATCATTTGATAATTTATTGGGACACACCATAGACTGTATACTATAGACAACTCGGTTCCGCCTTCAGCCAGTATACAGATTTGAAGCCGTAAAAGCTCTCTGTATTTCCGTGATTTTTCTTCATTTCCTGAAACCGACATTGCGCAGTAGCATTGTGTGCATTCGGCGCTAGAGTCGCTGTGATGACCCTCGGCTCAAACGGCGTAACCCCTGGGTGAGCTACGCAATTTTCGTACACCCATGGGTTGTATCAAGTGTCAATCATAGAAAACATGAACCCCCTAATAACTTTTAAAAATGGAGCTGTACAGAAAAAAGAGGACTTGAACACAAACCAGTCTTACAGTAACTACATGTCAACATCACAAGCAGGGGGGAGAAAAATTACTATTCTGTGTAATAAATTTCTAAAGTTTGTCCACAGCTCCATAGGGATTGCTGGAGGAGGCGGGATTTATGACCTATACTGCAGCCCATCAACAGAGGGTGCTGTTCTTGGAGTGGCCTCCCCCTAGCGAGGAGGCAGACGGCATCCATTCTATATACAGTTTATTGGACACACATGCACACATCATAAAAAGGTTACTATGGGTAATATTACAACTGTATGCCAAATAGCTAACGTGAATAAATCAGAGTTGAACATTTTTGTTTTGTTGCGTAGGATTCAATCGTTCCGGCTAGTTATAAATCATTGCATTACCCCATCATTCTACCTTCTGCTAAAAGCCGCCTTGAACCAAGAAAAATACTGTAAAAAAGAAGATTGATATCGTTTGCTTCCACAACAAATACGTGCTTTGGCAAGAGCCACATTTATGACTGTGTGATGATACTCAGGAGAAATGCAGTCGTCATCCTGGAAAAAATATCACCGCTTTTGTTAAAAGAGGTCACCAGAATCAGCACATCCTGAAAACTCTTTAAGCCCAAACAATGCTAGGGGTAAAACAGTGGAAGAAGTTACCCAAGCACCCTCTCGAATAATGAAAATGCTGCCATAAATACTCACATTAGTGTCTTTCCCCGACAGCACACATTCAGTCTTCCTCTGGGGGGCAACAGGCCAGTGGATCTGGCAGGAAGAGATCAAGAAGCTGGTTAGATACAAACGTGTGAGGAGCTCATCCAGGAGAAGTGTTTGTGACTCTTCTTACAATGAGCGGCTCCTTGTTGATGTCGTGCAGATCCAGAGAGAGGATGTAATCTTTGCTGCCGACGTACATGCGGTCGTGGTCCTCGTCCATGCGAAGGATCCGATAGTCGGTGGAGTTCAGGAGAAAGGAGAAGTGGTGAGCCGTGCCGGTGGACTTTAACTCTACAGAGGGACAAAGAGAGGAGAAATGAATGGCTGTCCTTCAGCTTTGCCTGTAAAACTGATATTCATATTTGTTTAAACTTGAAGACAGGTAGGTATTGGTCATTGAAGGCTTGGACTAGGGATGCACTGATCTGATATTTGGTATCAGAATCGGTCCCGATGCTGAAGAAAATTCTAGATCGGGTATCAGGATAAGAGGCCCGATGCATGGGGGCCAATCTATTCAGTCAAACTCTATGCCATGCACCACAAATAAACACACTGAGCAGTTGCCCAGATTGTTTTCAAAATGGAGCGAGCAAAAGGGCAAATTTCTATTTGCACTAAACCGTTGTAAAGAGCTGATTGCTCTTTATTTTGAATGTCTACCAACGAAGCAAGTGAAGGCACTGCTTATTTTTCTCATTTTGAGCTCATTCATTGTTTTATATTTATTTTATTTTATTTTACATTGGATTTTATATTTCTAATTGCACCGACTAACCCAGTTACAGTTGTAATTTGGTTTACGTTCAACCAAGATAGAGAAGGTATTGGTTTAAGATTGTTGAGTTGGTGCACCGTTTTTTAATAAATAAGCAATTCAGTACATTTATATCTATTTGTTTCTTTAAAATAAGAAAGAAATTTTTTTAAGTTAAGTGTGATGCATGAAAGAATGATCCCAGTGTTTTCCCACACAATGTGACAGAGCATTTGTTAGGTAATTCAGCACAGCTTTTCTGTATTGGACGATACTAAACCGTAAATATCTGTATCAGAGGTGAAAAAGCGGATCAGTGCATCCCTAGCTTGGACAAGTAATGACAAGCGGATGGTACGCTTAATTCACAACTGAGGCTGTTAGATCCTTCATTATGACATCCATTATGAGGTTTTATATAGGCTAAAATGATCCGGCTTGAGAACGGCCAAACGGAAAACAAAAAAATCCCCCAAAAGTCAGAACTGAATGGTAATGGTAAATACAGATTACTCCACGTATTCACACAAGTATCTAGAGCCTCATTTTCACCTGTAGGACTGCGGTTTTCTCTCTGCTTTATGAATTGAAATCAAGCTCTGAAGACGAGGTCAGCCCTCCTGATGATCTGTTTTTGTGAATTCTCAGTTTTGACTGCGGCGGTGAAGATACTCCCACGCTTACTGTCACATTATATCATTCAACACAGCAACACCCTTCCCTCTGTATATCCGTTAAACTATTTTGAAATAAAACTTCCCTCCGATGGCTCACATACTGCTTTGGGCAAATCACTGCACTGTGTGTGTGTCTGTGTGTGTACATATTACGTGTGTGTGTGTGAGTTTAAGTTACACTCAGGGCGTGAGGGGAGATAAGTGGAGATCTGGTGTACGGAAAGCAGCTTTTTCTCCCGGTCCTCTCATTACCTCCCAAGCTGTTAGAGAATCTGATAGGACGTCTCTCCCTTAGAATTACTTTCTTTCAAACTACGCTTGGGAAAGTGGAGCTTGAGAAAGCTGAGCCTGCACTTGTGCTTTTCCATTTGCAGAGAAAACTAGAGGACCAGATAGAGGACCTGTTCATGTTCCACTTCAGTGGGACCAGACAAACGCCTCCACTGTTCTCCTCAGCCAAGTCTGAGACCCAATGAAGATGGAGAAGACTCCCTTTAATGGCTTTTCTTCACAAGGAGGAAGCAGAATGTCTTTTTGCTTAAAAGATGTTCTCCACCTGCACAAGACATCTTAAAAATACTGACATGAATCCTCTTCCAGAAAGCTTCTCAGCTGCTGGCGGGCTGAGCTCCCTCAGGAACTGTGAAATGCTGCTGTCACGCTGCAGCATAATGCATGCAGTGGGCTGGATGAGGTAGTAAATAGGAGAAGACATGGCTGTCACCCATGTAATTCTCAGAATTTTCTTTTGAATGCATATGCTCTGAAACCAGTCCCCGGCCTCGTGGAATCATGGTACGCCGGCATGTTTGTGGATTTTCAATGGAACCGAATGGTGTTGCTAAAACTGTGGAGATGATTTTTTACAAAACTGAGGACTTAATATCGATAATTATCCAAACCTCACACATAATCACAAATAATCTTATAGTATAATCTTTAAAATATATGAAATAACATTTTAAAGTTAATTTTGACTATATAAAGACATTTAAAAGTGGAAAGATTTGGAGACTAGGGAGAGAGAGTGGTGAACAACATGTGGCAATAAACCGAGGGTTGAAATCACATCTAGGAAACCTGCTTTACAGACAATAACCTCCATGCATATTTTGTGCAATCAACCCTTTAAATCAAACTAAAACCCTGTGCTGGACATGAGTTTTAAAATAATTTTACAATCCATAAGATCTGACATGAAACCTCACTGAACCCTCTTTTGCAGCAAAGCCTCATCAGTGTATTCTAACTCAGTAGTTACCATTTTCAGTGGCTGTCTCTGTCATTGACAGTCTGTCGTTTTCGTGCAAAATTCATTTTTTTGCAGTAAAACCATAATGTGCATGCAATATTAATGTTTGTTAAAGCTCCTGTATGAAATTATCAGTTTAGGTCAAATTAGGCACCCCATGTGGACAAAGCAGTGTTTCTATATTTTACCCTGTATAACCTTCAGCTGTGTCTTTGACAAATAATCTCATCCTGATGACTTAAGATGGTCAAATATACCGTTCACTGTGAATCTTTTATGTGAAAATGGTAAAAACAGGGCTTTTTTTCTGCTGCTTGGCTGACAGCCATGGACGAAATTTTAATTTGACATGTGACTTGAAAACTGTTCAAACATATAGCCTAGCAAACAGCACATCTCGCACACACAGTAACAGAAGAGGCAATACGGCCAGCAGGTGGATGAAGTACAAACCTGATACAGGGATGAAAATGAAACCTCTGATGAATGTGACATTAAGGAGGGAAAATTAATGCCGCCCTCCTGTAAACATACATCGACAAATAGCGATGTTCACGGACTGACGCTTAGAAACAACTTGCAAAACACTAGTCCAGTGGGCATGGAATGACTGACAGCAGTGATAGCCAATCACACACATAAAGCGGCCCTGCGGCAGAGCCAATCAAGGACCTTGTGGGCAGTCCAAACCAAGGGAAACCAGTCTTCGGCTTGAGCGGCCGTTTGGTCAGAGTGCCTGACGTCTATCTGTTTGCCATAACGTAAAGTAACATTGTTTTCAGATGGTTAAAACTGCAGAGGACCAAAACAGGCTTTTGAAAAAGGGACACAGAGGACATGCCCCCCCACAAATTACGTCCGTGTTTACAGCTACCTCTTGCACCAGTTTCCAGTGTTTAAAATTACGATATACAACTCATCAATCTTGCTCCTGATGGTCTTGTTTGTTTTTTAGTGTCACAAAAAAGCATCAATATGAATGATAGTCAGTGTCAAAAACATAAACACTCCTAATGGTAGCTTTAGTCCTATCTGACTGCTGTAACCTCTAAACTTAAGAAGCTGATGCAGCAGCATTAAGTTGCTGATATATTACATCACAAAGTCATTTTCTTGTGTTACTACTGAGCCACAATCTGAGGTTTTAATTGTGGTAAACACTGATTGTAATCAACCATCAAATCACTCATATCAGACTACAATTATATAATAATTTCTGACAGCGGAGTATGGTTTTAAATGTTGCAGGGCCTCACCATGGAGGCTTTGCCATCTTTGTTCTGACCCTACCCCTCAGCCTCCAATCAGAGCACATGAATAAGAACAGCAAACTGGGACAAGAGCAGGTGTTGACAGCGTCATGATGATGAATTATAGGCACACTTGAGCTCCTATGTTAAGCATCCATGCTCTTTTAAAAACAGAACACAGTAACATTACTTTCTCCATTCTTTCTCCATAAACAACCCGACTCTTTTTCTATCCTTGTCTTCTTGCCAACCACGCGCTCCTGCAGGCCCAGCAGCCCAGCGATACCGGAGCTTCAGGGACACCAGACGTCACCAGCTGACATCCCACATTTATCACCCCTGCACTCAGATTCACACTCAGACATGTCTGAATGGAAGCCTGCAGGTGGTGACTGGCTGTCACAAGTATGCCAGCGGTTACAGATCTACAGACAAGACAGGCAGACAGACAGATAACCTCCTATGACACAAATTACATTCATCATGACACATTATCCGTTTACAGTGACTGACTTTAGGAGTCAAACTGTCTATGATTTTGCTCCCCCTCTCCTCGTCTCTGTTATTTGGACCAATAGATCAATATCTATCACTGCAGAGCAGACCCAATTTAATCTGTGATGACAATACCCTGAATGACCAGAATGACAGATTAACATGAATGTCAAAAACCACGAATGCAGATCCAGGGGTAGCATGGCCCACCCCCTCAAAATAAGCAGTGGCCACCCTGGGTGCTTTTTGTCTGGGTTGAACAAACGGGGGTAAGTGGTAGCATGAAGTGTGTTGTTTCTGTCTCATCACAAACACCTTTTTTTTTTTTTAAATTCAACAATATTTTTATTATTTTTATACAGATTATACAAATGAGACACATCACAAACACCTCCTTTCCTTCAAAACCCCGTCTACTGCTGGACATTCCTATTACCGTGCTTAAATAACAAATCCTGGAACTATAACAGAAATACTAATAAATAAATTAATTAATTAATTAAAAAAATACAAGTAAGTGCTGGAATTCGGGTTTTGTAGATCTTGAAATACACAAGATGTTGAGGGATAAAGAGTAAAAAGAGAATAAGTTAAATTAACTACTGTACGTTAAGAAAAATATGAACGAAGTAGCTGAAAACATAAACGCCTTTTTATTATCATTAAAATGTTTTAATCCTGAGTGTATTGAAAACTTAAAGGATAAATACAATAAACTGAGTCTTAAATGAATCTTCAGGCACTCAAAGATTTATGCCCAAAGTCATGAGTAAAAGTAGAGTAAGAAAATGTAACACATTCAAATTTAAGGAAAACCTCAAACAGTCTGTCCCTGTATAGCCTAAATAGTTGATTCTATCATAAATCCTGTCTCTGATGAGGCGGGATATCCAAACAGTTTTAGGGTGGTCACTGGAGCAGCCACTGCTGGCCCCCTTGTGGTTACGCCCAAACCCCAGAACTTTGACCAGCTTTTTGTTTTGTCAAACAGGACTCATGTTGGAACCTAATGTGCTGCTGGTGGTTTTGTTTATATTATGATGCTGCACTTTGTTCTCAGCACTTTTAATTGTGTCGTCAGAGTCTTCAAAGAATTAAGATTTAAATGTTGCTGGGATAAGAGATTTATTTTAATATTAGTGGTCCAAATTGATATCATGAGTGGTAAAAATTTATGTATATGCAATGAAACACTACATGCCACCCCACATGTGTCTGTGCCCAATCTGAGCAACCTTGGTAAACAAAAGTCTGAATCTGCCCCTGAATAGCCAGCAGGAAGTGAGGGTGGATCAAACTTCCCCCTCAAAGCAAGTGTAACAAAAAAACAGGGCTTAAAAAACAGGATACAAGTTTCTGAATAATGTTAAATAAACACTATAAAACAATTTTATAAAACAGTTAGCGTCTGGTTTAAGAAGAAAGTCATTGCAGAAAAGCGTACAAATTTAATATTCAATCATCTCTAAAAGTGGATATCTGGAAACTTGAATCATTCAGCAATCATATAAAAATCCATCATTTTTGCAGCATTGGGGGACCCCTGACACTTGAAATGAAATATATGTTTGGCTGCGTTTGTTGAAAGTGATTTGAAAGAGAAAGAAAACTGCTCTTGGAGGTCTGCATATCTGCAGTCACTAATTGTATTGTACTTGTAATCTAAGAAGACAGGCCTGGGGGCCGTCAGGGGGTGATACATGTGTATAAATGCTTAGCCTCATCATAACCCTGCACTTAAAGAACACATAAGCGCATTGTAGGAGATCATAATTTATGAGACATAATGGATGGAATTATGAATTTACAAGGATCGCTTGTCATTTACGAGAATTACTTTACATTGATGGATGACGGGACTCCTTCCAGAGCACATTTAAAACTTCTAAAAGACTGAATGTCACTTTAGATAAAAAAGAAAGACCATCAAAGTCAAACTCTCTTCATTTTGCCGTTTTCTACGTGTAAATGAAGAGCCGATCTTTCACTCAGGAGGAATATTACCTCTTTGCGAGTTGAAACACATTTATGTGGACATAATGCCTGTGGCGTGCTGAGATAAGGAGTAAGGTATGATAACAGTTCACCTCAAAGCCTTCGCACTCCCTATTGTCAGCACAAATTCATCAGAGACATTCCTGTGTGTTACAGCTCAGCTGAAATTACCCTCACCTCTGAAGCCAAGAAAACAGTTACAAAGAAAAACACAGATAGGAGCCTTGACATTTTCTCAAATGCTTCAATTTACAACCAGCTGGTGATTTCAGTAATCGTGGGGTACAAGTGTGTGACTAAAGAGACCGCAAGACCTGGTGTGTATCAGCCAGTCCTCAAGCAAGGTCTTTGTGATAATCACGACCAGAGACTCAGGCCGAGAGGACAAAATGATCTTTTCTTTTGTGAATGCATCCTCAGTTCATGGAGGATCATTTTGTTAGATAAAACTCAATCTGTTGCACTGATTGGTACGAGACATCTGGTGGTAAACTGAGCCAGTGGCCTGTCCACCTGTTGATGTGATCTCTTTGCACTGCGGTCTCTCTGCCCTATTCTGTCGCGAAGGTATGTGAGCCCTCATGCAGAGCCTGTGTGGTTCTCCAGGGTCATCCTCAAAGCGACATAAGGGACCTCTGTCTTGTATTTGTAAGGGGATGACGAAAGACGCAGCTTTCAGACACCGCTGCCACTTCTTTTCAAGTGACTATCAGCCTTACACATCTCCCCCTACTTCCCATCAATGTGTATGTGTTTATGTGTGTGTTTTGGGTGAGAGAGAAGGGGGAGTCAAAGGAAGCAGGCAGCAGAAAATCCCACATACCTGCCCAGGCATCCCCGGCATGTTGTCTGAGTTCCCTGATCTGCTCTTGCTCAGGTTTTTATAAAGTAGAGGTGTGGTCACACTTTGCTTCAGCTTGTCTGCAGTGAGGCATGACTTTGTGGATTTTATTCAAATGACTAATGATCAATGACAGACCTCCAAAGCTTACATATCAGACCTCTTCTTAACAGAGCAAACCAGAATGATAAACTTTTGTGATGTTGTTAAACCACTGCAAATGCAAGAACAGGGTTGTATGGTTGTGTCGGTTTGGTTTGTGATTAATGATTTTGGTTTATTTCAAGTCCTCCATGCTCCAGATCTGGTTTCATTTCCCCATGATAGTATATGGTCCAGATTAAAATTATTAAGACTTAGTTTAATATTCAAACAATTCTTTTATCAGGTCAGGATTTAGGTTAAAACATCAATATTCCTCTGTACATTCAGCACAGGCAGTGAGTAAAGTGGGTTGGTGCACTTTAACGTACAGCACCCATGTTTCATAATTTAATCTCTAAGTGTAATGGGACTTTTTTTTTAGCAAACCAGGATTATTTACCACCTGCAAACACCCTATTTTCTACTTATAACAGTTTCTCTCAGATAATTGTCATAGCTCCTAAAATATAATACTTATGGTGCACTTTGTTTTTCTTTGGGGAGGTGGTGCTCACTTGATTTAGCCAGAGAGTAATCTAGTGTTACTCAAAAGTAACCAGAACTACTTTATTTAGTTTATATGGCCTTATGGACAGTCAGATTGGTACAAAAGAGAATTATGGCCACATGAAGAGAAAAGAAATAATTACAGGAAGGAGATTAAAGTCGAAATTTAGAGATTAAAAAATTAAATTTCGAGATTAAAGATGAAATTTTGACTTTATCCATGTAATTTCGATTTTGTAATCTCAAAATTTCGACTTTAATCCCGAAATTCTGATTTTTTTCATTTAGACTTTATTATATCCCCCCCTGTAATAGTTTTTTTCTCTTCTTGTGGCCCTAATCCTCTTTTGTAGATAGGAGTATGGACTTTTCAATAAATGTACATTTCTTAAATCAAATACAGGGACAGTCATCTTTCCTGAATTTAGGAAAACTTACTTTTAAACTCGCCAATTAACTTTGTGTCTAGTCTTTGTTTCAACAGTAAACAAACAGATAAAAAAAAATTAAAGATGAAGTGTGCCTCTGGAATAAGACAAGTAGCCCTCCCTGCTCCCTTATTAAACTAAACTGGGCTCATAGCTTCTGGACTCCAGAACTAAACTTAACATGAAAGAAGTGAATTCATCTTTTCATGAAGTCTTGGCAAAAAGTGAATAATCATGCTCACAAAATCACTTTATTACAATCACAAGCTTTCCCATGACAGCGTCCAAGAAGTCGCCTAAAGGTAGCAGGAGGAAAAAAAAAACACTCTTTTTTTTTTTTCTCCCATTCAGTAATCATATGAGTCATAGTTAGTCAGACAGTGATAAACCTTTTTGGGTGTTTAGGTTTTAGGATTGTGTCATTTAAAGCTCCTGTGAGGAGTGTTTTAAAGTTTATGAAATGACCTGAAATTATTAATGATGCCTCGGTTTGACCTGGAAAAGCAAATATGGCTGCCGCTGTAAAGCTCAATTTTATCTGTGACACGGTATTTAGTGAACAAGACTGCAGCCGCGAGGCAGGTGTCAGGCAAAGTGATTTACAGTTTGGCTGCAGAAAGAGCCCCTGTTTGTATTTTCCATAGCAAAGATTCATAAAGAGTGATAAATTTAACTGTCAAAACAAAGTGCTGGAGGTATATTTGTTCAAGAACATGACTTTGACCACAAGCTTTGAGCACAGGGGGCACCAAACACAATACATAAGAAAATTACACACAGGAGCTTTAAAAGTAAAGTCAAGGTTTTATAGTGCGACTATGTCTCTTGCAAATCTCAAGTGTGTACTGAGCGTCTGAGGTGACTGTGTCTTCAGTTGTTTATGCTCAGGACAGAGAGGTCATTGCAGATATCAGAGCTGAACAGCAGCGGGAGGCCTTATCAGCTGAACCTGTCGTGGATTTGTGTTTGCCTACGTTCACCACCTCATAATCAGTCTCTCAGCACCCACAGGGGGCGAGGACTATTGACTCAGACACATGTAACCGGAGCTGATTGCTGCTTACCTGCGCCTGTCAAGGACAAATAATTGGCTTCAGATTATGTCTTATCTCCGAGCTTCCGGATACTGTCACTCAACTGCTCTTCATGCTTTTCTGCCACTGAATCACTTTGTGTGTATGAGTGTGAGTGTGTGTGTGTGTGCACGTAAAGATAGAAGCAGAGCCTTCTGATCCTCAGATCAAATCAGAGACACCTGTCTCCAGCAGCACAAATCAGAGCAGAGAAAGATTGATTTAAGTAGCGAGTTCACTTGCTGAGTGGAAACGAGAGATTATAACAAATCTATTTCTGATGTTTCGGATGACAGGAAAGGTTAATTAAAGCACGAGGGACTAAAAAGGTATCTGTGGTTCAACGGATAGGATAGGAAAGGTCATGTAGTTTCTTTAATTCACTGTCTTTGACCTGCAGTCTTCATGAAATTCACATTGGACTGTATATGTAGTCCAAGAAGGGGATACAACATATATAAATTCATGTACATGATATACTTGCTTGTGCAACACTTGTGATATCCTTCATAGCTCAACTCCTACATCTATTTTACCGTATTAAGGATTTTAAATTACTACAATATACAACAAGTCTAGTCATTTGTGCCCATGGTTGCTACATAGACCCAAGAAAACAGAGCAGCATGATCACCAAAGCCCGTCTCATATGAATGCAACACTGGATTTCCCTCAACACACATGGCCACATACAGCTGTCCTTGGTAGGCCTGTAGGGCCACAGGTGAAAGGTCAAAGGACAAGAGGGGTCTGAGGTGAAAGCCCATCGTGGCCTCCTTACACACTTTCAGCATAATCAGGATTATCTGTGCGGGGGTCATGCAGGGTGCCTGCTCTGAGCAGGGTCAGGACAGAGCAGGGTGGTCATGATGATACTGGGTGGGATGGTAGAACAAGAAAAAGAGAGTGGGGTGGTTTTATAACTCACATCCGAACGGTGATGGCAGACCAAACATGAACGTCTGAAAATTTGTCTCCCTTTATGTGTATTGTAGATGGGTTTCTTTCATCCCAGATTTGGCCATATTTTTTGAAATTTTATGCCCCATTATGACAAAATCACACCTTGACAGCAAACAATGGCATACTGTTCAGTAAATACACATTGGATTGTAAAGACTTTTGACTTTGAGACTATCACAGACCCGGATGAAGAGGGTGGGCATCTTTTGGCGTTTTTAGGCACTCAAAGACACATTTGGCCTGCCAACACTGCAAAAATCCTGAAAATGACAAGAGCACTGACTGAGAGTGAGCACCTACTGGGGCTACTTGGTAATGGCAATAAGTATCTGCATTAAATAACATATTTCCAAATATTGGGAGCTTTTTCAAGGCTGTAAGTCTGCACTAGAGTAATTTGGTTGGAGCTGCAGTAATTAAAAATAATGAAATGAATTTTTACTTTTAAAGCTCCTATGAGAAGTTTTTGTACTTTATAGAAAAAGGATTTCATAATTATGACTTTTTATGACATCCAAAAGCAAATAAGACGATCAGTGACACAATGAAATGTTTTTTTATTCCATTTTTTTTCCTAAAACTTTTGTGAGGTGTAGTTGTCAGCCTTGAAGATGTTGAAACAGCCCTGTATCTGCAATTTATATATAAAATATTCACAACACATGATACGTTTGACTGCCATAAGCCAGCATGATGAGATTTTTTTTGTCAAAAACTGCAATTCAAGCATGTAGAGGACAAGATAAGCAAAAACTGCTCTGTCCAAAATGAACTCTGACCAAAAGCTCAGAGGCGCTTTAAGTGTACTTTCATATTTGGCAGAAAAATAAAACCAGAACTGCAAAGACAAATGACAAATCTTTGTTCATGCTAAGCCCTGACTTTAAGGAAATCAATCTAAATCTCATCCTCTGCAAACACTAATCTCTTGGTTTTGGAAAAACAGGAAAAACACTGGTTGGGTTTTTACTTCAATTACAAAATGCTCTATTCTAAGTGGTGACTGCGGGCTTGTGGTTGGCTATTGTATGCACAAGGGTTCGTGTGTGTGTGTGAGTGTGTGTGTGTGTGTGTAGGATTGGGGTCGTGCAGATGCTGTGAGCTGCTGTAATGATGATGAAGCTGTGTTTGTTGTTGTAGCTGTGCTGTCGTTGGCAGAGAGCTGGTCGGGCGGCGGCGTTGGTCAGCGGTGACAACACAGGCCAGAAGGATTATAGAACAGGGCTGAATAATGAGACAGGGCGAGTGTGAATGAGTGAAAAATCCTCCTCTCCCTCGCTGACCTCTGACCCCACACTCAGAACAAATACTCTCCCTCTCTGTCAGCTGAACACACACAGATGCACAATGCTTTCTCGAGAGAGTCTGTTCATTCCTGCTTATGGATTTCACTTAATCCTCAATTCAATTGGTGGCGTTAAAATTTGAATAATTCCTGAGCCAAGATTTTTGATAAATCAGTTCGTTTCCAGCTGATTTTAACCAGAACTGAGCAAAAGGTAATTTTAAGATCGCCTCGCGCTCCTTTGAATATCAAGGTCATGGCCAGTGTGTTGCTAGCTGGGGGCAATAAGAGGGGGGTAATTAGGAGGTAAATTTGGAGAGACCATTAGCAGCAAGTGTTGACTCACAGTCCACTGGGGACAACAGCCACCTCTACCCTCTCTGGGTGGTTCCCCTCTCCAGTCCCGCACAGAGAATCCAACATATTCCCTGCGGTCATTTTTCACCCACAACAGCAAATGGTGTGGTAGAGGAGTGAGAACGAGGGGGAGGAGTCCCGAGGGGAGAGGAGCCTGACAAAGAACCGAAGAACTTCAATTTATCAAAACAGGCAGGAGAGAGCCATGGAAACTCTGAGTCGAACTCTGACAGAGCGCTTCTGCACAGCCAAAACAGAGACACTGAGATTGCCTCCGCTGCAGAAACACAACTTATAAAATGCTCTCAGAGGCACTACAATGTGTATTCTAATCATGACTTGGGTGGAGGACAGAACTCTCTGACTGTGTGCCCAGACGCATAAAAAACACACTGACAGACATCATAGCTGCTGGCCAAGGTAGAGTACAGGAGTGAGGAGAGAAGTTTTCAAAAGTCATGTTCAACTCTGGAAAAGATCAAGATGGAAGTGGCAATGAAAAGGACGAATTTGCTACTCGATAGCTACCATTATACAAAGAACCATATTCTCATGAAAACAGAGCAACTATCCACTTTAAAATGCTATATGTAGAACTTTTGCCACATGTTTGGGTCAGAAAATCAGAATAAAACGCAGGAAGAAATCTCTGTTGGCTTTCAGAGTGCATCTAAAAAAGTGAGATGCACACAGTGGTGTGTTCTGGGTGGGATTAAACTGTTGAGATAAATCCTTCTGGCATCAAGTGTAACCAATGATTGGACAGAACTGTTGTTATCTCAATGCCGTTTAAATGAGCCGTTTTTGAGACCATGGAAATGTCCCCATTTAGATTTTGGCCGAGTGGTAGAGGTGCTGTTGCATTTCCGGGACATGCTGATCAGACTGTCCAACCCGAAAATGCCCCAAAAACAGTCATGGGAAACAGGACTCTGGTCTGACTAAACTCCAGAAAGGAAAATAGTAATCTAAGAATCGTTTAAGTCAAAAAGTCTGCTTTTAGAAGCAAATAATCCCAGTTAAGGCTCTGAGTAATAATGTTTTATCAAAAATTCGTATTTACCGTATTTTTCGCACTATAAGGCGCACTTAAAATCCTTTTAGCTTGTCGGAGCACTGCAGCTACTGTAGCCTCGCAGAGTTATTGAATGAGTTCAATAAAGTTTGACTTATCTGACTGTTTTGTTTGGCTTAATGCGCTTTATAATCCGGTGCGCCTTATGTATGAAAATAGACGCGAATAGACGCATTCATTGATGGTGCGCCTTATAATCAGGTGCACCTTATAGTGCGCAAAATATGGTACTTTAAAGACGCCACATTGACATGTTATGAAAACAGCCTGAATAACTTCGAATTAGTTGGGGTGTCACCTGAGGTGGGCAAACAGACTTCAGATGGGGCCCTGGCCACCCTGGCCACTTCCCTGAATCCGCCCCTGCCACATCCAACAATAATACCAGCGTCCATCAACTCATAGTGCACACCATTAAGGGATCTCATGGACACAAACATGAGTCCACTGAGACAGCTACAATTGGCACAACAGCTTGTGTTTCACCTGTCATTACCGCCGATGAATAGATTTAACAAACCGCTTACGGCTCGTGCAACAAAGGGTCCTTGTATGGATGTTCACTTGTTTGTCAAATAACAGTTTTGAAGTCACATTGTCCTATTTTAATGCACAGACAATGTTTCACCCATGATTTCATGATCACGCAGTAAAGTTCAGAGGCAGATCTTCCATAACAGTAATCTGTGAGCTACTAATGTGGCAGTTTTTCAAAGTAAAACAGACTTCAGTCTGCAGCCCAGTTCCTATAATTCACTGAAAATCAACAGAGCTCTGTAACGTGTTCAAACAAAGTTTTATATCATGTCAATACAAATAAAGATGAAACGATGAGAATTTTTATGGTCCCAATGAGAATACAGTTGAGGAGACTTAAGTAAAACAAAACTTAATTGTGCTTCTCTGTGCAAGGGTTCAATCCTCCAAACACAACCGAGAATGAAAACAATACTGACATGCAACTGCAATGGAAGCCAAAGCTCTCTTATATTCAACAGACCGAAACATTTTCAGTCTTTTAGTCATCTCTACCAACCATCTACTGTGAGGATTTCACAGAAGGCGATGGCCAAAGTCAGATAATCAAAAAGCCGCTTCCCATATTAAAAAAAATAATACTGAATAATCTCTCAGTGAGGAGTGATGAGGAAACAAACATCTTAACATCATTTATCACTTTCCTATCCTGCATCAGCCTCCTTAGATTGTTTGAGAATTTCCACCAGCCTTGCACATCATCCAGAACATTGTATGGATTTTTGTCAGAGATGTTATCGCGCAAGACGCTCCAAAAATATTGCGTCCCGGTCTATCTTAAATCTTCCTCTCCATGCCTGCTTAATGCGGTGTTGATCTAACACCTAGCTTCCTCTGACACCTTTCCTTTTCCTTAGCTTGTCTGATCCTGCCAGCATGCACTAGCCCCTGTCTGCATACCAAACCTTTGAGATAACGCTCGCTCTTTTCGTTATAATCCAGCGTACTGCAGGTGGTAGAAGGGAGGAGGCGATGGAGGAAATGTGTGCGTGATGAAAGCAGCGATGATGTGTTTCTCTATGAATTTCAAGCTTGGGCTTCACTTAATAAAAATATTGAAGTCAAGCATGAAGAAAAACTTAAACATGTCCGATTATGAGACGTGCCAAATGAGATTGAACGGTTACGCTCTAATACAAATGTTAAGCAAGCCGAGATCAAATTCCTCTAAAGTTGACTTTGTAGTAATGAAATTTCATCGGCTGGGATGTGCAGAGTGGCACAGGAGTTGAGAGCTTGTAACAAGATAGCATATTTGAACAGGATTGCTTATTTTACATCAGAGATTGAGAACCTCTTCAGTGGAAAAGCAGCTCAAACACTCTCCTATATCTTTCGAGTTGGGAGAACTCGTATCTGTGTGTAATGCTGCACATTTATCAGGATATAACTTGTATGTTCTTTGTTTATTGAGCATGAAATGATTTGGTCACATAAACACGACCTCAGTGCTCCCTAAATGGCTAGCTGGGGAATCTTGTCGAGCTGTGAGGCCACCATCCTCCGAGGAGTTATCATGATATGAATCCCCCAATGGGTGAGTGCCAAAAGCCCATCTGCCTCTGCACGCCTGCCATAATACCGCTCGCCCTGCTGCTGCACACATCCACTTGACCCCACATTGCTGTTGAACAAAAGCAAGGTCACCCCCGACCAGGTACGTGTCAGAGCAAGTCCTGGGTGGAGTCTGGTGCACTAATGCCATATGACAGGCAGGGGACAACCGGATAATGCTCCACAATTAGGCGGGTGGTTGTTTAGCTGCACGGCATGGTCCTCAGATGGGGTTTTGAAGTTCATGCCTGCAGAGAGGACCTGCTTATCTGTCTGACAGGCTTTGTGTTCAATTAATAGGGAGTAGGAGTTTTGCTACAAAGATCGAGATAGGCATGCATAACCATGAGATATCAATGTCCTCCTTAAACCAGCCGAAATTACCTCCAAGCTGAAATGAATCAACAACAATGTCTCCTTCAGTGTACTGTAACATTTCTCATTCTTGGGGCTGTAAACCTTCGATCCAGTCAAGATGTTTGGTGAGGACTGACAACACAGGGCTGCTGTCTGGTCCAACACTTTAACCAAGATTAGAGCATCTCATCAATTATTCAATAGGACGACACAAAAGATTCATAACTCCCCAAGGTTGACGAACAAATAATGGAGAATATTTGACTTTTTTTACTTTTAGGTTTCTGTTCTTTCTGGGGAAATTCCCAAGCAAGTTTATTCACACATTGTCCCTGAATTGTCCCTGAATTAGAATAGCACAACTTACACAACCTGTTATTTTTTCCTCTTGCACAATTGTTGTCAATATCCATTAAGCCGTCTTAAACTCATACAGTAATTCAGAGTAAATTGGATGAATGTCTCATTCTCATTGAACGAAATCAAAATTATTTTTATTTTCAGGTGATTATGCAATAATTTAAAGCTTCTGTGAGGGACTTTTGAACTGTGTACCGTATTTTCAGGACTATAAGTCGCTCCGGAGTTTAAGTCGCACCAGCCAAAAAATGCATAATGAAGAAGAAAAAACATATACCGGCATAAATTGCATTTTTTGGGGGAAATTTATTTTACAAAATCCAAGACCAAGAACAAACATTTCATCTTGAAAGGCAAGTTATAATAATAACAATAGAATAGAGAACAACAGGCTGAACAGGTGTACGGTATGCTAATGTAACAAGTTGATGGTTATTCAGCTACATGAAGCAGAAACAATGAACTCAATAGGTGTCTGGTATGCTAACGTAACATATTAATAGTTATTCAGATAACTATAGTATAAAAAACATTACAAATCAAGTTTACCAAACTCTCGATCTCACTCCAAATCACTAAATCTAGTGAATTCTTCATCCTCTATGTCACTTCTGAACAACTCCGACAACTCCAGAGGTGGACGAAACGTCGCTTCCTCTTCTGCGTGACTGTCATCAGACTATATGTGAAATTATACATTTTAATATATATATAAGTTGCACCTGAGTATGAAACTATGAAAAAAGTACGACTTATAGTCCGGGAAATATGGTAATTTTGTTGCCCCACATTGGACAAAGCGATAGCATATGCACATTAAAAAGTGTTTCATTCCAGTAACCTCGTCAATTTTGTCCCCTAAGGTCTTGTTTGGTTGACTGGTCTTATAGAGGCATCAGTGTTAATCCTAGTTTGTTTCAAGACCCTCAGTCTTGTTTCTCTCCACAGTGACACACCGTCTCGGCTGTTCCACTAAAAAGATATCCATTAAAACACCGATAACTGGTTTGTCCACAGTCACTGCAGGTCCAAGCTGACTGACATCACCATGAGTGTAAAAAGTCCGGATTTTTCAAAACAAACTCCTGAAAGAGAAGATCTTTCCTCGTAGATCAAACATCACATTCCTCTGGTAATCCATTCCATTAGTGGCCGACACTGCGCTCGAGACGCACAAGATCAATATGGCTTTGACCTCGGCGGATCATTCAGAAGGTAATTACACTCAGAGCACCAGCTCTGCCTTTACAGTCTCCTAAGCTCTCCAACCACAAGCTTGGTTAGAAAAATAAATAACCGGCAGCACTGTCTGTTGATTTTTGAGTATATTCTCAAACAAGAAAACATAGATTTTCCCAGGCATGTTATAACAGGTAACTCCTGAGCTGTTATTACTGGGGAGCTGCCCAGGAACAATATTATGTTTTCTTCTCATAGCCTTGGAGTAAAGAGCTTGGACAACGCTCATGAGAGGTTAATCGTCGCTATTGCACTTTCTTCTACGCCAATTCCACTCACACCAACTATCATCTATCACTGAATCCTTAGATAAACAAGCTTCTTTATGTTTTAGTCTCTTGTGTGCACAAAGTCTAGTATTCCTCTTACTGGCCTGAGAAGTAGAAAAGTCTAGCATGTCAGAATGAAGAGGCGAATTTATATTCGTACCAGAGGAGAGCTTCCCGCTGCTTCTTTTCATCACAACCATTTTTGTGACTTGGTGGCCGTTTTTATTTCGGTACATTTACAAGCATGGCAAGGGCCAAATATGGCCCTTAGAGCAGATCCAGCAACTGAATAAAACACAGTAGGAGGGTTCGGTGAAAGCTTCGGGAAGAAAAGGAAGCTGAGAGACCTACTGGTGAGAACAAGCCGACTGGATGCTGTGAGTGACAGAGTGTCCATGTTAACTTGTCCATTTGCTGCTTGTCTGTCTGTCTGTCTGTTTGGCATAAATGGTAGAGAAGTGGAGAAAAACAAAGTGGGGGATGATGACCGTCAGTCAAGGGCATTCATCTTTTTCAAAGTGGAAGAGTGGCTGTATGAAGGAGATGATGGTGGTGGGAATAGAGGGAGTTGGAGCTCTAAGTGGGGGAAGAGATGGCAGAAAGGAATGTAGACAGAAGGAGTGTTACAGAACATTGTTATGGAAATGGTTGGCTTTGGGAACATTTTTTAAACTGTACTGACTGCAAAAAAGAAAGAATATGTGGTTTTCAGGGCTTTTGAAAGATGCTAAATAATATTTCCAATGTTTTTTTCTTCATTTGTATCTCTATCATCTTGCGCTTCCTCGTCTTGTTCGCATGTCACGGTTATCTGTGAAGAGGATAGTTTGACAAGGTGATAGTTGAGCGTATCAGAGGTGTGAAGGGAGGCGTACATGACATAGAAAAGCAAACAGGTGAGGCGTGGATGTAATGTATAGTCTCATATGGCAGCCAGAGTGAAGTTATCTAGATTTTATCAGGTAGGAAAACAGAATAAAAGTAATACTTAATGACCCACTAAAGTCAGACTTAAGATTTATCACTTCGGCTGTGGTATTTTACAAGTGATTTGTAGTACGCTTCTGAAACTGCCTCTTTTTTTTAAGATTTTCATGCCAAATATTCACGATAAGATGCATATCTAAAACTGAGAACGACAAGATTTTTTTTTACATCTACTTACATGTACAAAGAAAGAGAAGCAAAGACTTACACTCAGTCCAGAGGGGCTGCCAAAAGCAAAATAACCCAAAAGTTCCTTACAGGAGCTTTAAGCTTTTCAACAAATTAAGTTCAAGCACTAAATTCAGTTTGAGACCAGAGGAATGTTGCACACGAGGATCTCTCCCGGCGTGAATGGACTGCATTGCTTAAAAGTTTTAGGACTTCACAGAAAATAATTACAGACTGCAACAACCATTTACATTCCAATAGGTTAAAAAATGTGCCTCTGAAGCAAAAAAACGTCACTCAAGATGAAACATGTTGGCAGCCATTACGTCTTTAATGTATCATGTGAATTGTCTGGACCGCACTTTTTCATCCCGGCCTGCAATTAAAGCAAAGCTCACCAAGGTCAGGCTGAGTGACAGGCTGACAGACCTATAGATTACTGTCTGTCTGAGTAATCCACCACCTTTTTACTCCCCACGCTGACTGACAAACTCACCCCTCCCTCTTAAAGCAGCAGTGCCTGTTGGCTGGGCTGCTTTCATGTTTGACGGACAGATAGGACATCCTACCCCGTGACCCGAGGACCTTTTTCTCACCCGTGACTATAAGGGTCGCTGCCCAGAGTGCGGCAGCTAAAGGGCAGTAGAAGGAGGTTAGGGTTTGTATGTGATTCATACTAATAAGGAGAAGTTAAGCTAAAGTGAAGCTTCTCTGGGTTTTTTCTTGGGATGCATTAACCTTATAAATTTTCTTATACTTCCATATAATGTGGATATTTACTAATTTATTTTTACCAATAATACAGTTTATCAAAATAAAAAAAATGCTTTTATTTACTTACTTAAAAGCCTCTATCTTACAACACAGTAAGTGGCAGTGTTTTACAGTAAAACCACTGTGTCTATTTTTACAGTTTCAAGAGAGGTTACAATAATTACAACCTGCAAAATACATGTCAGAAGTATTCTGAGAGGACACAAGTTTTTGAAGTCCATGAAAAGTCTGATGTTAAGTCTTTATAGCGACAAAGACGTGTTGAAGAAATACAAAGCAACATTCGTGGCTGCAGGCCAACAAAGCGGCGAGTGCTGCACTTCTGATTTAACGGGCATTTGAGAACTCCAGAAAGTTTTTCAGAGAGAACCTAAAAACTAAAGCGCATACTTACACAATTATATTTGATGACTCACTTGAAGTAGAAGGCCAAGGATTTCACCAGCTTATGACATCTGGGACAGTATCCTGAATAGCAGCTTTGCAGACATATCCCTGTCTGCCCTTTTTGACGTGATTTCTACACATATGTATATTTACAGTTTGACTGAAAACAGTACCAGTTTTACCACAGACATATTAAACTTCTGGTATAGTCCACTAAGGATTGTTTTTGTCAGTGGTTCAGTGGCTAAATAAAGACTCAAAGTTCATATGTGGACGTTTTTCGGCTGTATGAAATAGATTGAAATTCATACTGATGCATTTACATGACATCCAAGAGTAAACAGGATCATCTGTGACAAGACTGACCATTTTAATATTCTACTTTCTAATGCCTGAAACTGATGGGAATAGGGCTACAACGTACGACTGTTTTAATAGTCGACTAGTCACTGACTATTGAAATGATTATTCGACTAATCTGATAATTATGAATCTTTCTTAAATTCAACATGTGGTTGCAAAGGTTGAGGTTGAGTTTTTTGTCGCCTAATCTAGACCAAAACGCTCCCAAACTTTGGAGGTTTTTAGGTGCATACTCTTAGCTGCTGTATGGGACGCCAACGCCGCCATGTTTGAATACCCTACAGCTTGGCGGAGACGCAATTGCGCATGTGTGACTCTAGGCAGAGATCGTAATGAAGTAAGATGCCTCACTCCACTGGGAAAAACACATCTAACAACAATAGCCGACAATGGAATTTGTTGTCAACTTCTTTCATTATCAATTTTTGTGGACATCGACTAATCGTTGCTGCCCAAGAAGGGAAGGGTTGGGTGACAGCCAAGCTGCTGAAGATGCAGCCCTATTTTAACTATTTTCCACATAAGATATTAGCAGTAAATAATAAACTTTAATATCAAGAGTCAGCATGATAAGATTTTATGTCAAGATGAGCAAAAACTAAGATGTTCACCAAAATCTACACAAACCATAAGTTGCTTACAGGAGTTTAAAACATTGAATACAATAACATACAATACACAAATATAAATGATATATATTCTTTGTTTTATCATGGTAACAATCGTGATTTCTGCAAGAGTTGTTAAACACAGAACAGAAAACATTTACTCCTTTGCTTGCTAAATCCAGCTTTTCTCACCCTCAGGTGTGCAGAAAGTACATACTTCAAAATAAGAAAAATACTGGTAGTCTTATCAGTATCTGCCAACAGGAGCAGCTTATTATCAGTTACTGATACCAGCTCAAAAAACTCCCTATCATGTAATCTTAGCCCACAGGTGGATGTAAAATGAAATGAGTGACAGTGTGCTGCAGAAACATGCAAAACTAGTGAAAGAAATTATGCACCAGACCCCAAAGTTGCTCTTTAGAGCTCTAAACTGTACGGTTCAACTTTAATACTTTGCAGACAAATGGAGAAAAACAGGAGGGTTTTTGTTGTTGGGAAAAGAAAGTAAAAGATGCATAAATTGATATGAAAAGGTGAGACGTCTGCCCTATACAGTCAACATCGAGGCTTTTGTTCCACATTAAGCTGTAAAACCATACCACACTGGGCATGAAATGGACAAATTACCCTTACCCCCATTCAATAACACGCTTTCTTACCCAAATGCCAACAGCTAATCAGGAAGTGGCTGCAAATTCTCCAGCATGTTAGTGTTGGCGGTTGCGCTCGGTGAGATTTAGTTTGCACACAGACAGTGAGATAAGAAATGCTGAAATGACCTTTCCAGAAGTTAAACAGTCATGATGCAACACGTCCAAATCCATGGTGATAGTATTTCATTAGCAGTTTAATGATTTGCTGCTCTTTGGCTTTGGGCTCACATTTGTACTGGAGCTTGACATCTTATATACGAACTTCCAGGTGAGGGACACTCAGGCTTTTCTGAATTAGGTAGAAGGACCTGTTTTGATTTAGCAGACAGATAGAGAGAGTCTGAGAGGAAGTGAAGATTCTTATCAGTTCGGAGGCAACCTGCATGACAGTCCCTCCATCTGTCCACACATGGGGTGTTGAAGGAGACACATAGAGGCTAAAAACCCTCTTATCTTACACTGTCATACCTGCTCATAAATCAGTGCTAAGCCATCCGCTCGGTGCTGATAAGGCAACCAAACACAGGCTGGTCCAACACCGGGCGAGAGAGTTTTTTTTTTTATTAGAAAAAGTGTACGCCCCCACTCTCTCTCTCTCTTCGTCCACCTTCGTTATCTGTTTTTCATTCATCAGATCTAAACAGCAGACACTTCTTTTACCTGCTTAGGGTTTATTTGTTTTGCTGCCTGCCATATTTTTTCTCTTGTAGAGTTTCCAGCAGTCTGGTTATGATCATCTGAAGAACTAGTGAATCATTTCAAACAGTCACACAAGAAAGAGTTGGGAGAGCCGAGACATTTTCTTTTGATCGTCACGCAATCAGACCCAGCATTAAAAGAGTGGAGGGGACGAGACTCTTAATACAACTTAATCGGCCAGGATGAATTTCACTGCCTGCTCCTGATGACTGTAAGTGTGTCAAGGACAGCTCTTCTTGTGATAGGAAACAGAAGCCTGATGATGACACTAATGGCAGGCAAACCCCGCACTTATCTTTGCAGCTACTGCCTTACCTTAATAGTTTATGTCGTTTTGTGGATTTATGATGAAAATAGTCTCGGTGTTTATCATAAATTTATGATGTTCAGCTTGAGGTAACCTTTACAGGCTGCAACTGTTTGAAATGGATCCAATTTGGTAGAAACAGACTGTACCTCTTGCCAGAACTGGGCTCACATGATCCACACAGGGCAAAGTGGGACTTGTTAGCCCATTTTAAAACAAAGCTAGATGAATTATAAAGATGCTAAATTAGCAGGTTAAAAAGTACCATTAAACAACTTCTGTCTCATCGTTACTCAATCTGAATTTTGCTTTATAAAACGTCTTATATGAAATGGGGATTTTTACCTCACAGTGGTCATAAATTATTGATAGAGTAGTGATATTATCTAAAAAAAACAAGCTTTTCAAACCAAAACTGTTCTTCTCGATTCAAGTTTCAAATCTATTATTCAGGAAAGGAAATTTTGTTTGGAGCAGGCATAAAATTATAAACAGGACATGACTACTTAGGGCTGGGCGATAAACCAACAATTTACCGATAGAGGAAATTCACGACAATAACTGATGTAATTTTGCCCATGTCACTATCTTCTGTGTCAAAATAATAAATAAATAAAAGTTGGTTTTGGATGTGTGTAGGGAGGCTATGGTCTAATGTCCCTTTAAGACGCGGTCCTACATCGGAGACGTGACTCCACCCCATCCAGTCAGTAATAAAGAGGGAAAGACAGGAAAGTTGTAGTGGCTGGAGCGGTGGCTGAAGTAGACAAAGTTAATGTGGGAGGGGGGGAGCAATTCGTGGAGTAGTTATCGTCCATTTATCGTTATCGAGGTGAACTGCTCAATATATCGTGATATTGATTTGAGGCCATATCGCCCAGCCCTACAACTACTAAAGCAGCCAGAGAGCAACACATTCAGTGTATGTGAGTAAGTCAGACAAAGTGTTGTGCAGTAGCAGGTTCAATAAAATATACTGTCAAGATATGGCAATAAATAGAGCAATAAATAATCAAAGGTTTACATGGCGTATAATCTATAAAAATGCCGAATTTTCTGCAAAATTGGACTTTAACCTGGGTGTTTATGGCACTCCCTTGGCTTTAGGGGCCAGCCTCATGTGGACAATGGAGGAACTGCAGATTTGCACTTCAGCAATGGCTTCATTTTTCAACACTTGCTACGCCAGCATGAGTCCAATTCATAAAATGCTAATGTGGTGAGCTAATGCTATGGTAATCAGTAAAACTTGACTATGCATCCCTTTGCATGATATTCTTACAACACAGGTTTTGGACACAACAGTCCCATTTAACACCGCAGTGTGTAATTTGCTCATTATGCATCGAGCAATAAGTAGTGATTAATTAATCATGCAGACATGGTTTAATAGGACAGTGTAATCCAGCCACAGTGATGAAAAGGTAAATTTCACGCTGTGCACCAATCCTTTACGCCAGTGACATTGGTATAATCAGAAGCCATAGACTAATGAATTCCAAGCGTTTTATTCTCCCCAAATGCGATTACACTCGAACAAAGCATCATCTAACTTGGAGATCTTCCCAATGTCAGAAGACAGTTTTTGTTTCCTCCGTGTGATTCTCATCTAAGTCGACCACATTAAAACTCGATCTGTCAGCCGTGGAAAAGAGTTTGTCTCTGTGTGTTTGTGCCAGGAGGTACCACTTCCTACGAGCACTGCGAGGGGGCTGTCTGTGGTCTTCCATCACTGTAGTGCGGTGAAGCACATGGCACAGAGGAGCCCATCAATTCATCTAACATGAAATCCTACAGAACATGAAAGCCTGCAGGATCATAGCCAAGCTTTGACTGATGACTGTTTCTGCGTTTGAACCAAGAGGAGGAAAATGTGAGAGAGGAGAATGTTGAGAGATGGAGAGAGAGAGAGAGAGAGAGAGAACGAGGAAGCAGGAGAAGGAAGGGATGCCCTGGATCGTTAATGCCATGCCAGTGTTGTGTGCCACTCCCCCCTCTGCTCCCCCAGGGACATGAATGAAGTAAATGAATGATGGACCAACCCACACAAACGCCCCTCATCTATTGAGACCGAGCAGTCCATTCACGGGGATGAGTGAGGCGTCGACACCAACAACAACAATAACAACAGCAACATAGGAGGCCCGTACTCCTGTTTCTCATTCATACATATGTATGCAGTCGCACAGACACACACATATGGCACAGATTCTATGGACAACATGGCCAACATACCATGAGGGACACCTACAGAGGGTTCCTGAGAACAGGGCTAGCTAACAAAGCATGGAAGCAAAGAGGCGTGAACAGAGCCCAGCATGGACGGGGGAAAAAAAAACTTGGCAGCGTGTCAATGCAATGGCTACAGCGATCAGGGATGAGAGGCTGTCTCCTCCCATCCACAATCAGCACATTATCAGGGAGCCCATCAGTGCATGAACCCAGAAAACAAGGCCTGGAAGCCTCATGTTCCGCCACATTCGGCCCCTTCCTCCTCCGCTTAGCTCGTCTGTGTTGTTCTTCCAGGATGAGATGGGTTCAGGGGGGTTCTCGCCCACACAGAGGGGGATCTCACTCATGAGGTCTGACCTTCAAACTCAGGCATTACTAGCCTGAAGCCACAGTGGCTAATGGAACATGGGGAATACAAATCCGATTGAAGCGAGATCAATCTGACAAGAAGGGCTTTGCTATTTACTGAGCGTTTACATCTCGAACCTTGAAGGTGGGCTTTGTAATGATGTTAGCATCTGACTCGGGCTCAGTTTTCACCAATTATGCATCCTGCAGAGAGGCTATACAGTACGAAGCGCGTATGAAAGACGGCAAGGACTGAAGCCAGCAGATGAAATATAGCTCTGAGAGGAGCAGGAGGAATGTTCCGGCTTTTTTAGATTTAATAGTGAGACAGCACAACTGCAGCCTCCCACAGGATCACGGTCAGGCTGAACCACAGGACTAATTTCTCCCACAATCACAAAGACAGATACTTGATCTCCATCCAACATACAGTGTATACACCAAGACACTTGATGGACTATTAGTCTGAATCTTCCACACCTGAAAGATTACAGGATGCTGTGCGTTTCAGGTTGCCCAGATTCTGCCTGAAAACAACTTTGACCTTTCATCTCTGACAGGAAACATGTGCGGTAACTGCCAAACTGGCACAGACAAAGCTTTGTGATCATGTAAACACTCAACATAAAAAAATATACATATACAGTATATAATTCTGCACGGCTTTACATCAAGTCTTTTTGATGAATGGATATGTGGTTCAGGACCCATTTTTGGATCCAGTTAAAAGGGTTCACTGTGCCAGAATACTTACAACATTTCCCTCTATACGATCCATACGGCAACCTTTCTCATTCCCAAGAAATCATGTTTGTCATGCATGACACAAAATGGCCTTTTAACTTAATAGAACATGAATCCATCTGCAGGTATAACTCAGCTGAGAGAGACTGTTCCAAGTGCAAAAGTAGAAAGATAGATTGAATCTGTTTGAAGGGGTTAGGGCCAATGGGTGCTAAACAAAGCAAAACCATAAACTGTGCAACCTTTGTTCAAGTCCAGAGAGAATGGGGTACTTCATGTTGTGCTTTTTTGTACAACCAGAAAAATCACGATGCTGGGGGGGACTCTGACCTCTCTGTGCATTTAATTACAACTCAGTCCAAGTGAAATTTGTTTGCAATGCTAATTAGTGTCAGTAAAAACAGGTAGTTACTGTATATAAAAGGTAGGCTATGAAGCAGATGGTATCTCCCAAAATAACTGACAAAAATGGCAGCGTGTTTCGATTCCTGTCAGGAAGAGGGTGGATATTTACATGATTAAAAATTTGTGTGGATTTTGGCGCCCCCTGTGGAGAAAGTGATTTCTGTCTGTCTGTGTCTCTTCTGAAACCAACTCTCTAGCAAAGGTTTAGGCATTAAAAATCACTGCATAGAAATAGCAAATCTTTATGCTAATAGTCTTTTTTTCCTTTTGTGGTTCAAGAAAAAGCGTTTCATCACCAAAATCGAACAAGAGTTTAAAAAAAAGTGTCAGGAATTAAATATTTATGGACGTTCGCATGCATGAGTCAAAAAAAGTTGTTTCAAATTGTCTATTTTTCAGATTGAAGTCGACACAAGATAAAAAAAATATTTTTAAAGTTTAAGTTTTAAATTTTTGGGCTTATCGTGTTTGACAGTAGATAGAGCTGAAAACTAGGAGAGAGAAATGGGATTCAAATCAAACCCTGTTTCAAGGACTTTGGCCCCTCCACATGTCAACCAGTCATTTAATGGACTGTGTTTGCCTGAGGCAGTCTTTGTCATTAAATTGGTGAGTTAAATGTGTGCTTTGGTAAACAGAGGGGGTGAAAAATCAATACTGACAAGCCAAGCCTAAATGCACAGACCCAGTCTTCAAAATGTCACCATATGTCAGTGCCTGCATGTTTTGGTTTCACTTTTGAACAGCAGGAGATGCGTTGTCCATCCTGTTTCCATCCATGTAAAATAAAGGGATTACGCAGGGTATTTGCCTATAGAAGAGCAGTTCAAACAGTCGCCAACTGAGGTGAATCATCTTGTGAGGCTACAAGCACATCATTTTTCTGCAGTGTGTTTTTGTAAACCCTCACTCCTTTCCTTTTTAATCTCAGATCCCTCCATCCATCCACCTCTGCTCTGGCTGAGACAGCAAACCTGACACTGATGCCCTGTAGTCCATTAGCATGCTCAGAGCTTTGTGTGAGTCTACTCTATCGCTCCCTTTATATTTCCCCCCTGCTCACACGCTCCATCTTCCTGACACTCCTTTTTTCGACTCTTGGCCTCCTTATCTGAGTCTCTCTGTCTTTCTGTCTCTCTGTCGTCTTCTCTGCCTCCTCCCCTCCTCGAGGAACTCCTCCAGTTCAACATGTTCGTCTGTGTCTATGGGGAGCAGAGCAAGTCTGTAGTCTGTCATGGTGAGTTCAGATAACATTGCTGTGACGGGGCTGCAGAAAATTCCTTCAGACACATACTACAAACAACATCTCATCAGATATAACTCGACTGTCGCCTGTTTCCTGGAATGTAACATCACTCTCTCTTTTTCAGACACACCTGTTACCACTAATAAGACTCTGACACAATGGCTTATTAACTGCATACTCTTGTCAAGCTAAAAACTATTTACAAATTCATCCATTAAATCATATCCAGCAGCTACTCCCAAGAGTACCTGGCTGCAGACATAACAGAACTCCGTAAGCGTGTACGCAGTTGGAAGTTAGACCCCCACTTCGATCTCATCTATTATCAGAAAATTGTGTGATCTCAAGAGCAAAAGCAGCCCTTGGTATTACATACAGGATTCGAATTAGGAGTGTAGCAGCAGCGTAGTGCAGCCCCGATCAGCTGGGCTCAGTACAGAGGAAACAACATGCTCACAACAGGTCGTTTTGCCTTTCTGTGGTCTATTTCCTGATCATTTAGATTTACAGTTTCGGTTTTTGCAGGTTAACTCGTGTTTAATAAAGTAAACTATATTACTTTATACTGTGCTGTTACCTTCAAGTCCTGTTGGGGTCCACATGGATCAGGGATTGACCATCGGATTCTTCTGTGTTACTGATAAATCCATAACCAGGAAATATTTCTCATCTGCATGAACTAATACACAGTCGAGAGGCCGCATATGGTGTTTTATTTTGAAATAACGGATGACAAGCACGTGTTTTTGTGCTTGACTTCCTGTCTAGAACGATATTCTCTGTGTAGATTGAAACGCATTGGAAGCGTAGTGCCACGCTTGATATGCTTCTTATACTGAGCTGCAACGGAGCTAATTCGTGTCCTGTATGTAAGACTTCATTGATTAGAATGGCCACCTCAGCGCTGTGTGATACACTGCGCTGACGTTAAGTGCTCAATACGGATCCTGTATGTTTTAGCCTTAACCCTTTGATGCGCAACATATCCACACCCCCTCTAATGCGCAACATGGGTCTAAAAAGACCCGCATTCATTTCCAATGGTATTTCATGCTGGCTGAGTTTTTCTTTGTTCTATCTTTTGAAATAAGTTTATTTTCTGATTGAATATTCCAAGTATTCTTTAAATATCTTGTTTTTGATCACCACTGATCATTATTTCTATTTTTCTATTCATACTTCATGAAATAATATAGTTTCTATATTATTACATCAAGTTTACACACATGGGTCAAAAACGACCCATTCATCCAAGTGTGATTTAATATTAAATTACCTAACACTATAATAATAATTTGTTTCAAGTAATGAAATTAGCAGTGAGTGGGGCCAAACCATAGACTGTATATACCATGGACAACTTGGTTCCGCCTACCGCCTGTATACAGATTTGGAGCCAAAAAGCTCTTGGTATTTCCGGGACTTTTCTACATTTCTGAAACCAGAGCTGCGCAGTTGCGATGCGTGCATTTGGCCGCGCAGTCGCTGAGAGTCGCTGTGATGACGCTCGGCTCAAACAGCGTATCCCCCGGGAGAGCTACGCAATCCCTGAACGCCCATAGGCTGTATCCATAGACTGTATATACTATGGACAACTTCGTTCCGCCTACCGCCTGTATACAGATTTGAAACCAAATAGCTCTCGATATTTCCAGGATTTTTCTTCATTTCTGAAACCAGCGCTGCGCAGTAGCAATGCGCGCATTTGGCCGCACAGTTGAAGAGAGTCGCTGTGATGACACTCGGCTCAAACAGCATATCCCCCGGGAGAGCTACGCAATCCCTGAACGCCCATAGGCTGTATCAGGTGTCAATCATAACAAACATGAACCCCTAATAACTTTTAAAAATGGAGCTTCACAGAAAAAAAGAGGACTTGGGCACAAACCAGTCTGACAGTAACTACATGTCAACATCACAATCAGGAGGGATAAAAATTTATGTTCTGTGTAATAAAATTTTTAAGTTTGTCTACAGCTCCATAATCTTTGCTGGCGGAGGCGGGATTTATGACCTATACTGCAGCCCATCAACAGAGGGTGCTGTTCTTGGAGTGGCTTCACCCAGCGAGGAGGCAGACGGCGTCCATTCTATATACAGTCTATGGCAGGTGTCAATCATAGAAAACATGAACCCCCTAATAACTTTTAAAAACAGAGCTGTACAGAAAAAAGAGGACTTGAGCACAAATCAGTCTTTCAATAACTACATGTCAACATCACAAGCAGGGGGGAGAAAAATTCATGTACTGTGTAATAATTTTCTAAAGTTTGTCCACAGCTCCATAAGGTTTGCTGGCGGAGGCGGGATTTATGACCTATACTGCAGCCTGTAAACAGGGGGTGCTGTTCTCAGCTTCACCCAGCGAGGAGGCAGACTCTGTCCATTCTTTATACAGTCTATGGGCCAAACACTTTTGTATTTTGTATCAGCAACATGTTTATTTGTCATTTTGTTATATACACATGCGTCTGATTATAGCTAGCTGAAATAACGCTAGCTGTTTTACCTGTAACTGTGTAACTTTCCAACATGTAATGTCCTCACTCTCAAGGTAACCTAAACCTAATCAAATCAAATCTATGTACAATTATATTTCACAATTGTCACCCAATAATTTCTAAGATAATGTCAGAACAATTGAAAAACAATACTTACATGTATTAGACGGTCTTTTCATGCTAAATGCTACAGTCACTGTATGTGGGTCATTTCTGACCCATGTATGTAAACTTGATGTAGAAATACAAAATCTGTGCTTCCTCATAACGTAAGAAAGGAAAAATAAAAATGATTATTTGTGCTCAACTAAAACAAGATCTTTACTGCATACTTGGAATAGTGAATGATAAAATTAATTTATGTCAAAGATATACCATAGAAACACTCAGCCATACATGAAATAACATTGAAAATGGATACGGGTCATTTTAGACCCATGTTGTGCATTAGAGGGGTAGTGATACAAAAACTGTTTTTATTCTTAAAGTAAAAAAATAAAAATTAACATAAGGATGTAGGGTCGTCAAAAACAAGTTAATTGAGGAATTCCTTGAGTACCGACTGATGGAATTAATTTTTTGAGAAGATGTATAAAATTTAAACTCAGCCGGGTCTTTTTTGACCCATGTTGCGCATCAAAGGGTTAAGACAGACTTGTTTGATGCTGACACTTTTTTAGCAGCATCTTTTGATAAGTTGCAATCGTGCATTCAGAGAATACAGTGGCATACCATCTAAAATATATATATTTTTTATGCCTGTTTTATCCATTTTAAACTACAATGACTTATGCAGATGGGTGATGTTAGTCTATAGGATGAACTGGTCCCAGACAGTGGGGCTGACTCTGTACCAACTATCAGAATTACGTGAAGGTGAGCTTAACTACTATGCCAGTGGATGACAGGATAGCAAAAACAGATGTCAACTAGTTGCACAGAAACATTGTGGACCTTGGGGAGCCCAATAAGTCATCATACAGTAAGACATTTTAAACTTTTTTTACCCTCTGAAAACCCCCCAAAATAGTCTGTATCTAATAAATTCCAAATCATATTCAGGGTTTTACAGTCATATAATCAAACAAAGTCTTTGGAGTAAGAATATACATATGTCAGACCATACCACATGCTTATCTAAATGAAAAATTATCCAGTCTGTTTCCTTGATGTATCCTTTGTAGTGTCACAAAAAAGAGATTTCACATCTCCAAACTTTTCATTTTGTCCAACAAACAGTCAAAAAGTTTTTTTTATTTCAATCATGTAAGCAGAATTGAGTCTGGAAATAGTGAATCAGAAAACTTAACCAGAGATTTGATTGAAAATGTTTCCCTTGTTCATTCAAAAGACTTGGCAGACAGAAGAAAAGCTGGTGCCAGATATATTTTTTTGTGTTTGATGAATCAGTTGAATGATTCATACTTTAAGAACAACAGTTTCTCTTCCTTTTTGGCGTGCTACATGCGGATATTACAGATGTTACTTGGACTCAAGAGTTTTTGCAACAACTTTGCATTTTTACCGTATGTTCCCAATGTGTAAGCAGACGCACTGAGGGAATTGTGTGTTCCCTATAATCTGATATCATGATAAATATACTGTAAATTGCGTAAAAAGAGAGTGAAGACAGATTCTACACTGCTGAGCTGAAACAAAAGAAGTCATTTTTTAAAGCTGTATCTGGTCCATCTATGTGTCAAAGTAACTGTAACAAACACACCATCAGTCCACTTATGCACCAAAACATGACAGAGTGTGTGTTCAGAGCCGTTTCCCACCCCAAGTGTTCACAACAGCAACCACATGATCGAGGTCACGGCAGAGCTGTAACAGGATCTGGACACTGACAGACAAATGATAATGAATGATAGCTGTCTGGGTAAACAAGTGGAGAGGTGCCCTTGACCTGCTGTCTCCTTAATTTCAGTCAGGGCTGGATCCCCCCAACCCACTCCACCCCCTCCAAGGACTCCCCTCTCCCACTTCCTTGCAACATCTGGAGAACATATCTACATAGAACAACCGATCCTTCACTAAACTGTTCAATAAACTCTCCTACTCTTCCCGACAACTTTACAAGATCACACTGCAGCCTCTTTAAGACTCTGTTGTTTAAGCTAATTCATTTGCTTATTTGTCTTAACTAAACCTTGAAGCCTTGATGCAGCTTCACTCCAGGTTTTTTTTTTTCCTGCAAGCAGAAGAGAGAGAAAGAGCAGACATCAGGGGAAATAAGCTCAGCGCTGTGATTACATCCCACCTTTCCTCTGCTGAGGAGTTTGTGAGGAGTGACAGGTAGATGCTGCCATGGCAACCAAACTAAAGCGGTGTCACATTTTTAGAGCTTTGCAGAGGCTCTGCTCTGAACACACAAACACCCAAAACACACACACAAACAAACAAAAGCGATGTAACCACATGGGTTTGACATAAATTTTAAAAGACTTTCTCCCATTCCTCCCTGTCACTTTGAATCTGAAGAAAACCACCTCCAGTAATAAACATTTTAAATCTCCCTCTCCAATCCCGTCTCAGACGACAACAACGACCATCCTCCTCACCTAACTCACCCTCCTCTTCCTCTGCAAAAGGTAAGGATGATCATAGACCCCCTCCAATAACCTGCTGAGTTATGTGCCTCTAAGTTCAATTAAAACGGTGCAAAGTACATCAATCAAGCCAATCAAGGCCTTCAAAGATGAGACAAACATGACATTTATCTGATGTTTCCCTCTGGCTGATGTCTATTTTTATCCTGCCTGCCACATTTCGATCTGAAAAATTGGCTGCAGCAAAGACCAAAGAGACACCAGGATGTGCTGATTACACACTCACCTACACACTCGCACACAAAAGCACGCTTTCATCGGTGTGTGTCTGTCTTTCACCCCTGCTGAGTGCTGCCCCTCTTTACACAGCAGACAGGCGACCGGAAGAGCTATTTATCCAGCAAAGGCATCCAGAGTGAGCAGTAAACCATGATGCACACACATGTGAGATCTCTGGTAGGGAACTTTTTAAATGGATGGTCTCGGGTTACAAAGAGATATGGGCTTTCATCAGCATCCAGGTTTCCCAAAGTAAAAGTCCTAATTCCTTTGCTGACTTTTATTAGATAGGACAGCTGTAGAGAGACAAGACATGTGGGGAGTGGAGAGTGAGGAATGCTGAGGGTAGCAGTCAGGAGTCAAACCAGTGAATGCTGCTTCTGGGACTGTCATCATGGGGAGCTTAGACCAGTCGGCCAACTAGTGCTCCGACAGTCCTTTATTTATTTATTCCTCAGAATTATAGTACTTAAGCCAAGAACTTGTATTCGACTCTAGTCCAGGACCTGGGTTCAAGTCCAACGCTCAGATGTGAGTCCAAGGCTCAAACCAGTATTTGACTCGAGTTAAATGATGACTTGAACCTGGACTTGAAGAGTGATTGCATTTGGACTACGATTATAGAAAGGTGGAATCAGATGTATGGATGAAAAAAATTAACTACATTTTTTACTTGCATTCTAACTACTTAAAGGTGGGGTAGGAGGGATCTGAGGAAGTGCCAGTTTTTGGGACAAATCTTGAATGTAAACTCTACCCCTCCAACCAGTTTTCCCCTCAGCTCCTCCTCTACCCTCGCTCTCTGCTCCACCAAGCCCCGCCCACAAATAGTCACTCGCACTCACTTGTATTGTTCCAATTTAATTAAGATATAATGTAGGTAAATACTTAAGATAATTACAAATCCTTTTTTTGCTTGTGTTGGCGGTCGTGGCCAAAGGAGGATTCAGACAGTTTTCTGTACTTTCTGGTTGGTTTCTACTGTCCAATATTGTAACACGCTAACTTTGTTTGGGCTCATGAATGACACCAAGGAGCAGTGTCTGCCTTGTAACCAATCAGCACTAAGGAGCAGTGTCCGCCTCACAACCAATCAGGATGGGGGAGGCTTAGAATGACTTTGTTTACAGTCAGAAAGAGAAGGCCACTCAAAAAAATTAAAATGTTGACTACGCAGACATAACAGAACATAGCGATATCGTTATATTCCCAAATGTCATCAATAACTAATAGCTATTGACTGATATTAAAAGCTTTTTTTTTATACACCACAAAAAAAAATGCTTCTTTAACGGATTCCTGACTACCCCATCTTTGAGCTACAGCTGACATGTGTTTTCGCCCGCATGAGTGTTCACATGCTGTCTTGTTCAGCGACAGTTACCGCCAGGATTTTACAGTTTGTAAGCTAAGAATAAAGATTAAAAAACTGTGTCCAAGACGATGCGAAGTTTTGATAAAAGGTCTGATTAATACCATCTGGGTTATAGAGTTATTTTTCAGCTCATTAGACACCTGCAGTTATCTCACCACATGAAGATTAATGAGTCTGTCTCACCATTAAGAGAGTCACCGTGCGCACCCACACACACATAGCATAGCGTTGTAACTTCATTCATAATCTATCTATAAATCTGCAGACATGCTGACAGTCTCAGCCATAATCTGAAGTTGATAAATGAAATTTGTTTTCTACATATCCGAAACTCCCACCACAAGTCATTAGAGGTTTACACAGTGATGGAGTATGGAGTGAAACAGAGTCCCGCCTTAGCATGTGATAATGGACTCGACTGACAATGTACTGTTTTTTTTTGTCTATGATAAAGTTGATAAAGTTAACATAATTATCAAAGATTAAAATAAAAATATAGGGACAATTAATTTAAAAGGAATTGTATGTTGGATGCATTTCTATCATGTCAGGGTGAAGAGACAGTGTTTATGAAATGACAGAAGAAAGAGCCGCCTGACAGAGACGCAGTAAAGCCGGCGATCTAATCCAGCACTGCACTTAAGCTGAGCTAGTATTCCAAACCTTTCTGTTGTACATGTCCACCCACTCCTCCCTCACTGTTCTGTGCCTTCACTCAAGGAAAGTCCAGGCACTTCAGAGACCCCCCTAACCCCTTTTGCCTTTGGAGTGTGCTAAAACAGCGCGCTCCAGCTGTGGGCGGCATACTGGGTGCTCTCCTGCCTCACCTGACACTGCCAACCTCTTATCACTGAGAAAATAGAGAGAGGGTGTGAGTGTAGAGTAAAGGCAGCGGAGGAGAGGGAGATAAAAAGAGAAAGAAACAGACAGGAAGGACACTATATTTAGCACAGGAGCTGTCGCCTTCTGTTTCTCTCTCCTGAATAATCAGACTTTGACAGCATGCATCCTGCAGAGCAGAGGTTGCTGGGATGCACTCCCCCTCCTCTTATCCCCCAGTTGCATCTCTCGGGAGAAAGTAGCAAACTATTGTAATAATTGCTGCAGGCTTGCGTGCCACAGCCACCACACATTACTCTGTGGAAACATTTTGCAGCGCCTTGACATTCTCTAATGGAGATAATGGGAAAAGAGGAGGGGGTTCTGGACTGCACACTTTCGCCAACAGGTACAATGTCGCATGTGTAATGCATACCACAAAAGTACTGTTTGTACGAAAGAGCAGCAATGTGACCGAAAGATAAAAGCATCCCATCATCCATAACTGCTCTGGGCTGGAATGCATGTAGGACAGAGACAGTATGAGGCTGTGACAAACTTGTTCCTCTCATGTACTGATGATGATTATCTGCTGGGAAAGCAGTAAACAAGCACAGCTGGTAGCAAGAGGGACACAGAGGATGTGGATTAGATAATGCAGTCTGTGAGTGAGTGCTTCAGACTGTGCACAGTGGACTTCAGCCAGTGCAAAATGATTATTTGCTCTTGTGGAAAAAACAGCAAACCAGTGTCGCTGCTGATTTCTGCTTGTTTTTCAACAACAAACACATCCCTGGCTGTGTCCTTTCACGGAAAGTGTCGTACTTCTTTTCTTTCACAGCCTCAAACTGCTCATTTTTATTTGCTCTTATCCTCGCAAACTTTGGAAACAGAACATTTGCACTTCTGTGTGTTTGCACAGATCAACTCACACCATACATATAAATCATTTAAAACACACAGCCAACACTTACAATGATGTGCACACTGACACTGTATGATCTGACTGTCAATAAGACCTGGGTCCTTATATTTAGGATGGAGCTGGACAGTTGTTAGTAACTCCCACAGATGGAAGATGAAGTCTGAGAATACAGCGATAAGTAGGTAATCATGATCTACGGCCGATTGGAGTATTTGTGAATTTCAGTCATCCACACTATATCACGTATTGCTATGGTGCTCTCAGAAGCTACCTGTCATTTTGCACAGGCACAAACAAGAAGCATGGGAGTGATGGGGAATTAGCTTGTAGCCCTGCTTTCACTATGCAAGAGTATGCTGTAAGCTACCCCAAATTTACAACATGCTAGAATTCTAATTTGACCAATCAGAGGCTGCTGATTGGGGCCTTGATTGGGACTTGTGGTCTCTTGCATACTGCATGACAAATACCACACTATCAGGCCTAAATTTCTCCCGACTCCAGAATCTGTTATGCAAATAAAAAGGCAAAAATAATATTAAAAATGACTGATCCAAGCAGACTTTGGACAGACACATACTGAATGTTTAGGTGTTTCCTAACGTAGTCCATCATCAGTGTGCCAAATGATAAGGTGTGAGAACATGTGCAGACATTGATCACAAAAGCAGCACAACTATAAAACAGAATACTAAGTTTTATTACCCCCATTGGACTTTAAAAGTTTGTGTGATACACAGTATATCTCATTATGTCTACTATCTCTAATGAGGCATGTAATATGAGCTAATATAAAGCCTAATGTGCTCTGATGGTATGGCTAATTAATGACATTATTCCATAGCTGAACTGAGGGAGGGTTTCTGGGCAGTAAGAAAAACAAACTCACAGTCTGAATGTCAGCGTCATCTCCCTGATGATTAACAATCACATTAGCAATCATAGCAGTCTGCGTAAGTTGTGTTCACACACGCAAAATGCAATTATTTTAGAGTAAGGTGTGTCTGAATGCAAACAGCTGAAATTTTCATCTTTATCTTGGATTTTTCCTGTCAGCCCTGTAAAACACTTTGCTCAAGACACTGGGGTAAGTTGACTGTGAGAATGCAGCAGAGGAAAATATCCACCCACACTAATAACTTTAATATGTTGTGGATGGAGATCGACAAAAAAACAGGATGAAGAAGGGGAGACTTTTTTGAGATGAGAATGATAAGGATATTTGTGCATCTGTGCGTTTACAGGTAGAGTTAGATTAGATGTTAAGAATATAATTATTTAAATAGATCATCATTGCTTCATCTACCAGCATGCAATAGACATTACTCTGTGCCTTTGGCAGCATGCTTTTGATGTCTGCCTACCCCCTTGTCTGACTGGAGAGACTTCAACCAACAAAGGGAAGGCAACTTTGGGGGCATTGGGGGCTCCAGGAATTAGGGATGCACTGATCTGATATTTTATATCGGTATCGGTCCCCATACCGAAGAAAATTCTAGATCGGGTATTGTGACAATGGGCCCAATCCATAGGGGCTGATCTATTCAGTCTAAGTCTATGCTATGCTAGTGGCATCCACAAGTAAACACGCTGATGCCCACATTGTTTTTAAAATGGAGCGAGCAAAGGGGTCTGCTGTCTCGAACTTTATCACAATACCTCAGCCTACAAGCTCGACGGCCACTTGCAATACCTGCTGGCAGTGGTAAAACTTCAGGTTACAACAGAAGGTAATTCAGCGCGGCTTTTCTGTATCAGAATTGGATCGGTATCGCCCAAGACTAAACTATCTGTATCGGAGGTGAAAAAAGCGGATAAGTGCATCCCTACCATGAATCTTATAAAAAAATCATAGCTGTATGTGTATAAGCAGATATATCCAGTCTTTTTGTTTGAATTTGGAGGAGAAAGATCAGAGCAAAGTGTTTGCATAATTTACCTATAGTGACTTTGTAGGCTTTCTCATATGTGGGATTATTGCATTGTCTGGGCTAAAGTGCCCAGTCAGATCCATCCTGCTTGGCTAGTCGACAGGTTAGCTTTGAGTTTCAGCAGCTTATTGATTTGTTCAGACTTGATTGCTTTGAGTCTTCACAGAAGCTTTTTGCTATGCATTGAGATTCATAATCATATTTAAAGAATGAAGACAGGTTGAGTTGCATACAGATAAAACAGAGAAACAATCTAAATTAAAACCGTCATATCTCATCCCTTACTTTGACTATAACGCTTTCCCTTTAAGGAGAGACACCATACAATACAGGACCTCCAGCAGAGAGGAATGACTCGAGGTATACAAAGGGCTTTTCTTGTGCTGTACATACACATAAATCTGCCTATAGAATATAATCTGTGGGAAATTGAGTCTATTGTTGAAGTAAAGTTCAAACTCAGGAGCAGCTCCTAATTAATAATTCAAAGAACAGAGGTGGAGGGCATGTTGTCATTCCTGATCTTAACCCTGAGAACTGTCGGGAGAGATGAGCTGATTGTGAATTCTTTCTTCTTCTCTGTGACAATCATCATCCCATTATGCAGAACAATGAAGACTGTCAGGGAAAGGGCAAAGGCTGGAGTAACCTTAGGATTGTCCCTGAGAATTAGTCCAATTACAGCCCTGCCTGGCTTTCTTCCCAGAGCTAACCTTGTACCCAGGTGTTGCTCCAAAGGGGGGACTGAAGGGGTTGAAGGAAAACAAAGTTAAACACTTTCAAATGGACTCTGGGATTAGCTTAACAAGCTATTACTTGTTAATATGGTGCCATTCTCCCACAGTTTGAGGGCAGTTAACCTCGGGTGTGACTGGCTTCTGTTTAAAGGGTCACAACCTCACCGAGCCCCACGCACTAAAATAGCATGTGATTACAGACCTTGTTGAAAGTAAATATAGGAGTTCTCAGCAGCTGATCTGAGCCTGCAGCGTCCAGTCTTCATGAGAGAGGAGACACCTACAGAATCCTTTTGTTTTCTTTTGTCGCCTCTAAAAAACTCTCTTCAATTTTATTTCCACCATCTAAACTGCGTGCAACTTTGTTGAAAAAACAAAGACGTTACCAGTAAGTTTGACACACTGAAAACAGACCTGTGTTTTTAAGTGTGTGAGTGTGTGTGTGTGTATTTCACATGCCTTTTGAAGTCCTGGTTGATAATCTATCCCTGTGAGCTTTGTGTGGACATTCCTTTGGTCTTAGCCTCTGTTTACTTTCTTGGTCCTTATCACAGTTAATAACTCAGCTTGTCTTGCACTAACACACTCAGTAGCTACTTTGAGAACCACAAAAGACTAAATTATCAGCTTAGCTTGCTTATGGTTGTTTACATTGTTAGCCCCATGTTTTTAAGGTTTTCAATTATCGAAATCCTTCTCAGTGGATATAAATATATATTTTTGAAAATCATGCAAACATGAGTCTCAGGTGAAAATTACAAGTTTACTCCACATCAGTAAGTGAATGATGAACGAAAGAAAGTATGATCAATCGATCCAGTTTTACACAAAATTAAGAGAAACAATTGCTCAGTCAACAAAAGTGAAGAACTTTCTTATACTTTGGGCTAGAAATTAAGATTTAAGATGTGTATTTGTCTGCAAGATGTTACAAATTATTCAATTGTGTATGTTTTTTACGCATAATAATCCACTCAGTGCAGAAAAACATGCTCCTAAAGTAAAATATTTACATACAATAGCTTAAATTCAATGGCAGTATCTAGATATTAATAAATATTAGTGTCTGGAGATGATATCTCAATGGGAGTGTTTACAGGAGATGGCCGCACTGAAGTGCAGTGTACTTAAACTGTATACATATCAAGCAAGATATTATTAACTTCTTTTGGGGAGATGTGTCTACGCATGCATGATATTTGTAAGCCTGATGCTTCAATGGAAGGCAAATACTCAAAAAAACAAAGAAAAAGTGTTGGCTTTCTTGTGTCAAAATGTTGGATTTCAGCCAAATAGCAGCGCTTCATCTTGTGTTTCTCTCTTTTTGTAAAATGCAAATAATCAGCAAGAAGTCATAGTGTGTAACCCTCAATGGAAAAACATGTGAAGCTGGGTCACAGACAGAAGCAAAATCAAGAACAATGCATCGTGAAAGCTGCTAGAGTCGGCCGCCTACACTTCAGGCTTGTTTCCACGTCTTGTTTTATCATCTAAATATAAATGCTTGTTGAAAATTGGATGGATTTTTTTTTCTTTTTTACTCATACAGCACTGATAACAACCAATCTGTATGCCAGCACTCAACAGAAACCTCAAAGCCTATTATTTGGTTAAGTTCACTGGCACATAAATAATTAATAAAAGCACATTACAGAGCTATTCCCAGCAGAACGGTGCAATACCAATACAATTAGCAAATGCACAGCCAAGGTGCATTTTGAGTCTGCGGCTATCTGAAGCTGCTCTTTGAGGCATAAAGTAACCCCAGAAACTAATTAAAAACAAAAAGAAACTCAATTAAAAAGCTGTAGAAAATAAATGAACTCTTTTCTACCCAGTAAATGTGAGGCCAGTGGAGGGTGAAATCCAACTCCAATAGAGATGCAGAGGAAGAGATGGGATTTTATAGGGCAAAAACAAACAGATCTGAGATGGAGCAAGAGAGGCGAAATGATCACTGACAGAGGGTTTCATCATTTACATACAGGAACGGACATGAAAATAGACATGAAAATGCTCATATAGGTAATGAAAACATGATTTTCCATTCTTGCTGAGAAGACGCCAGTATCAATGGCTGCAAACTCAACCCAGATGCTTAAGGCTTCTAAACGGTTCTATAAAAGTATGACAACTTATGCACACCAGCCACCCCAGCACCTAAATGACAAAGAACAGGACACTGCACCGCTGAGACCTATTTTAACAGGACAGTTCAACACACAGGGTCTCATGTGGCACCGGCAAGCATTCATAACATGCTGGATCTGCGCCCTGAGTGTGTGCCCAGCCAAGTGTTAAATCTGACTTGATTTCAGAAGGGAGCCGAGGTCACACAAAGGCCTATTTGGGCGACTAATAGCAGCCAGGCGATTAAACGAAGACCCATTCTCTGACCCTGAATATTCAGCGCAATCAGGAGCACATTTCCTCATTCCCTCTCATCACTCCTCACAATCAAACTCTCTGTAAAGTGGTGAGGAACTATGTGCCAAGTCCTTTATTTAGCTAGTGCCAATTTGAACCATTCCAGCAAGTGGACAAAAAAGAAATTAAAGACTTTAACTGACCATCAGACTCGATTTTAAATCAACATATCTGCAGAGGAACACAAAAGCTGCATAAAGTGGGTCACAGACCAGGCGGCGGTGTGAGTGCCTTACCTTTGAAGGACAGGAAGATTCTGGGAGCCGAGAGGGGCTCGTTGGAGGGGGGCAGCCCCCCGTATGTTAGGGCCAGCAGGGCCAGCAGCCAGCACAGTTTGTCCCACAACATTATTCCTCTGTATGTTAACAGAGAGGAGGAGGAGGAAGAGCCCAGGAGCTGAGGGAAACAGAGGGATGAGTGTCAGACAATGAGCTTGAACTTCCATCTCACAAACTGACCACAGTGGCCAGTTCCTCTGCCACTGAGCTGCACATGAGAAAATCTTTAAAAAGTGTCTATCATAGAGTTCAATGGAAAAAGAAGATTTGATCTAATTTTACGCAACTGTTTACGGCAAATGTTTGGAAATGCATGACTGTGTAATTTCATCATGGTGCACAATAAACACCAAGTTACCTGAAGGGAAAAAAAAGACAGAGCTGCTGGAGTCTGGGAAGAAAGTCAACTGGTTCAGAATTGAATTGTCATCATTGCTACTGTGGTTTCTGCTCGGTCTCTCATTTTACAGTGCGTTTCCTAACCGCCCACAGTTATTCTTGCCTGCTTCTGTGTACAATCAGGGAAACAGCCTGAATGGAGACTCCATCCAGCTGGGAGAATCAGCAGGAGCCACTCTCTGTCGAGCCTTAACTCTCATGCAAATCGTGCATGGCAAAATAAAATGTCTCATGCAAAACGTGCTCTGCCAATACCTTGTACAGAATCTACGCTCAGGAGAGATAGAAGGGGGAATTCTCGTCCTGCGCGCACTGGTTGTGCACGCACAAAGCGCATCAGCATGCTTTTTATCAGCAACAAAAAAAGGAGCTGAAGTTAATCATATCCCCATAATAGACTCTCCAAGTTATGAGCGTCCAAAAGGTGCCACAGCTGTGCGCAATGCCAGCGTAAAAACAAAGAAATAACGCTGTGCCACGTTTGGAGACAATACGACGCGTTAAGCGAGCCTGCTCTGCTGTAATTATCCACGCACTGCTCCGATTTACTCGTAAACGTGGATCTGAGTCTGAGGTCAAACTATCAGTCAGGGTTTAAGATCAAGTTCCACATTGAGCCCCGAAGGCACAACTCCAAAGCAAGACCGTTCACCAAAATAAAGCGTGACTGAGCTTTGAGTTATGAGGGCATGAACATTAACCACGTTACATTTATAAGAATACCTGGGATTGTAAATCATGAGAAGTGGCATGAGGAGGGGGGATAAGATGTGTAAATTCAATCAGTGTGGTTGGATTATTTTTGAATACACAGCATCATATAGCCTTAACTCTCAGTAAAACTCGTAATCCAAACACAGGGTACATTTCTATTTGAGGACACTACAAACTACATCCCACGCGTAAGAGAAGACGCACCACTGAGGCGTATTGTAGAGGGAATAAAGTCTGCCGTATTACACACTTTTCACATTAGTCGTTAAAAATTATATATATAGTGGAACTTTTAAGAGATCATATGAGAGCTCACGCCTCGCACATGCAGCGTAGGCATCACTCCTTTTTTGATCGACTCCACAAATGTGCTTTCCTGTTGATTTCAAACCACATCAGTCCACAGCCACCATAAATTAAATTACATAAAATCTGCACTTTTTAATGACCCACCTTGCAGTTAGCAGCAGTAAATACTCTGATAAAGCTGGTAAACATTTAAAATCATCCACCAAGATCCTTTGAGCTCCCCTGTCCGCACGCAGGAGTATCAGTGTATCCGTTGCAGATCCTGCACGATTATCCCACAGTCAAACAAAGCTTGGGTTTAAATTAACTTGACGCCATGGCCTTTACTTGAAGTGAGCTTCAATCGCACCCAAATTCCGTATTTCCTGCAGGAGAAGGCTTTAAACAAAGAGTTGTTCCTGGAGAGGAAGGAGTGGCGGCGGCGGTGGTGGTGGTGGCTTCAACCGTGCGCAGCGACGCTCAAGTGTGTAGTGCTCGGAAGCGGCTTCTGCAGGTGGATACACTGAGATCCTCAGACAGTGGACACACCCATGGGGGAGGGAATCTACCTTAGCATCCCTGAGCTGCGTCCCGCCTTAAAAATTTGCACAGAATAATGCTGCCCTGCCCACCTTTTAAGTCTCCGTAATGGATTAGACTGTAAGGAGAAAGAAAGATGTGGAGATTTAAGATGTCATTGTTAGGGGGTGGGGGGGTTACAATCAAAACATTTAAGTGTCAAACTTTTGGTGAAAGATCTTACCTCGTTAACTTTCCACAGAGTTACTATCATGGCAATACGCATTTTTTTGTTTAAGTGTATTATTATTATTATTATTATTATTATTATTATTATTATTATTATTATTATTATTATTATTATTATTATTATTATTATTTACCATATTCTGTGAATGACAACTTTATTTCCGGGTTGTCTCCTCCCTCCTACCGTCCTGTGATACGTTTGCGTAATGACGTAACGCAGCTGGCTCGTTTTATAATGGACCGTTAAAATTCAAACTTGTTTCGAGATTGAACTGTTTGTATCGTCGCCTGGTAAGATTTCATGAGACAAAGGGGAGACAAACAGAAAATCTTTTTTAGTGTGCTAGTTAAATAACTTAAATGTTTCAGTAATATGGTTTGTTCTTGTTAAGGTTGCCAGCTAAACCGAAAATCCTGGTTTGGAAAGCGTTGCGCGAATCCTATCGTCGAAAATCAAGAGGAGTGGCTAAAATCATGTTGGAGTGGACTGAACCAGGACAGTACCAAACACGGAGGTAAGGTGTAAAAGAGGATGATATAAAATGGCTAAAGAAGTGATGCAAATTAGCGTCTTAAGCTACGAGTCTACTAACTTGGTAGCCTTATGTTATCTGTGCATCATTTTAACGGCCGGCACGGGCCTGGGGCCGTTAAGATTGAAAGATTCATGAATACTTTGACTAACGTTTTCTCAGTAATCTAAGATTAATGCATTTTATCATGAGATTATTTTGCTGAGAGCTGTTGTACTTTGTAAGTCAACATATACTTCATGGTGGCTTTGATTTTGGATTGCTTTTGTATTCCAGGCTGGGTCTTTTAGGCCTTTGTTGTGGTTGACTTTTGCATTTCAATCATGTACTATCTGGGATAATTTGATTGTTTATAATAGTGTTAAGTGTCGATTTGACAGATTTTTCTGGTGCTTTGCTTTGTGTCAGCTTCCTTTAATTTATATTCTAAACCAGGGAGTACAAACATCAGGATAAAAGTAATGCAGATGACCATAAAATACTGATACAGCTCTCATGTAGTAAACCAAAAATATTGAAATCCAGGCATGCTTGTAATGGCTTCATTGCTGAGTAAATTATAACATAGTTGGGGCATGTTTTGCCACATAATATATTTGAGAAGTAATATTTTGCAATGTCACATGCTTTTTTGGCGGCAAATAAGATCTCAAACACTGAGCTAAGATGTTTTAGTTCAGTGAGTGTTATTTGGAGTAAATTGTTTTCCATGGCTGCTCGAGTATACTATGACTGAGGTCATTTAAGAACTTCAAGACTGTTATTTTTGCTGACAGAGCTTTACAAAGCTTTGCTTAGAAGCTTTCAGCAGGTCTGAGCTAAACAATTGCTCAATATCTGCTTGTACTGGCAGTCTCCAACATAGAGCAGCATTGGCTTCAGTAGAATGAATGATTCATTTACTGAATTTTGATTCAAGCATAGAGGGAAGAAAACCAAGGCGCCAATGATTTCAGATGAGAAGAAGCACCTTTTTTTCCAGCTGCTGTGTAGCTGCATAAACATGGCTGCCCATGCACACTAAGAACAGTTGAAAAGTGGCCAGATATAGATAAGGTAGATTTCCTCCAACACCTCATGAACCTGACAGGGGATCACTGCCTCTCGCCTCAGATAGGCATCAGATATTCATGGGCAAATGGAGCCTTAAATCTTTTAATCTTACTTGATCTCTCCCCTGATCACACTGGCTTATTTTGCTTCTTATCCAGTCAATGCACAACACAGCTGACACCTCATATGCATTCGCATTATTCCATAAATGATAAACACAGTGGGTTGTGTTACATGTGGCTATCATTACTGTTGCAGGAATATATCGAATTAGAGTTGGGTTTGGAGGATACAAAGACTTTTTTCATGCAATGATGGCTGTTGAGTTGATTTATTTTTTTCCTTTGTGCTCAGAAGTTTAAAGGAAAGATAATGTCACAGTGACAAAACCATAAAACCCAAACCAGAAGAAAACTGACTGGGTGGTAATTTCTCTAATACATAGATAAAAGATTATTTGAATCTACTAAGTAATGCATTCAGCATTTGAATGCACATTTTCCTATTTTTTCACAAAACATGTAGTTTCCTTTTTTTGTTGTTTTTTTTTGTTTTACAACACTTGTATTTAGGATAACAATAAATACATTTTAAGCACTTCTATATTGAATGTAAATGGAAAGATACTAGTTCCCTAGCTGTGGCTTTGAGTTTTCCACCCTTTTGAAAGTTGTCTTTGGAGGACAACCATTACATTAGTCAATGCAAAAGAGGCTTGGAAATATGATTTCATGCTTTGATGCTTGTAGCAGAAGGAGGAAGCAAGCTCAGCATCAGCATTTGCCATTAAATGTGTTAAATTTCCCCTGATACCTGCAAAGAGCTCTGGGAAACAATTACTCCCTCACTTATAAGCTCATACACACATCGTAGAAGATATCAGTCTCTCTGAGTCTTTGCCTATCTTGATAAATCATCATTCTCTTGCTTTTTTTTTTCTCACACTCAAACACAAACACAAAGAGGCACCCAGCCTAACATATGCAGGTGGGCGTTCATGTTTGAAGGGTGGTCTGAGCACCAGACTGCAGTGTGCCAAATAAATAACTTTCATAAATATCTGGAACACAACTCCCTGTCCCTCGGGATTCACCCAGAATAAATCAGTCAAACAATAAAATCCTCTTTCCCAAAACTTCACATATCAGCAGTTCAAACAGCCTCCGATCCAAATGTATGTGCACCAGCCAAGTGTAATTGTGCCTTTTTTTCCTTAGCTCCATCTTTTTCTCCCCTTTCTCTTCCCTTTTTTCTTTTTGTCTTCTCCCCCGTCTTGTAGCCAACAGCTGCATGTTGTTTCCTATATTTCTTTTTAATCAACAATATTATTCCCATCTTCAGGCCTCTGGTGGCCTCACCATCTGTCACTTGCGTGAGACAAGAGGAAAGCAATTATTGAATCCTGGCTTTGAGGAGCGCCTGCCTTCATAAAAGTCCCTCTTGCTTTCCAGTTTTTCCTCTAGCCTTGCTTTCTCTGTAGCAACTCTGAGGAGAAATTGTGAAAGATAGCTGAGACCATCATTGAGTGCCAGACCACAGAGGCAACACATTCACAGGGATTTAACTAAAAAGTGACGTTAATGCTGTTCACTCTGCAGAGGAGATGCCAGGTTTATAAATCTAAGTTTGATTACTGACAGAGGAAGATTTTATTCTTCTCGCTCTTGAGAGGATTTCTGTTAAAGATTTTACATCTGGCCAGTTTCAATACTCTGCTTCCACCAGTTGGACTGAACCTGCCAATTCTAACAGTAACCTTAAATCGACTCCAAATTGGGCTGTTAAATGTTGTCATATTCATGGAGGGCCTGAGGGCAGTGCTGTTTAGATAACTGTTGCCATTTTCTGTTCTCTTAGCTTAATTTTATTACCATTTATTTGTTTATTTATTCACTCACTTGTTGGAAAGAACAGAGTTCACACTAGGGCTGTAAAGTCCTAGTTAACTGGTCGACTTCTTGGTCGATATGTGCTGAGTCAACCAAAATTCTGATCGGTCGACTCGATTTTTTCCACGTCAATTTACAGTCTATGTTTAATTTTAGCAGGAGGAACGTACCAAGTGCTAATGGGGGTGTTACCAGAGCACCCCCGTTTTGAGAGCGTCCACCTTACTCAATGTTTGGTGGTTTTCTGAATATTCATTTTTATTTTGAGCATTTTAACTTGCCTTTTGTGTTTAATTGCCTTCTTGTGCTGATACCAGTATATTTTAACCCCGCTGCAGAAGGGTTTGCCATCAGAGTCAGAACCCCATCTAATTAGTCTATTTTTGGTCGGAGATTTCAGGGTTTTAGTCGACCAAGCATTTTTTGGTTGATTACAGCCCTAGTTCACACACCTATATTGACATTTATTAATGAGGGAATTTTCATGGAAACAGGTGCCAGCAGGTACAAATCCAAGCAGCATTACACCAGAGGTCATTTTCTCAAATCAGTTTCATTAAGCCCATTGAAACATCTTCCAACCTTTTGCCACCAATGACCCCACCAGCACTGGAAAGTAATTATTAACATGCTGTGACAACCTTAACCTCTGTCATCTGTCTCCACCACATAACAGGGAGGCAATTAACAGCTGCTCATTACTGATGAGGTGAAGCGACAAGTGCATCTGCACATCTGAATGCACACACACATCTAAATGACAATGACAGATGTCGGCACACACACATCCTCATGCATTTGACCATGCACTAACGACTCACACACATTACCAAGGATGCCATGGCACACAGAATGCCCCCTGGTGCTCTCTGAGGGACACACTGCTTGTGTAGAATTTAATGAGGGAACATGTACTCATCCCTCCACCTCACTGGGAGAGCTGTTACCTTTTGGTGTGATAAGATATTAAAAATTCACACTGTTTCTGCAGCGCTTTGACTTGTACGGCGGCGGCGCGCTCATTAGCATTTAAATGGGAAAATGATAACAGCACACTTCGCAGAGTCATACCTCCATTGCAAAGCTGGCAGACAGAGGGAAAAACTTGAATCAGGTCCTGAAAACTTTGGCTGTTTTTAGATACCTGAGAAGAGAAACAGTTACTCCATAGTTCCAATGTCCTATTTTCCTGTTGTGCTTAAAATAGATTACATTTTTTGATTGATTTAAGATTAGACATACATAAAAGAAGAGGCTTGCATTGTCACAGCTGGAGAAGCCTTAAAGTATCTTACATGCGAATGATAGTTTTTTCCCATGAATAATCAAGTTATAGAGAAAAAGTTCCAAAAGTTGTCTAAAGTGAAATTTCTAACATTGCTGACTCAGAAGTCAGACTCTTGTTGTTGGAGCAGTTCCCACTTTTCTCTATAAACATACCAAAACGTAATTACCACTCTTGGATTATTTTATTGAAATAGATACAGCAATATTTGTTTCTTATTATTTTAGTACAGCTATGCCTTCAGGGGAACTCTATACTCTGGACTTTTATATTCAGAACCTGCACTGGAATTACTTACTGAACAGGAACTACAAAAATATTTGGGATTTTTTCGCTATTTCTGTTGGCTCAGTGGGATGTGAGCAATGTTGACTTTAACAATTAATAAATCAACTGTTTAGTCCGCTCTGACGCTAAAACAACAGATTCTCTGTGAGGCTAATAAATGCAGAGGCTGGTGGGCATGAAAGCAGACAAATATTTATGCTGTGAAGTAAATTCTTTGCAGCGTGTACTTTTCTTCCTCTATTTTGTTTCCTTTTGTATATATCCTCCTCATCGAGAGCTTTGCATGTTGAACTCCTTGTCATGTTTTCTGTTCATTTTTGTTCCTCAGTCTTTTGTGACAGAAGCTGACTGTGACTCAGCCTGAACTCTGCAAAAGCTAAAAGTGGGACAGCTGTCTTCTTTAAATGACACAACTTTGTCTCATTGTATGTGGCTCATGTGTCTCCAGTCTGGGAAGAGGGGAGGGCAGCTGTGGAGGGGGTGATTTGGTATGAATTAAATCCGTTTCCTAACAGGCTCCACAGGGTCTGATCCCGCTCCCTTCATGTCTGGTGGACTCTATATCCGACAGTATCAACCAGAAGGGAGCATATATATTACATCTGCCCATTTCCACTCTGCCTTTTAGTTCTTTGTTGTTAAAAGAATCACAACAATGACTTTGTGGCTGAAACCCTGCTGCCTCTGGTTGGTTTTAGTGTTTTCCCCAGGTAGTGTGGTGGACATGGGCCTCCTAAGCGGTCAGGTCAATCAGTGACATTCTTCTGTGGGATCTAGCTGCTGCTCTCCGGCTAGAAAGAGAGGGCAGAGACAGTGAGAGGAAATGACTGTGCTTTTGTTTCACACTGCCCCTAAAGCAGTCAGCCTTTGCTGTTGAACTCAGCATGATGCAGTCAGTGGTCTGATGGGGCAATACAGGGGATTTTTTTCTGTTGCCTAGGTCTTAAATCATTGGAAGAGAGTGAAACCCTCCTCGATATGTACAAATTGTTGATTATTTTCTAGCCAATTTTCCCCCATTATATTGTTTTTCTGCTAGTGAAAGACACAGAAAAGGCTAAACGACACCACAGGCCTCTCTTCTTATTTTTCTCTTTTTTTCCCCCACTTTTTCCCCCTCATTTCCATGTTTATTGATACTTTCATTTGCTTGACAATGCAGATGTAGCAGTTGGTGTGTTCTGCACTTCGTCACTCCACAGAGGCAATTATGTCCGTAGCGTTTATCTTGTAGGACTCTGTGAAATGTAAATGGACTATGTTTATATAGCTCTTTCTTTAGTCTTCTGACCACTCAAAGTGCTATTACATGACATGTCACATTAACCCACTCACACCACATTCACACGCCGATGGCAGAGGCTACTATAAAAAGCACCATCAGATTTATATAAGCCCATTCACACACCGCTGAGTGCAAATCTCCTTTAATTTTCCCCAGATTTTTTATTCTACCTCAAATTGCATTCAATTCTGTCTGTTTAGGTGGTTGGTGACTACAGTTTCAACCAGGAGTTCCCAAGTGTAATAGATTTTGATACATTTTAACAAATTTTAAGTTAAAAAAAATGTAAAAAATGTCCATGTAAGTGTAAACATTGTTTTACTTGACTCACTCACCAGTGACAATGTTCAGGAAACTCTGGTTTCAGTTGTCTTTGAGACAGTATAAAATATGTCACCCTATAACTATTTATTCAGGTTATACCATTTAACTCATTTTGAGGTGAGCTCAGAGTGAGAATCAACTTTATTGGCCAAGAATGTGTGTACATACAAAGAATTTGACACAGGTAAACTTTCCTCTCGATGTACAAACATTTAACACTGACATGAAATATTGCAAAATCACAAAAAAATAAAAAATATATATGTACAAGTTTGCACAAGACATATAAAGGGCTATTCTGGCGTTAATATAAGTTAGGGTCAAACACACTGTAACACCGAATTAGACACCCCCTCGAGAGATAAATGTTGCAGACTGCTTGCTTCTCTAGTTATACCAACTTCAGCAACGACCTCAACCAAAAAGCCACTCGTAGCCACAAATAATGCTCAGAACAGCACCTAACTTCATCAACAGTACATATAGGGTTCCAGCCATAGTATTAACCACCAAACATCTTTTTAGCTTTGCCTAATTTCTTAAGCAAGACACTAAACACAGCTCACCCACTCCCCTCCAGCAGCCGCTTGTTTGTGGGGGAGCCCTGATGAGTCAGTCACCGAGTGCAGCGGAAAATTTATTATTATTACTTTATGGAAATGCAATCAGACTGAGATGCTAAGGCAGAAGAACTACCGCGTCTGCAGTGCACATACAAGATACACAAGAACTCTGATTGCATTTTACGTTAGTTAAAAATCATAAATTTTCTTCCTTGAGCTGTGAAACTCCACTGCACTCTGTGATCAATTGCTACCATGCATTCATTGCTAAAGTTGGTTAGTAGAAGCAAGCAGTCTGCAACACTCATCTCTCGAGGGGGTGTTTAACTCTGTGTTACGTTTTACCAGAACTTAATTTTATGCTAGAATATCCCTTTAACTTATACAAGGCTATTATGGCAGTAGTGCAATAGTGAGAAGTGCAGTGGAGTGATTGAAAAATTAATACATGTCATTATGTTGCAGGTAGGTTATGTGAATAAGGTATATGTTGTTTAAAATACAATATTAACATTAAAAATTGATATTTAGTAGTATTTGTAAGAGTCTTGTTCTCTACAGCAGAGCTGCTAGCCCGGCTGCAGATTCTTGTTTCCACTCAACCTAACAAGAAGAATGTGTCAGCTCATTAAGTGTTGAAAGTTTTGAATGTATACTCATTTTAAAAATACACTTTTATGATGCCCTGTCTTTAATTTACCCTACTTCTGCAGCTACTCTAGTTAAAGTCTGCCGAGTCCCTTGTCCTTCACCCTTATCCTCGCTTCTACTCCCCCCCCTCTCCACATCTCATCCTCCTGTCATCACTCGTTCTGATGAGGCTGCGAAACAGGTGGCTTGAGAATTCAAAATGTCTAGGAGAGACAGGACCCAAACAGTTGCGTATCTGTGCGAGAGGGGAATAGAGGTAGATTTTGACGGCATGTGTCAAGTTATGAAAGACAGAAGAAAAGAAGGGGCCACACAGAAAAACTGACAGCACACCAAATTTGGTTACACTGTATGCTTTTACTGATTATCTCTTCCACATTCCTTTGAGCTCTGCCCCAAAGTTGTTTTAGATTTGCCTCTCTGCCTGTTTCCAGAACATACGTGAATTGAATTAAAGTTAATGAAACCCATCTTGATTCAACCCTGGGTTCTAAAGTATCACAGATGGGAGAGCTGGAAGCAGTGACAGATTGGATAATTTACACAAGACAAAAGCAGTCATGACTGGGGCAATGTGAAACTCAGTTGAAACACATACAGTGATGCAAAGAAACGCTCTTGATGTAACATGAACAATAACCAAAAAGAAGAATTTTCTCAGCTTCACACAATAAGAGTAAATCTGCCTGGACATCTGTTCCAGCAGCAGTTGTGTTGTGAGACATCCTGTATAAGTTGTCTGGAGACAGTGTGGCACATCAACCACATACTCTAAACTACCTCTTTTCTCTGTGGCTTAGCTCTCAATTTAATTAACTGTGAAAATGTTGTTGGAGGGATGTCACAACTGTTGGTGGATCCCCCAGTCAATCCCAGAAGAAAGTCCCACAGTCTTATCACCCTCGGCTTTCCCATCAGCACTCCCTCAGCCAAACACTCAAGTTACCAATCAGTCCTGCACATTTCACAGAATTTCTGTTCACAGGGTTGTTGTGTTGTAAGCGAGCCATCTTTCAAATTATGGCTTTGTTTTGTGTCAGCTGTGGCACATTTAGATTTGGCAGTAAAAGGAAAACACGCTGTTAAAGCACTCTTTGATTTAAATTCTGGCTCAAAATGGAGGATACGGCAATCAATTAACTTATTATAATAGATTGTGAAACTTAAAGCAAAATGCTTTTTCTTGACAATATTACTTAACCATCATACTCCCTGCTATAACCGCATGTTGACAGCTTTATGGTAAATCACTGGGGACTAAGGCCAGCCTCAGACTGGCACATCTGGCTCCTTATTCGGCAGTAAAAAGCAAAAACCTCAGTTGAGTCTGTTGTGCCAGCAGTTGACGGCCAAAGTAAGCTAATCTCATCTTGTTCTCTGTGTGAATTTGACTCTGAAAGTTGCATTTCATGTTCGGAGCTGCTGCTGACTATTGTAAGGCAATGGGCTGAGACAGTTTTGAGTATATTTGTCAATTTTGGAATGAAGATTCCTTCTCTATGTTGCTTTAAACCCACACAGAGGAGTCGAATATATTATCGCCCCTGACCACATGGACACTAGCTTTCATGTTGTGCAATAACTACTTGAAAAATTGGGTAATACTGGTGGAGCAAGAATCCCAGTTCCCACATGTCTCTTCTCTACCAGCTCATACATATGCAGTGTTTCATTGTTTCTGATCCAGTCTCTAAATCAAAGATTTTTAAAGATGCTTGGCAGAAGTTGCACAACCTTGCAGCGAAATGTGTTTCTGATAAACAGGTTGAGTCAGTTAAAAAGACCTAGCTATTCCAGCAGTTTTATTCTGGTTGTATGATGGCTGATAGCCCGTGAATAAATTCCACATTAGCACATCCACTTGAAAGCGAAGTTGACAGATTCAGCTTTTGAATAAATACTCTCGCCTCCACCACAAACGAAGGGCATTTTTTTGTTTTGTTTTTGCTGTTGCACAATGTAAACTGTTCAGCATCTTCTATGTTTCAGTGTTGTACAGCTGTGCTGTAACGCTTAGTTGACAAGCTCATTTCCAAACTAAAAGGAGCTGCTAACACAAACAATACTGTACCGTACAATGCTGGGTGACAGAAGCAGTTGACAAGCTTGTGCTGCGTTTGACAGGTCTCAACATCACTTCCTTTTTTGAGACATTTTAACAGACATTCTGAGCAGCTCACACTCCACATGCGCACACACTCACACACCGTCCCACTCACTCTATACGTAAACCAGCAACACATGTAGCCAGCAACCTGACTGGAACAGAAGAGGCGATTAGACAGACAGCCCAGGGAGGGGTGGCGCCTGTCATGTGGAATGGATCTCATTAAAAGTATGCCCCAGGTCACACTTTGATGGACAGGGAGACGTCAGTCATCTGCCAGCTAGATTAGCAGATACCAAAGCCCCCGTTCTTCCTCTCTGCCCCTTGAGAGCCCACAGCATACCAAGTGGGTCCAGGCAGACTCTTATGAGTGCCCCGCAGCCTCCGTCAAACCTCTCACCTCTGGCTTGCCAATCACAGAAACAAACGAACACATCCACCTCAAATCTCACAGGAAAAATCCACCTGCTGTGTCCAAAGGCAGGTGGTAGCAAACTTTTTCTTTTCCACCTTTTCCCTTGTGAATGCTGGGGCTTTTTCAGTCTCAAAGGCTAGAGGCTCTGCTGAGAGTTGAATGCACTCGTGTCTAAACCTGATACCATGATTGACGAGCCGCGCTACTAAAATCTAGAGTTTTCTCACAGAATCAACAAATGAAGATCACCAGAAATAGCAGTGAGAAATAAAAAAGTTTAGGTAGGAATCACAGTTCTTTCTGCACTTTTGAATCAACTTAAAAACTCAAAAATCAAATTTCAAAGGTCAGATGTGTATCTTGGTGCCTGCAAATGGAATTGGGTTGACGGTATTCACCCTTTTGTTGTATTCACAATGTTGTAAGTCCAATTTTTCTGAAAGCTCAGAGTTCACCACATGGAGTTTTGTTCCTCCAATAGGAGAACAACGATTAATCTCTTGGCGTCTTTGCAATTGTTGCCGAGCTACATTGCCCCAAAATTTTACCACTTGAAACACTAAGCCTTTTTTTTTTTAACCTGACTTCATGACACTTACTTAATGATTATAAAATTCCATTTGAAAGCAGCATAATGATAGGAGAGCTAGTGTTGGGACAATAAAAGGTTTGGAAAGGTTGGGATAATAAAATTGTAAGAAAAAAATGGTAAGAGGGTTTAAGCTGGTTTTAAACATTCATAAAATGTTTTTGATTTCCTGTTGTGCGCCTGGTTCATGGAATAATCTTCAAAAAGATCAAACTGGACACATTCATACCTGAGGCTTTTTGAAAAAGAAATGAATTGACAGTAAAAAAAAAAAGTCAAATAAAATGAAATTTGTACTCTGGGATTTAATGCTACCACCATGGAGAGTACTTTCAAGCCTTTTCCCCTCTCTTTCTTTTTTTCAGCGTTGTTGTCTTTCAGGAAAAGGACACGCACTGTAATCAGTGACCTACTGTTTATCCCAGCATTCCCAAGAGTTCATGTCTCCAGCAATAGACCTGTGGCATGATGCCCAGGACAGGGGCTGGGGTTGGCTCACTTTGACAAGCATGCTAGTCAAGGCTGTGCTAGCTTCCCTCAAAGCAGATCAGGATTCCCAACAATGTCCGACATGCAGCCTGATGTAATACCGAGTCCATTTGACTTGCATCTAAATCTGGGGCTGGTAAAATTGAGGAAAAGATTTGGCAAAAGATAGAAGTAATTCTGGTTATTTTCAGAGCTGAGGATGGGCTTGAGGAAATGCGTCAGGGGTTAATACCCCTCATCAGCATTTTGATTTGTCACAAGTGGTGCAGATATATGAAGTATCCCAAATTGAATCCATACTGGAATCTAACCAGCATGCGGTGTGTCATGCTTCGTGCATCCATGCCACGAAAGGCCAAAGGTAGTCAAGACAGATACGAGGAGATGTCATCTTCATCCTCTGCCGAGCTGCTTCCTTGAAGATTATCACTGGAGCATGCACAAGTGTGAAAAAACACCAACAACAAACCTTTTCGTGTGACACTCAGAGTTTGGGGTTTGGTCTGTATCTGCTCCAGTTTATAGTGCTTTATGAATTCATCCAAAGCTTAGAGAGGTTGGAAATGACAAAAGGTTCACCTTAGCTTTGATACAATATGCAACCGAACTGCAAAGAATCAAAATGAAGCTCCTAAGCATTGTTCGAATAAGTTTATTTTTGTCTAAAACTTAAAAATGCTTCAAGAACATACATATGTCTTGTTTGCTAAATTACTTAACTTGAAATGATATGCCTTAGCAACAGCAACACTATTACTGTCTCCACACACCAAGCGCAAGTACAATCATTTGCGCGAATGAATTATATGTTAAGTCAATGCAAAGACGCGATTAGACACTTCTCCTACTCTGGCGGTGCGAATGACGTGAATTGGGCGGGAGCTGAAAATGTCTCAACTTGAGCGGATATTTGTGTCCCGATAACTAATCAGCATGAAGGTTGCTAGGTGACGTATGAGAACGGACGGTTGTTTACTGGTATCTAAAATGGCGGACAAACTGATTGTGTCGGTGTTTGGGTGCCCCAAATGATATTATACCTTTTCTTTCAATTACCAAAACCGTAATAAATAGGAGCTCGCCTTACCTGGTAAATTGTAAAAATCCTTTGTCTATCACTTGATCCCACTGGTTAAATTGGCAGGGATTACTGTTGAAATTACCATTGACGTGCGAATGAAGCAAGTAAATACAATTCATTCACGCGTCTAGATTCGTGCGAATTAAGTGAGTAAATGATTTTACTCGCGCTTGGTGTGAACGCCCCATTACAGTTAACAAAAATCAGTGTTGGTAGTCTGTGGTTTGATATCATGTAAGAATATATGATCAAATACGTAATTTTATTTCCACATAAAAACAGTAATACAACTCCTTAATTTGAATAATTTGAGTGTAAAGGTCAATCCTCAGTATAATGATAAAAACTGAGTGCTGGAATTAAATAAAGGCTGGTTCATACTTAGTCTTTTATGAGAATCAGCAGATATGTGTTTTGCATTGATTCAAGACCACCTGGGGAAAATAAAGGCCTTTAAGTCTTTGTCACATTGACTCAGGAGTCAGAGGTTCTCAGCAGTTGTATGTGATATTAGCGGTCTATTCCTGAAGGATTGTGACTTTTGGACGTATTGGCAATATGAGCTCCCGCAAAATGCCGTTCTGGGACTTCCCTCCTGAGATACATAGGACCTGGGTCACTGGGCTCTGACACGACCCTTCACCCCTCCAGTACTTACTTTCCAAACTGATGTTATGTAAGCTGATACGTATGGGAAATGTTAAGTGGCATGTGTTGCTTTGTTGTTTGCTTTGAAATGACTCGGGGACATGAAGAAGATTGTTAATTTGTGTAGAACATGGTAATCAATTTGTTGTGGTTCGAAGCATAATGTGGATTAAATTCAAATGAGATCCATCAGGGGCTGAGATGCCTGAGGAATCTTAGTTCTCTCTGCGCTGCCTGTACAAAATTAGATGAGGACAACAAGAGGGTTGAACACAATGCAGCAGGAATCACAATGCATTTACTAATCCCTTCCTGAAAACAGTAGGGGAAACCCCCACATGTAGCTCACCCTGAGGCTACCGCATTCAAATTTCTTTGGTTTACTCTGGACTGACATGCAAGCAATAAGGTTTTCAGGGGGGTTGGTGGAAACCTCTATTCTTCAAACAATGACTGCCAGAGTTGTAAATGTCAGGAAACCATTATTTGACTAGCTGGATGAATAAGGTAGACAGCTTTTTTTTTTTTCTTTTTTAACCAAACCAACAGTCTAGCTTGCATCACAGTTAGGGCTGTACGATATGGGAAAAAGTTTATCACAATATATATTTTTTTCATATCAGTCGATGTCGATATCATGATATTAAAAATGAAATTAAACAGTGCTTATTGGTAGCATGTCTTTTGCAATACAATAAGATACTGCATCTATGAGGTCTTTATGTCTCTTTGATGTTTTGTCGTGAGGCATCGGGATAGAGAAAGCGGACTGATTTTAAAAAGTATTCGAAGTCAACAATGGTCAGCAGGTTTGCATAAACTTAAGAAAGCATAGGCATCCACCTGCAGGCAGTATAAGACAGGAAAATGAGGAAGATTGTGTCATGTGCCTATAAGCTGAAAATCTGTCTTCATAGAAATACTCTTAAAGCATTAGTACACAATGGCATTATTTAGATTGAAGTACCACACTTAATTTTCTTATTTATATAAAATATGCCATGGTAAATTCTCAGGAACAAAATGTGAAATGCCAACAGTGAAAAAAAGTCTGTCATCTGATTCCTCTAAGGTGTTAAGTGTTGTTTTCTTCACTGCATAGATAATAACACATTTTAGGTATAGCAGTGATTTAAACAGCATGATACTGCCAAATTCATTCAGCATGTAATTTTTTTTCCTGGTGCTAATAGATACTCAGCTGGACTATCTGCATCTGCATCTTTTTCTCATTAAAAATAGCTGGGGAGCCTGCATGCATTCACAGCAGCCGGAGAAAGCCAGGGAGCGATCGAGTAATCAAGCTTCTGCTTCTCGCAGGTTGTTGCCTCACTCGCGTTTCCCTCATTTGACTGTCACTCAGCGAGATACCACTTTCAGCCTCACCCTTTAATCATCTGTCATCCCTGCTAATGCAAAGCGACTGGCAGCGCTGTGTAGGAAATCAGCCACATCTTTAGTGTCACTTCTCGTTAACATAGAGAATCAGGTAAGAGAGGGGGGTACTTAGTTACTGTATCCACAGAGACCTAAAAGGCTAAACCTCTAATAGTGAATACCTCTACTTTCTTGAAACTGCATCTTAACTTCTAGTTATTTTGCGTAGGATGGCATTTTCTTAAGCCTGTAGTGATGTCCTAGATGTGACAGTTTGTGCCTTTGGCAGCTTTGTAATTGGATCGTTTTCTTGACACTTCATAGCGTTACACAGAGACGGTTCCTGCACCTTCACCAGTCTTTTGCACATCATTCTTTTCATTCACACAGCTGGGGGAGCTCTCTGCCTCACCCACATACAGTTCCCAGGCACAGCTGTGCTCACTTGCCTGCTGGTGGGTACAGTTTTTAATATTAATGATGCTTTAGCCGATTCAGTCCTGACACTCACCTGCAGTGCAGTGTACTGGATGAGCAAAAGAGGAAAGGAGGCAAACCTCATTTATGCCTGACAGCACCCTATGGAGGGAGATCTGATGAAACGCTGATGTTTCTCCCCGTCTTTCCCTCATGTATGCCATTCCTCAGTCAGCTGCATGTCTGAGCAGCAGGGCGCAAGTGGGGCTACAGTGTTTAAATCCATACTGGCCAGTTTTATCTTGCTGTCCCACCTGAGTTCCATTGCTACGGCCACATAAACCACAGACATAATAAAAAAGCAACAAACACATAGGATTCCATGAACCACTGCTTGTTGTTTTGCTGTAGAAGCAGTTTCCTGCCGAGAATGACGTGCCACAAAAGGAAAATGACAGGTGGAAGTTATAAAGTGGGCGATGGCTGAATTCCATGTAGCTGCTCCTGCTGGTATTGTGTATGGTGGCTCACTGTCACTCTGTCATGGCTTGCTGGGATGCTTTCATAGGGCACTGACATTGTTAATGTTATTTATAACGACTGTGTCTTTCCTACTATTTCACCTTACAATGGGGTTGTGTTTGCTTATGTTTTCAGAGGTAGAAGGGCTGCAAAAATACATTCTTGGAAGGTGGTAAATTGGGAGTTTAGTTACCTAATGTTTAAAATAAGGCACTCTTGCTCAGCTGGTTAAATGAATAATTCATATTTTCATTAATGAAGGCTCCAAATGATGTGTCTTAACTGTAGTAGACAGCCATCATTACCCAGAGTTGTATTTTTGGTTATAGGTAACTGCCATAATGCCATAATACTGAGCTACCTGAATCTGAACAAACTTGTTGATGACATCTAATAGCTCAGTGCATCCAGCAGTATTTGGGAGTATTATTTGATTCTGAAAATGAAGATAAAGTTTCATATAGTCTGGTTAAACTGACACATCACCACCTGACCCCAGCAATTTGAAACCAGCACCAACATGCAGACATAAACCTGCAAGATGGATGGTATTTGCTCTGCTAACCTCAACCACACTTGGCAAAGCAATCTAATTATTACTGGTAGACTCTGTGATCCTTTTTAGCCATACCTGATCAATTGTGCTCAGTTATAGCATTAAAAAAATCTTAGTTTGAGACGAGTCAGTCTGACTTTAAATTCCCGTTTTAACAACTAGGACATTAGTCACTTTGGAGAATCCATGTTGGTAAAGCTGTCATACAGAATCCTTATTTCTCTTTTTCCTGTTTCCCTATATTTAGCACTCACTAAAAAAGCTCTCAAACTAACTTTTTTCTGTCTTACTTGGTTCTTAAGATTTGAACTGTAATCATGTTGCTGTGAAAAAGGCCAAGTAACCAATCGACAAACCACTTAAATTAAAATAAAGAGAGGAAATTTTGCGTATGTCCTTTTCAGCCACTTAGAAAAGTATTTTCCAGTCTCTTCTATTGACAGGGTCACAGAATTTTCCTGTTGTTAAAAAACCCTCTCAAGTCAGTATGGAACTTTTTTGTTTTTTATGATGTGACAGTGATATTGTTGAGGTTTTGTTGGGTTTAGACACAAACATGACTTGGTAAACCTAGAGGAGAGATTTAAATAAATACTTAGTTAAGTTAGAGGAAACATTGTGGTTTGTGTGAAAATGACTACTCCGTTAGGGTTTAGGAAAATTTGTTGTCCTTGTAAGGATGATAAATACATGGTCATGGTTAAAAATGATTGCGGTTATAAAGAAAAAAAGAAAAACAACTATAACTGTCCACAGGAGAAGGGAAACAAATAGCTGTCCAGTGTGTTAACGTATGTTTATTGACTCATCTAACTCTAGTAAACTCAGTGGACTGTCATCACCTTCATCTACCTTTTACTCCAGATTAAAAGGAGCCCTAATTCTTTTTACTGAAACTTGCATTATTGGAGATATTTCTATGATTCAACTGATTCTGTCGGGAAAAGTCTGGCGATAGATCTGCCACTATCTTATTCTTTCCTCTGCCACACATCTGCAAGTTTGTCTGAACCTATCTAGCACAATAAACTCTGACCGTGCAACCCCCACATGCAATCCATCAGCACACCATGCTTTTCTAACTCCAACCCACGGGCATGACATTATCGTTGCCCTACATATTAGACTGGTCATGCTCTGAATTGGGGTTATCCCTGCACCCACTTCAGCAGACCACCCTCTGGTTGTGTCTCCTTAAGTGCACAAACAACCCAACCCCACTGTTAGGGCAACACAGCTTTGTACAATGGGGGTGTTTAAACCATTGTGGATTCATCCCTGCTGGTACAAAGGATCAATGTTTTATTTGATAGCTGGTCAGGGATCGCATCAAAGAATTTCTTCAAATCTGAGACTTTTTTCAGCTGAAAAAAATTAAAGTTAGACATCACTTTATCAGTACTCCTTCACTGTTTTTGTCCTGGTGAACCAGTTGACCTTACGTGTGAGTGAGTGTGGTTGTAATGATATTCTCTTAATCCTGCTGCAACTTAATCTACAATCAACACTGAGCAGTGTTGCCAGATGGGAAATATAGAATTATCGTACCAGAGACTCAAAATTATCGTATTTTGGGGAATATTAACCAAAATAACAATCTTATTGTTGCATGATAGTCATATATAGTCACTCTGTTTAGTGTCCTAAAGACACTCACAGTTTTGTGGCTACAGTTTTGTGGTCATTCACCACCCCACCCCACATCAGCAGCATATGATCAGCAGCTCCAACTCAGCTGTGTTACACTAATGCATCCCCTTTTAAACAAATGACAGGTAGGAACTAATGAGCCAAATCATGAGACCTTGAGGTCACCTACTTTTTTGAAACAGTATTCATAATAACTGACAAGGAAATAAAGAGTAATCTGACTTAGTAAAATCTATTTTAGACAAAAAAAATCAATCTCGCACGAGGATTTGGCTCCCGTTCATCCTGGTCCTCTTCGGAGGCACTCATTTTTCTCAACTGCCTAACAGACTGAGCATGATTGACAGCCAATCATGAAGACACAGTCACTCAAACTAGGACTGAATGGAAACGTCACGTGATAAAAGATGCGGTCAGGGTTCGCAAATAAAAAACTGAAAAATAAAGTGTCTAGCAGACTGAGACAGTCCTATTGCACCACATGTTGACGAAACTGTCAAATTATTGTACATTCAGCCTTTTTTCTGGGTTATTGATCGAACAGAGGGAAAAAATGTCATACAAATACAATAATTATTGTACACCTGGCAACCCTGACACTGAACTTGCAGAAAACATAAATCATACAAAATGAAAATACGTTTTAGGACATAATAGTATTTTTTAACAGAGAATGGATCATCATTATTTACTTGAAGCTTATTCAGCCGTTGAACATCTTTACAAGACAACGGAGACTGCACCATGTTTTCCTGCGTGTCCTTTTTATGTATTGAATTATTCAGAGGTGTGGTGATAATACGATTCTGCAGAGGACAGGGCTACCTACAGCCTGAGTGTGAAGCGTGAGGACGTCACTGACCAGAGGCAGCTGACACGTCCTGTCACTGTGACCTGGCACTGTCCTGCCTTTCCACACACACAGCTAAGCCTGAGTGCAATCACAGCCAAAGTCCTACGCTTCACAGCCAGCACAGGAAGCACAGCTTACAACATATACACACTCATACACACACAAACACATGCTCTAGGATACACATGCAGGATGGTAGCTTGTCAGTTCCCCAAACTCTGTCCTCTTGATAGGAGTACTCTCACCTGTAGTGTTTCCATGGAGACCAGGCACACTAATGAGGTAGTGTGTGTTTTTGTGTGTTAATACTTGTGTGTGTGTGTGTGTGTGTGTTTACAAACGGCGAGGGCAGGTGTCATTAGGTAGAGGCAGGTGATGGGAAGCAGCGTGGGCTATCTCGTGTAGCAGAGAGGCTAGAGAGGCTCATCCCTTTCATATCAAAAATCCTACAACCAAAAGTTCATATTGCATTTGTCCATGCATGAGCTAGCTTCCCGAATGATGAACTGAAAGATATCAGCTCGTCTTGGAAGACGAGGAGTATCATTTATTACTGCCATGTGTGAGTAATGAATCATAAGGTTGTGTGTCCAGAGAGGCGGGATAAAGGAAGGAAACTGTGCAAACATGTGAACCTGCAGCCAATTAAGAGTGGAGAAGAAGCAGATGGCTCGTTTGGCTGCTAAAGTAGGATTTTCACCGACTTCCATGACCTTGACGACGAGCTGTCAACAAGCAAACACCTCAAACTTTTGATTGGTCTCGAGAGACATCTATAAATAAAAAATCCAATTTATGGCAAAAGTCAAACAAAAACAGAAGGTGTCATAACCAACAGCAGAACTTTGTAAGCAACTAAAGTAGCATATTAACAGCGACATATATAAAGAGCTTTTGTTTTTGTTGGGGTGTAGACTGCAGTAGATTTCAAAACTCGTGATTCAGATCATTTACCGGTTTTGAGTCATGAGTCAGATCAGCTGGAAAACATGGAGAATTATTACTGTAACATCTCCACCTCCCTTCCAACTATAACCACCAATCTGCTTTACAGTGCACTTTTATTTATGATGCTTCTGCTCCATCATGCGTGTTAGTATTATATAGCTTCTCCAATCCGTTATGCTACAGTCGAGTTGTTGAGTTAATTTACTGGAGCCATTCCTGGCACACCAAAGTAAGCTATATAATTCATTTACATTTGTAGTTCCTGGGAAGAAAGACCTACAATCATACTTAATACTACCACAAAATACCACAAAAATACAAGCAGTCTGATAAATCCCTGTTCATTCAGAAAGTACTTTACATAAATCCAAAGTCCACAAGGCTGTACTTCCATAAACTGCTTCATTTCAGTGCTAGTATCCATACGATCTCCACCTTAGTTGTTAGAAGCAGAGACTTTCTTGTAATTGTAATGCATGTACCTTTGCACTTCCTTTACCTGTGCGATTTGAATGTCACAGTGTTGTTGTCCGTGCAGTCGTGCTCTGACAAGGGCACGAGTTTGTCACCTACAGGTGTTGACGGTGACATGTGGCTGTGGATTAGCAGAGCGGATCAATGGATTTAGGAAACACATGTTTATCAAGTGTCCTCTGGAGAATTTGTCGAGAATAGTGTTAGGTTGATGGCTAACTGTAACAACGGCTCTTAGTCGTCTTTTGGTCCAGGTGTAGATGAGGCTTCTCTGCTTTAATCTAACTTTACTGTAGAGAAAAATCAAGAGGTCATCAATTACGCTGCTGTCGTCCCGGTCAAGTGGTTACAGAGGCCGCTATTCCTGGCTGATTTCCTCTGAATCATTTAAAATAACAACAGTCACACTTTTTAATTAGCTGCAGTGAGACTATTGATTCTTGTTTTGTTATTTTTGACCAGCTGTACATTCTCAGACAGGCTGTTTGCACATTCTACACCTTTTCCTGAAACTCTTGTAATCAAAACCTCCACATCAGCTTTGCCATCTGGGAAATTGAGGCCCTCTTCCAGACCAGGATGACAGACCCCAGGTGCAACAGCCAAAACACTACAAACCATATCTCCTATATGTGAAAAAAAAGTGTCTTTTCAGTTCAATTCAATGAGATTGTATGTGTGTAAGTGTGGAATGAACTTCCCCTTTCCCAGTCTGTCAGACACCCATAGGACTTGTGCTCAATAAACTCTCTGCCCTTTGCACTTTAAAGGAAGTCCATCTGCTCTGGAGAGTGTTGTGCAGCCTCCAGGCAGCTTGTGCGATGCGTGCGGACTGTATGCTTCAGCACTGATGGCTGTGCAGAGATTTCCTCTTCCTTAGCAGCACGGTCTTCCTTTCCAGATCCACTCAGGCTCTGTGACATGTTTAGCATTGCTGTATAATGGATGTCTGAGGCGCTGCAACAAGAAGCTTCAGGTAAAGGTCATTAGACCTCAAGGGGGATAAGCAACAGCTGAGGCAAAGGGTTGACCTCATCCACATCTGCTAGGCCACTTAATAGTCTATTTCTGCTTAAAAACACGAGAACAAGTATCGTAATTTTTGCATTGTCTAAAACGTAGATACCTATTTAAATCTTTTCTTCATTACAGTTCACGGTTTCTTGGTTATTGCCACTGTACAGGTCAGCACAGTTAATTATTTCCTTTATACCATTTTCTGTTTATACACAAGTTTTGTGTTTATGGCACATTGCTCTACAGGGAACAAATGTTCACAATAATTGCCTCACACTTGATGCCCAGCAACTGCAACGCAGGAAATGTAGGCAGCTTAACGTGTCTGTCAGCGTGGTGGCATATTATTTGATACTCCTAGCATCCCATAATCCTCCTGGATCATCAGCACACAGGCTGGTGGGGAAAGAGTAGCAGCAGAGATGGCTGGTGTTGGCATACTGGAGCCTGTCAGTGTGCTTTTGTCGTACATTTGACTCTGAAACATGTCAAGAATCTCTTCCTTCGTAACTACTGTGACAAAATGGCATTAATGTTTGAACATCTGTATTACATTTGCTTTCTGTCATTTGTTTGCAGAAAAATTGTACAGCAATGAAGATATCTCACACTGAAATATGATAATGAGGGACTATACTGTGGTCTGTATTACAAATGATGAGAACAGGTGGAAAATTGTATTTATTTTACCATGCAGCTTTGCTCTTAGGGGAAAAGAAAACCTGGTATGTGTTTAAAAGGCTTCACCTACACCAAACATCTATTTGGGATCCCTGTATTAAAAATATAATATATGCTGGCAAATATAAAAAAATAAGTATGCTGACTTATTTCACCACAGGTCTGCTCTCCTCTTTTTCCTTAATTCCAAAGAAAATAACACCATAAATCAAACCCTAATGAGCTGCCTCATGCATTTTAAAGAGATCACAAATGGCATTGTTCGACTATTCACTGCCTTTTTGGCCTCAATGTCAAAGATTAATGGGATTATTATGGGTCTGTGTAGACTAAATAGCCTGTCAATACCAAATTAAGCTGGATGGCCACACCAGTGTAAGCTTGTTATTTTTGTTTTGTCCTAATCAGCCATAAAATGTCAGAGCAAATACTAAATTATCAAAATAGTTATTATTTATAACTTTTGGCAGCAAGACCTGGTTAGCAAATAGGCCCAGTCATGGCATTGCCTTAATCTCTGCCAATGTAATTATAAATTATAATTATCTACCAATCTAATCTTAAAGGTGGTGAATTCATTCATAAATTGAAAGGGTTTAAAACAACAATTATTTATTAATATTGTTTATTAACAACAATATAATTGTCGTATACGGTAGATGTGACCTACAGGTTGTATCCACTAATACTATAAAATTGCCCCAAATATTGTATGCTTTAATGTCATATGGTTATTATTACAAATCTCTATCTTCTATGTGCAAGAATTGAACAGTTTGCTCTTGTTTGTATCAAAATAAGTTACTCTCACTTATACTTGCATCAAAATAACAAGAAGCCAGTTTGTTTGGATTGAAGAGAACCCCCTTGTTTCCTCAAGTTGAACTGCTGTTTTAGCGCCATTCTGACTTATTAGGAAAGACAGAACAGTTTCACAGCCATCAAGCTTAAAGGATACTTTCATGGGGGGGAAGGTGACGAGTTTAAATGCACTCCAATCCCCTGCACATGTGTGATGAAATGTATCACTGCGGGAAGAGAACTGTCAACCTGTGTCAGAATTAATCAACCTTAGTGACACAGACCCGGGAACCCACACACATAAATCTGCACGTGCATGAAATTCAAACAAAATACCTTCCCTCTATGTGTTGATGGAACTAAGTGTGGACTGGAAATCCAAATGACAAAACTGCCAAGGTAGCTACACAGTTTGTGTTCACATAAATGTAAAATTGCACTGAAAGAGTCTCTGAAACCAGCTCAAACTGAGGGACATCAGTGTTAAGCGTCGCTCTTTAAGTGCACTGGCTGCAGTTTAAAGGAGAGTGATATTCTTTTGGAAGTGTTTACAGCTGTACTGACTTCTCTCCCTGCGCACTGAAGCGCTCTGATTACAGTCCTCCACATACTGTCCGTGCTCACTCCACACGCTTCAAACATGATGCTCCATTCACACAGGGCCTATGAGCTGAAAGAATAACAGCCACAGCTGCTGCGGTGTCATCAGAAGCTCATTCAGCAGCATGAGGTCAAAGGTCAAATACAGCTGTCAGCTGAGTTCATGTTTACACAGCTAGACTAGATCATCAGATTTGTATAAAACAAAAGTAATAAACATCAACAAGGTATAGTAGATTAAAAGGGAAATGCATATTGGGTACTGGACAAGACATCATCATATCCAGGTATGTGGTTGAATACAGTGAAGTCTGCAAAAATATACAATATTTGAATTTTAATGGTGTTTTGGGTATATCTGTGTATCCCCACATGAGGATTCACTGCCAATACGAAACTTTTGGTGCAAGGAGAAGCTTGCAGTATCTTATATCAATACTACTGTTTACAAATTCCATGAAAAGACATGCATAAATAGTCGATTTGTGTGTTTGTAGTACTTATAAAAAGCAGTTTTTTTCCTCCTGAAGACATAAATCTATAATATGGTCTTAAGAAAGCCTGTGTTGAAACATATAGTCACTTTACTTTTGAAATTAAGGATTTTTATTCTTCCTTAGAGTGGCTATATTTTCAGTTCAGGCTGTCATTGTCTGGAAATAACATGGAAGGTCAGTTGTTTAATTTATTACCTCACATCAGGTTTCACTTTTCGACTCTTACCCTATTTTGTCTACAAATCTAACTGAAATTTGTTTGATTTGCATACAACATTGGAGACAATTTCCCACTGTGAAGTTTGTGTTTATCAGAAAAAGTGGACATGATACACAGTGCAAGGGTATCGCTCAGTGATTTAGCAGTTTTGGACATAATTTAAGTCACAATAGGGATGAATAAGTAATCGTGGCAACACAGATGATTTGTAAGGATAAATTTTGACAAAATTTGACAAAAATACACAACCTAACCACACTCTTCTAGTAGTATTTTTGATAATTGAACCTAAAGCACAAACAATAAAAAAAATTGAATAGTTTCTGAACATTAGTAGTCACAAAACATTCAGCAGAGTGGCGAGTATGTTTGATTTGGGTGGATTGATGGCCTCTCTCAGGGGGTGTTAAGATGAAAAACATGGCTGCTCGCACTGATCAGCGATGCAGGGTCATGCATTCTGTTTTTCTTTCTTGACAGAAAGCCTGTCCAACAAAGTTTCTGTGAAGACCCCTGGAGTATTCTGTGAAAATGAATAACATGTCTCTCTTGAACTTTGACCCTCTGCCGCGCTGAGCTGTGATTGTTTTGCCCTCGGTGGAGTATGATTACATAAAGCCCTTGATTTTAACAGCTCTCCACTTTCTGTTGTGATGGGGAAGAGGAGATGGAGTGAGGGAACGTCCAATCACGGGAGAAAACAACTTTTTTGTAGTTTTTTAACCATTGTATTTGAGTCTGTTAATGCATGGCACCAAAGCAAGAGCAGCCATAACCAAATAACTGCAGCGAACTCTTGGTCAGAAACTCAAATCAAGGGAACTCAGTAAAATTACTTTAAGGAAAAGAACAGTAATTTCAACTAAAGGGAAAATGTGTGTTGGAGCCCTGTTGTGGTATTTCCCCTGGAAAATAAAATTAGGCCAATTAGATTAGAACAATAAAGCCAATACTTATCATAGTGCAGCCTTCAAACTATTCAATTACGTTGTCTTAAGTGCTGTGGATCAGATTCTGCCTCGGGCCGTTCCTCATGAAATGTCAGCTTCATATAAATGGCTGGGTGTTGCCTCAATTAAATACATATTTGAACATTTTAAGCAAGTTGAAACAGCGGTGAGGTCAGGGGAGCTTCTGCTAAGGATTCAGCTTTCCAAAAATAGTGCTTCTGTTTAAAATGCTCTTAACTGGTTGGTGACTCAAAGCCTGTCTCTATTACATATCTTTCTATTTAGTGCTTAATCTAGCACAGTAGTATGAGGAGATTTATATTGGTAATTGATATGGCAGAAGTCGCAGTATTTGTGATGGAAACTCTGATGCAAAACAAAAGCATCGGTGGATTTTTAAACAGTTAAGACCTTGGAGACTCTGATTGTTCTTGGCTTGTTCTGGTCCTCATAAACAATGTTTCAAACTCTGGAAGAAACTCACCAGTACCTCAACGGTGACCTTCACGTCGTGTTCGCTTGCGCAACAGTGTAGCTATCTCTGGTGTTTAGAAGCTGATTACATCTATGTCCTTGTCTGTTAAAATGCCTGACCTATGACCTCTGCTGTAAACAGACTTATTGGGTTGTGTCTGCTCTTTTAACAAGTAAAGGGGTCTTAGAGTCTGAGGACGCCACTGCCAAGACAGCAAGGGGTCAGGAATGAGGGCATAGGAGGAAGAGAAGATTACAGGACAAACGGGACTTTTAAATGAGATTGGATTCATGGAAATGCAGCAGTCTTATGCAATAATTCACATCATATTAATCCCTCCTTCGAAGTCAACCAAAGCTGAAGTAGCCAGGAGGGTAATTTAACAAAATATCAAAAAAAATAAGGCTTTAAAAACTTGAAAATCCACAGTTTCTTTGCGAGCATTTTCCTGCCAGCATGTACTTACTTTAAATTCCTTTCTTAAGGGGCTCATGGTTCTTCCCTCTTCTGGACTCACTTTGAGAGAAGAGGGGTAGCTTCATCTTTAAGGGATATTTCGGCGTAAAATTAAGTTAGGGTCAAACACACAGTAACACCAAGTTAGACAACCTGTTGTGAGATGAATCTTGCCAACCGATTGCCTCTAGTTATACCAACTTTAGTAGCGACCGCAGATAGCAATACAGAAAGCCACGTACTCAACCAAAAAGCCACTCTCGCCACAAATGATGCTTAGAACAGCACCTAACTTTATCAACAGCACGCAGGGTCCCACTCATAGCTCTAGCCACCAAACATCTTTATAGCTTTGCCTGATTTCTTCAGCAAAGAGACTAAACACAACTCACCTACTCTCTTCCAGCATCCGCTTGTTTGTACGGAGACCTTAGGTGAGTCCATCAACTGATGTGGCTCAAGGTAGAACATTTATGGTCATTTCTTCATGGAAATGCAATCAGACTGAGACGCTAAGGCAGAAGAACTACCGCGTCTACTTCAAGGAAATAATAACGTAATGATCATAAATGTTCTTCCTTGAGCTGCATCCCCCCACTTCAGTCGATGGACTCCTGGAGGTCTCCATATAAACAAGCAGCTGCCGGAATATCCCTTTAAATGGTTGCTGTTCAGTAGCAAAAACTATATATTTGCAAAGCAGAGAGTCATGTGGCTGGCAAAAGCTGCAAATTTTGTTTAAAGTACAGTCAACCTTTATCTGAACATCATAAAGGAGGGTTGGATCACATTCTGCTCATGGATACCCAAAAACAAAACAAGAGAGTGTTGCTAGCTGCATGCCAGTTATTACCGAGTCTGTACTGAAAGGAGCCCATGTAACACAAAATAAAGGTTTTATAGAATACAGATTTGCTCAAATGCACTCCAACATTTTATCGTAAGGTCTTTGAGAGCTGCAGCAAGAGTACCACACCTTCCATGTCATCCTGAGCTCCAGTGCAAGCCTCCAACATGGCATCCCCAGGGGAGCCTTCAGCCCATGTCTACACTAATTGCTCATTGATACAGATTGTGATTATCTGTGCTTACAGGGTAATTATGTAGTGTCAGAGTCACTAAATCAGGGTTGGAATGAGGCTATCACAGTGTTGGCTCTTTGGGGATTAAGGGGGGTATGTCTGGGCCTCTGTGTTATCTCGATTCCTCTCCAACCCTTATCTCCAGAGCGTGAGCCTGCAAAGAAACAACAGCCGGGCAGCAGCCAAAGCAGACAGATAGTTGGAGTGCCAGGCATGCAATGTGAAGACACAAAGAGAGGGAAGGTTCCACACACAAGCACAAATACACACCAGGCTTACACATTTATGGCCCTTTTTGTTGCTTTTGTGTGCACCCCATAGAACAAATGCCAGCTCACTGTGAAAAATGAAAATTTTGCTGTGACGGAAAACAACCACAATGTAGCATTTCAATGAAATTTGGCTGCATTGATCCAATTTAAATGTTCCAAAAAGCTTTCATGAAGCACAGAGTATATGGGCATAGAAAATACTGACTTACTGGTGGTCAACCATTTTATGGCTGGCTGTTTTTACATTGCATTATGTGGTGTTATAAACAGGCTGTGCAGTCTCCAAACTTAGCCAAGACTTACCAAGTGCCACCTTTGTTTTGGCCCTCATTTGTAAAACTAATTGCAACCCAACCACACAATTTAACACCATAACAATCACTTCAGCTAAAACATTACGCAGTTTTGTTCATCTTAATGCATATAAAGAGAAATAACATGCTTCCAAGTCTGGACCCAGTTAAGATAGACTGAGGCAAAGTGGAAACTGCGTCATGGTCTGACAAATGAAATATGTAGGGCTGATGAAACAATTCAAGTGTCACAGAGTGCGCCATGGGTAATGGGTTTTTTGATTAATTGCAATGAAGGATCATTGTATATGGAAAAGACAAGAAGGGGCACTGGCAGCTAGCAAGAAGTCCTGATATGCTAAAATAGAAAATAAGAAGTCCCAGTACACCAAAGGGTTAAATGTGGAAGTGGCAGTACTGTACACTGAAGTGTTCAGGCCCATTTAAAGCACTGTGCACATGTACTATTCTTTAGCTATAATACATTTAAATGAAAGGTTAAAAACAATGTCAGTCCCCCATCATATGGCAAATATGTCATTATTGGACTGTCGATTGAATCTTTTGGTACAGGTTTTACATCCAACGTCCATGACGACAGTATGATTTAGTGCAAAAAATAAAATAAAATAAAATAGAATGAACTTGTGACTAAATATTGAAAGGATTGGTTTAAATGAAGGGTTAAAATGCCTCATTATAAATAGTAAAAATGTAGTTATAGGTGATAAAAGTCTATGGTGGGACCGAATCCTGATCGACTACATCAAGAACACTCTACTCAGTCTTCTAGGACTCCTGCTGCAACTGTCATTCTCCTTAAAAAAGGCTTAAAAGAGCTTCATAAATATCCTGCAAGTTGGAAGTACCAGAACGAGTCAGGGCTATGTGCATCTGCTATGGTGTGAATAATATGAATCCCACATGTCAAAAAGTTCTTTCAAACAAAGAATGTTTCTCATCAAAACAGGGAAAGTTTCCTCGAAGAATAACACTCAAGTCTGAGAATATTTCTTCTGAAAGCTTTTGAACATTTCTGGTTCTGTGTCTGCACAATGTAACATCTTCATCTTCTCATGACAACTTTCATCTTCTGAAGTATCTGCTCCGATGACAGAAACTTCCCACGACCCTGCAGCCATTTTTCAAACACTTTTTTCCTCTTTTATCCCGCCGAAGTCTTTCTTCCATTTAAGAGCATTAGGAAAGTGATTTTTTCACATCTTGGCCGCATCTTGTCTCTGGATACAGCTTCAATAGGGATCCTGAGAACTGGAAAACATTGCGGAAACCTTTAATGTCACTTGGAACGCATTCACTCAGCCGAGGCATCGCTTTAAAAAACTGTGAAATGTTAGGAGGACTGTTCAAGTAAAGTGGATTCTTGACCTCCCACATTTCCCTGGATTTAATATCAGTTAATTTATTGACAGTCATGAATAGATTTTTCAGACATAAACCAGATCATATCACTTAGCACTACAGCATCAACAGGAAGCCTTTTAAGCCGTATAATCTGGTGTGCCTTATCGCCCGAAAAACCCGGTAATTGTTTAGGCAGTATCTGGTCAACGTAACTAAGTAATTTTGCTTAAATTAATATTCTTTTATGAAGACCTATCATTACCAAAAGATAATGATTTGAGCTTTCATAAAAAGTTTGGTTTTGTTTCACTGCCATCTTCTCCTTAAAAGAAGATGTTTAATATATCAATGTATCATAAATTGTAACTTGAAGCTACAGGTAAAGGATAATGTATAGCGAGCAGTTTGTCATGGCAGATTGGAACCCTGACAGGGTGAGCAACCCTGTAGCGAGTGACACAAGAACAGAAATATTGGTTTCCCCAATATCCAATTCTGGGTGCATTTTAAAGTCCTTCGGTAAATGCTTGACATGGACCCAAGCTCCCTCAAAGCAGATGTAAACAAAGCACCATGTGGTGGCTTATTTTTATCTGCCTTACAGTATTTTGATTATTATTTTGGCTTTGTCTTCACATTGCGTGGACTGGATGGCAATGCTGTTGCTGTTTTGCCATTGCTTTGCACGCTATTTTCTTCATGGCTATTGCTGGACTCTCATCGTATTTCTTTCAGATCTACCTTCCTTATCTACCACTTCAAACAAAAGTCACTCTGCCCCCCAAAACATGGTCCAAGAGCCACTAAAGATGCCCCAGCTGCTTTCAACTCACTTGTAGTTCCCCCCTTCCTTTCACTGTCAATGCACGGAATAGAGATTATCAGCAGAGCATCCCTTTGTTGTTGCTTGGAGGGGATGAGGGTATTTGAGTTAGATCTCCTGGATAACATTCGGAGCACCCAGATTTCATTTCACGCAATGTTCTTTTATGCTGACAGAGTTGCTCATACTAGGACACTGTTATTATTTTTGGGAAAACTTGAAAAGAAAACCTTAAAGCCACCAAGTTCAATGCGTTCCTCTGAAGAATAAGAGAAGATTGCAACTTGGTGACATAATGATTGCGTGAATGTGGTCTATGTTTTCTCTTTCTCCAACTCTTAAACCACCTGGCTTCCCTTTATTTAGTGAGGTCCTTTACGGAAACTCTTAACAGAGATAGCAGAGAGCCAACTTCTGCAGACATACAGCACAAAGATCTTGTTGCTCTTTATGGCCTGATGGCCTGACCTTATCGTTGGCTATTCTGACTAAACTGACAGACTAAAGAGGAAGATCTGATCTGTTTTTTTGTTTGTTTGTTTTTTTTTTTTTTGTTTTTGTTTCTTTGACTTCTTTTCTCTGAGTAAGTTGGGTGGAATCCAGCCACAGACTTAAAGGAGACGTCACGCAATGGTTGCAGGTTATCAAATCTAATCAGAGACGCTTGACTCACCTTGGCACCAGCTCTTAAATTTGTCAGTGTGGTCATCTCACCAAACTGTTTGTTGTGTTTGTATAATGTCGTCATTTGTTTACAGATGATTGGAGTTAGAAATGCCTCTTTAGTCTTGATCCTTTGCAGCAACAATTTCTCAGTTCAGTATTTCAGTATTGTAGGAAAGTTCTAAATACTAAATAATTTTCGGTGAGAAATATATTTATAGATTAAGAACAGTACGAAACAGCCATCTGTGTGTCAATCAAAGTTGTTTTTTTTAAAAAAAACCCTTAAAGTCCCACTCCCATTATTATTATTTTTTTATTATTTTTTTACTATTACTACTTAAGAGGTTATCAGTGGTCTTTAAATTGGGGTTGTAAAGTTTTTAGCCAAAATCGTGTCACCTGTGTCATTATCAAGGGCTTTTCTTCTGCAGAGCTCCAGTAGATCATAAGCAATTCACCTCTGAGTCGCGGGCGGAGACAGCACACTCCTCTTCTCGATAGCTTGCAGCCTAACAGTGCCAGTAGGTAATATAGGAGCTATTCAGCTCTCAGATACTAATGTCTTTAGGGGCATGATGAAAGCTAATATCATAATTAGCTTTCTTACGAGCATTGCAATCTGTTACCACACACACTTGTTCGGCGATTGTACTCTCAATTTCGCCAAGTTGCCTGCATAGCTTGACTGTTGCTAGGAAGCCAGGTAGTAAACAAAGCCATGACAGTCAAATCAAGGACATGATTAATGATGAAACTTTCATTTTGTACAAACAGTACAGAGCTGTAAAAGTGACAGTGTTTTAATCATTTGACTTCCTGTTAGCCTCTTGCTAACACGTTTAATCAACTGTTTTGATAAGTAATAGGTCGTGCAAGAACAGTAGTTTAGTTAAATTGCCTAATCGAGCTGTGGCAGCAGCTCAACTTAATTTCGCATCTAAACATACTGATGATTTATGAACAGGGCAACTAATAAACACAGCTGTGTAATAAAGCGCAGTCAGCCTGAATTAGTTGTTGATCATGGCATTTCACTTCTTCATTTCCTTGTTAACAACCATACAAGCAAGTGCCGTGTACATTAGCTAGGTTGCAAATAATTCAAACAATTTTCAACCATCCCTACAAGCCATGCAAGTCAACTGAATGAACAGTGAACAGTATGAAGGTCAAAATGAGCAGCTGAGGCAAATATTCTGGTATGTAAATATATGACCTGCAGAGTGACTGTGAAGTTCAAGTATCTGCTGTATCCAGAGGGCCACATAAGCACCCTCAGTCTGCATAAACCAATTACTCTCACCTCTATGTGTAAACCTTTTTAAAGTAATATTTACAACATCTGGACTATATCCCCCAAATGAAGATCATTTGTTTTGGATGACTTAAAAGAGTGTTTACCAGACTTTCTGTCAGAGATGCTGTCATACATGAGGTGATGGTTTACAAGAGCAGAGAGGACTCTTCAGACCCATAAACTGCATCTGTGGAGACATTTTTCATTTGATAAAACTATAAATAGTCCTCGGTATTCCCTCATCCTCCATGCCTTCTTGTTAAAATGAGTGAGGGCATATGCTGTCTTCGGGTGCCTGGTACAACTGATAACACACACCAATAAAACTGGATGAGCCCTGGACAAATGTCAGGCTACACTATATCAAGAAGAGTTTTTTAAAAAAGACTGAAAAAGGGTCGTTTCTCAAAGAGGGGAATAACCTCCTCACATGTAAAACAGAGATCATCAATCTTCTGCTTTCAGGGCATGCCTCACCAAGAAGCAGAACAGCCTGTAGTCATTTAGAATGAGTGTATATACAGTGACACATCATGGGGATAATCACTTTTTTACAAAAAGGATCCAAGGGTGTGATTCAGCCAGTTTTTTGCCAGACCTTTCCCTCTTTGAGCTGCAAACAAGCTCTATGGAGAAGTCATCAAACTAAATGCAGTGTCACCAATAAAACTGATTTATCCCCTCAAGGAGGAACCCTACAAGTCTTCTTGGAGGTTTTAAATCTTGCCTCCTTTGTTTTTTTGGCGATTGATGCGCCCCAACTTAAACAACCTCTGTTTAACTTTTGAATTTATCTCGTTTAGTCTTTCAGCTTCCTTTATCTTGTTTTTTTTTTTAGGACACTGTAAACATAATTACTACCTCTGCTTGTTTACACCAAAGAGCTATGATTCTACAGGAAATCTCTTGCCAGTGCCAAGTGGTGCCTCTTGTCTCACTCTCAGAAGAGGCTAAAGGTCAAAATCAGATGGAATATAAGTACTGTTTAGGGTAAAGATGAGTTAGTGTCAACAGGATCGAAAGTCAAGTCTTTCTTATTATATTTCGCTTAGACGTTCATCCAACCTGAAATGCAGATAAGTTTTATCATCCTCGTTCATCTGGGGAGATAAACCATGCTTGCTCTGACCTGAGCGACATGGATAGGAGGGAGTCAGATAGGTGGTATAGGGATGAGATACAAGTTCAATCTGACTAAAGGAGCCTGCCACACTGCCACAAGGAGAGATAATGTTGCATGCACAGAAGTAGCGGTGTGCTCCTCTTCATCTCCAGGGCATTCCACAAGCACTAGCTCAAGGGAGCGGCTCACGTCAGACGATCCTCTTCAGACAACACCGACGGGGCTGTCGTCAGAGGGCTTTACTGGCGGTGTCTGTGAAACCCGAGAGTTGCTGGACAGGCTTCACTCTGAGGGTTAAGAGGTGAGGGAGGGATGGTTGGTTCTGTGGAAGAGGTAATGCACACCCCCAAGTAGTGGGGAAACCGTGGCTTGGTGGCTCGCCACAGGGCATCCTTAGTGTGAGGAAAGCCAACCCGCCACCTCTAACGGGATCAGATTTCCTCACAACTTGTTGCCCGGTGCTATATAAACTCTGGCATGTGGTGTTGACACCTGATCTGGACTAAAAGGGCCGCGGGAGAGATTCTCTGCACCCACCATGTCCTCTGCTCTTTCAAGTCCATTGCCACCTACTCTTGCCCAGACTGACCCACAGGCATGGTCACCCTCCAAGAGGCCCCCAGTGGACCTTCACCACACAACTCTCACTCAGGCTCAGTCATCACTGCTCTGCTAATGAGGCTCTCAGGGGACAGTCTGCCACAACTGAAGGGAAGCTTTGGTTCCAGGGAGTTCCCTGCTGTGAGGGAACCTCCCTTCTTGATTTGAGTTTGTCCCAGTGTGAGACAGCTGTCAGTCTGCCTGCCAAAACACCCATAACATGCAAACTCAATGTTGTTGCCGAAGAGATTTAAAGGGGCAGCCCTTATTTTACAAATAGAAAAAAAGTTTACCCACCATCATGAGTACTACTCAGCCCATGGGCAGAGTGAGTTTAAGTATCTTGGGCTGCAGGGAAGTGTTTCAGAGTCTACCAAGTGATCATTTGTCAAGTTGTTACTATCAAAAATGTCTATGAAATCAGGATGAGAATTGATGAGTTTTTGAAGATACTCATGCCATTACCAATTCTGCTTTTTGATCTAGTTATTTATGCACTCCTTTATCAATTCCTGAGGATTTTCTGTGCAGAACACAAATTATAGCACAAGTTTTGTTATTGTCACTGTTCTACTGATATGAGAAAGCCTTATTTCTAGGCGAACACCCTTATTTTAACATGCATATGTTATATTCCATTTCTGCCTTTTATTCTGCTAAACACTGTACTTTTGAAAGCCCTGTAAGTGCACCTTGTACCTTAGTATGTGAGGAGGTAGAGCAATCGTCCAATAACTAGAAGGTTGGTGGTTCTATTCCACCCTATCATGAGTCTGCCCATGGTGCCCTTGTCAAGACACTTAACCCACCTTGCTCCCAGTGTGTGTCCTCCACTGGTGTATGATTGTGAGTGTTGTTTGGTGGTGGTCGGAGAGGTTGTATGCGCAAACTGGCAGCCATGTTTCCGTCAGTCTGCCCCAGGGCAGCTGTGACTACTAAAGTATTTTACCACCACCAGGGTGTGACTGTGTAAATGAATGAATGATGTATCCAATGTAAAGTGCTTTGAGGGTCTCTGATAAAGTGCTATAAAAATCTGATGCATTATTATTTTTATTACATTGATTGATAACAAGGATAATGGGACCTTAATTTAAAAATCAAAATTATAATTAGTTGGCTTTTATTTATGAAAACAGTAAGATAATATCATATCACCTTGGAAATCTACAATAAATAAGTCTCCAGTCCGAACAAGAAACTGAATTAACCAAAGTCATTAAAGAACTTGACCACCATTATGGCAATAAACAATCTCAAGGTTGACAGGTCCACAAGCCCTCGATAGAGTAATGAGTGCTACAAACATCAATTATTCAACTTTATCGAGTAGGTTATGAATTTTCTTCTCTCACATCAGAAATCTGATGAACTGGAAGCCTTAGAGAGGGGTCTTCTGTCTGCTCTTAATTCATCATCACTCAGTCATGTTTCGGTCGATATCACAGACTCCTGTGAAGATCAAGCTAATGCAACGTTGACTGACAAGAAGGAGAGACTGAGTAAGAAAACAAAGGAGCAACACTACATCATCCTGCCTGTCTCTACAAACAAATACGTCCTTTTTGTAATACCAAAGATGACACAAGTGAAGATATGTGATTTTTTTGTGCTTTGACAAATCAAGTATTGGAAGCACAGAAGATAAAAAGTTGTGCATGACTTCATTAAGTACACAGGCTGTAAATGAACTCGTCTGATGTGACATAATGCTTCAAGAGGTTCTCCACCAATCTTGCAGTAGTAACTTTACTTTTCATCCTATTGGCTGAATAAGCCTCTGCTTGTTGTGTCAGTGTCAGCTCAAACAATTGGGCCTCTGACCTATGAGGTGCCTTAAGCTCTTTGGAGAGTCACTTCAAATGCGGATTAGGACTGGGTGTGGAAGAAAAATTCAGCAACAGGAGACAGCACTTTTTTGTTTCAGCGGGCGAGGGAAACCACCGCATATTTCTACGAAAAGCTGCAAAGAGGCAAAGCGAAGGGAAAAAACAAGATTAAAACGCCAGAGGCCCCCTTCTTCTTCACTCAGGATGTTGTTTATATTGTTGACAGGCCTTTTAACCTCCCTAAGCTCATTCTGGAAGGTCTCTTTGGGAGCTCACTTTGGGTTTGTAGCCTGTGGAGCCTCCATTCAGCCTGTATCCAGTCAAGCAGTTGCATTATTTATGAGTGCTGCGGCTGTTATTCTGACTCCCTTATTGAGATTGTTGATACCTCATCATGGAACATGTATAATGAGGGGACAATAAATTTAAGTGCTGTCAACAGCCACTTGAGGGAACAACATGTCAGGTTTCTCTTCCCCAGATCCTGATGACATCAGATTCATCTCTGCGTGTGATGTGTTTTCCTTTTGGACAGGTCCATTGGATTGGCCTCAAGGCCCATTTCACAGTGGATTAGTTTCCATTTCAAGCCGTAGCCCAGCCCCCCTCTCCTGCATCTGAGACATGAACTGGGGTTAATTCCTCAGAAAGTCTTTTTCATCTTTTGTCAGGGGTCTAAAAGCTATGTGACAGAACTTTGCTTTGGTGGAATGAATTATTTGGGGTGAGGCCGAAGACAGTCTAATCCCATTGTTTTGGATGGATCAAGAAATGGGATTTTAAATCAGAGTCAGAAAAGAATAAACAGGCAAATTTTAACTCCTCAAACTGGAAAAAAAACACCTCATGGAGTAGTGTCTCTGGGGGGCTGTTACAGTGCAAATTCAACACTCATCTGATAGCCACTGAAAAAGCACCGTCACATGATGCATTGCAGTGTAAAGGAAGAATCAACACAGTACATCCCTCTTATTTCTATCATCCATGTGTTTTCCGTCTCTCTCACAGTGTATACACAGGTAAACAAGCACGTTCACATACAAGCCGAAAGATTTCCAACAACCTTAATTCCATGAACACATGCAAGCGAGCACACACCTGCCGTAGAGTGATGACAGATTTAATGTGAACCCAACATTTCTGTTTAAGGTAGACAGCTTTACATGTACACGCTATGAGCTCTCCATCATCTAACATACCTCCAGATGTGAGCACAAATCAGTCACTCAGAGAGCATGTTACTCTCCCACAAGCGTGCACGGAGTAAAACGGGCGTTTGAATCAGGGGAAATCAAAACAGGAAAGGACCAAAAGGGAACCTTATCCCAGATGGGGGAAAGTTCTTCCAGCACATCACCAACCCTGGACTGACACCTCATTAGCATCTATCCATGCACATCTGTAAATGACAGAGTGTTATTACAATCTCCCGGTCATTTGACCGCATGTTAGCGTCACTGTCATCTTTTCCATGTCAAAGATAAAGAGATTTCTAAGTTTTAAGTGTTTTCAGAACCAAGTATGACCCTGAAAACTGAAAACTGGATTTAAACCTCACACTAACTTCCGATAATCAATGTCTGTTATCAATTAGCTCTTTGTCCTGTTGCTGAATCGGTTTAAGCTCCCATCCTGTAACACCTCATCACAATAAACCTCCATTCACACTACATTAGCTGGACCTAAATGAGGCTGGTTTGGAGAGTTAAACCACACTCCTGCTTTGACCCTTTGACCCTGGTCCATGCATCTCACACATTCTCTCATTTTTGTTTTGGTTGCTTATGAAAACAGACCAGAAGAAAGAAATTCAAAACTCAACTCATAGTTAGAACCTTGTCCTCATATTGCAGGAGATTTTCTTCATTTTTGTGGCAAGATTTTGGATGGCAGAAGAAAATTAGATTTGTAAGGATTGGTCGAATGGAATTCAGTCACATTTTAATCTCGTCTACTCGTTTGATTTGTTACAAAAGTGAGTTGGGCCTCTAGATAGTGCTTTTCTTGTCTTCTGACCACTCATAGCGCTCGTTTACACCTTAGGTCACATTCATACACTCATTGCCAAGAATGCTGACAATGGTTCCCTTAAGCATCGACCTTTCCCATTCATACATTTATCCGTGTATTACGCTGCTGGCTTTGCTGTGCAGGAGTCAAGTCCGATTTACTGCATTACTCAAGGACATATAGACTACAGGGCCTGGGACTGAACCACCAACTTCTTTACAGAAGGATGGCTCACCACCAGCTTGTTGAAGATCAAATTGCCAAAATTTTTCATGCTGAATGTCTGACAAGGTAACCACAAAGTTTGATGGAACAAGGCAGCTATGAAACGACAAAGATTTATGGAGTTCACTGCTTATTTTATGTAAACATCATATATTTTAAATAAAAAGCTGCACCATTGAAACATAATATATGTTATACTAGGGTGACCACACGTCCTCTTTTACTCAGACATGTCCTCTTTTGGGGGGCTGTCCAGCCTGTCCGGGGGAGTTTATAAAATCCTTCATGAAAGCCCGTTTCCAGTACTTAATTAAAAAAGATGAGATAAAATGTTGTCTTTTTAAAAAAAAAAAATATATATATATATTTGGAAATTCAGAATTGCGTGTGAACTCACACACCTCCGCCCCGTGTAGTAGTGTCTTCTTTTTGGGGATTCAGAATATGGTCACCCTATGCAATCCTGACGAACAGTTTGAACAAGATGATCAGTTTTGTGAAAGTAACTCGATGGAAAGTAACCCTGTTGTATTTTGATCAGCGTAAGTCTCAGGGAAGAAGTTATTTACAGCTCATTTCGCATTACTAGCCTTTTTTTTGCTCTCAGGCTGTTCAGTGCTGCGGGGACTTTGGTAACAAGCATGATGACCCTCTTCCTCCAGCTCTCCTGCAGAGTGGCATGTAGATGACTTTGCTGAAAAAAAAGACAACCTGAGGGGTCCTACCGGCCAGCCTGGCTTCATTAGCAGAGTTAACCTTCAGATTGTGCCGCTGCCTCCTGCTCTGCCCTCAGGTCTGTTATGGCTGAGAGGGAGCTGGAGCAAGACTCGTGTCAAATATACTGTCAACTCGCTAAACAGGAACAGCTTCGACATGGCCAAGAGTCATGACAAGACAAGGGTCCCACTGGGGAGAGAAAACTTTCCGAATACGACAGGAAGTTAAGTGCCTTTTCCTCGAATAAAACTGTCTCCTTTTCGAAAGAAAACATTTTTTATTTGATGCTTAAAACCCTATTTATTCAACATGTTGGGCCCCACTTATTCATTGGAGAGAATAACCATGGCTCAAACCTCAGCGCAGAGTGAGTGGCAGTGTTTATCGGACATATCTGTAAGGTTATGTACCAACACTCTCTGATCATGGTTTCACGATGCAATTTTTGGATTGGCGGTCACTGGATCCAAAGTCCATTTGCAGTGCGGCGAGGATGATATCACTACATGAAAGCAGAAAATATCTGTTCCCTGAGTATGAAGCACACTTGGTAATCACGGTGCACTCCTTCCATCTTGTACTGGTTTACCCTCCTGGAGACCAGAGCAGAGATCATACTTTGAAATATGGGAAGTATTGTGTGACCTAAACTAACTCAAAGAAGCTGTGGAATTTGTCAACACGGATATATATTAATATCAAATGATCTGAGCTGCTTTCTGAAATGGTCTTATAGAGTCTAAATCCATTAACGACAAAGAAGACCAGCACAGTCAAACCAGTCCTATCTTATTACGTGCTGTATCCAAATGTCCTCACAGCTTTTATCTCGAAGTTGTCTTGGCTGTAAGACGTTCTTGTGCTCATCTGGACAAACTTAAATCAAAAATGAGGTGAGACTCAAGGTGATGCTAGCTCACCCAGGTGTCACACCTTTGTTCCCTTAATTTCCTCTGCTGAGTAGCTATGTGCGCCGTGTGAGGCTGCTTCACGCCTCCCCCCCCTCTGCAGACTGCGAGGCCTGATGAGGACCAGATGTGGTGCAGATGAGGCCCCTGTCTTGTGCAGGGACCTGAGAGGAGCTGTGACTCCATGGAGGCTCATCAAACTGCCAAAGGTCCAGCTAGGATTGATTTCTGACACAGAGGAGCACGCTATACCATCAATTCAATGTTTCTGTGTCATCAAAAAAAGGCTTGGATTGTTAAAAGCAGTGATCATCCAAAGCAACTGGCCATTCTTTGAAGTGGAAATTAAGATTCTCACTTTTAAACCATGCTAATGGTAGAAAACAATTAGAGTAGGTCGAAAGTTTTTTTTTTTTTTGCTGTAAGTTATGTTTCTGGACATTTTTATTTGTCCAATATTTTTTCCTATTTGAAAAGAAAGCTTGTTGGTCAGCAAGCACGGCCTCCTCATTTACTCTCAAACTCGACAATCAAATTACCTACTTCCACTTTTTTTTCTTCTTCTTCTCTTTCTTTTTTTGTTAAAATTTTTATACTTGTTGAATGATACCTTTACCTGTATAGATCAAAACCGTATTTAATTAATTCATTTATTTACTTATTTAATCTCCTTAAAATGGGATGCAATGGATGTTGTAGGTCGGGGTGGGTTGGGGGGCGGGGATGTTATGTGTTCTGAGAAAAATAAAAAAATATTGTCTCTTTACATTAATGTCTCTTTGTACCTTGAAAGAAAAGAAAAGAAAGCTGAAGAACGACAGAAAATGTTAGGATTAAAGAGTAGGGAAAGACATGAAGCAAAGGATTGTGGCTGGAAATCCAATCACTGGGACAAGGACTATAGCCCCTAGACGTTGGGTGCTTAGAAATTTTAGGGTGCTGATGGCCTGTGGTCTGACACCAATACTCAAGGCAAGCAAAATGGTATCCTTTACGCTAAAGCCTGCTGTATATGCCAATACCTCCTTAATATTGATGCTACTTGAAGACAGCTGTTCTACATTTGAAGGATTAAATTATTCAATCGAAGAGCAAACTGTTCCTGCTGTATGTGTGTTTTTGCTTGTTTTATTTGCAGGTTTTGGACCCATAAACCCAAGGATACCTGTAACAGTATGTTGAGTAGCACCATGGGAAAAAAAAAAAAAAAAAAAAACAGACACACTTGGTTTTAAAGACCCACTCCGATGAAAATAATGTTTTCCTTGTTTTTTTTTATATGTTCATATGGCATTTTTCTGATGTTACAGGACATATCATGAGAGAACTAAGTGCAAAATTGCTTTTCTGAGTATTTCTGCATTTTAATCGGCAGACCTTTGACCCTGGTCCCTGGTTTTCCAGCTGTAGCAGCGCTGTCTCCACCCACGACCCAGAGGCGAATTGCTAATGATCTATTGGAGCTCTGCAGAAGAAAAGCCCTTGAAAAATGACACGGGTAACACGATTTTGGCTAAAAATGCAATAATCACGATTTAAAGACCACCGAGAACACTTTAAGTAGTAAAAAAAAACCCCAAAAGATCAGAATGGGACCTTAATGTCTGTTCATGTCATGTCTTACTGTAGCCATTCAAATGACACAGAATTTGTGTCATTCACTTAAATGGAATTGTATCAGTGTAGAGTTCACTACATGTGTTATTTCTTTGTTATTCTTCTTCAATACACTTTTAAGTTTTTAAGTGCCAGCAAGGATAGGTTCATCAGCGATGTCATTTATAGATTAAAGTAACTGTAGAAGTGAAAGTAACACAGGCTCACACCTAATAACTTCACACTTTCTAATCTACATCATACTTAAATTTCTATCCGACATCCTGACTGCAGTTATTCACATGGAAATAGAAATTCATTTTCAGGGCTGTTTATTCCAAAATGTCTGGGATCACATACAAGCACTGTTACTGTTTGTGTCACCCAGCACATGTGTTTGTGTGTGCATGTGTGAATGAGTTCATGCAGGAGGACTGGATATGGGGTTAGCATGTTTAAACTATGACTGTGGTACAGTGCAGGCAGAGCTCACTCCGAGCAAGAGGAGCTTCCCATGGTAACAGCTGCATGATGTCAGATGTTGAGCAGAGATTGGACAGATGTGCTGATTTGAAATATGCAGGAGATTAAGCCTGGAATCTATAGAGAAATCACAAATGTTGAGCGAGTTTGTGGCAGGATAGTAATATAATTTAGGGGCTTCCTTTTTTTAGATTTATAGAAAGAGAAATGAAATGAAAGGATTGAGGAGGGAAACAAAAGGGTTTAAAGACAGTATAGGCCTCGTATCTAAATGGAGACAGTTCCACACACAGCCTTATTAATAACACTGGACATTTACTCTGCTTCTTAACTGACTGTGAAACTCTACAGCAAATAAATATATCTGTTCTGTTCATTTTTCGGGAACTGGTCAGATAGTGATGTGTATCAGACATGCTTCAAGTTCACTTTCAGGCCATGCGAACTCGCAGGCCCCAGCGTCACTGGAAAGCTCCGGTTCCGGCTCCAGACAGACTATTGAACAGGATTAGAGACAGAGATATCCCTAATTGCTTATAATTCCTGTGTGCTGATTAAATGTGTCCAAAGCAACTGTGTCAAAGAAATGTGTTATGAGACGAACAGACATTTAAGAGAGCTGGAGATTATCCAGTGCAGTGGGGAGAAATGCAGCCTGGTTTATCCAATTATCTTCTCTTTGTTGGAATATTTCTCATGAGCTATAAGTTCAACTCTTTTCATGTATGTCCTGGAAGAAAAATAGAGCTATGCTGTCTTAAAGATCTCTAAATTACATACTGTATTTTCCTCTTACAACCATCTACATTTTGGGTTTGTATCTGAAATGCCTACATAATACATTTCTGCTGATGCTCGAATAAAATACACTTGAATGGATTGACATAAAAACATTTGATGTTATTCAACAGCAGTATGCCTGTCCAGAAACAATGCCCCAGTTTCTCAGCATAAACCACAGGCCACACTGAACAGTTTTTCTTGGAAATGCTCCATACTGGAGAAAAAGTCCAAATGAAAACTGTTCACTCAGAGGTCCATGCAGTGGTTACTTTTAATAACATACCACTGGATTATTTCAAATACCATGTGTGCTTTTAAACTTAAAACATGTTTAGTGCATACAGGAAAATTTATGCAGATAATAAGCCTGTAAAAACACTGTGCTTTCAATGTCACCTCTGGTCAGTAGTGCAGCGAAGCAGAAATCTGATTGTGGACAGTGAACCACAATGTAATGTGCTTCCTGCTGACCCCCGATCACACTCTTAAAAACAGCAGCCTAGCTAAGATGATCTGACTCTGTCTTCAGGTATAAGGGCCCTACAACATTCATCTGCCTGCTGTTTGACATGAAAATAAGTTTAACAGCAAAGCAGAAAACACAGAAAGAAGACAGGAGGCAGACGTTGCAGTGTAGAAGACTCCAAGATGTTCTCATTGATTTGAATCTAGTAAACCCCAGGGTCCCATTAAGGGAAGTCACACTTCCACATCTGGTGCTAGAAATGGACATATCAGCAAAGTGTCACTTACTGTTAAATATTAATGCAATTTTCTACTTTTGCTGCATCAGATATTTTCACTGGCTTCAGACCTTCTCATGAGAGTCCTTCTCTTAAATGAAAATAAAATGATTTAATTTCAGAACTTGAACTCTTTATATGCAGGTTTGTATAAATTATGCTACAGATATTTTAACAGAGAAGACACACAAACAAGACTTCATTCCCCTTTACACAATGCTGGAAGCTAAATCTTTTTAAAATGATTATTAACCTGTCAGGAATATACAGTATAATTATTTTTGGTGCATTTTTTTTGTGCTGTGTCAGCTGAGAAATATGCAACACTTATCACATATCATCAAAAGTGAACAAATCAGGAGAGTGTCATAAAATCTTTCTAGTATTATTTTTCCCTTTTACTGTATCACATATTCGGTTTTTGTGTTCCTGAATTAAAGATTTATTTATTTACAGAACTATTGATTCTTCATTCCAGTTACAAAGGTACATTGACCTTAAAAAGCCAGAGTAGCATCCGTTGTGGTTATCAGACAAACTTTCCTCAGAGGACTGCAGTTGGTAAACGGCATTTTTTGTTAAAAGTAGTTTTAAAAAAGACAAAACTGATGCCTGAACTGCAAATTGAATACATATTCTCACACACTGCAGACACACGTTTATGCTGCGGAGGCCATGTGATCAAAAATTGCTGTTAGAATTCATTTAAATGTTTCTGATTTTGGCCCAAATAAGCAAACTATCATAAACTGTCACTGATCAAAATAGATACATTTAAAATTTCAAAAAGTTTGAAAAAAAAAGTTCTGCCAAATGACATACTAAGTGGAATATAGATGAAAATAAATGACATATTTTCGGCATATTTAACATATATTTTTCAAACTCTTGTATTCCTTAGTAGTCTACATCTCTCATGGATGGGGGAAGGATTTATATTCTGTGTAATTAATTTCTAAAATTTGTCCACAGCCCCATAGGGATGGCTGGAGGAGGTGGGATTTATGACCTATGCTGCAGCCTGTCACCAGAGGGTGCTGTTCTTGGGGTTCACCTAGCGAGGAGGCAGACAGTGTCCATTCTATATACAGTCTATGATTGTAACCCAGAATCTGGAAATGAGACCTTCGGCTCAGAGGTTAAATTAAGGGTCTCTAAATCAGGTCTGATAATGCATCACATGAAACAATCTGGTAAACAAAGACAACATCATATTTTTGAGTACAGCCTTGATTTTAAATATGCATGGTCTTGGGTTAATGCTCACGTTTGCATGCCTCCACATGTTTCCTACATTCGTAAAGCTTACAATCCCTGTTATGGGTGCATGCTTTTTTTTTTTTTTTTTTTTGACACTTTTTTGGCTTCACGCTGTTGTGTTTGGCCCCTGATGCACAGAGAAACTTAATCCCTTGTTGCTTTTTCATTTGACCTGTAAATTACCTGTTTCCCTTGAGGCAAAAAATGTTGTAGAGTGTGTGTGAGTCCATTGTAACTTCCAGTATCAGTTAAGTGAGTAATTCATTTCACAGCCTCCATATCCGTCACATAAGTTATTACCCAACGCCTCAAAGCAGGTCAGATAACTTGCCTTTTTTTAACTTCTGAGTGAGTCTCCAAAATCAAATCAGCACCTGTAGTATAATGTAGTCCACCTTTATCAGCACCGTCTCTGATATCAAAGCCTTGTATTGTAAGTGAGCACCTAGGGAATTCAGGTAGATTTCTAAAGCAGTGTAGGAGAGAGACAAAAAGCACTGATAATTAATGGCTGTCACAAGATACTGAGTGGATTCAGAGCCATTACGGATGACATATAAATTGCTGTGTAATTTCAGATGCTATAGGGCGTTTTTCTGTTAGAGCAGGTCTCCTCTTGTACCGCCTGACAGATGAAATTTGAATAGAAGTCGAGGCCAGAGGGATAGCATGCCATTGTTGAACCATCTGATATGCCACGGGCTTATAATGGTCCGGGCTGCATGCAGAACAGCAGATCAAACACCTTCTAGGATTTCAGGAGAACTCAGTGTAACACAAAACAAGCTCTTAGATGGACCCACATGAATATACTAACACAGTAGTATCAGGCCTACGCTCATTAAACTGCTGACAAGCTGCATGTCAACAGTTTATTTTGCGCGTTGGACATGTAAAGGGAAACAACATTTATTTATGTGCGTGGAAGTAAACAGCGTCGCTCACCATTGACTGCATTGTTAACAACCCTGGACACAGAGGAATCAACACATCCACTTTGAGTGGATTCATGGTCACTGATTAGTGAAATATGCCCACACACTGTGTACTTTAGAGTCACATCAAGTTTCCGTGTTTGATTTAGGCATAAACAGCTGCAGAGATGGCACGCACTAAAGACTAAAGGTGGGTGTGTTTTCTGGCTTTGTAACACAATCTCCCCCCTCCTTTCCAGTGTGCTGCAGACACAGTTGATGATCTATGAAGACGATTAGGTTCACATCAGGGAAGACTTGCAACGCACAAGGAGTCTAAGCTTAAATAAGACGGCGCAAGAACAGTTTATACGATCAATGTTCTCTGTGCCCTGCTTGTTGGCTTGCAGCAGACTATGACTATCACAACATTTTGATCACCAGTCCGAGAAATTGATAAAACAACTGAACAGAACTGTCAATCCATGAAACTGTGAGAAAGTTTGCACGTTGCATGACCTCCAAGATACACACTGGTGACGCACCTTTATACACTTGCGGCCTCAGCTAGATGTTTTGCCTTGCTCACTGATTGTCGGTAACTTGTTCTATTAAGTTTAAAACAATCAAAGTTCTCTAGGCAAAAGTTTCATTTGGATATGACAATCCTTTTATTCCTTTTTGCACAATAAACCAATAAATCCAAACCAAAAACCAGCCACCAGCCAGCTTCTTGTGCACTACACCTGAAACAATTAGTCGGCACCTTAAATAGTCTTTTTGTGCCCCCTACCGCAACACACGTGATCTCTAAAAATGTCCCCACCACAAACAATCAAGAAGGCAAAAATTTATAGAATGAAATCATGTGTTAACAACATTACACCTAGCAAGAGAAAGTATTTCATAAATATTGGCAGTGGCATAATAAATACAAACTGATGAGTTATGGTGTAAATCTTAAAGCTCCTGTGAGGTACTTTTGGTTTGTGTCAACTCTGGTGCCCCAAAAGCAGTCTTTGCCTATTTTTCTCCAACATGCTTAACAACTGACAAAAAATCTCATCCTGCTGATATTTGACAATTAAATATATATATTTTTTGTAACCATTTCATGTAAAATAATGTAAAAACAGAGCTGCTTGGCTGACACCTACCCCCTTCGCTTTCAATTTAGCTATTTAACATCACAATACAAAAATCACCAGTCTTGTCCTTAATGGTCTTTGCTTTTGTGCATCACAGGAAATAACTTCTATGAGTTTCAGTCTATTTCATATATGTCAAAAAAATAATCACAGGAGCTTTAAATGGCCTCAATGTACACATGCTTTAAATGCTTTAAATCTCTACAACCCAGATGTAAACAAGCGTAGATGGCAGGTTTTATCTCGAAGCAAATCCTTGTGGTTTTGCAGTATTTTAGTCTAGAAAAGGAAAATAAAACTGTACACAGGCTGTGTCTGGTTGAACTGGCACTCCACCAGAGTGGTGCATCACCAGTACAGCCTGGGAAAATCTTCTCTTTTAACTGATAATGCTTCTGAATGAGGTCACTGGATCAGCAAAGTTATTAAAATCCATCCTTAGGGAGGAGAAAAGGACTCCAGATTTTCTTGGCCAGGCATCCAAAAGATGTTTGGATATTTCTTGAACAGCCACACATCTGAACGCCATTGTACACAAAAAAAGTCAGACGATTACCAAGAGCATTAAAAAAATATATATTTAGTAGGCATCATGTTTGTTTGTACAAAATTTTGATGCAATTTATCCTAGTTGTGTCTCTGAGTGGTAGAATAACAGATCAGAATTTGCACTCAAGCTGTAATTCGAGGATGTAGCAGATGGTATTTTAAAGTTTATGTAGTCTATATGATCCAGGCCTAATGTTTGATAAGTACAATCCTATAAATCTTTTGATGTCCCAACAAGGGCAGAGATGAAGAGTAATCCCACTTTTAAATCTAATCGGAGTGCACTCTTACAGATTTTAATTTATGTATGGTAAATTCGTGCAGCTTTGGCTGTACAGTCCCAAAGATTTTTTTTTCTCAGTATGAAATCCACACTCGGACAAGTACATGAGATCAGGGCAAGATGTACGACAGAGGGTTATATAACGCACGAAAAAAATTAACATCTGGAAAATCCGATTTTAGAGCAAACATGAGGGCCTCTTTCTTGATCTGGACATCAGCTCTGCCCTCCGATCGGAGGACAGTTATGGAAAGAGTGTCCAGCCAACATCACAAGTTCTACATCTGTATCAGAGGTTCATGCAGCGTTGTTGAGCTTAGAAAGACCAGAGCAGAGGCAAAGGGAAGTTAATGTGCTCATTACCTCTCCAGACCTGTTTGCATTGCCTCTCATTGTGAAGCCATCAATCAGGTCCTGCTAACAGTAATCACTCACTTCTAGAGGCTTGTCAGGTCTAAGGGAAGGTAAAGGGGGATAAGGCCCTGATGGGACCACCCAATCTGACCTCTTCTTGAGGGTGGGCTGCATCACTACGACTTTGCCTCCTTCTGTTTTGATTGAAGTTGGCGAACCTGACAAGCAAAGCAAAGCTTATAGGAGCACATGGATAAGCATGTAGAGCCGGTGTGTTGACACTAATTGGAGAACTAAAGAACTGTAAACAGACTGTGAGAGAGTCTGGAATTCCAGATGTGAGAATCAAGACAAGAACGGCTTCAAAATACTCTCTTAGCTCTAGATTTACCATCAGATGTTTGAGCAGAGCTACTTAGAAGGATATTCTGGCATAAAATTAAGTTAGGGTCAAACACACTGTAACACCGAGTTAGACACCCCGTTGAAAGATGAATGTTGCCGATCGCTTGCTTCTCTAGTAACAACTGCACGATAGCAAAACAGAGAGGTCTCAAGAGCCAACCAAAAAGCCACTCTATAGCCACTCAGAACAGCACCTAACTTCATCAACAGTACATATAGGGTCCTAGCCATAGCACTAGCCACCAAACATCTTTTTAGCTTTGCCTAATTTCTTTAGCAAAGAGACTAAACACAACTCACCTACTCTCCTCCAGCAGCCGCTTGTTTTTAACAAGACCTCAGGCCAGTCCATTACAGACTGCAGTGGGGGGACGCAGCTCAGGGAAAAACACTTATAATTTCTTTGTGGAAATGCAACCAGACCGAGACGTTAAGGCAGAAGAACTACCGCGCCTTCAGTGCAAAATGATTAATATGGTGATTATTACTTCAAGGAAATGATAAAGAAATGATCATAAATGTTCTTCCTTGAGCTGCGCCACCCCGCTGCAGTCGGTAATGGACTTTTCTGGGTCTCCGTACAAACAAGCGGTTGTTACTAAAGTTGGTATAACTAGAGGAGCAAGCAGTCGGCAACATTCATCTCTGGACGGGGTGTCTAACTCGGTGCTACGGTGTGTTTGACCCTAACTTAATTTTACGCTGGAATATCCCCTTAAAGCTTCTATGATGGAGTTTTCAACATCTATAAAATGAACTGAAATTCATATTATACCTTTTTCTACAAGTCAAGTGAGTTGTGTGTCCACTGGATGGCGCTAAAACTGACACAAACTGAAAGTTCCTCACAGGAGCTTTAATGGCTGTGCCTTTATAACATCTAGAAACTGAGGAGAGATTAAAGAGAATGTAGTAACAAGGACCTGCGCTTTTAAATCAATCCAATCTCTGTGATTTCCTAACATTCAGTATATGCTGCACTCTGTTAAAGGCATGAAAAGGACATATCTTTTTCAGCAACAGGAAATTGCTCCCTCATTATCATCTGAAAGGCAAATCTGGTTGTCAGAATAAATTCTCTCATGAACTTGCAAAGATAACCAGACCCCTGCTGATATCATGCAGATGCATCACCACCACACTCAAGGCTTAACAGGTTCCCATTAAGACATACGCTCCCTTAACAACACTCTTCCGTGTGCTCAAACAACTATACTGCATCCAGGGACTGGCTGCCCCAAATGGCTGCATTGTTGTCATACTCTCTCCTGGGAGGTGAGAGTGTGTCAGGTTAGGACCGGCTTTACCAGCCTCCCCATATGTGCGAGGCATTTAGATATGTCTTTAAAAAGAAAGGAGGAAATGTAAAAGCTTTTTGATGGATGAAATTTAAACATAATGCTATTTAGATAAAGGATGTCTGACATACAGGGGGCAGTTTATCCCATATAATTTGGCGCTGTAATGTGCACTTTGAGGGGCCTATTTCTGAAAGAGACAAATGATTTATGACCTCCAGTTGTCCCCCATGGGAGCCTCAAGCACCCGATGGGAAAACAAATGAAATTAACAGGAAACTAAGGCGCTTTTTTTTTTCTCAGAAATGTAGTTTCTTTAAGTTCAAATTGCACTTTCAAGCAGCATTTGATTGTCTTGGTCTAGTTTCATTTTCATGTATAGATATTAACATTAAAACAAATTGTCTTTGTGAATTCCATTACATACAGTAGATAAGCACAAATGGAGACTTACCTATCATGGTAGAAATCAAGAAGAGTGAATGAGAATGACTGTACACAACATCATTTGCATGTTTCCCAGCAGCCACATCTCGTCTCATTTCTGTACGCACGCAGGCAACATTACAGATTGCCATAATCCCTCAAAGCTGACAATCGTGATAGGGCTGTTAATGTTGTCACTGTACTGCTTTGTGCCCGCAGGACAATGAATAATTTGTACCCTCACATTCTTTCCGAGAATTGGCTTCATCGCAGGTGATTGTGTTACAACAATGCCGCCATGTAAAAAGCACACTGAATGTTGTAAAAGCCATGAACAGGAATGAAAATATCCTGCAGCCAGCTTAGAGCGGATCAAGTTGTAATGTTGGGTGAATGAGAAAAGGCAGCGCGGCTGTAGCTTCATCTGTTTTCCAACACGGTGCTGATAGGTTTATCAGCTGAAGAAAACTAAATGTAAACCCACTGCTGATGTGTTCTCCACTTCCTTCCAGAGGAGAAGTGGAGGAGAGCTTTTGTACTGGGGTAAAAAGCTGGTGTTGCAAGCACCTTTCAGCACCCCCTGATTCGGTGCACATTTCCAGGACCCTGTTCCACAGGTATCACCCTCTTCTGTCAGGGGTCTGTAACCAGGACTGGAATTCCAGCTGTTACAGTGCACACATGCCATTTAAAGTGTTTGTGACATCCTGAAAAATGCAGACAAGGCTGTGTGGATCCCACGTATACATTTTCAGGAAGTTAAACATCGCACCTCCTGCAACGTATGTGGTTAAACATCGCACAATCATCAACAAAAGTGATTTAACTACATTAAAGGGATATTCCAGTGTAAAATTAATTTAGGGTCAAACACCGCAACACCAAGTTAGACACCCCCCTTCGAACTTTAGTAACGACCACTAGCCATCAATAGACAAGCGGCTGCTGGAAGAGAGTAGGTGAGTTGTGTTTAGTCTCTTTGCTGAAGAAATCAGGTAAAGCTTAAAAGATGTTTGGTGGCTAGTGCTGTGGCTAGGACCCTATATGTACTGTTGATGAAGTTAGGTGCTGTTCTGAGCATTATATGTGGCTATACAGTGGCGTTTTGGTTGAGGTTTGTTTATGGCTTCTCAGACCGCTGTGTATTGCTATCTTGCAGTCGTTACTAAAGTTGGTAAAACTAGAGAAGCAAGCAGGCGAAGGGGTGTCTAACTCGGTGTTACGGTATGTTTGACCAAATTAATTTTAATATCCTTTCTTTATCCATGCTTTCTTGTTTTATATCTTAATTTTTTTCTTGCTTACATTTTCATTATTTCAAGCTTTAATCAATACTGCCTGGATGATCACATCCTACATGTCACTGAGTTTCCAGTGAACTCTGAGAAGATTCCACTGCCAAGTTTGCAGGTATGTAAAATCAGAGAAAGTGTATAATTTGATGTTGTCAGTATTGGAACGCTCCTGCACTGACAGTGGGTCAGTCCTTAATACACACACACACTTACAGTGAATGCACACTAAAGTCAATGAGTCTGTGAGAGTGGAATTTGGGATTTTGCCACTGCTCTGCTTTCTTACCCTCATCTCCCAGGGTGATCCCATCATGATGTTTCTCAGGAAGCAAAGGATTGGACACACTAAATTGAGGAGTCTACATCTAATCCTTTGACTGTGATGGACATCATCCTGCCTCAACAGCATGATTTCAATTTTGAGAAATTTTCATCCTCATTTATTTACACTACACAAGACATGGATCACATGCTACGATGCACAAACACACAATATTATTATTGGAGTGCACAATAATTATGGCCGGAGCACAAGGCCAAGGCCGGACTCCCAAGAAAGAGGACATGTCTGGGTTAAAGAGGACGTATGGTCACCCTAGCATACGAAGATTGCATAGCTCACCTGGGGGATATGCTGTTTGAGCGAAGCGTCATCACAGCGACTCTTGGCGACTCTCCTGCCGAATGTGTACAACGCTACTGCGCAAGTGGTGGTTCCAGGAAGTAGAGAAAATCCCAGAAATACCGAGAGCAATTCGGCTTCAAATTCGTATAATGATGGGAGGCGGAACCAAGTTATCCATAGTATATACAGTCTATGTTTACGTCTAATAACGGCTGACCTTCTTCTGGGGCCTGCCTCGTGTGGCCATTCAAGGAACTCTTGTTTGGCATTTCCTTTTTTCCACATGTCACTTTAAAAGTTTGATCCTACCAAGTCTAACTGGGTCAAACATGCTCCTTTAGCATGATGTATTTTCATCAAGGGAGCTGTGTAGTTGAAGTAATGTACAAGAGGACTGCTCATGTAAATCAGAATCAACTGTCTCAGCGAGAATTAAATGGGACAACTGTATATTATCCCAAACTGGACAGAAAGTTCCTGTAGCATGAGAAAAGGCAGAGAATAGAGGGAACCCTTCCAGTTGTCTGTTTTCTGTATTAACATATCCCTATCACTACTGTCAGTTCTCTGTCACCGCTGGAGACCAGAACCATGACATCATTCCCAAATGTTTTGAATGTCCATAACGTTCTCAATGACAGAACCGCCAGAGGGATTGGTTCCACTACAGGCTGCGGTCCAAATGTTCTCAATATTAGCTCCGCTCTGAAGTACATCCCACTTCTGACAATCATGAGGACATTCTCAAGATGATGTTATAGATTAGCAATCAATAACAGACATCATTTTTCAACTTTCACTTAAAGAGACAAGCCCGATTGAGAAATTGCTTAGACAGGCGTGTTTTTCCTCGAGGGTCTGTGATGGTTTAAGTCTCTATTGTTTGACCACGAGCATATGCTTCTGCTTAAGGGAGTTTCTTGACATGGGATACATTTTTAATCATTTGTTATGAAGAACAAAGAGGAGATTTAAAATAACCACACAGTCGTCCGATGTAAGCATACTGTAAGATAATCTATTTTATCTTCAGCACAACGAGGATTTAATACCATGCAGAAATTCTAGCTTTCATAAGCCACCACAAGAGGAAAAAAAAGCGAGAAAGACTAGAAAGTGTCTGGTGAACTGTTCGTCCATTTGTGCGTATGTGAATGGGTATGAAAAAACCTGAATGTATGCACAGTCAAATAGGATTTTAATGAATTATCAACATTTAAACATCTTTTTCCATCTCTTTTCAGACTTCCATTAAAAAGCAATCAAAAGATGCTTCTCCTTCCTCTTCCTCTGACAGCAAATCTCAACATCTGACAGTCCTGCTGACTGTGTTCTTCCTCTGTCTCGTCCCCAGACTGCTGCTCCAGCTCCACCCGCCTCATGCTAAAAGCCGTCCAGCTGAGATAATTGGCCCCCCTGTCCACCTTTTCCTGCCATTCATGCTGCCTGAAAGCCTTTCCCTCACAGGGGAAACGAAGACGGCGGCTCTCTGTGCTCGTCCTCTCTGTTTGGCCTCTCATCCTCGTAGACTAACTGCACATTAATTTTCATTCGGTGGACTGTTAGGACTCAGTAATGATGACATCTGTCACTGGGAGCTGGGGGTGTCTTTGGGGTCTTGTGACAGAAAAAAGGGAAGAAGAATAGAAAATGAGTCCAGGAAAAAAAAAAGCTGAAAAAAGGCGAAGATTCCTCTCTGACATTTGGGGAAAATGGAAATGCCACTTAATACTTCACACTGTGACATTATTGTCTAAATAAATCCTAAAGCTTACTATAGTGTGGGATCTGGATCTTATGCCATTAGATGATCCAAAGACTACAATTCAAATCTACAATTTATTCTTCTGAATGATCAAAAATGAATGTTACTTAATGTCCAGGGCATAAAAAGTCATCATCAATAAAGCTGCATGTGAATCTTGGTAACAAATACTCAATTTATATGCAAATGGGCAGATCTTGTATCAGCCACTGTGATAATGTAATGTTATACGAGAAACTAACCCACATGAAATATAAGTATTAATTCAGACACACATGGAGATAAAAGCCACGATGAAAAATAGGTCTAATATGAGCGCAATTATTTTCATCAGTCAGTATTTCTCATGTTAAAGAGTGCTGCAAAATCTGTATATGTCTTGCATGAGTGGTAAATTTTAACATGAAACATTTTTTTAGTGTCTTATATACGTATATAACATAATATCCTAAACTTTTACTGTTTACAAAATTTTAGGTGGATTATAAAAAGGAAAAATATAAATATTTCATTGGTCAGCTGGAGAGGAGAGGAGTTAGACAAACAATCCAGACCTGCACATAAAGCTGCAAAAACTGCATTCATTGTCCTTGTTTGTAGTCCCAGATCTTCACCAGACAAATGATAAAACACTACTGTTTGCTTGACAGAGGTCTGGGACTACAACTTTGCTAATTAATATGTTTTTTCACCGGTTGTTGTGCCTGAGTTTTACTTTTTGGCAGCTGTGAAAATCATCTTCAGTCTGCAGATGAAGAGAACAAGTTTAAACTTATGACAAACTCTTTTCCATCCTGAGGGAAGGGTGTGAAGCAATTGGGAAGCATGTTGGCAACCCTTGGAGGAAAAAAAGGGGCTGAAAAGGATTTCAGTCATAGGATGGTCTTTTGGAACCCGGAGTCCTATTTTTTGTTTTAAAAGCTCTGTATTTAAATTTGTGAAAAATAATTTACTGAACTTAACCAAATTACGATAAAGAAAAATACTACCTGCTTCAACCGTGGTGGGTTTCCCTGAGTTGATTTTATGACTTTCAATAGCAAGTTGATGCGTCAGAGTTTCTCTGCAGGAACACCTCCACCTTAGATAATCACTGTGGATTCGTATTGTGCGAGCTCCTGCCTTGTTGCCAAGCCATAAAACACAGTTTATATACCACGCCACGTTGCTCTGTATCCTCAGACAGAGAGGCACCATTCTGTCAGTCAATAATGGTCACCTTTTCAATTTTACTCATCTCTACATGGAGAAAAGCGAAATGTTCTCGGCCTGTCCTTATATCTATTTGTAGCATTTCTCGCTCAGACTTTGATTTTCTTATTAGGTTATAGAGTGATTTCACAGTAGGAGACGTAGTTAAAAAAGTGAAGGCTTCCTGTTCCTCTTTAGCGTCCAGTTTTGACTGTAGGCTGCATGTTCTTGTCAGTGCAGAGAGTCAGCACTCTAAACCCACTGATTTGCTGCACTCATTGAACCGCCGCCACAGGGAGGGTGTAAGCCTGATTCTCACAGATCAGTAAAGGTCAAAGGGGAGGCTCCATGTTCAAACTCCAACTGTGCACAAGTGGGGGATGTTTAAACTGCATCTACAATGAACCCAAATGTTGATACTAACCAAAGGCTTGGTTCATCTGAAATTTGACTCTTGTTGCCACCTAGTGGACATGAGCTGCATGCACAGTTGGTGAGAAAATCAAACTAATCCAAGAAAAAACAAAATACCACTGAAAAATTTGGTTAATCATTTTCACCTTTAAAAAAAGTAAACATGTATTAGCAATTCACCCATGAAAATGAAAATGTAAAAAAATGTTTTCTTTTACAGTAAAACTCTCCTGGACTGTGAACCTGTGGACTTAAAAAAAAAAAGAAAAACTGGACAAATTTCACAACTTTACAAAGATCATGGGTGAAAAGTTCACAAATAGCATGAAATAATTATTTCTGTACAGCATTCATTCTTGAAGATGTAAATTAACGCTTCATCCAGGACTTGACGCCCCAGTGTGGCCTTGTGACGGTAATCATGGACCGGATCTCTTCAGTGTAGATCTCTGTGGCTTTGTAGTGTCATAATGTTCATAGAAACGGTCAAGCCAGTGTGGAGAAATTTCTTGATCCAAAGGGGGAAAGCATGTCATATAAAGAGTTCACATATCAAAGTCAAGACGTGTTCAGATGTGATCACTCCAGTTCCTTGAAGCGTGCGAACATGGCCTTCCGAACTGCTTGTTTGTAGGTAGCATGGTCCCAAACTACTGGCTCTTTCTTTTTCCTCTGCTAAAGACAAAAGAACGACACAAAATTAAAATAAATAAATAAACCTATGGGAAGTTTTTTTTTGACTGATAATTTGCCTGTCAAGCAAACTAAACACTTACTGGGGCAGGTTCAGCTCCTAAACCGGGTCTCTCACTGACTTTGCTGTCCCTGAGAATAAAGAAAAAACAAGAGACAAATTTCATAAAGAAATCCACTTGAATTATTTGTTTTAATCTGAACAAAGTGAACTCAAGAAAACTTACCTGGAGCTTCCAGCCCAAGTGTTATGATGCTGCTGCTGCTGCTGTTGTTGTTGGTGATGGTGTTTTTTCCTTTTCGGCTCTGGGGATCTGGTACCTTCCCTGGCATTTAGCTGTGAGGGACCAATTAATCCTTTAGTGATCAACTGTGACAAGAGTTCGTATAAGCTACACAAGCAGCACAAAATTCCCCCCTTACTTCTTTTTCCTGGTTCTCCAACGCTTCCAGCTCCTTCTTTGACCTCTTGATCTTAAGGTGGATCTCCATATTTTGCTGTGGAGAAATTAGAGAGGTGATTCAAGACAAACTCTTTCATACCCTTATAATGTCTGGCTTTAATAGACACCAACCAGCTGTGTCTTTACAATCTTGAGTACCTTGTGCAGGTCTGAAAGCTGCTGGTGGCGGATCAGAGCATCCTTGTTGGGAAACTGCCTTCGACAAAGCAGGCACGCCATCTTCTTCCAGTCTGTAAGTTTGCTGTCCTTGTCTTCAGGCTGGCCTCCCTGGCTGCTTTTAGTGGCATCCTCTTTATCCTCTTCCACCTCTTCGTCACTTCCAGCTGCATAGTCAGACGCCAGCATACCCAGTGAACCCATTGGGCGCTGAAGAGAAAAACCGAACAAGAAAGCAAACACAAAACTATTTATTGATCATTTCCAGCTTCAGTCTAGGAGTGTCCTGTAGGGCTGTAAAGTCCTAGTCAACTGGTCGACTTATTGGTTGATCCGTGCTGAGTCGACTAAAATTTTGATTGGCCGACTCCATTTTTTTTCTGCGTCAATTTAAAGTCTACGGTTAATTTCATCAAGAGAAACGTACCTAATACTGATGGGGGTGTTTTCGGAGCGCCCCCATTTTACAGGTAACAGCCAGTCTCAGAACACCCCCCTTGTTTTCAATATTTTGGATTTGCCCAACCAACTGGAGAGCAACTAGAGACGGGAAGATTGGAGAGCGTCCACCTTAATTATAAATATAATATTTTAATATAATATTGTATCGTCCCCCACTGCTGAGGGGTTTGCCATCAGAGTCGGAAGACCCTTCCCCCAATTAGTCGATTTTTGGTTGAAAATTTCAGGTTAGTCAACTAAGAGTTTCTTTGGCTGATTACAGCCCTTGTGCCCTGATACAACTTTTTTTTACATCTGATATGATACTGATATTGTAGCTTTCAGTACTGGCCAACACCGATATTGATCCGGTGTTAGCATAAACTTGTGTGTGACAAGTTTTGCACTCAGCTGCGATGTCTTTTTTTGGACTCAAACAAGAAAATACTGCCACACGGGCCAACATCATTCTTACTCCTTGCTACTTTGTTAGCTTAGCACACACTGTTGTTGCGATCATGTGGGCTCTGCATGCTAGACCGGGATGCTGCTAGATAGAGGCGCGGGAGCAGAGTCTGGAATGGACTGCTTGTATCGGAGTGCTGATATTGGCGATTTTAGATGTAGGTCGGTATAATCCGATATTTGTCTTTTTGCTGATATCGGACCAATACCCACGATCAGCATCGAATATCTGGCTGAAATCCGCAATCAGTATCGGATATCGGGCCGATATCCGCGATCAATATCGTATCGGAACATCCCTACTTCAGTCAGCCAAAGAATTGATCTAACTGCAACATTTCGTTTCTGAAATGAACCTTTAAGTAGAGCAGATGAAGTGTCAGTGTCATGCTCTCAGACTTCGATAAACAGAGGGACGTTTACCTTTGACTTTTCATCTTTCTTGGGAGGAGCAAGTGGCTTCTTGAACAGATCTTCTCCACCTGAGATCTAAGGAGAGCGGAGGGTGAGATAAAGTTCCATTTACATCCACTTTCAGAAAGTACATGTGCAGAATAGGTGTGAGGCCGTATGAGGTCGCACACTAACCTTTCTCTCAAAGATAGCAAACCCAGCGTCAGCAGACTTGGATTGCCTCCTGTCATCGTCGACTCCGCTTTTCAGCACCGGTGACGCTGCACGGACACTGTCCTTCTGACGGTTCTGGATCTTCGCCCAGCGCTCCATATCTTTCATGATCTGCAAAACAGCAACTCATTCCTTCACCCTCTCCCCTTTAAAGATCTGTGTTTAACACAGAGTGTGTGTAACTGCAGCTCTACCTTGACAGCAGCAAGACTTCTGGGCTTCTCGTCCTTCTCTTTGTCCTTTCTGGGAAGTTCCTCCTCCTCTTTTTTCTCTGAAGACGGTGTGAGAGTGACGGCCTCGGAAACGGGGACAGCAGCAGGAGGAGCGGCAGCAGCCATGGTAGGCGACGCAGGAACTGATACCGGGATTGCAATTGGGGGAGGGGGAGCGGCTGCCTTCTTCATTTCCAGAGGAGCGTCTGCTGCTGGGTTGGAGAGAATGGCCTGGTCTTCAGCTGTCATGGGCAGAGATTGAGTCTCTGATGGAGTCCCTCCTGGAACTGGGATGTAGGTCTTTGACATGGCATCCCAGTACAAGTACTCTTGGGTTTGAGCATTGTAGAAGTACTAAACACAGGAAACAGATTAAAAAGGTGACATGTTGACTCGCTTTAGAAACAATCAAATCACCTCCTCTATCTTTTTCACAGTGACTTGATTTGGTTTAGTTTTGACAGACTTCTGTCCTGGTGAATGTTTAACTGCAAAGTCTTGATTTCCTCTGATGGATTACTCACTATGGGATGAAATAAAATTTTAAACCACAAAACTACTCCAGTGTTTCAAACAGGCAGCTGTTGCCCACTCTTGGGCTTGTATTCTCACCCTCGAGCCAGGGTCGTAGTACAGTGTCGTCTCAGGGTCGTAGTAGAAGCCTGATGTAGAATCATACAAGTAGTTGGTCATGTCTGGAGTCTCAGAGCCTGGAAAATTTTGAAAAAATATCATCAGTCCAAGGTTCAAACAAAGCTTTGTTACACCAAGAAGTTTCATCTGAGAAAAGGCTGCAGGGAGTGTAATACAACTGTTCTTTCTAGCAGCCGTCAGTGTTTGCAAACTGTATATTATTCATGGGTTGTTCTTTTTTAGCGACAGATTTCCAGATCTTGTGCCTGGCACTGTTTTCCCTGCCTCCTTTGAAGCATCTCCCTACAGACTCTGCTCTCCATTTTGGTTTTTCCTTTTCCTTTTTTCTTAGCATGCCAGTGTATTAGTCTGTGAGGACGAACATAAGGAAGGTTGCTCCAGGATGCCAGAGCAAACCGTTAAGAATCCCTGACGTGTCTAAAAGGGAGACGCCCACTTGATAACCCCAGTGACACGCATGCTCTCTTCTCATTAAAGGATATATAATGGGAAGTGTTAGTGTCATCAATACCTGAAGCCTGTAAACACAGAGCCTGGGTCCTCGTAAGGTGTCAGTGTTGTTTTGATTGTGTCACTAGGGGCCATTTGGAAGGTCAATGGAAGGATGTAGTATATGCTGGGGTGGGATGGTGGTCCTAATTGAGCATTTATCCTTTTCTTTAGGATACATGTATCTCGTGTTTATTGCAAAAACTGTAGCAGGATACTAGTAGGGAATATTCAAAGTAGGACTGGGCAATTATATGATCGTGATTAATGATCGTCTTAAATTTCAGTTCGATCACGGTGATCAGCTGGGAGCATATTTACTCAATCAAACGTTGCGGAAATATGCATGACAACAGCCAATCAGTTGAGCTTTTTCTGCTCACTTCACAAATAGCTGGAGCTAAGCACGGAGCTGAGGGCAGCAAAATAGATGTCAGTCATGACTTTAAGTCATCCTCCAAAGATGCCATGATGAGAAGAAAAGTTATTCGGTTGTGGGACGGTGGTTTGGGTATCTCCAAAGTTTTCTAAGTTTCTTATTCAATTTACTTTGTATGTTAATAAAATGTTGAACTAATCTCTACTTTCAGATTAGACAATATGACAAAATATATTGTGATAACTTTTTTGCCTAATCGCCCAGTCCTAAATCCAAGTGATATTTTCACATAAGTGATTTGTCTCTTACCATAAACATAGGTCTGTGATCCATCTACAGGGACCATCATTCCAGCTGATTCTGGGACAACAGGGGGGACACCAGCCTGATACGAGGGATCCATAACTGGAGCCTCACCGTAGGCAAGGCCCTAGGAAGTGTTAGAGGAGATGATAAGTTCACTACTTTGCTTCTTGGGAAAAATTTCCACAGCTTAGCTCTTTGTCTTTTAACCTACCTGTCCTATGCTTAGGTCTGACGCCAGATCAGGTATAGCGCTACGAGTCATCAAATCACCTGGTCAAAGAGATGTGTCTCGTAAATACAGGTTTTCAGTCATGCTCAGTAGTGATAAAAGACTCTCTTTCCTCAGCAAGTCTTACCTTGCATTCCAGTTGGGACACCAGTTGGGAAACCAGTGGGTGGCGGCAAAAACTGTGGGGGGTGTGGGTACTGCTGCTGCTGAAATATCCGGAGAAAAAGAAATCATGTCACCTAAAAACTCAGACCATCTTCTTCTCTTCCTGATTTTGTAACAAGAAATCAGCATACCCCCATAATGCTGGCCTCAGGTGGTTGACCAAGGATGGAACTGTTCTGTCTGTCAAACTCTTTTCTGTTACAGAAAAAATATCATCAGAATCAAAACATCAAATCTATTAAGACGTCTCCAACACGAGTCGCGAATGGGAAACTCCTCGACTTACTTTTGATTCTTCAGGGGTCTGGCAACCTCAGCAAATACTCGAACTCCGTCAATGTAGAGGGGCCTGGGTTTAGTGAGGAGCTCGACGAGACGTTTCACTTGCTGCAATGAAAGACAAATGGTAAGAGCAGGGTTTTATAAGGGTACAGAGAGGCATCACAGACCCTGCTCTAGTCGTGTTTCTCTACAGGTACCTCATGGGAGTCCATGTCCACGAAGCAGAAGCACCTCCCTCCTGGCTGTTTGGCCTTCACCAAGCGGACATTTCTTTCATCCAGGTATGCAAAGGGATCCAAGGCTTTCAGGATGGTCTCTACTGTGGTGGTAGGCTTCACATTTTTGATGATCATGGCTGCAGTGTGACACAAAGGAAACATGTTTACCATCAGGAAAACATGTCAACAGAGTTTGTTTAAGGTCAAGGTCCTGAAGGTAAACATACTTTTGCTGTCTTTAAAGACGGATTTTGATTTAGGTGAAGTTTCAGAAGCAGGGTTGCGGTTGCCCCAAGACTCTGTCTGCTGCTCGCTTTCTTCCTGTTGGAGCTGTTGGTCCACCTGCTGCTGCCAGGCCTCTGGAGTCAGGTCAGAGCTGCGCTGCCACTGGCTGTTGGACAAAGGCTCCACAGGGCCTTTAGGCGTAGACCCATCCAAGCTGATCCCTTCTGAAGGTTCATCTTGTCTGGGCAAGGGGGGTGGCGGATGTTGAGGTACTTTGTGATCAGACTCCTAGTTCAGACACAAGAGGGTCGAAACCGTTAGGAAGCTGTTGGAAATGTTGGTGAAACAGATTTTTGGGGGGATTTGGTTTGTAGAAAACGACTTACATGAACACTTCTATCAAGCTCATCTGGATGGACATACTTCATGGATGATGTTCTAGTGCCAACCTTTAGAGATCCCTGAAAGAACAGCACAGTTGACCGATTAGAGTCGTCTCATTGTTGACTCATATCTAGTAAGTAAAGCAAATGACACCCAACATGCACTGTGGCAGGTTTAGCCATCCTCTTTACTGCTGAGGATAAAATGGGCAAACACTTTTGATGGTGTGCAAAGCCTAGTCCACGACTATGCGCTACACAGCTCACTTGCCCCAATACCACTAAGAATAATGTAAAGTGAATAGAAATTAGGGTTGTTGCTTACAATGACACCTGTAACAGCTGATCTGATTACTATTCTAGGAAGTCATTTTGTGATGCTTGGTTTGGTCAATTTTCCTCATTCTCTTAAGCAGTGGTGGATACTTTTCCAAACAATGAAAAATATCCACCAATATTACGAAATTCCTAAGTAGGTTTAATTTTTTTGTCTGAGGAAAACCAAACGACATCAAGTTTACCATCTCAGAATAGAGAGAAAGCAGCAAAAGGTCTTCACTACTAAGCGAGTACAACAAAGTGTTTAAGTTGTTGCTTATAGCCGTCCAAACGAAAACCAGACACTCCAGTGTAGAATAAACAGGTAGGGTGTACAAATAATCCCATCGTAGATGCCTCGGTTGCTGCACCACTCCTTAAGTAGGAGAAATAAGCTCCTTCAATAGGCACCTTAAAGTAGCTTCATGTTGCAGATCCATACCTTAGCTGAAATCAAACTGAAGTACCTCCCAAGTACCTTCAGAAATCGTACCATAAAATACCACCCCCAAAACTTTGTCTTTATCCCCGTAACAGCTTCTGTATGTTGCAATTACTGACTGGGCAACTTTCAACTCATTGTCATCAACCTTTTGATCCGCAGCTTTCAAACACTGCAGATCAACGATAGGAAGTAAAAGTAAAGTAAAAGCTCTGAATTGAAAAAGCAAAGCCAACCAACACGCGGCTACGCACTTCCCACTTCATCATCAAATGATTCAAAAAACAAGGAGTGATTCCATGTTTTTTTTTTTTAAAAGGAACTTATAAGCACAACAATACCGGCCAATATCCAAGACTTCGTCCTCATGTCAAATTGCTCCGAGCAAGTCAAAGTGGAAGGAAAAAACCTTTGAGCACTGAAGAGTTCAAGAGAAAAAGAACAAGCTGATATGGACTCCTCTGGAAAGCTGCAGATGATCACAAGTGTGAGGGTAGAAGAGTTTGCCACAAGAATAACTGTAAAAGAAACTGAAAATCAAAAAGACTAAGTTTGTACGCACTCCGTCTGCAGGCTGAGGCTCAGAATTTTAAAATAAACAAAAATAGAAAAAAAATTTAAAGTGATGGCATTTGATGAAGAGCTCGGTCCATTCAATAACTGTTAAAACATTTCACTGTCAGGGACTCATAAGGAAAGGAAAAGCCATTGTGAAGTTCGTAGTGATCATCCATTGGGTTCCCTGGATATCTGCACCAATAAATCTACTAGGTGTCCTGTGGAGATAAAAATTCTGACCTATGGGTGATTCTAGAGGAAAAGTCATCTGCACGCTGCAAATATGAACCGCTGCATAGTTACTGAGACATTTCAGTTACATATGAAGCTGCCAACTTCCTTCTAATGCAAGACCAGTCAGGGTGACAAAAGCAGAAGGCTTCATCGACTGAAAGCTCTGGTTATCTGTGCCAAAACAAAAAGGTATTAATTTAAGAGTGAACTACATGTTTTCAACAAAGTGGTGGATCAACAAACAGATCATCTGAACACCACTAATCACCAACACTGAGAAAGCCCACTGGAATTATCCAAAGAAACCCACCCACCTTCATGGAAGGTAATATTCATTCAACTGTCTGCTACAAAGCACCCACCAAAGTTGAGTTTTCTCCACCTTTCAAGCCAGCAAACAAACCAAGATGTAACACCAGAGGCCAAACAATAGCAATTCTGACTCACAGACAAGCATGACGATTGGTCTCGGCAGAGGTTGCTCATGAATTGCCCTTTAGTCTTTTGCACCCAGTGAGCTACCAAAAGTGATACTGACCAACCAAACCAGAGTGAAAAGACAGATTGAAGCTCAGTAACATCACACTCATTTGAATTAGGCTAGTCTGGCAGAGTTCTTCTTTGCTCTTGACTCCAGCATAACGTAAAAGGTCATCCCTCAAAAGTTGAACACGACTCAACTTTTGCAAAAACACCCAGCAAGGCGCTTCAGCAGTTCATCCATTACTTTTGATCTAATGTTGTAATTTTTCTAGCTCTGTTATAATATCTTCTAATGTGTCTCCTTGCCGGCACAGCCCACCTCTCCGGCAATCAGCCCCCGTCATGTCTACGCAGGGCTGTTTTTAGCCTGAGTGTGGATCGGGTTTTCGGAAAAGGTTCTCTGTTCTCTCTTTACCACATAAACTTTCTTCTCGGTCACTTCTAACAAAGAGAAAACCAGTATTTCATAGAACCTGAATGCTCAAGTGATGCTAATGGTCGTGTTTCATTCGATTCTCCTTTCTTGCAAAGGCTAGGTCACAACTCGTGAAAAGGTGGCTAAACAGAGTGCCTTGATTGTCTCCTTAGGGTAACAGAACAATAAAAACATGCGACACGTTTCTTTCCCCCAAACACCTGAGAAGGTTTTGATAATACAGGGTCTAAATTTTAAAAAATGGAGGACTAAAAATACAAGTTAGCTCTTGGAGAGAATTTCTTAAATCAAAATTATTAAACCCTATCACTTTTTTCTTGATATTTAGATGTAAACTTCATTACCATTATGGGTGATTGGACAAGTGTTGGTAATTTATGTGAAATTAGGGTAAATGAGATGTAAAAAAGTGCATTTCCTAAGTCAGAAACTGACATACTCTCTCCTTAACCTTAATAAGTTTAATTAAACTACAAGCAACCCCTTCTAAGGTTCTCTCCCACCCCATTTACTAAATGCCCTCGCAACCCCTTATAATCCTGATGGGAGTGACGGCCGTCGTAGAGTGACGAGGATGGGCCACCTTGTTGGACTCCATGAAGTGGACTGCATCCTCGAGGTTTAAAAACTCCACATAGGCCGTATCGTAGCTGTAACCTGGGGACAGCATTTGAAATACAGATGGATCTTTGTTAGTCAATGCCAGCAATGACAGTCACCGACTAAAAACATTGAAACACAGCAGTTTGTGAATACATCGAGATCAATGTGGGCGGATTTTTTACACCTGTAAGAACACACACATACCTTTCAGGAAAAGACATGTTTTGTTTTTGCTTGTCTACGGCTGATCTCAAATCAGATCAGACAGTTTTCCCAGGACAGGCTCTCATAAAGCCAAGCCTTGACTGACAGATACTCAAACCCAGCTGTAGTGAACGAGTGTACAGTGTGCACCATGAGCACGGAAGAATTGACTAGTTTAGTTGAAAGAACCGGCGACATATATCGGCTCAGTCAAGGGCATTATGGTTTAATAAGAGCAACATCAATATCATTTGAGAATAAAAAAAGGAAAAATTCTCTAAACAGCTTGGTATCATCTCTTTCTTTATACAAAAGCATCTTTTTTAGATCAGGGACAAGGTGGTCTCCATTCCAGCCATTTTTTTTTTTTAAATCAGAGTACCGTTAAAAAGTGATACCAAAGGATGCATTCCGTGACTCGCTTTTCACCTGATTTTGTGATTGATATTTAATATCACTCTCAAAGCTCTTTTCAAGTATCGTTGGAAAATCCTTTAAATCTTGCGATGATTCCGTCATCCACTGATATGATAAACAACACCCCCCCTTTTCCCCTCTTTACGAAGCGAATTCGCACACACAACCAACAACAGAAGCAACCAAGAACGTTGAAAGAAAGATTGCAGAGTTTTCGAATATCATGGAAGCGAAATGTCGAGGGACATGTTTGCGATCGCCCCAAAGTGTTTCACAAAGACGGGTTATTCCTACCTGGCACCACATTTTTGATCTTCATTCCCTGCATTGGCACACCATCACGGACTGCAAAGGCACCAAGAATCTGCAGGATAATCAACAAATAAGTTGCATAATCTACCCCCATCCATTCACAAATGAATATGCAAAAAGGTGTTTTTGTTAATTACCTGCTCCATTGTGGCAGTTTTTGGGATACCAATTATGGATATAGTATTGGAAACTTTGTCCTCCAGTGATGCATTCCTGTAATCTTGATCCTTTCAGAGACAATTCGTCAAAACTCTTGTTATCACACAATAAAACAAAACAACCAGTGATTAACTTAACAAGTAATCATTAGCTACATGATAAATGTACACCTACCTGAGAGCCAGACTCGCTAACTTTAGAAAGTGCGATAGGTTCGGGTTCTTTGAGGAGTTTTTCTGATGTTTGAAGCTCCTCGTGATTGTAATCAAAAGCTCTTCCAGACCCTGTTCTGTAATCTATGTCCCTGTAGTCCTGGTCTCTTGACTGTACAGTACTGCTGCTTTGGATGTCACATTCTGGCCCCACTTTTCCTCTGACTGGCTCTTGACCAAGTGGGACATCTTTGAGTCCTTTAAAACAATCACCCGGCGTCTGGATATCATGCGAGACCTTGTTATTCTCTTTATGGTAAGGAGGCCTTGAATTGCGACCTGACTTGTTCTGATTTTGTTTGGGGTCCCTTTCTCCAAGCCAATGTTTGCTCTCATTTTCTCTCCCAACAGGTCCAGAAAGGGGACTTATGTCTGGAAGTGGACGGTCCAGTGGAGGTTTACTGCCAATTGGTGGTAAATCCATCACAGGAAAGGGTTCTCCGTGAGGGAAGCCAATGTCTTTCCCTTGGAAGTCCACAGGGGGTCTGTCTCGTTCCTGAAATGGTGGTGGATCTCGTACATTGGAGTCTCTTCCAAAACCAACATGGAAGCTGGGCTCAGGCATACCACCTAAACCTCTATCCATCTTCAAGTAAGGGTTCTTGTCCTTTCTACGGTTCTTCCATTCTTCGGCAAGAGTCATTTCTTCTCCACTCCGATAATCCATCAGGGGACTATCACTTGATTCTCGATATTCTCTCTCTCTCAGCGAATCTTCAGCTCCCATAAAATCTGATCTTTGAGGGCCAGCAGCATCTAAGGGCATCTCTGATCGTCCCCTGTCCCCTGGAGGAACATCATTGTTTCCATATCTTATGGGAGAGCGATCCCTACCCCTAAATTCGGCTGATGGCCCATGACGACTTCTAAAATCCATATCCGAATCAAATCCACCTCTCGGATTGAAAGGGGGCCCTCCCCTTCTATCAGTGTCCATCATTCTCCTTTCATGTGGGGGCAAGTCCATGTCGTAGCGTTCATCGTCACCAATCCCAACTGGATGTCTGTCCCGCATGTCTCTGAAGCCATCATTTCGCTCCATTGGAAACCCTCTTCTGCCATCCATGTTAGGATTATCAAACTGAGGCATATGACATGAGTCTCTGTCTCTCATATCCATGTATCTGTTGTTGTGTTCCAGTGGTGGCATTCCTCTTCCTCCCACGTCGGCTGAGTTCCTGCCTGGACCAGGATAACCAGCAGAATTCAACAGCTTGTCTCTGATAGAAACTTCATAGTGCCTACGAAGACTGAAGTCTGGCTCTTCTCCAGGTCTGAAAAAATCCTGGTGTGGCTCTCTGCCTCGCATATCACGAGGATCCATCTCTCGAGGATCCATGTTATGAGGATCCATATTGCGCCCCCTCATTGGTGGCCCATCCATTCTCCTTATATCCATGGGCGGAAGATCTACATGTCTTGGGCCCATATTACCCATGGGACCCCTGTTCATACCATCCCTACCGTGGAAATCAGGCATGGGGCGGTCTCTGCCACCAAACATTTCTCCACGATGATCACCTCTGAAAAAAAGAAGACTAATGTATCAGTGTACAGTTTTGCAAGAAAGACACACTGATGAGCAAATTTTGGAAAACACCGTTAGGGTGATGAAACTAAATCCTGATATCTACATTACATCACATTTTCAACCATAGTGCACTCCTTTGCAAACAAAATCACAGGTGGTCACACGTGCAGGTACACACAAGTGCAGGTACACAAATAACTAGAGCTGTTGTTTTGTTTTACGCTGAAGTGGGTCCTAAAATGAATGGCCACAGATGAATGATGCTTGTTTACCGGAAGGGCATTCCTCCACGAGGTCCTTGCCTGGGTCCTCGTCCTTCCCACATGTTCACAGATAGTGTCTTATCTGAAAACATTTGCATAATTTTATGAGGAGGCATGAATCCACTACTTTTTATTTTGTAAAGTTATCAGCCATAACTTTTGAAACACATGAACCATCCAATACAATCCAATACAACAACTATGGCTGGGCGATAACATGACGCCGTTATCGAAAATTCATTTCCCTTGATATTGATATAAGACATGGCCAATATGCTTTTTGATAGTCAGCATTCTGCCATGTTTTGGTAGACTATACCAATAGCCAGTGAAAAGGGGAGTTGCTCCGGGTCCGCACTGCGCTGAACCTATCATGTGCTGAATTAGAACCAAGTAGCAAACAACTGTGTAGTAGCAGGCTGCAGCTAAATGCAATCATAGCACTTTAACATGTGAAGCCGACAGCACTGTCGGTGAGAAAAAAATAAAATGAGTGCTACCCCCAGCAGAAATGCAGATGAAAGCTCAACAAATGAAGCATGAAAACATCAGTGGTGTGGGGGTATTTTGTTTTTTTGAGGTCGGACATAAAGCAGAGTAATGTGTGCTGCAAATTTTATCAAGTCTCGCAAAGTTGGGGAATACTTCCAATCTTTTTCACCAACTGAAGAGGTGCCACGCGGCAGAGCACGTGCAATGCAAAAGGTTACGAACACCGACCGGAGCAAGGGGTGGCGCCTATGCAGACAAAACAGCCGACCATTTTACTTTCTCTAGCGCAGCGCCTGACAACAAAACGTCAAAGAGACAAAAAGACCTCACAGATGCAGTAACTTAATGTATTGCAAAAGACATGCTACCAATAAACACTGTTAAATTCCTTGTAGGAGTAAAGGTCCTTTCACACCGGATTACAATCAGATTGCGTGTTGTTGCGACGTCTGATTCACCGGTATATCCAACATGGCCTACCGGCTAATTGTTTATGTGTTGGAGAACAGAGTGCTTTTTGATAAAAGACACAAACATTACAAAGATAACCTGAAGGACAACTTGTGGAGAGTCATGGCATCGGCTTTCTCATATGATGATAGTTTGTGTCTTTTAACAGTTTGCTAAACGTCCTTGTTTTAACTTTCATCTGTACTAAGTAACTTTAGCTTGTTAACTAATCTGTACAGATACAACATACCATAAATATTTTCACTGTCTCAAACTCAATCGCGTTGCTGTCACAGCACCATTAGGTCTCAGTTGTTACCTTATGTTTATGGATTATAGTTTAATGTGCTTATCTGGTACTGGCCCCGACTCAGTACATGCTATCATGACAGACAGCCATCTCAACACTAGTGTCTAATCAGAACTGAAAAACACTCAGTCTGCTGTTGTGTCAGTCTTCTTGCTTCCACCTGGGATGTGTCTTTTTTGCCCCCGGAAAGTAGCAAAATCGCATCGAGCTTGATGTGTATAGTCAGGCGCGTCAAAATTCGCCTCCGAATATTTCATAATTTCACGTTCTACGTTCGCGTTGGCCCCGGTGTGTAAGGACCTTAACAGGGAAGATTTAAGATTGACAAGTGATTTTTTAATATCATGATATATATCGACATAAACTGACATGAAAAAAAATATCATGATAAACTTTTTCCAATATCGCCCAGCCCTAACAACACCCAAACCATAAATTCTACTTTTGTGATACTTGAAAATTTTTAGTTTCGCTGACACAATCAGTCCGGTAATCACTGTTATTCTTATTCAAAATGTAGAGGGTGTTGGTGGTGAACTGGAGTGCATTATAATGAGAGATCCTCCATCTGATTTCTCTCCTCGTGTTTGCTAATGAAGTGGGCAAAATATAAGGAACACATTTCAGTGTCCTCAGTAAGAAATAGTATCTGTCTGATCATGAACAAAACCAGAAAATTTGGAGGTAGGGTTGGTGTTGGAGCTGTTGTACTTGGATAGCCTCGGTGTTTGTTTAATATGTAGTGTACAACACGCTTTACGCTGATCACAGACTTTGACACCACAAGCCTAATCTGAAGCTCTTTCCTACTATTAAGGATAAGACATGTCTGTTATTCCGGTGCATTAAAAATCAAAGTTAAAGCTGGGAACATTGGTCAGTCCCCGAGGACAGTCTCTCTCCCTCTCTCTCTGGGTGTGCGAGATCGGTAAAGCTGGCCCGCAGTCAGCAGTTGCCGCTAATTATAGCCATCACCAGGCCTTAACATCTACGCCACACCACAAAGAAGGGCTAACGCCTAATTCACCTAAAGTGCAGTGACTAAATATCTACAGGACACAACCATTCGTCAACGTGATAACTTTGCAAACTAAATACTCTTTTAACAGACGTCAGCTAAGCGCTAAACCATTCAGACGGTGACGCTGCGGGCAAGCTAACGCGGTTAGCATTAGTGCTAAAAGCCGGGTTTCTGGTTTGTCCGCGGATGCGCCTCTTCTTTTGAACAACGACGAACTTAGCTGTCATCTTATTTCACAATCACCGCTTAAATATTGTTTCTCTGGAGCCTACCTTGCTCGCCTGTTTCTCGGAGTTGATATCGCAGAGGTTAGTCGTACAGGCCGCCGATAGCTGCAACGAAATGATGACAAATGGAGGCGATCTTCTTCTGCTGCAGCTGCAGAGCCTGAGCTGCTGCTTCTTCTTCGTTGTTTAGCACGGTACAGCCGCATTGGTCTATATGAGACGAATTACTGCCACCCAGTGGTTGTTAATCACACTTACCAACATTTGTCCTGTGGCAGGGCTGTTTATGGTAGTAAATCGGTTAAAAATAGATAAACCTCAGTGGAAAATTTTTTTAAGATTTGTGAGTTAAAGGGATATTCCGGCTAAAATTAATTTAGGGTCAAACACACAGTAACATGAAGTTAGACACCCCCTCAAGAGATGAATGTTGCCAACTGCTTGCTTCTCTACTTATACCAACTTTAGTAGCGATCACACAATACCAATACACAACATGACGCCGATATCGAAAATTATATCGCCCGGGGTCTCACTACAAACAAGCTGCTGCTGGAAGAGAGTAGGTAGGTTGTGTTTAGTCTCTTTGCTAAAATTAGGCAAAGTTAATTACACGTGGGTGGCTAGTAGTATGACTGGGACCCTATATGTACTGTTGATGAAGTTAGGTGCTGATCTGAGCATTATTTGTGGCTATAGAGTGGCGTTTTGGTTGAGGTTTGTTTATGGCCCCTCAGACCGCTGTGTATTGCTATCGTGCAGTCGTTACTAAAGTTGGTACAGAGTTGCAAGTGGTCGGCAACATTTATCTCTTGAGAGGGTGTCTAACTCAGTGTTACAGTGTGTTTGACCCTCAATTCATTTTATGCTGGAATATCCCTTAAAAATAGATCAACTTCAGTGGAAAAAGATTTGTAAGGTAAACAACAACCCATAATTACCTTTCAAGTGGCCTGGAGGTTTGGTAATGTTTTATCACTTCAGTTCAGAGAAACCGAAGTAAGATTCAAAGAAATAAAAAAAGCAACTGCTGTATATCACTGTAAAAGTTAGTTAATTTGCCATTTTTTTTATAAAAACATCACAGCCACAAGATTGACCCTTTCCTGTAATTTAATATGAGGAGAAACACAAATTCACTCTGATCTTAAAATCTATCAAAAATGATATATGTAGACCCTTTTTAGCTACTGATATTCATAGCCTACTGTACATTAAACTGTTCCCTTCTATCATGATTAATATTGAATGAATAACATAGTTTTAACTTTTAAACCAAAAAAGTGTGATATGAATTTTCAAATAAGTGTTCACATACCTGGGTTTTGTTGGATAATTATCCTTGCTTAAATAAATTCTAATTAAGACCTTAAAAGGAAAAGGACGGTGATTAATAAAGTTGCCTGTCTTTTCATATTAAATACTGTCAGTGAGGGGCAACAAAAGAAATATCACAGTTTCAGCAATAAGAGTATTGCTTTTTTATTCATTCACAAGCGTAGCAACCTGTTAGCTCAGCTAAATGTTGCTTAAAACACAAATAAATAAAAAATACACATGTATACGATGCAAATATACATAGTGGTACATGTTATGGACTCAGCTTTAACCTCTGAAATTTACTAATTACAAGTGACAACACAACAACAACAGCTTAAACACCACTCCACTTACATCGCTCTAAAATTAGTTCTTCCATATTTCAAAGGTGGACAGAACAGAAGTATCAGTACAGCTGCGTTAAACTAAACATAAGAGCAAATGATAACAGCTAAAACATTTCAAAGAAACCATAAGCAGTAATAATCAAGTTGTTTCTTGTGAAACATTTTAGTACATAACTGCAACAAATATTAAGGCACTTGAACTTAAAAAGATGCTTTCTTGCTGCTATAAAATTATAAGCTGACTGAGGTTGTACTGCACATTTCTAATCAGGTTGAATCCACATTTTAAATTCAATGTTTATGCAGTTGTTCCCTCATAAATAAGTTCACTTTTAGACCCAGATTATGTATTATAACCTATTTGAACTTTAAACCATTTTAAGCTACCATGTTCTCCAATTAGAAGATTGGTTATTGAATAGTGAGCTTAAAAATCGATTCTGCGGAATATTGTAAAAATATTAACATATTTTTGAAATCTCATTATGGTCGATTGAACAAATCTTTCGACTCATGATTTTAAGTAACAAGATATGAGCTTATTCTAAAAAGTTCTGAAGCTAAAAAATAGCGGTTTGCTCAAACATACAACTACATCGCTTTACAATGAGCTGATGAATACAGATGAGTGGATTTCACTTATTTGCACCGTGATGTTTTTTTTGTTTTTTTTTAAATTTACAGATTTCAGGAAAAAGATACAACAGAAGAGCTACTTAGCAACTAGCCTTAAAGGGACTTGTACACAAAATAACAAGGGAGGGTGGACACTATTCAAAAGACCAATCAAGACTAAGAAGATGGTGAAAAGCATGATGCGGTGGAAAACTCTGCAAACTGTGGGGGTTAGTTGAACAGCATAGACATGGTTTTATCATGCCAAATGTATTGGCTCTACTGCACATGTGCTTGTAGGTGGGCGAGGGTCTCTTCTTGTATTTGTGCGACGTCTAGTCTCCCTGGCTTTGTGGCAACATTTGGGGAACATCTCCGTTGCAGCGTGCCTGTGGCTGCTCCTCCTGACGGGCTGGGACGGGTTGGGGGGGCGCAGGGTTTGTTGCAGTCTGTGTGTCAGGAGCTTTTTCACTCAGAGCAGCCTTTAAGCTGGCAGCCTTTAATGCGGCAGCAAAACTACCGCTGCCGCCAGGTGGTGGAGCAGCAGCACCGGCGGGTGTGTTGGGGTCAGCTGCAGCACCCGCAGCGGCAGAGTCTCCCTGCTCTGAAGCCCGGAGTCTCTTCATGAGGGTGGTCACTCTGACAGCTTTCTGTTAGTGATAGAAAAACAAGGAGGGATTTAAATGAATCTGGATTTTCTACAGAAATACTTTCAAGGATATGCATTGATACTTGAATGGAAAATATGGAGCAGTAAGAACAACCTCTACTCTTGTAGTGGCTCATCTTTGAGAAATTACAAACAAAACTATTAATCCCATCACCTCTTGAATATAAATTTGTTGGTTTTTCCAGAGAAAAAGAGAAAATCATCTTCATAATATAACTGACTGAAAAAGTTAAAGTTAAATGCATGAATTCAAATTGAAGCAAAGTGTCTTTACATATTAGTATGGCTGGGATGATATGCTTTTCTCCCGATTTGATTTTTCTATGATTTTTTTGGATTGTGATTCGATTTAAATTGTGATTCTACAATGTTGTCGATTTTTTCAATCTATAGTTTGTACTGTTAACACCAGTGAAACAGATGAATGATTATGATTGTCTACTGACTGTTCCAGGAGCCATATTTCCCCAAAAAAATACACATCACAGGTAAGTCAGTTTTTAAGATTTATTCTTAAATTTGAAAAAAAAAAATCGATTTTTGAACACAAAAATTGATATAAATATTGTAAAACAAAAAATGGCGTTACTTATGTGGATCGATTTTTTCTCCCACCCCTAATAATTAGAGTCGCTATTGGTGTTAACAATAGTGAATACATTATTAGCCTCAAATGTTGGTTTGTTACAACTTCAATAAAAAATATATTAAATAAGGGCATACAATCCAGTCTACTTTCAAATTTACTGTAGCTCACCATTATGAACACAAGACATTACTGGAACTATTGATATATCTGCAAAAAAATTGAGATTAAGAGGAAAACTTTACCTTCCACTTCGCTTTTGCAAAGTTCTTCTCTATCTGTGCACAAACACCATCCTTAATGTTCTTGTCTGAGGCAGCATTTCCAGAAATCCTACAGGAAAAAAAACAACAACAAAGGTTTAATTTTCTTCAATATATATTAAAGTATTGTTTGTTTGACCTTTCATATCTTATTTCCTTTTTACCATTCATGGGCGATGGCTTCCTGCGCAGTCAGTCTCTGATCTTGGTCCACTTCCATCAATGACGCCACTAAGTTCTTAGCTGAAAAAGGAAGGAAGTAATAATGTGAAATTCTCAGCTTTATAGGTTACACGATAGATATCTTGTGCCTTTATTGTTGCCCATTTTAATAACAGAATAACCTCTTACCAGATTCTGAAATGTCATCCCAGTAGGGTGAATCAAACTCATAGTCCCCAGACAGAATCTTGAGGAAAAGGTTCTTGTCCCGGTTGTCAGGATCCTCTTCATCAGAGTCATCATAGAAAGGAGGATTTCCAGACAAACTGTAGAGTTAGCAGAGCACACTTATTGGTATACTGCACTCAAATCACATGATTATGCTTTTCACACTGTGGGCCCTTACAGTATATACATGATGACACCGATGGCCCAACAGTCCACAGGTCGACCATATCTCTGCCTCCCAACCATCTCTGGAGCTGAAAGCACAATCATGCAGGTACAAACTCTTTTAATTTAGTCATTTAGTTCAACCTTTTATTCTGTTCAGTCTGTTTTTTGTTTTACCCAGGTATTCTGGAGTCCCACATGGATCCTTAATGAGTCCATTCTCCAGCTTAGCCAGCTGGAAGTCACTGATGACAATTTTGGAGTGCTTCAAACGGTTAAAGTAGACCAAGTTCTCCAGCTAAGGGAGTAAACAAAGAGAGTCTGATGTGAAAAGCATTCCTGAGGAGCAGTTATATTGGTTTACAGTGGTATGCTGTTAATTCTCACTAGGTGTCAGCAGAGGTATATACCTTAAGATTTCTGTGGACAATTTTCAGAGAGTGCAGGTAAGCTACAGCCTCCAGCACCTGCCTCATCACGTTGCTGGTGTCCCTCTCAGAGTAATATCCTTGATCTAAGATCCAGTCAAACACCTCTCTGCCTGTAGCACTGAAGACACAGGACATTCACAGTAAACGCGTATCACTTGTTGAAGGATGCAAAAAATAAATGCACATTTTTGGAGTAAACCTCAGTCTTGTACTAGTCGAGGCAGCCCTGTGCACTCCAGTCTGCACAAAAATTCCCCTCAAGTGCTGCCAATAATACTCACAGCTCCAGAAAGAGGAAGTACTCCTTCTTGGTTTCAAAAGCGTCAACCAGCTGGAGGATGTTGTGATGTTTCAGCCTTTGAGAAGCAGGAAAAAGGTTGAAGAGGATGGGAAGAAAATGGTGGGATGTAAGTGGGGTTAAAATAAGCAAGATATGGAGTCGGTGAAAAAGAACAAGCAACACAGCTACGTGCCAAAGCTTGGGGTTGATTTAGGTAAACTGAAAACAAATAACTGTACCAGACATTTCCTCAAATCTCCGCAGAGAGCCAGTATTAAAATGTCACAGCCAGCCTGCATACACAAGTGGGAAATTGAAGGTACGCATTTTTATGTCGCCTTTTTGATGCCTAATGATCACTGCCCTCAATTACTCTTCAGCTTACTTGGTTTGCATGTTGATTTGTAAGATGATTTCACTAGAGAGCAGACCTGTTTACTTTTATCATTCTTGGTGAAAAAGAAGGAGTGACTGCAGCAACTACTGACTCCAACAACATGCTGGTACCCTTTTCCAGAATTTGGCAATATGTTTCACTTTAGTTAAGGCTGGGTGAATTGATGTTTTTAGTCTTGTCCACAGATCAAATGAAAGGACCCTGGCCAAAAATGTATTGGTTTGTCCCCTTGGCTTTTTAAAGTCCCACTCCAATAGTTTTTTTTTCACTACTTCAAGTGTTCTCAGTGGTCTTTAATCTGTGATTATGAAGTCTTCAGCCAAAATCACATTACCTGTGTTGTTTTCAAGGGCTTTTTTTCTGCAGAGCTCTAATAGCAATTTGCTTCTGAGTCGTGGGCAGAGACAGCGCTACTCTGCGCACTTCTCCTTGAGTTAGCTTGCAGCCTAACATAACCGGTGTAGTAGAAGTAACAAGTAACATAGGAGCTATTCAGCTAACGGACACTAATGTCTTTAGGGACATGAAGAAAGTTGAATAATTAGCTTTCTTACGAGAATTTCAATCCGTTAACGCAGACACTTCTCTATTTCTCCGAGCCTAACCTGCATAGCGGGGCTCCGGGGGCGGAGCCTGGATTGGTTACATAGGAAATCTCACTGAATCTGATTCATAGACTGTATTTTGTGATCTGATCCTGCAGTTTGGGTCTGCCACAGATTCACAGCGATTTGAATGCAGAAATACTCAGAAATGCAATTTCTCACCTATTTTATTCATGATATGTCCTCTAGTATCAGGTAAATGCCATATGAACATGTAGACAGCAAGAAAAATGATTTTCCTCTGAGTGGGTCTTTAACCCTGTCTGGGGCACCAGGCAATAAGAAACATGTTGGATTTCCGAAAAACTTTTTCCTCAAGTTCTAACCCTTCCTTGAGTTTTAAACCGATCATATTTCAGATATACAAACACGGTTTAATCATACGGTAAAACTTGCATTGTTAAACCAGAACTGCTCTGTGTCGTATATGATGCTTAAAACTCATTAAGTTCTAGGATGTCATTCTGAAAGACTTGGCAAAGCAAATCTCTGAGGTCTTTAGTTCAACCTGCTGTTAGATGTGTGCAGCTCATTTGTGTTGCGACTCCGTCTCTCTTTCTCTAACATGTACGCTCTATAATGAGAAGCTCAAAACTGCACTTACATCTTGAGGATCATTATCTCATTCTTGGCAGCTTTCCTCACTTTCCTCCCGTCCTTTTTGTGGAACTTTTTACAGGTGTACATTTTCAAGGTGTTCCTATCCTTTGCCCGGAATATCTCGCAAAACTCCTCTCTGTAAAAAACACACAGGAAGTGACATGCTTCATACTTTCAGCACATTTACTGCAGAACTTCGTGAGGTTCATGTACAATATAGATTAACTTACGATTTGACGATCTGTCCGAGGTCATATTTGTCAGTGATCTCTGAGGGATTGTTGTAATCCTTCTTCTCTCCGAGTGTCAAACAGCCAAATGGCATGGCAGCTCGTGCCCTTTAGCCAGGGACAGTCCTGCCACAACACAACCTGCCAACAATATACAACAAGACTCTTAATCACTGAGTTATTCTAACAGAGAAAGTGAGGTGGAGCACAGATGGACACCTGAAATGGACTCTTTAAATTTATCGTGGTGATAAACTGTTTTATTAATGACAACAACAGTTATGGATGAAATAACTGCTCAGTGATGACTCTTTAAACAAAATATATGCAGTAAATCATCGCACACATAAACAGAACAGGGAGCAGTTTAAATGTATGAGAGTTTTATCTCTTTGAAACCTTTTCAACCATAAATCAGAGTCGGCAAGTGTTGTCGAGCTTGTGGAGGGCCAATTATTTCACATTACCCCACGAGCAAAACAACACAAAATTTGATTTTCCAATAACATAATCTCTTGTGTCTACTCAATATTTAAGTGTGATGACACAACAAATTTTACAACAACCTTACTGACCTTCACTGTGGGGATAAATAAAGTTATTCTTATTCTTAATATTACAAGGAATTTGGCTGTTTTGTAAGAAAAACTCTGAGTTTTAGAGATCTTAGTGGTAAAAACGACTATCCTGGAGTTAAGTTTTCTTACAGTGTGTGACATTTCAGATGCAGTGAAATCGAGTCAAAGTAAAATCTAAGATCTGCTCTGTGTTCGTGGATGAAATAGGATTCATGGATGCAGGGAGGTATCAAAGAAGTATTCTGACTTTTCTGACTGGGTGGCCCAACTTGGGTGCTGACTTGATGTGCATGTAATATTTATTCACCCTTTTTTAAAGCTGACTTTTATCTCTATCTCCTTAAAAAGTATCACTGCAGAGTGGCAACATATTAATCTTTTAAGATATTTCTAAATGGTTTTAAAATAGAGGCCTCGCCCGAATTAAAAGAAAGTTAGAGGCAGCCTGTTGTGATGCGGCCAAAACAGCTGATTTTAGTGATAAGTCTCGCCTCCAAAAAGGTAAAGATTTTAGTGGTGGCACCATAGACTGTATAAATTATGGACAACTTGGTTCCGCCTTCTGCCTGTGTACGGATTTGAAGCCAAAAAGCTCTCGGTATTTCTGTGGTTTTTCTCCACTTCCTTAAACCAACATTGTGCAGTAGCGTTGTACGCATTCGGCGGGAGAGTCGTCGATAGTCGCTGTGATGACGCTCGGCTCAAACAGCATATCCCCCGGGTGAGCTATGCAATCTTCGTACACCCATAGGCTGTATCAAGTGTCAATCATAAAAAACATGAACCCCCTAATAACTTTTAGAAACAGAGCTGCACAGAAAAAAGAGGACTCGAGCACAAACCAGTCTTACTGTAACTGCATGTCGAAACTGCAAGCAGGGGGGAGAAAAATGTATGTTCTGTGAAATTAATTTCTAAAGTTTGTCCACAGCCCCATAAGCTTTGCTGGCAGAGGCGGACTGATAATTGAACAAGTTACCGATGCAAGTGCACCTAAACCCCAGCGGCCTTTTTGTTGAAGGAAAGCAGTCACTACAGTCTGGATAAATCGGTGCCTTAAACACAACATTTTTAACTACAGACAGCAAAAAGACTAAATAAATGAAGTTCACCCACATGAAGCAATTTAACACTTTTGTATGCCAGTTTCACAGCCTCAACAAATAAATAACTGGACAGCTACCATGGACATAGGCTAATCCAACTAACCTTGGATTATTAATATTGTTTTTTATCAGACAAAGCAAGATGAATCTTTGTTGGAGTTAACTGTCTGACATCCATTTTCAAAAGTCACTATAAAACAAGTATGTGTGGAGTGGGATCAAATTATTACATAACTACATATAACTTTAAATGACCTGGATTGCTGCAGCCACACAGCAAAATACTATACATGTTCACTACAAGCAGCTGGTGAATTGGGTTGGTAGTGTGGAAAACAGAGCCGGTTTGTTGGCAGGCCTTCGAGTAGAGAAGGCAGCCAGCACAGGAGAGTGGGAGTAGAGAAAATCTGACTGAGGTGCTGTCTGGAGCCTCAGTCGAGACCCTATCAGAGCCACAGATTCCTGCCTGCTTTAGCATCCAGTCATATCAGTTATAGTAGAAGAAAAGCAGGGGTATAAGTGCACACACACACACACACACACACACACACACACACACACACACACACACACACACACACACACACACACACACACAAGGAAGACAATAAATTGATGTCCTTGATTATTGTTCATTACTGTGAAGAAACAGAACAGAATGTCTCCTGCAGAGGATTCACATTTGTGTGATATTATGAGTAAAGACAAAGACTTTGTCTACAGCGGAGAGGAGTCCACAAGGGGACTCATTACACTGTGATCCAGGCTCAGCCAAAGAGCTGAAATATGAAGTGTAACCTTATGTAAATTGCTTGTTTATTATGACTAAAAAGATTCTGTTTCCAGTGATGTTCCTCGTTTATTGAAACTGATTAAATGGAGCTTTTCAGTTTTTGATCCGCGCACAGCAGGGAGAAAAAATATTCATGAAATTTTTGATTCACTTGGATGCAGTCCTACACATTAACAGAGAATAAAAGTATGAATGCTACAGTGCTGAAGGTTTATCGCTTCATTTTATATTCTCACACGGACAGATTACACGACCTCTCAGCACGAAATAAGTCAACATGTCACCTTAATATCAAACAAGTCCTTGCAACTGTGAGTCAACACAGCAGTCATGATCTTTCATCTTTTTAAAAAATGTTCACTTACATGGGTTGATTATGAGCATAAACTCTTTTATGGGCCTGTGAGAAATGGTTGAAAATTGGTATCTTATCTTTAAAGTGGTCCCAGTCTATCAAACAACAACTCTGAGCTCAACTTTCTTATGCAACTTTGGCTCTTAAGGACAGGTATGTCCCCCAAAAGTACTGTTAAATAATCCTCTGCTGGATAAATTACACAAGCCCAACAAGATGTATACTTTCTATAAACTACTGCCTGAAATACCTGCAGTGCAACTCTGTCCACCTCTTCACTGAGGTACATAAACAGTAATACTTGTGCCAGTAAGTGGTGCTCGTCCCAGTTAAAATAAGATCTCTTATCAGGCCTCTGATGTTATCTAAACTACTTAGTCAGGCCTGATATATACAGAGCTGCAATGCAGTTATACAATTTTTTGCTATTGCTGGAAAAAGAGACCCCAAAGTGGAAGACAATTCATTCTAGCTGTTTGTAGAAGGTATTTTGCTGCAGACAGTATTTATGAAATTCTTTAAAGGCTGCTACACTATACCAAACTCTGTGAAACAGAACTTACATTATTTTTATATATAAGGGTAGAGGCTAGGGATCATTACAGGAACACTTTTAGGTTTTAAACTAGATCAGAATTGTAGCTAGATGTAGGCGTTACACATAAACTAAATAAATTTTGGACATGGTCTCTGTGAAGTCACCTGTTGAATCGTTTGAACACCAACAATGATCAGCTTAAAAACAGGCAAAGAAGTGGAGTTGAGGGAATCTCAGCCGTACCTCTAATCATGCTAATTTCAGTTTAACTCTTGCCTTAATCGGACCCTGACAAATGAGTTTTACAATATTTCCGACCCTGTGCAGTGTGTACAAATAGATACATGATACCCAAACCTGGTTTTGAACCGACTATGAACATATTTAATTCTGCTATATTATGTTTAACATTGGACCCAATGGGGTTCCCTCACATTTGCAGCGAGCCTCAAGTGGACACTCAAGGAACTGCAGTTTGGCTTCACTTTTCATCGTTGCTTAGTTCTAAACTAAAAATGTTATGCCCTGTCTTCTTATTTTGAGTTAAACTGCACATGTTTCAGTAACAGTACGCATAACAATATTATCTGTAACACACTGTAATTTTGATTTGATTATTACGTTACTATTATACATTTCTCTTAGTTTTACTAGGCCACTGCGATAGCCTTTTTTGGCAATCAAGAGGTTGTGCTCATTTTTCTAGTGTTTTTTATTTATTTTTTGTTATTATTTTTTATTTTTTAGTGTTGTTATTTTTTGTGTGTTGTTGTCTGTTGTCTTTATGTTTGTAGATTGTTGAATGTCTTTTTTTTTTTTGTTTGTTTGTAATGTATTTTAGGACCCCCTCGATAATGAGATGATTCCTCTCAAGCGGTTTATCCAATTAAATAAATTTCTGATGATTTTTAACAACTATCATTGAAAGAAAAAAAATCAAAGCAGCTGTACATAAACAATGAATAAACCTTTAAGTTACATGAAGGATTGGGTTGTGTCATCCTTCGTTCCTAGCACCGAAAACATGGTATTATCTCAAATGTATTTGAGCTGGCTAAATTTCATTAAGCTGCTGGTTGTCCGAGTTCATATCAGACAATGATTTGCATTTCAAACTGTTTCCAGAAGTGTGCACAAGTTAATGAGCATTTCTACTAAAGGTGAACAAGAGGAGCTGGTGTCATACAGAGCACGTTTCTTCTTTAACCACCACAGTCACAGTATTCCTCTATGTGCTAAAGAGGAGGGCTGTCAGTAAACCATTAGTCTACTGTATGAAGACTATTTGCAGGATGATCATATCCTCTGCACAAATCCTTGCAATTACAATACCCAGACTGCACATTACTGTTTTCTGGCTCTCACATTGATTCACACAACTGTGCTGCCTGGGTGGGAGAATTATTTCACAATGGGTGCCTCAATTCTGTGGCATTATGCACAAGAATACACAAAGACGCACACAGATCACATATGATACTGTTCTTCCTCTCCTGTCTGACATATGTGATGTCTTCTGCAGCATTTTTTACACTGTGCTTTTTTCGTTACGAGATCAGAATCGTAGTCACACTTGATTATGGTATCAATATAACATTGCTTCTTTGTATCTTGAATGGCCCTCTTTGGGACACTTTGGTGGCCTCTGATGCCTCACTAAAACAAACAGCACAACTATTATCTTGCATGGAGAGCAGAGTGAAGGGGCGAGGCTGGGGTGAGACCGTTTAATACATTCTTTATACTGCAAAATGAATCATAGATCCCTACACCTGTTCTCAAAGATTGACTCACAGAGCCACAGTGCACCAAACACTCAGCAGCCGGTTTGATAAGTCAGACTGAATTTGGCGTGCGCTTGTTTTTCTCCCTTTTCAAAGCAAGATAAAAAAAAATGTTCTCCTTCACCAGAAGAAGAAAAAAAGAAGATAGAAGGCTCTTGACTTTTGCTGAATCAGGATTCTTTTATCGTTGTCTGTTGAAAGATCTGAATGAAGTGTTCTTCATTAATGGGAATGTAAATGCTGCCTCAGTTTTAGTCTGTCGCAGGGCAAAATTATCTAATAAGACCCTGGGGGAAATGAAATGACAAAGAAAGAGCTGTTGTATTTGACTAAAACGTTATTTGTATTTATCTAACAGCTGCATAAGGAAGTTAAAAGCAAAAACATTTTCCATTCAGATTGTTTGTTGTGTTAAATTCTGCTTTTAATAGACTTCTCAGGAATGGACAATAAAACAGCTCGAGCATGTGTGTCTCAATAATTTTTTGTAAAAAGAGTTTAATATTTTCTGTTACTTATTTACCAAAGTGAAAATTTTTATATAATCTTGACTGATTACAAAAAAAGGAAAAAATGTTCAAGCATTTTTCTTTCTTCATTTCAGCTCAAAAACCAAAAAACATATCTCAAAATATTAGAAAAAAACATTTTTTAGATAATTATCCAAACAGAATAAGTTATTTCCAATATTTCCAAGTCTAGTTCAGCACTTGCAACCACAATCAGAGGAAATATGACTTAACAGTTGTCCAGAAAATGGTCGGTGACACCATCAACGAAGGTGGTAATCAAGAGATTCAATGCTGAAAAGGTTTGCCAGAGGACTATCGAAGTATAGCTGTCGAAAGTTGACTTGAAGGAAAACACGTGGTGGTAAAAGGTGCATAAGGAACACAGATGTCTGAAGCCTCAAAAAGATTGTTGAGAAAAGTTGATTTAGGAACTTGAGAGAGCTTCATAAGGACTAGACTGTGGCTGGAGTCAGGCCACAGCTGTCACGCTCCTGATATCAAGACACTCCTGAACCCAAGGCGACATCAGAAGTGTCATACCTGGGATCAGTAGAATGAACTGGACTGCTGCTGCTCTTTTCAAATGAAAGTAAATTTTGCATTTCATCTGGAAATCAAGGAACTAGAGGCTGGAGGAAGAGTGAGGGGCACAGAATCACAGGTTTTATTAAGTCCAGTGTGCAGTTTCCACAGCCTGTGATGATATGAGGTGTCATGTTCACTGTTTCATCAAGTCCAAAGTCATCACAGCTTTTTATAACACTTCATTATTCTATCCACTGACCAGCTTTAAGGAGATCTAGATCTCTCCTTCCTGCTTTTCACCTGCCCACAGCACCAAAACTCCTTACAAATGGTTAGTCGACCATAATGTTATTGGAACTACAGTAATGGACTAGCCTGGGCTAAACCCCATAGAGAATCTGTGGGATTATTGTCCAGAGAAAGATGAGAAACACCCATCCCAAAACTACAAACCAGGCCGTCATTAAACCACCTGGGCGTTATAAAAAACCTCAGCAGGGTCACAGGTCGATCACCCCTAATCCACGCCACACTGATGCAGTCATTCATGGTTCCAGGAGCTCCAACCGAGTCTGGAGCATATAAATCCGCATGGTGGTACTTTTCAAGAGCATTTTTGTATTTTCTTTTTGGACTTATCTCAGGAAATGGTTTTGAAAATGAGGCACTGGATTTCATGTTCTTTTAATGAGCCAAAATTTCAAAAAGGCTTGAAAAAAGGCTTTAAAATCAAAAGAGGCAAAAAGATGGAGCTGAAGTGAGCCTCTTGCCTCCCAGCTAACAGCTCCCATCAGACCAGTCAGAAATGACCCTAATTATGCCCCTTTATGCAAAATTTGTGTCCTTTAAAAATGACTGAAAAAAATGAATCTTTCGAGCACAAGTGTGTGTATGAATTAAAAAATGGGCTAATCCGATTAAATATGTTCTTGTTTTTTCTAGGCTGTGAACGTGTTTATTTCTGCTCTTAAAATGGGCATTTTAAAATACGTGTGAATAGGACTTCAAAGGTTTGTAAGCCGGCCTCAAGAGGACGCTTAAGGAACTGCAGTTTGTAGCACTTCTCCATTGGGTGTATATTTTAACATCAGAGATCGCTGCTTGATTCAAAACCAAAATGTAGAGCTTTAATCGAAGGAAAAGTGCCAAGTTGAAATTCGAGTACAGCAGCTTTTAGCAGTCTTTTGAGACACAGCCCAGATGGCTAACTTTAAAATAAATCTGTCAAGGTAAGTAGCCAAGTATTGGGTTGGTTAATCATGTTTTAAAGTCCCATTTGGATCATTTTTTTTTTTACTACTTAAAGTGTTTTCAGTGGTCTTTAAATTGTGATTATGAAGTTTTTACCAAAAATTGCATTACCTATGTCAAGGGCTTTTCTTCAATTTGCCTCTGAGTCGTGGGCGGAGACAGCGCTGCTCTGCACACTTGTCTTCATGTTAGATTGCAGCCTAGCATTGCCGGTGTAGTAGAAGTGGCAGGTAACATAGGAGCGATTCAGCTCTCGGACACTAATGTCTTTAGAGACATGATTAAAGTTAATATCATAATAAGCTTTCTTAAGAGCATTGAAATCGGCTAATGCACACGCTTGTTCCGCGATCGTCCCCTGTATTTCTCCTCTGAATGCAGCGTGTGGCCTGCATAGCGGGGCTCCAGGGGCGGAGCTTGGATTGGTTATACATGAAATCTCACTGTTTCTGAACCTGCCGTTTGGGTCTGCCAGAGATTCACAGAGATTTGAATGAAGAGATACTCAGAAAAGCAATTTCGCATTTAGTGTTCTCATTATGAATGCCATATGAACATATAAAAAAACCAAGAAAAACATTATTTTCATCAGAGTGGGTCTTAAATGGAGGGTAAAGCTACCCCTCACCACCCCCTGGATCCACCCCTGCCTGACAGAGGTGTGAGATTTAAGTACCACACTTTAAAAGTATATATTTAGAACAAGAGAGACAATTATGTCCAAAATGTGGTGTAAGGTTGTTGTAAAGTCAGAAAAAAATCTTCAACTTCAGATGTTTTCTTCACATAATCCTTTTAAACTTAAAAAAAGGGTCTCTGATATGTGAGCTGAGTCGTGTTGACAGACTGAGATAAAAACTGTACAGTGCACACAGATTTTCCCTGAGGTGGCGACTTATTTTTATGGATATTGTTTGCTGTTGCCTCGATACAGTTTGTTGTTGGTCCTACTAGCATACTTTGTCTGTGTCCAAGGAGAACTATGTAACTATCTGTGTGTGTGGTGTGAGTATGTGTGTGTGTGTGTGTGTGTGTGTGCGCGCGTCTGTGTTTACTTGTGTGTGGGAGGATATTTATGAAATAAAAACAGAGAACTCTCAAGCACCTTCTGAATGCAGTTTGGGGGCACTGGGAACAATAACATGACTGCATTAGGATGCAAGCTGGAGAGCAGAAATTGAGCAATTCTTTAAGTTGCTCTGTTTTATTAACACAACTGCATACAAGTGATTTGGTTAATATTTGTGAATTTATAATCATGTTATCATCGTTTTGTCAAAGTCACGTCATGCAGCGGGAGCAGAGCCGTGGGGAGCCGTGGATTTGGCCCCAGACGAGCCTCTTCAGAGAGAATGGCTGGGTGACAGAGGGCAGATGGTGCCGATGAGGCTTGAGCCAAATGTGAAAGTCTGTAATGCCTCATTCATGGCTAAATGTTGTTCTTGCTAAGCTGTGAACGCAGAGACCACAGTAACACTTCTAATTTTCACGAACATTACATCACACATGAACAGAGGAGGGAGAAGCATGTTTGATCGGAGTCCACACAGAGGACGGAAACGTCGATGTGCCATGAATCAGTCTTTCATTGTGCTGAGCTCTGCAATGCTCAGAGTCAACCATTCATCTCGTCTTCTGGCATCACTGGCTCATCTGACCACTTTCCTCTGATGTTGTTTTGTTGCCATGGTCACCAAGTGCTACTGTATGCACCACAGTACTGACTGTGGGGAGTAGCTCATACGTACTCCTAGACATCAAAACGACCCAGCACCACTGGTACTATATGTGGCTGAGAACATGTTAATTATGTTTACAAAAAACATTTATTTGGGAGAAAAAAAACCCAGGCACTCATGACAACAAACAGCTGAGTTGTCAGTGATGCACACCGTGATCCAGGTAACACGTTTAATTCAGTGTGAAGCCTGTTACATAAACAGAGGGCCGCAGCTTTATGGGGAAAAAAAGCCTTTTAAACACTCTATTCACTGATGAACCTGCAGCTAATCATCAGAACGAGCCCTCAAGGCTAAAGGGAGGAGAAAACTAGACACCTGAATAAAGAGAGACGATGTGAGGCTGGGTGTCTGAAAAGCAGTGCAGCATCAGGAGCCCTCTTCAATGTGTGTGTGTGCGTGTGTGTTTTTTTCCAACAGTTTGAATGTAAATCTATGACTTCTTGTAATTTCACAGTTTTGAAGATAACCCAATCGTCTTATTCTGAGTGTATGAAACCACTTACTGAGTGTTCTGCTTCAAGCATGCTCCAGCAGATGGGCCCTCCTCATGGCACCTCCATACAAGTCTATTGTTCCTGCGTCAAAGCAACCGGCTGTGCAACATAGCAACACAAAGTTCCCTCTTATATCAGACTGTTTAAATGTATATTAGCAATATCTATTTTACGGCCTCTAAGTGTGCTGAGTGCTTATCTAAAATGCTGAAATTACTTTTATTGACTTTAAAATGCATGCTCTACCTGCAGAAAACTCCACAAAGGGCATCTGGTGTCTGGTGATCTGGTGTGTGTTAGTAAAGCAGAGGGGCAGAGTGAACATGGAGAAGAATGATGTAGCGAGAATATGATTCTCAGAGCATTTATTAGCTAACTCAACAGTGAGTGACCTATAGGTCCACAATGAGATATATACTAAATAAAAGGTCATGAGCTTAAACCTTGTTTTAGAGGTGAAGGCCAGAAGACTGTATGACAGGATACATCTGTGATAGCATTCATGCGAGTTCAGATCATTTGCTTTTGAATATTATGATCTTTCTGCAGAGCCATAAGTGGTCTGAGGAGCCATAAACAAATCTCAACCAAAACACCACTCTATAGCCACAAATAATGCTCAGAACAGCACCTAACTTCATCAACAGTACATATAGAGTCCTAGCCATAGTACTAGACACCAAACATCTTTTCAGCTTTGCCTGATTTCTTTAGCAAAGAGACTAAACACAACTCACCTACTCTCTTCCAGCAGCTGCTTGTTTGTAAGGAGACCTTGGACGAGTCAATCACCGACTGCAGCGGAGTTTCACAGCTCAAGGAAGAACATTTATGATCATTTCTTTATGGACAAAAAAGAAGATAAACTCTAAGGAAGAGGAACTACCGCGTCTGCAGTGCAAAATGATTAATATGGTGATTATTACTTCAAGGAAATGATTAAGAAATGATCATAAATGTTCTTCCTTGAGCTGCATCACCCCGCTGTAGTCCATAATAGACTGGCCTGAGGTCTCGCTACAAACAAGCGGCTGCTGGAAGAGAGTAGGTGAGTTGTGTTTAGTCTCTTTGTTAAAGAAATTAGGCAAAGTTAAAAAGATGTTTGGTGGCTAGTGCTGTGGCTGGGACTCTATGTGTACAGTTGATGAAGTTAGGTGCTGTTCTGAGCATTATTTGTGGCTACAGAGTGGCATTTTGATTGAGGTTTGTTTATGGCTCCTCAGACCGCTGTGTATTGCTATTGTGCTATCCTTACTTAAGTCGGTATAACTAAAAAGCAAGCGGTCGGCAACATTCATCTCTTGAGAGGATGTCTAACTCAGTGTTACTGTGTGTTCGACCCTAAATTAATTTTACACCGGATTATCCCTTTAACATAAGGCTTTAATGCTGTCTGAAGCCTATTGATACATAATTGGACAGGTGTTTGGGGCCAGAATTGCCAGGGCAGACATTTTGGTCTTGGTCCAGCCCTGGTTGTAAAAAAACATAATCTATATCTATACTTTTAAATAAGACATAAACTGTATAAAATAGTCAATTTGATAAATATATTGCCTATAATAATCGTGAACTCATGTGATAATCACTTTAGCCATAATTGTTTAGTCCTGCTGGAAACCATGCAGAGGCCTGTGAAAGTCCATACGCATACACATACATATATACATGCACACACACACACACACACCTGTTTGGCTCTCTTATCAAGCAGAAGACAGACCCCTTCAGTGAGTCGACATGCATTGCATGAAGTGGTGGCTTATACAGCACCAATTAACAGCAACCATGAAGTCTTCGGATGTGAGACATGCAGGTGACAAATAATGATTGAGTCTTTGTCAGTGTGATACTGAACATGTGGACCCAGGAGGTGCTGCAGTGAAAGAGCATCATGAAAGAGCATCACGTTAACCTGAGCCACTCTTTAAGCTCTTTCTGTGAATTAACTTGTTGAGCAGATGGTAATTAGTACAAATGTGGCTCAACTTTAACATCATAACAGGTAAAACCTCTGTTCTGGCTGCCACACAGTATTAAATCCACAGTATGCACGCTTCATCCAGGTGGCACAAACATGTTGCAGTTGCAGAACGCACAGAGACACGTTTCAGTTTATGTTTCAGTGCCGCCAAACTTTTTGAAATCCATCATGCGCCCTCCGTTTAAGAGTCAGAGGAGTAAGAAGACATCAGATTTCAACATCCGAGAACATTCCTCAACACTCTCCACTTCTCACGTTTTGGCAGCAGAGCTTTAAAACCTCACACCGGTTAGCGAAAGATTACGCAAACTGCGCTCACTCACCTTCAATGAAGTCAACTGGTGCTGATCAATAATCCAATCCTCCGCCTAATACCGGATTAATTCTTCTTGGCTTGGCTTCACTTTTTTCCCCCTCCGCTGATTGTGCAGCCTGTGAGCGCTATCAAACAGATCTGAGATACTCGAGCGTTTTTCCAACAAGTCAGCGTGTTCACGGAGTATTACGTGGACGTGTGATGGTAACAGCGGGCTGTGATGCAGAGAGGAGGGGAGGTGTGTGTGTGCGCGTGAGTGAGACACGCCACTGTGTCCAACTGTGAGGTTTGTGCGTGTGCGCGCAGCAGTGCAGCAAAAGCTTTTTTGTGAGAGAATGGTCGTTTTGAGGACTTTAAACAGTGAATGAAGAAGGGGATAATGGTGGCTGCGCGTCAGATGTCAGGCACTATAGCTGGGTCCAAAGATTTTCGACATCTCCAACTCTGTCCGGAAGTTATTACCAATCATTCTGTGAAACAATGTCATTAAAACAAGAGCAGGCTTTCTTCTCACTCTCAAACAAGTTATCCTTACCTCAATCTGATCTCCTTTAAAAGAGCCAATATGTGCCAATTGATCCGTCTGCTTGCTGCTTTTACATCAGAGGCACTGATTGATTTTTCTTGTCTTTTGATCGCAGAGATATTTCGAAAAGAGTGTTACAAAAAGAGGGGTAGAGAAATGTGGTCTTCCAGAATCATCCTAGTTTAAAGGGTGTGTCCAGACTTCTAACTAGGGTGGACAAAGCAGGACACTGGTCACTGCAGTGGTGGATGGAGTCAGCTATCAATCAGTGAATCAATCTTTATTCATATGGCACCAAATCACAAGAAATGTAATCTTAAAGGGATATTCCAGTGTAAATATAATTTAGGGTCAAACACAATGTAACACAGAGTTAGACACCCCGTCGAGAGATGAATGTTGCCGACCGCTTGCTTCTCTAGTTACACCAAATTCAACCGTAGGATAGCAATACACAGCGGTCTGAGGAGCCATACACAAACCTCAACCAAAACGCCACTCTATAGCCACAAATAATGCTCAGAACAGTACCTAACTTCATCAACAGTACATATAGGGTCCCAACCAAAGTACTAGCCATCAAACATCGTTTTAACTTTGCTTAAATTCTTTAGCAAAGAGACTAAACACAACTCACCTACTCTCTTCCAGCAGCCGCTTGTTTGTAGCGAGACCTAGGGCAAGTCCATTACGGACTGCTGCGGGGTGGCACAGCTCAAGGAAGAACATTTGTGATCATTACTTTATCATTTCCTTAAAGTAATAATCACCATTTTAATCCTTTTGCACTGCAGATGTGGTAGTTCTTCTGACTTATCGTCTTGGTCTGATTGCATTTCCATAAAGAAATGACCATAAAAGTTCTTCCTTGAGCTGCGTCACCTAAGTTAACAACGGCTACATCTACACACACTCCAATAAACAGCGACTAATGATCATTCTCCCTCCAAAAGTCATGTCACAGATCACATAAGACGTTATAGTCCAGACCTTGTTTGCAGGAGAACAGCCCCGTTAAAAATGGAAGTCTTCCCATTCCATTTTTTGATAAGCCCACATTCACATGACATTACAAAAGACACTGAACTGAGAGTGTGCAGCAAGCCAATAGTTGGTGCTATGACTTTGCAATTCAGTGATGAAAAACCATCAAGGGATAAGAGGATTCTTCAACAAACTGGTGAATAGAATAAACTCTGTACTAAGCAGCAAACTCAGCTTGGTATCATCCACTATTGTCCACAGTATCCACAGTATCCACATGGCTATTTTACTGAGAGAATAATGCACAGGTGTGAAAGGGGATATGAATCACTGTTATTATGGCTAATCACAGCAATTATTGCATTATTAAGAAATGTACAACCTATTTATCAAAAGTCTGCATTTTCAGTTGCCTAAAATATCATCTTCATGTAAATAAAAAACCACAATGCAACAAAAGTCACAGTTTTATATTAAAACCAATTTGTGTGAAGTGGGCCCCTAATGAGTGTTTTTCACTTAAAAGGACATCTACTTGCTTCTTTTAAGGTGATTCAAGGCACAACTCCTGGTATCAAATGACTGCACATTTTATGGTTACTTAAAAAAGTTGAATGGATGCCCATCAATGGTAGCTAACCACGTAAGACCCGGAGGTTAAACGCATAAGAAAACAGCCAAACATCATGCATTCGAGACAGGAGAGGAAATGAAAACAAAGTTGACATCTTAAAGCAGAAATCATCAAATACCCTTAATGTTGTACCTGCAAGTTCCAAGAAAAACACTGCACAACAACACACAATTACTGCAAAAAAGGAAGCAACCATGTGATGCTCAATCAGCCAGTAAGCAAGCAGCTGATTCTGAACTATACTGAACACAGACTGAAAGATCTAGCTCTTTTTTTTTTTTTTAATCTTTGCAGGCTTTTCAAAGTTACGTCAACCCAAGGAGAGGCACAGATCCCACAGGGTATGACGGAGACAAGACTCAAAAGAACAGGAGATTTCACTGGGTCCATGCCAACAACAAAACTGTATTCTTGACAGCCTTCTGCCGGTCACAAAGAGCATGGACAAAGGATGAGTCTATCACTCGAGTCGACGTTCATTGTAATATCTCTGTTCAAGACCTTCAAGACCTCTTCGCACAGCGAGTTTTTACATGGAGACGTGTATTCCTGGAAGCAGGATGTAGTAAACATGGATATTATGATACTCAGGTTGATTTGTCATCTGTTGATGGATTTCAACAGTGAAATCTGTGAGCAATAGGAAACAGATCTGGCAGTTTAAAGCGCCAAGCAATTATGTTCAGGTACATACAGAGGATGTGAGCTGATTTAAGCTGGTAGGCAGACTCTGTAGCATTGGCTTATGTAACTGGAGTGTCTCTTTCCCAAAATGAGTAATGCCGCTAAAAGGCCATTGGGATAACAGGAACGAGAGCATCTTTAACCTGCTCCCCACCTACCCACAAAACACCTACTCTCTCCTATGACTCCCGGTATGGCACGCAGCTCCAAAAACTCTGGTTTTCTAAGGGGTACAAGTTGTTCTGTATCAGAAATCTTCTTCCTGGAATCCCTCACATCACTGCCATTATTTGACTGCAGGAGGTTCATAATCCTCCCCCAATCCCCCACAGCAGGAGGGACTCAATCACTCTGTCAGCTGTCTGAGTTTGAGTCTAAAAACGTCTCTGAGACATCAACCTGAGAGACAAACCTGGAATATTAATAGAGGGAGACAATTTGGAATTCTTCAAAGGTAAAGGACTTTGAACAAAAATATAACCCCGGTGACACGAAAGCAAAAATTGAACAAAAGAGTTTATTCATCAGCAGCAGGTAGGAGGCAGGGAGTCAAACATAAAGCGCAGGTACATCCTAGATTTGGGTGTTTTTCAGATGAAAGGTGAGATAACTTCTTTTCAGGCGACAGCTGAGTGCCTGAAATGTCTGGATGGAGTCCTAAACGAACAACTCAACATGACATCATTAAAACTTTTCACTCTGCAGTGTGTCAGCGGGAGGCTGCTCAGCAGGTTGCTAAGGTGAGCTACCTCATCAACCTGCAGAACATGGCTTCACGCTATCCTCATGTTTTCATGTCATATGCTGCGTTCCAGTTGTACTTGGAAGTCGGAATTTCTGAGCTCCGAGTCGGAAATTTATCTGGAACGCCCCCCTGTAGTCCGATTTCCGACTCGGAAAGTCGGACGTTCCTCATCATCCCTGTCTTGTTGACAACGTCATAATCCAAGATGGCAGCGCCGTGCATCAACAGTAAAGAGTAACAGACAAAGCTCTTGTAATGTATTATTTATTAGCACTTCTGTTTTATTTATGTGAAATTAAATAAGTGGTTTATGTTGTACTGCCCAACGTCTAACTGTGAACACGGTGCTATGGTGTTTGTAAGAGTAAAATACTGTGTCATGCGATGTTTACAACTGGTATCGCTAACAACAACTAACAACCACTGACAACAGCTAACAACAACTGACAACTGACAACTCAGAACAAAACCCTTGTATTTTCAGAGTTCAGCATCGAAAAACTCATTGTTCGATATTTCCACTTGCTGTGCACTGTTAGATTTTTGGAACACCCTTTGTTCTCGTCACTGTCAGCCCTCTATCACCAGCCAAAATGGTGGTCTGATATGTCAACAGAGAATGTGGGGGTCCATATAGAAGAAAAACTGACCATACACATTTTTTCAAGGGTAGTTTCAAAGTATAGCGCTGCTGCTAGTGGTACATGATTTCTTTCAAATTTTCTTTAAAAAAACTCCATTGAACGAAAGCAGATATGAATCCCTCAGAGTATTTTGAAGTAGACTTAACAGGTAAGCTGAGGCGCAGTAAAACAACTTTTGAAAGCTCAACAGAATATGCTGGTTAAATTGCTCCAAAAATGAGGCCACAGGGCCTAACTTTTGGTTTCTTTGTCCTTACTCTTCTTTGTTCGATTCCTCAATCATAGACCCATGCAGTTCTGCTACTTAAAAGGTGCTGACCCAGAATTTCTGCAGTTTCTCAAACGTCAACTTGAGGCTGGCTGTAAAAACCACAGAGCCTCTTATAGGCCCCATGTTAAAATGCCGATTTTCACATTAAAAATAAACATGATCACAGCAATTTTACTCTCACTTCGTACTTTTCTATTTCTAAAACAATCTTTTTTCTGGTTCGTACATTGTGCTAAAGTTACGTCAAGTCAGAGTTTCCAGAAATGGTTGCCACTATCTTTGGCTTCATTCAGAAATCAGTGGTTGATAACGCTGAGGCATTCAGGTCTCAAAATAGTCTGTGGTTTTTTAAGGGGTTGGTGATGTAATCCAGTCATTATGGTGTCACTCCAATTGTAGAGTCCTCTTTCCTGAAAAATAGCCTCTTTCTTGAGTTATTGGAAAGATATTGGCTGCTTGGATCATACTGAGTTTGGGAAGCAAGACCAGTTTAAAATAAGAATGTGAATAAATTTCTTATTTTGAGAATAATATCAAAGTCCACCATGCTGGGTAATGTTTGACACTGCTGCAGTCGGCGTGCTAATTGAACAGCCTTTTAATCCAGAAGGAGTCTGGTCATGTCGAACAGGAGGTCAGGTCGAGCTTAATTTCACTCAATTTGCTTTATTTTGTCTTATATTTTTAAGGTACGTGTGTAAGTAACAACCCTGTTAATAAATGCTAACCTCTGGGGATCATAAGTTCTGCTGTATTTGTCTTCCTGCCAACTTCCTTGATACTCATAGATTATCTGATGCTTCCAATTAGGCACAGTTAGAAATCATCTTATCTATTCATCCTTATATTCAAAGCTGTGCAGTTACACTAGCCTCAGTCATCTTATTCACCTGCGTTTGCACTCATTTAAAAGTCCATTACTTTCATGTTGAATTTGTCCTTCAACAGTCATTGTTTCATTCAGACCCATGAGAAACTGGTTACAGCCTGTTCTGCGTCTCTTTTGGTAATGGACTATGCAGCATCCTATTATTACACGAGTTATTTTCTGCTTTTTGTTTATCAATGCAGGTTAAAATATCGCACCAAAACAAAGACTCTCTCTCTCCGTTCCTCAAAACAAACAATGCCTCTGACACCCCGTGCACTATATTCATCTAATGTGATGTATATCAGTAGTAATTAGCCGCAGGAAGGCTTTTTATGTCAGTCATACACACGCAGCAGACGCAAAAGTAGAACCTGCGTCACAGAGCTCACAGGCAGAACCTCACTGTGCTTCTCTGAAAGTACTCAACGCTCTGCCCAGCCTCATGTTACCATGGCTGCATCTGCCTAATCCAGCATTTGTAAGTCTATGAATGGACTCGAGTGACTCCACTGCTTTACTGTTTCAACATGTCGCCTAATGTGGTGCTGAAGACTCTCACTGTGTACATACAGGGGGATTTTAAATGTAGACAAAGATTTATTTGCTGTTGTTTATAGTTTGAGAAGGGAAAGGAAACAATGTCAGGAGTTAAAATAGCTGCTTAACATTAGAAGCTATATTTCAGATGTATATACAGTATATCTATATATATAAATCCAAGTTTTTTTTCATTTCAGGCAGTTATTATGCAGTATACCCTGTGTATGTGTGAATAAATAATGGATTTTAAAACACAGAAACCAAGTTAAATATTCCACTTTGTCAGTGAAGGATGGGGAGTACAGCAAAATTGGGGCTGTGTCAGAGCTCACTGCGTAAACATCCTTCGTAACGGCTGATATCTCAAAGTGAGACCTGTACTTATACCGGAGCAATTTGAAATTGTTTTCCTCTACAGAATGGGTAATTGTTTCTGTGGGGAAAAAAAAGTTATCAAATATGTTGAAAAATGATGGCTAAAGGAAGCAGGACTTACTTTCTCCCTCTTTTTTGGCACTGCAGATTTTTTGCTCAGAAACTGTTTCCTCTCGACAACATTTTTCCTCTACAATTCTGCACTTGAGCTTATAAAAGATGAGTCAACTTATAGTTCAATTTAGTTGTCATAGAAACCGAAACCAATAGTCATGGGGTCTGAGATAGAAACCTTTGCAAGGCTTGAGGTATGAATCTCAAAGGTATCACTGAAGACCTTGACAGCTATCACTGCAGCTTCTTAAGACATGAAAACAGTTTCCTGAGAAATAAGTTCAAACTAAACAGTGTCACGAAAAATAAGTTCCCAAAGTGAGAGTGAGCCCTTAAAGCTCCTGTGAGAAGTTTTTAGCTGGTAATGAGACAGAATGAAAATAAAACTGATGCTTCTACATATCCTAAAAAAGCAAATGAGACCATCAGGGAAAAGACTGATTTTTTTCTACAGGGCTCTTTTGTTACTGGCCTCACTGCGTGGTAGGTGTCAGACGGGGTGATTCACAGGACACCGCAAAAACATGCTTTTTAAAGTTTTCAGCACCAAAGATTCATTGTGAAGTTGCACATTAGACATCAGGACTGGTAAAGAAATAGAATTAGGATGGGTTAGAAAACAACAAAGGCACGTGCAGGACAAGATCAGAAGCGTTCTCCATGGAGGCTTACAATCCTGCTTTATGATCATGTTTGCAAGGTAACGTTAAAGAAACACAGGTAGGCAGGTAAAAGGAGGCTAACAGCTTAAAGGTCCTTACACACCGGGAACGACGTGAAATTATGAAATATTCGGAGGGGAATTTTGAGGCGCCTGACTATACACATCAAGCGCACTATGATTTTGCGACTTTCTGGGGGGAAAAAAGAAGCGTCCCAGATGGAAGCGAGAAGACTGACACAACAGCAGACTGACTGTTTTTCAGTTCTGATTAGACACTAGTGTTGAGATGTCTGTCTGTCATGATAGCATGTACTGAGTCGGGGCCAGTACCAGATAAGCACATTAAACTATAATCCATAAATGTAAGGTAACAACCAAGACCTAATGGTGCTGTGACAGCAACGCAAATGAGTTTGAGACAGTGAAAATACATATGGTATGTTGTATCTGAACAGGTTAGCTTACGAGCTAAAGTTACTTAGCACAGATGAAAGTGTAAACAAAGACGTTTAGCAAACTGTTTGTGTTGTTGAACAATGGTGACGTTTGTCGCATATTGATGACATATGGGTCAGATGAACGCGACCTGAGCGTCCACACTGCAGTCACATCGGATACATATCCGATTTATATCCACATACAAAAGAGGTCTGGGTCGGATATGAAAAACTCAGAATTGCACTGTTCACACTTACATGAAAAAATCAGGTATGTGTCACATATGGTTAAAAAAATCAGAATCGACCTGCAGTGTGAACATAGCCTATGACTCTCCACAAGTTGTCCTTCAGGTCGTTATCTTTGTAATATTTGTGTCTTTTATCAAAAAGCACTCTGTTCTCCGACACATAAACATGTTGGATATATCGGTGAATCTGACGTCGCAACAACACAAATCTGATTGGTCAGAAGTGGACACACATTATGCGAAACTTTAGAAAATTCGACCGTGATATGAAAAATAAATGCCGCAGTATCGCAGGACAGGAAAATGTCGCTGATGTGAACGCTTGTATTGACAGGATACGGGTTTGAAAAAAAATACTGACGTCCAAAATAATCGCACAAAAAAAAAACGCTCCTGG